GTTATTAAATAAATAAAAATTAGATTTTTAGCTTTTTTACTAGTAAAAAGTGGTTCATCGGCTGCCGCGGTTCATCGGCTGTCCTACCTCGGTATTGCGCGAGCGCAACCCTGGATTTTGTTGTAAAGTTTCAACAAGCATGTAAAAGGCCGGTATGAGATCCACGAATGAGAATCTCGATCATCCGGGCCTATGAATCAGCGGAACCGGCACTAATGGAGGTATAATACCGTTCAGGAGCAACTAAAAATCGAACCAGAAACAAATTTGTTTCATAAGCAGATAAACTTACCGGGATATTAGATGAGGACGCTAAAATATATGTCCGTGGGTAAGGATGCGGGGTGTGCCGCCGATCGACCCCTCGCGGGATATCATTGCCCGAGTATCGACATTGTGAACTCGAATCTGTAGTAGTCAACAGCTAGATTATGCGCTGCACGAGAAAAGACGTGAATCGATAATTGTCGCGTCATTCCTTTCGAAAATGGTTATTATTGGCATGTTGCGGCCTGTAGCGCGCCTGACCTTCTTGAGGTAATGCACCCGCGCGGCATCGCAAGAGCAGAGGAAAACCTAAAAGGTGCACACCTGTGTCCGTTGAAGTATCGACACCAAAGCCGATGACCCTATACCCATTCATGTCTCTCAGAAGATCGAGACGTAGCTGTCATGATCAATGCCGCGCCTCGGATTTTGTGGTAAGAGGGAGCAATGAGCCTCCCCAACGCGACGCGCTGGGGGTCTTTAGCCACCAGGCTCACACTGACCACCTCCTGGGATGCGTTTCTACACAGCTGAACTACCTGTAAACTCACATATCTGGCGATCTCTTTCCAATTCTCTAACCTGGTCAGTGAGCAACCTGGGAAGAGGATATGCCAAAGACATGGAGTCAAAACCGTTGCGCACGTTTGAGGACCACAGAGAGAGGCTGCTGGGTTTCCCAATCGCCCGATTCGAGTAGAACTAGAGAATCTAAGATGTGGGAATAAGGAGAAAGATGCTGTCTGTCGAGTGGCGTCTTCACAGGTTCTGGTCGCTGCGTAATTTCCATTATGAACTCCGCCTTTGATGACCTTGGCTATCGCATTCAGGAAGCTACGAGATATTGTTCATCGTGACCGTTCGGAATTGAAGGCCCTCATTATGACTCTAGCGCTACGGGTAACCACCACCAATCAACGCGTTCGGACAGCAAACGCCTGCAGTGAATTGTCTCTTTCATTCTTCGTCACTGAGCTAATTTCCGCACACGGTCCCCATTAAAAATCTGCATCAAACTGGCCTTCTTGATGACTTCCTCCACTCTCCGCGACTCGCAGTACGAGTTCCACCGCAGACACCACTTTAGCTACGCAGTTGACCATGGCCTTCCTAAAGCTACCCCCAGAGCTCCGTCTTCAAGTATACCGCCACATCCTCGACCCAGTCAATATCCCAGTCCCTCGAAAGCTCTACGAGTATCACGGTATCCTCCTCTCCTGCCGATTGATCTACGAAGAGTTCGGTTCCGAAGCCTTGAAGATCATCAACCAGTTCCTGGTCCGCATTCAGCAAAAGTGGCCTTCAAACAACCAGCCTCTGCGCATGCCGTCGGCTATTCATTTGGGGGATGCAGCTCAGATCTGCATTGGAATTCCCTATAGCTTCCTAATCCCACGTACCCAGCAAGCCTTTCTAGCCGTTGATGTACTCCTCGAATTACTTCTCGAAAACCTCCCCTCCTTCACTATATACGTTTGGAACAACGGTTTAGCAGATGGCCAATCTTCGAAGCTTTCAAGTATCAACCCCATAGGCGGAATCCATATTCAACTTCGACGCCTTACCGAGGAGCGTGGACTCGGTTGTATCACATCCTGCCGTGGAAATGTATCCGACGCACTATACGTACCACTACTCGAAGATTACCACGACGAAAGCGTATGCGTGTTCATGGATTACAATAAAAAGGTCATTCGCTTCGACGCGAATTATGGACCGGAGATATTTGAGACAGAGCTGCGGAAATCTGCATCAGCGGATGAAGCTCGGTTAGCATGAGAAGCATTATGCGATGCTGCGGCAGGCCACCAGGAACTACCTTCACGTCACTAGGGTTTGACCATCCCAGATGCCATGTGTAACGACCGCCGAGGGCTCTGTCATTCTATATACTGTTTTACATGCAGACCAATAGAACGCATTATTTCCATTTCGAAACTTGGCTCTCCAAGTCAAATGATGTCGGCAATGCAACCTCGCCACTTCCTGACCAGCTTGCTTACAATATCAACAACGAATAATATATCACACAACCATAGAGCATCTCAACAATCAGTTCTTAACCTAGGCACCCACCCAGTCCTGTGGATAGTCGTTACGTCGTGCGACTTCCGACACTTGCTAAATTCTGCACACCGCGTGCACAACCGGGGAAAAACACGTGTTGCTAGCTCCTTAGTCCGCCAACTGTCGCGTGTCTCAAATGGAGCATGTGAAGGCGCGTCAGCAGCTCTATACTGAGCCGTGAACTTTTCCAAAAAAGAGCGAGCGTGCGTATGTCATTTTTAGTCACGGTATCTCTACTGCACGCCGCTCAAATCAGGCTATGATGTGAACTGAAAATATGTATTGTACTGCGTTGGGAGTGGGACGGAGATTTGGTATCGATGTTGAATGGACTGCTGTTTGAGCAAGACAATACGCTTGTACTGCCCCTTGGAAACCTTCAAATGCCAATTGCCTCCTTTGTGATCAACCAAGGGCGAATATCAAGGAAACACACTTGCAGCACTCCTAAACCTCGTGAATCAGAGTTGCGACTTTCTGCGAGATGGCTGCTTCCATTCAATTGACGATGCTTGGAGCATGTGCGCAGCATTGGGCGTAAAGGCGCTCCACCGATTGTTTTTCTTATCGCGTGCGCACTGCATCATGTTACTCATCATTTTGACTTGCGAATCCCAAAATGGCGCAGAGTCAAATATACTTACTCTACAACTGACCGTGAGCTACTGAACTCACATTTCTGACGCAACGTAGGTTCAGCTCACACGACAGTATGAAGCCACTCCACTCCACAATATCTAGAATCACGCCATCAGAAGTGCACACATTTCTTATCTTAAAGCCAACTACATACTAATACATCGTAACATCCATAATGAGTCCTTCATTCGATCAAGCTCTCCAAAAGTGGTTCCGTGAATCCAAGAGCGTCGTTCCCGTCACCCTAAAGGGACATCTCACAAGACAGCATCTGCAACTCAGGCAAGGACTCACTTGCGGTGGCGAAAGTTTGAATGTCTATATGTATGCATGCCCAGTGAGCATGGCAAGGGTACCACAGACTTCTATACTGACGACCGTATGTTCCAGCGAAAAGGTTAGACAATGTATGGCAGGGTTTGGGTGCTGGCCTTGCGTTTTTTGTGGTCTTCTCGTCGAGTTCAAGACGGACCCGGTGACATTTGATTACCCCGCAACGTTTAGGTGTAACAAGTGTAAGAATCCGACGGTGCAACAGTCGAGGTACTCCTGGGGCTTTTAGTAGATTGTAGTATTTGGACGCTGGAAAAATTATACTTAGTTGTCACAAAAATCATCACTCCAACGTTCCGCCTTAACAGTACTTTTGTATATCACCGGACTGACATATTCTGCCTTGAAAGGTCTAGTTTTTAGCATTGGGAAACTCCCGTTTGCCATTCAGGATGTGCTAGCTCGAAAATGCAATTGCCTTTCACCTGTGCTTGCTACAATTTCCAGTGTGATCGATAGAGGCAAACAAGAGTCATGCATATATAAGAAGTAGCCGCCTTCCATCCTGTCAAGCAGATAACCATGGCTTCGCTAACAACAATCACTAGCGAACTCCAAATTCATATCGCAAGACATTTAGACATTGAAGCACTCCTCGCTCTGTCCCTTGTGTCAAAGCAGTTATGCTCAATTGCGCAGGACGTTTTGTACGTTGATGTCAGCCTCCAAGAGAACATCACCGAAAATGCGAAAGTACACTCCGACATCCGCAGTTTCTATTACACTATGAAAACACGACCACATCTCTGCCGCAGAGTCCGCCATCTTTCTATGGTCCCACATGATGCACGGCTGAAGCTCATAGTCCCTGCGGAGATATTCACTGGCTTAGGGTTGGTGCCTGCTGTCATAATCAAGGTCAGCGAAGCTGCATTGGCAGGCATACTCCTTACGATGCTACCCAATCTGACATCATTGAACATGACAATGATTGCTTACGATCAGAACGGTGAGATGCCGATATTGGCTAGTAATCCGATACAACGACTATTTGGCACGGAATTTGATCCTCAGCAGCTGCGGAATATTCCAGGGCTAAAAAAAGTCGAAACATTGCGATTATGGGCTCCTACCATTGAGTCTCATTGGATGACTTTGCCTCAACTGAGTCAACTCTACCTGCATCCTGAAGGCATTCGAGCCCTCAGCGACCGAGGGGCGGGTCTTCTTGAGATTGAGTCGGTTGTGGAGCTTCTTCCATTATCGCTCCCGAAGCTTACGGCTTTGAGCCTAACAGTCAAAACAACATGGCTAACTCCGCAAAATCGTCCACAAAACCATTCACAGCCAGTCCATGGGTTTCCAGAGTTGCTGAGAAGATTACCCGGTATCACCAATCTTGAGATCTTCTTTGAGAATAGCGAGGATGCTGGAGATATGTCCAGCGTCACGGACTGCAACGAGCTCGGTAAGACGCTAGCCGTTTTCACACAGACGCTCCGAGCCCTCACTATTCACACGCTACCTGATGACGGTCAGATTCTTCCAATACAGCGACTCAATCACTTCACGAAGTTGCAAGAGCTTAGTATAAGCGAGGACGCTCTCCTCGATGACAATACCCATCTCGAATATGCTGACGAGCCCGGGATGCCTCCCATCACTCAGCTACCCCCACAGCTTGAGAGACTCGAGATATTCCGCGTGTCGGAAAGAGTACTGGAATTTTGGGACTTTCTCATTTCAAATGTAGAAGGCTTTCCGAATCTGAAGACCGTCGTGCTGCACACTGATCTGAGACGGACAAGGATACCTGTGTGGAGGGTAGGGGGTAGTTATTTAGGCTATACGCAAACCAGGCTAGAAAAGTGGTTGTCATGGGTAGTGGAATTTTCGTTCAGGGATGTCGGTCTGGACGTGGTGGTTTGGTACCTTGGGGAAGAATAGGAAAAAAATGAACAGTCAGATTGTTTTCGCTACAGAGAATCCGAGCAGTCTGGAACTATCATTTCCATGAGAGTCATCTGGCTGGATGTGTACGCTTAGAGAATAGACAAATTCAAGTGTCCAAATCCTCATTTTTGAGTTCGCACTCTTCCCACAGCTCACACGTTAGTTCCAGTACTTGCTATAACCCGAGGAACATGTTTCTGTTAATCTGCAATATTTATTGAGTGTATGTGTCAGTCAAAAGAAATATACCACAGGCAAAGTCATCTACATGTTCAATCTATCAATGTCGAGTATGAGCAAGAAGCTTATAAACATGCGAAGAAAAAAGTGTACAATGAAGTCGACGTCACATCAAGCATCTCGATATCAGACCGCAAGCTCCTTAGTTGCCGCCAACAGCTACGGTGAACAATTTAGGGCTGCCATCAAACAGCGTACCGGCAACATCGCTGCCGCCATCAGGAACAACGTCGTCATATGGGAACGCATAGCCTCGTCCATCTCGTTGTACCTGGTGTACTATGCGAGCGTAGTGGTTTGTGGTCTCCTCCTTATAGTACGTGCTCGGATTTCCACCGTTCGGAAACTGGTTGCCCGGCGACGTCAGCAATGTGCTGCGGTTGAAGGCAGCAGCCAGTCTCGGAATTACGGCGTTGCGTGCTGGGTTTGATCCAGTTGCAAATGGCCCAGTGCTACAGCTGAAGATGTCCTTTGCAGACGGCGCGGAGAAACTACCCGCTTCGCCGAGCTGCAATTCGTTGCCCTGCACACGACCTGTGACGTTGCCGGCTGCAGCTTGAGTGTTGATTGTCATATCTTCATTCCGGAACTTATTCCACACCGCCTGTGTATAGCCATCCCAGTAGTTGCCCCACACGCTGTCGTTCCCGACGAGGAGGTTGTTCGGACTTAGCACTCGTAGCGGGCGGCCATTGAGTTCGTAGATCAGCCGATCCCAAGGTTTGCCATCGCGCTGGGCTTGTGCACGCAATTCTTTGACAACTGTCTGGAAGCCATCAGAACCCATACCAGGCACTTTTTGCGTGTTCCCTTGCGTGTTGGTGAGACTCAGTGAGACGGGAATATTGATGAAGTCGACGTAGCTGATGTTAGCGAAGAGTTGCGCATCGTTGAACGTGAATTCGCAAAACGTCCAGTCGATGTTGAAGTTTTTGTCTGAAGGGTTTGTCACACTTGGCTCGACAACCGCAGGGCCAGGGTTCAGCAAGAACGTGAGTTTGCCGTCGATGCTGAACCATATGCGGCCACCAGCAATCTTCGGAATATTGACGTTCACGGTGTTGCCTGGCGCGCCGAGGGGTATCGCAACGTCGGCTTGGAGGGGTTGTAGAATCTCTTTCGGCGCGACAGGAAAGTAAATGCTTCGACCGTCGGACTGCACGAATATAGGCGAGTTGTTATGCTCGAGAGCGAGGCCCGTGATGTATGCGTAAACATTGCTGGAGCTGGACTTGTTCTGCAGGGCAACATGTAGTGTACCAGGCGCAGCTTCGGCGAGTACTTGCTGTTGTCCATCGTTGGCTTGTGGAGCAGCTACGCGCTTCTCGTTGTCAACATTGGCATTGGCCGGCGTATTGGTTGGGTCCTTCTCCCCGGCATTGCGATTCTGGAAGCTCTCGCGGCCTTTGTTTACTAGTTTCTTGAAGGATTTCATAGTGGGGTGCTGAACCTCTGCAAAAGTGTATGTATGCAAAAAATGGTTGGCGTGGGTGTATACTACGAGAACGATATTTCTCGACGGCGAAAATTTTGGGCGAGATATTGAAAAGTCGAAAGTACCGCCGATTGCGAAATGCGTCCAGCAATGAAATTGTCAACGGCGTTTTATATGCAGCTAAGAAAATTTCCAACGCGCGTCAACGCCTTGGAATCGGTGAATGCAGGGTGCATCTGATGTCACACATGCGACGGTTTGCTAGGGGTAGAAACCGGTTGCGGGATCGGCACCGGCCAGCGTTAAATTAATGATCGGCAGTTAAATCCCACAGCCAATCACGAGGAGGAACGCAACACCACCATTCGGAAATACCCCAGGTTTGAGAGAACCACGCGTGCTACGCTCGTGGTGAATATTTAAAGATTCGCCCTGGTTGCAGGTGGCAACTGGGGCGGGATTGGATAGGTTTGGTATGCGGCTGATGGCGAAAGGATGTCATGAGTCTTCGGTCCAAGCATGCGACAGGACGAATCATAGAAGAGGTATTGCGGACGGCCATAAAGTGCTCGAAAATGTTGAAAATGGATATCAATCGGCTCCAGCGGTTGTGAAGAGCGACTTCAAGTGAGAAACCTAAGCCGCGGACAACTCTCGCCAAGTTGGGAACGAACAGTTTGCTGCGCCAGATGGTATTGTTCATAAGTGGGGCTCCATTGCAGTATACCGATCGCATGCTTCTAGATCTTGGTCAACCTGGTGTTATTTGAAGCACCAGAAGCTTCATCTTTTGATACCTTCCTAACTAGTGCTGCGCTCCGTTGGCTAGGTGGAGAATGGAGGTCAGCGGGGCGTTCTTCGGTGCTTTCCGAATCATGCGCAATGCATCTTGTTGGTAATGCCGGGAAAGGTTGGTTGTTAGACAATGACATGAGCGTGATGCCCTTCGGGGTCCCGCTTGCTGTTATGAGGGTCGATTTCAAATGAGTTAGATAGTCTAACAGTGGCACATTGTGCTGACGGGTCTCTCTCAGATGACCGCATACACTTTTAGGATTGATCTATGAAGAGAAAGGGTAACCGTAGTTAACTTGAGTTGCTAACATGCTTGCTGATTAGGCCAGAGTTAGCAGGTATAGCGCAGGGGAATGCTATAGGTCTTCCAACATAAGTTGTTGAATGGCGTGTAGAGCAAGTATAGAATACTGTTAGACTATGAGCTTGAACTATAATCAATAACAAGGGTAGTATGGTGTGACCAAAACCCGATGACGCTGGGGTTTCCGATCTGAAACCCTTGAAGCGATTGCAAAACTGGTCGCCGAAGACGGTGTGGCATGGCCCTCATTTCATCCCATCACCTGCGCCTGCGGTGACTAATTACACGACTCATTATAGAGGCCTGGCGGATCTTGCGAGCACATGGCATGGGCGTTGCTACATTAGGTGTTTGATGTGTCCTATCAGACAGTTTATAAAATAGAATACGAATGCAAGATAAATATGGATTGGACACAATGATTGCCGTCTCTTTGATATCGATGGATGCGTCGAGATGTTGGTAGAGCGGAAGTCGTGCCTTAGGCGTCATTTTAGCTCGCTTATGACAGACCTCGGCAAGAATAGCTGGTTGTCCTGTCAAAGCCTCTCACTTTTCGCATCTAGAGAATTATCTCACAACGATAATTCGTCTTGATCACGTCTAAAAGATATAACTTCTATTTGAATTCAAGCGCTCGCCGGGCTTGCGCTGCGTGCCTTCGTGTCGGGGCGCACAAACTTTACGCTAGACCACTACCCTTCGTCCAGTCATGGCCGAAGTCTGGACTCTTTCCACCCCACCACATCTTCCTGCACCCTCCTCAGCGAAAGAGACTTTCTGGAATCACTCACTACGTATGAGTCCAACTATCCCATCGTAGCCGTCGGTACACACTTCATCCGGTATCGACGAGGCGTTGAGGAGATAGAGGGCCAAACTTTGCTTTCCTTGAACGATTCCAAACGTATCATCAACAATGCCTCGCCTCTACGCGATGTGGCGCATATCATCTTTATCATCTTCTGAGCATCTTTGCCGCGTGATGGAGCGCATTCCAGGCGCAGACTTGAAAGCTGCTTGGCCGAGACTTACGAATGACGGAAAACCCGCCATCTGAGCAGAATCAGAAACGGATAATAATCATCTGCTTTCAATCCCATCGCAGGCTTTGATGGTGGCGTTGGCTCCACTGAGCTCCCTTATCACTTGTTCTGGGATGCGCAAGGAAACAAAGACATCTGCGGCCCTTTTCAAAAGGACGCTGAAATCGATGCAGCACGTGTTAATAAGTTGAGAACTATACATGCTAATCACATCAAAGCCAAGGCTAAATGCTATGAGACACACTTCAGCACCATACTTGGCGTACGCTCCCCAGTACGTTCGCACGAGGGCCTTCAGCGCAAGAATATGTTTCTCGGAAAGGCTTGAGATTGATGGAGGTGGTTATAATTAACTAGGCAAACGCGGGCTAGTATCGGAACTACTTGGAGTATGCGATCAAGTTCTGTACTCTACAATGGATTGATGACTAGCCCTAATGCCTCGAACAGGTCTCGGTGCCGTGACCCCAGGAGGCTGTGGTTCTGCAAATGTTGCCTCAGGACCTCTAGTTTTGAAAGAATCGCTTATAGAGGATTGCACTTCCCTTAATCTGCTACTCATAGGCTTCAAAAGGTCTGCTGTGAAAACATTTCGGAATATGGCATTAGGATTGCCGCACTAACTACTTTCGCTTCTTTGGTTACCACCAGAAAGTGGTTTTCCAGCGATGCTTTCACTAAGTACATATTTCACTGCGGCTGCGCCAATAATGCGACGCCTCTCTTCTACTTTAGCGCATTTCCCAATCTACTAACGACTACAGACCTGAACTACCCTCCACCTACTGAGCCCAACGACCGTACATACACTCGAGTTGGTCGAACAGCTGTTCAACCAAGACCAGCCCTCAGCTACAGTAAGGCTCGGATCTGTCTACACAAAATCATCTACCTAGACGCTAACTATTCATACAGTAGGCGAACCTCGACACCGAATCGGAGAAGCTCTTTGATATTAGCGATGGAAAACTTGACGCTAGAAGCAACCGACCAAAGTATCATGTCGCCACTGTCGCAAAATCTTGCACCATCGAACCCGACGATCAGCTCGAGACCACAACAAACCCTACCTGGAGCCCTGAAACAAACTACAAGCATAGAGGATATTAGCGTTGAGGCCTCGCCCTGGAGATCATATGGATTTCTTCTCAAACCAGAAGCGATGGGCCGAATCGAAGCGTGGAACGATGACACAGCCTACCACTTGGAGTTGGCTGATGCCGCTACCGCTCGGAGCATCACCACCGAGGTGTACGAAGACTGGCTGAATTGGGCTAGATCCTATGCACTCGCATGGCTGGGCATACTAGACAAGTATGAGTTGCGCTTCCGCGCCACAGGTCTGAAGTACCATAAGATACCATTCTCGCTCCGACATTCCGCCACTCTCCTTCACGGCTCCAAAATCGATCAGTCCGTATTGACCCGGCTGACTCAGATCTTTGAAACCGACCGCCCGCGCAAATTGCAGTCATACTTCACCCCATGGATGGAGATCAACAAGATCGCTACCGAGACGCTTGCAGAGATCGATAACTATCGACCCGGATTCGGGGACTTGGACTTCCTTTGTGCTATGAACCGAAGGCTCGATCTCTCATTTGCTATGCTCATTAAGCCACTGAATATCCTGCGGGTTGGACTGCACTGGGTTGAGAATACAGTCGCTTTGGTTGCGGAGCGATCCCCTCTAGATTGTTGCGACGTATTGGCAGCGAAACATAGCCTGGAAGGTAGCGTGTTCAGGCGGTGGATCCAGACATTCTGGGAGATCGACAGTGGAACTGTGAGGGCAGCGGCATACACTGAGTATTACGTGGGGCGTGTACTGGCTACTGGCGTTGGAACCGGGAAGTACTGGAGTACAATGTTGGAGTCACGTAGCCGAGCAGAGGACTCGTCAACACATTGAAGTTATGTAGATTTCGATCCCGACATTATCTTTGTGATCCGCCAAATCTCAGTAGCCGAGTTCAGGGTCTAGTCAAATATGAAATTCACAGGTGGAGTGATAGGTGACAGGGTCAAGGACATTGTGTAAGAACTTAGATTAGCTGAGTTATATCTCCCGTGTGACCTGTAATGACACAGTGTTAGTGTACATTTACTATGCTCTGTCGAATAGCTACTGTCGCTTTCCCATAAGTTGCAATCCCTCCTAGAAAGACCGAATTCTCCATACTTGAGCAAACACTACCGCACGTCTACTCTAACGACAAACACGATCAACATGTGCCAAGCTTGTGATGACTTCTGTTCGAGGGGCGACGAACTAGTCATGAACGAAGTCCGCCAATACATGAAAGAGACCGAAAAGGTCGCTGACATACTCCTGGCGGTGACTGACAAGTGTGAGAACGGGTACCGCCAAGCTGCCATAACCTACCATCTCACCTACGCTGGTGCACGACGACAGCTACGCGATGTTTCTCCGGAGAGCCTGATGCGTCTCAAGGCGGCCTTCGAAACCTGTCGCATTGAGGAATACCAAGCTATATTTGCTCCATTAAGCGCACTCATCCAGCGGGCCTCTGATCTTCGTTCGGATGCAATGCACAGTAGCCTTCACGGTACAGTAGTACAGCGCTACCATCATCTGATGCATGAAGTGGTCCCAACGATGTATCATTTGCTCCAAGAGATCGTGCAAGAGCGAGAGAAATTCCTCACTCTCAATGATAACGCTAACTCCCTGGATCATATCAGCCAGGTTTTTCGGGGGTCTGCCGAATCTGATCATCGATATGCGTGGCTAGACGCATATTACACCCATGGCGAACGGTTTATTCCGGCTCATATGCTAGAGGAATGGAACACGTTACGTGCCTGGGTGTGGAGCCTACCTGAGACGCAGCGTGTTGTGACGGCAGGTTATCGATCGCTTGATGAAGTTACGCTAGAGATGGTGTTCTCTGAGGAGGAGGAGGAGGAGGAGGAGCTCACCAATTAGGGAGGGGAGGATAACTGGATGGTTCTTAGATGTTTCATAATCTCTTTGGAAAGTCATAAACTCGCCAACAGAAAATTAGCTCATACCTTAATAGGCCGTATGGTCTCACCGGGGAGGCTATATCTGCATATTTATCTTATTTGAGATTCAATGAACCAACATCTCAACGATTTGTTTGTTTCCAGTGTACTGTGACTTACATTCCGAGTGTGCACACAGAATTAATATTTCTTGTCAAGTAAACAAAAGGCTACAAACGTCCACTAGTCGTTGAACCATTTATGACTGTTTAGTGTTCTTGCCTAAGACTCAACGAACAGGTATATGTAATAACGCCGCCGTGTTACGAAGGTTACGATTGGGCCGAAGTAAACAAGCAAGATCCACCCCCCTTTTCTCCTCTTTCTAGTCATAGTAGCTCTCTGTGATGAACGAGTCCTCTCCCTTTTCCATATCCCGTTCCTTTTCCCAGCGCCAGTAATTCAGGAGCTTTGGAAGCATTTTAGGGTCTACATAGCCAAGATCCTTGACTTTCACATTATACTCCACTGGGTAATGGGTACCAAAGTTGATTCGTGACGCGACATCAAGGGATTCGCCGTTGTTCATGACAAGACAGATTGCATCGTTCGATAGCTGTTCTTCTCCACTTACACGTTGTGGAAAACTACCGTATTGGTACGCGATCGAGTGATCTTGAGGAATAACACCGGGTTTAGCGGTCCCTTCTTTACCATATGTACGAATTGGACTATCAAAATTTAGCAGACATTCCAATCCAGAGAGGCGGTTAGAACAGACATGGCGAAGAAACATTTTCTCTTCCTCTGAACAACGATGAGTCGGCGTATCTTGGCATACTGCTGATTACCGTAGTCAATCACGGAGCTTCTTTCGTCTAGTTGATCATCTGGCTCTGTAAGGATGATAGCAAATATCTGTGCTGCTGTAAGTGTTTGAAGTTACAGCTGGGCATGAAATTACTCACCTTGCCCTCTTCGAAAAAGCTATGGTCCCTGGCATAAAATGCTGATTTGGTAAGCCGAAATAAATGTTCACTTATGAAATAATCGGCACTTACATGAATCGAATGTCTCGTAGTGGGCGTCTGGCCGACCATCCATAACTATGTAGGTTCCCCGGATAAAGTTGCCTAGAGGTACCTTCGCAGGCTCTGTGGTCGACGTGATTGTTGTACTTGATGTCAATGACGGCTTAGTTTGCGAGGCCTGCTGTGATTGGGCAGGATAGGGAGGCGGTGGCGCGACCGGCGGGAGACGTGTAGTTTTGGTTACTTCGCCGGCGAGAGAAGGCTCTCCGCTGGAGAAAACATTAGAAGAACTTTCCTATGAACCATACGCAAAGTTGCACATTGAAATATCAATACCTAGGGGCAGATGAGTTCAATTCACTGGACCACAACGTGTCGACAATTCTGCCATCAGATCCCAATAGATATGAGTAGTGCTTTTGATGTGGTATAGACCATGTCCAAGGTATGTATAGAGACATATTCCGTATCTTCAAGATGTTGCGGTTGTGACACCGGGTCATCGACAATCCAAAGTGAGGGGCACGCTGAAGTAGTGCCAAGTTCCGGTGAACCAACTGTGGCAAGACCCAACTCTTCGTTGAGAATAAGCAGCTGCGTAGGCGATAGAAAAACGTAAAAGCGCGGCCGGATAGCACATGCGGCTCCGTGATTTGATGTTCGATTGGTACAGTTCAGCTCGAAACGCAGCAGTGCACCTGACAATCAAGTCCGCAGAAAGGCTAGCAGCTTGCATACAGCGTGCATGCATTTTGATGCAACTCCAATCGATCAGGGTGTGGCTTGCACATGGCGCGAGCCGATAGCCAATAGCTTTAAAGTTCTAATCCAGAGTTTACGACGTCGATTAAGGTGCCGTGAAACAGGGCGTAGTTTTTCTCGCATACAAGGAATATGTACAGGACACTAATGGGAGATCTCCATGCAATATGCAACGCAGAGCATTTGGCTGTTCCATCGACATAATCAGGAAAGCGGATTTGATGCCCCCAATTCCTGCTGGCTACTGGGAAGATCGCTCAGAGTCGGTGCAGAAGCCATCCGCGTGTCACTTGACCCTTTAATGAGCCTTCCCCCGAATAATATTGTATCTGGTGGTAGTTCCGCACCTATGTGGCTTAAGTATGGGGCCGGGGCTGGAGTATCGCCTTCATTCTCGATCGAACCTTGGTGGTATGATTGACCTTGGCCGAGTAGATCGTTGGGCCATTCGCTTAGTGCAAGGGTAGCCCAATGCGCAATGTTTGGTGTACAATCAATTACTTGTCTTCTGAGTGCATAAATCTCCCGTGGAGATATGCGAAGCTGATGCAATAACCAACGATTAACACGATCAGGCGTGCTTTCGAAGCTCACGAGGTAGTCGCTGAATATCGATTGTATCTTGCATTGCTCATCCAGGACGAGTAGAGAGTCGCCCTCTTGTAGTCCAAGATCTAGAGGAAGGCCCTCCGAAAGCGGTATTGGTTCATCGATAGCCTCGAAGAGGCTGTGTGAGGCGACCCCTTTGAGGCTTTGAGACATTCTTCGATCCGGTGACTCAGATTTTGGGGAGTATCTGATGTCATGCTCTTTAGCCCCAGTTATACCCAATAGGTCTTCCAGTAGCTCATCTTCACCTTTTTCATCCATACTGGTACTACTTCGAAACTTTTTAGAATATTCAGCTGTATCTGAAGATTGATTTTGCCTCATCTTCCCCAATATTTCCGGGCTCAATAACGTCTCCGTGTATCCACCTACTGTTTTCAAAGGTATTTGTCCAACGCTGACTTGCTCTCCAATCAGCGCACCATAGAGAGTTCCCTTATATCTTGGCTCTAGACCTGCCCGCTCGTTCTGAACTCCGGATGCTGATGGTATTGTTGAAGCCTCGTATTCAATATCGGAGGGTATGCTTTGTTTGGTAGTCGATGTAGCATTAAGCGTAAAAAAGTGTTCGAATTTTTTCTCAATCATGGAGTATTTATCTTGCAACTTATATTCCTCTGCACCCAACGCGACCTCCATGGGCTCATACTCTGATTCTTTTGGCCCAACCAAATCTCTTGCACTTTGTGCCGAGTCGAAGAGGGCTATCAGTTCTCTATCATCGGAAGGTATGCCACCCACCATGCGCGTACGTATGTGGTTGACAAGCATTATGTCACACTGTGACACACACTCTCGTAGCCTTCTGAGCTCTGTACGCCTCTCCTGAACCTGAAGACGCATGCAGGTCACTTCGGCCTGTTGCTCAACAAAATCCGACAAGTCATCAATGAACTGGGTGTATATCTTGTAGGCCGCCGCGTTTAGATACTCATTTGCCTCGATTGATCTATTGAACAAAGTCGGTGGTTGTGGAGCGTCAGCTGGGGGAGGAGGTGGAGGAGCCGGGAGTGATGGTAACGGCGGAGGCGGATGACATGGTAGGGTGGGGGCCACAGATAGATTCTCATGATTGTTACTGTGCCCCTTAGCTCCCTGGGAAAACATTGGTGATGAGAGGCGACGTGTAAATTCTACATCGTCTGGCAACCCCACGTCTGGGAAATGCACGGTTGGCCGCTTGAGAATTCCCTTCGGCGGCGATTGCGGTGGCAGGTGTTTCACCATAGGTTGTTCGGGCGATTTATCGCTAGGTAAAACGGTGTTATCAAGCTTCGCTGAACTTAGGTTCTGTTTGCAAGAACGCTTCTTCTGAGCCTGTTGAATTTGGTCGTTTTGTTTTCTGATCAGATTGTGAATGATTCCGTCCATCATAGAGTGCGCCTAGGCATGTTAGAATGTGCGGAGTGTGCTGACCTCGACAAGTAGCTACCGTGGGCTTCTCGGCTGGAACTGGAGGTGTCGCCATCTTGGCTGCGTGGGTCGTTCGTGTTTAGTCTCACCAGATGAGAGACGCGCAGAAAATGTAGGCAACAGATAAGAAGTGGTGTCCTAAATGAAGACTGTGTACAGCCCGTTCTTGAATGTTTCGCGAATCATACAATGGAAGAGGGCGTAATGAAGCTGAGGTTGCGACGCGCTTGGGCCAGGCGATGCGCCGGCCAGGGCTGCTGCAGCCATTATCTTACCAAACTTAGACCGCCCCACTTCGCACGCACTCCCGGCCACCTTATCGGTCTAACACTATGTATTGGCTCATTGCTTGCATTTCTGCCACAGAGCAATCACGAGTCTAGAATGGAACACACTGCTGGCATCGAGGCTCTTCCTTGCCCGGCAAGCCCCATTACCCCTCACCAGCTATTAAACCCAGCCATGGCCCTATGTTCTCCTTGCACGATCGGAGCGTCGCCAGCATGTAGAGATGCCGCCGAATTACACGCCTTGGACATGGTCGCCCCCTCATGGACGCCATTATTCGTATCAAATTACGGACGATGGCGCAATAATTAACACCTTTTGGTCAGGGCCAGTAGCTCCTGCAGCTCCAGTAGCACCTTCGTCAATTGATGCAACAGTTACTGCTCCAACCAGTAGCACGCCACGATACTCCCAACAGCCATCGGTTGTCGTGCCGACAAATCGATCCATACCTGGAGGTTCATACCCCAGCGAGATATATACCTTGAACCCTAAACCTACCGAGGTCATACGAGTTGAGGACGATGAGAGCAATGCCGAGGATGGAAACAAGGTAGAAGAAGACGAAAAAGAGGAGCCAAGGATCGATTCCCCCCATGAGGCTCCATACAAGTCATCGAACACACTGGTCCCGCGGCCGGCCTCCAACACCAGCCATACTCAGCAGTACGCAAATACGGTTGTCTATGGCTCAACACAATGCAGCCCATATAGGAACACAAGTTACGAGCCTTCCCTAGGATACCAACTTGTCAACCCGTATACCCTTCCAGTGAATGCTCAAACCTTCAGACCCACCATAGCCTCTCTCCCACTGGATGTACAGGCCGACATAGGCTACAAAGACCGACGATTCATTCAAACAAGTACTGATCAGAATGATTTGGAACAGCTAGACACTCGTAAGTCTCACCGTAGAGATTTCAAAGCTCATGAAATAATGGCTCTAGGTTATCGAAGAGTTGCAAGGCCACATCATCCGTACTTCTTCATCCCAGGTCGTGTAAGTCCATCTGATTCGTTTGAAATAGGTTAGGTTACAAAAATGATCTACGTTTCTTCTTACTAATATTTTATCAGGTGTTCAAAATGCTCTGGACAGAGCCTGCAGGTCAGGCCAATCCTGGACGAACACGAAACTCTACACACTTCAGTATGGTGTGGTGTGGCGAGCAAGCGTTTAGTGAGATACGACGCTTTGTCGTCGTTCGTAACAAGGGGACTTTTAGCCAGTGCATGTAAGTCTCCTCGAACATCCAGATATGTTAAGAAAATATTGGACGGCATGCTCATTGAGGTTAGCCCAATCCAAACTTACAAGGGCCGCGGTGCCACTAAGCCTGGCTTAGTAATGAACGACCATGGTGTAATACATACTTCTAAAGATCCACCTGGATTGATATCCGGAGAAAACCTTACGAAATACTCGATTCGTGTCGAGTCAACGGCAGGAGAGACCCTCGACGTGGAGAGTCGAGTGAACTACGGCAAAGCTTACGCGGTCGAACACAACGTCAAGGTACTCGACATAGGTATGGTGATGGAGGGCCACCGTTATCTGATTAGCACCTACTTCGACAGGGCTATGCGAGGCCAATGACTTCTTGGAAAGCCCTGCACCATACGCAGACTTCCCGATTTCTACCTTTACATCATATCGTTTCGGTTCATATCTTTGCACGTTACTACGTACTCCAAACATACAGGAGATGTGCGTTCCAGACAACTAATGTTCCTTCCTCTGCTTTTTGGACATAATAATGATGCACCATTTTACTTCTGCGTTCATCGTTCGTTTAGCAGTATACTATCGCATGTTCGACTATCTCCCTGTTTTCATACCAGTTCCACCTAATTTGTTCATCGCTGTTTGATATCGGTGTACTTACTTTTGGGCAAATTGTCGAGCAGATCGAGTAGTTTATTTGCGCCGCTCGAGTTGACTTATATTTACATCCTCAAACAAGCCATGCTGACCAGGGCACATATCACCGTCACATGTCTCCACGAAAGACACACTAATACCGAGCAGGGTATATCAAGGCTCACAACTACTAGAGCTGTTTTTGAATTGACCTGAACCGTAAAGGTCATAATGCGGAAATAGCGATTCTTATTCTTTTCACATGTACTTGTTTGGCTGGAACATGCAGAAGAATATGAAATAAATGTGCCACGTTTTGAATCTCGATCTCTAGCCACCAAGTTCTATAGAGAAGATTTCTCTCTCTTGATAAGGTATCGAAAGTCCAGTGACGGCTCATGCGGGCATCGGGGTGCGTTGAATGACATCGCTCGTGGGGTTCAATATTCAGCCGCATCACCAATCCAAGATTAAGGCGAGAAAAATGCGTTCATTGGTGGGATTGCGATTTGTGTACCGGCCGATGACATTCCAATCATAATGGAATGCAATCACAGCTTCGAACATATTCTATTTGACCAATGATGAGCTCTGATACAGTTCTCGCGGGATGCATACTAGTTGATTGGTGCGAACCCGGTGTCACCTGTACTATGAGGCGCTGCTTTAACCGACGCGGCGTATTTGCCTGAAAAGAAGGCAAATCGCGCAGAAGATAAGGCAAATAGGTTTCGGCAAATCGAGAGCAACATGATAATACGATCGTAACATACTATCTAGAGAGACATTTTCGCACGAAGTTGCATGGAGCTTATTAGCACTTTTTTTCGTAGAGTTCATATTTGCTCCTCCGAGAAGTATCGGCGTACGTGATGGAACAGGCGTAACTCCAATTCCCGCCACTATCCAGCCTCATGCGGGTGAGAATGAGGACAACGAGTCTTTGCAATGTATAAGCCTTGATAGGACTGTGGAATAAGCTGATACACGATAATGAGGCTCAAAATCTTACTAACAGGCAATGGTGTGATGGTAGCGTCAACTTGTAAGGACTTTAGGCACCCAATTACCGCCAGATCGGGGCACGCTCAGCTGAATATCAACAATTGGTTCTACACTATCTAATGGCCCCCGTCGTCGAACTAAGTGAAGGACCCTAGCATCGGAAGGCTTACCTCCTGCATTGCAATGTCCGCGGGTTCAAGGTACCTCATCTTTGCGAGGTTAGTGCCTACTGCCTGAGGCACCAACACGAAGGACCTCAAAAATTTAAGCTAACGCTAATTTGATGTTGCCACTCATCCTAACTTTATTCCAACGTCGATGCGATATTAGACACCCTCAAAACTTCCGGGTGTGAATACTTTTCGGGATGCTTCGCTGCAAGAACCAGGCCGTGATGTCGGAAAGATTGCCCAGTCCCTGCAACGGAGCTAAACACAACACACCGCCTCCATCTCACCTATGGGTCCGAAGGATTGCCTAGATTCTGCCCGTTGCCTTTTGAGCTGTACATGCGACTTGAGTCAGATAGGTGTCTCACACAAAAACTACAGCAAGCCAGTGTAAGTTACAAGCTGCATACTCATATTTCATTACCTAGTGTAGAATTCAGGCAGAGATTCGTCGCGCATGTGGTGTTGCGCGGTGTAATAAGAGTCATACGGGCGATAGCTGACTAGAAACGCAGCTTATGGGGGACTTTTATGTGGTCTGACTCATATACATCGCTACTCCTAGAGAGATGTTCCAACCTTGTCCTAATGCATGCAATGGGCTTTGGTTGAATTCTGTCGTTCTTCGGCGTGAGCTTTCCACTGCGAATGAAAAAAAAGATATTGAAATCCAGCACTGCATCCAGGAAGGTTGAAATGAAGCAAGGTTGAATCATGTAAAGAAAGCCTGCGGTTGAGCACAAGGATGAACGTAGTCTCGAAGACCATTAATACTTGGATTCGATCCCAAATTGCGCTAATTCGTCAGTGAGGAACGACACGCGATCACGACAAAAGGAGCTGGTGGATTTTGTAACGTAGGATATATTTATATATATGTATAGTATTAGGCCTTGCTGTAAAGTATGGGATACGGAAGACAACATGAAAATGTTCAATCTGGTAACGTGGAAAACACTATGGCAAACTAACGTATATCGCAATTTGAAAATGGGAAAACAGCCGTGGAACGTGGGTGTGTTGTAGCAGAACGTAGGATGTCGAGTATATCTCATTAGTACTCCGCATAGTACGCCGAGAACTTACTCATGTGTTGAGGGTGAACTTGGCCGATGTCTTTGACTTTGACGTTCTTTTCGATTGGGAACTTCTTGCCGAATCTAACGCGAGACTCTGGTTTCATGACCAAACGATCATCTTCGTCGGTTCGTATGACCGCTATGGGTTCTTTGGTCATGCCGTTTTCGCCTTCAAAGAAGCAGGTTCGAGGATCTGTACCAGTGAAGTAAACGATAGAATGTTCGGCCGGGATACATCCTGGCTTCAAAGTGCCGCGATTGGAGTAAGTTGAGATTGCGCTGATGCTAGTCAGTGTGCATGGACTCTATAGGATGATTTGATGGTCATACCATGCGTAAACAAACCCCTGATGTACCTCGGCTACTATGAAGCGACGGATGGTTGAATAGACCACTTGGTTGAACCGCACGTAAGAATACGCATCATCGTTGCCGAAATTCGATTGAGCTCCTGCAGGCTCGGAGTAAAGCATGGCGAAGACTTTGCCGACTTGGAAAAACCTCCACGCTTCTCGCCCAGTCCGCATTTTATAGGCTGTTCCTAGTCAGTCGCTGAAGCATGCATGCTATGGCCTCGTCAATCACATTGGTCCAAATCCTCGGTCCAACCTCTATCTGGTGTTCCAGCTATAAAGCCGGGCAGGTAAGCTCGGATATCCTGCGGCACTATGAAGGGGTTTCAGCCAATATAGACGGAGATAGGGAGTAGATTCGTATACCTGGGTCTGTAGGAGGATCCTGGTAAACGGAGTCATGTCTGGCGCGTGAGTGTGTTGTTGCGTTGGCCTGTTTCGCCCACTGGTACATGGGAGTTCCTAAGGTTTTTAGTGCTGTTGTAAAGCGCAACCAGGCTGAAACCTGTCATGTATGGCTTACCAGAGACGTCGTAAGTGACGTGGTAATAATCGTCGTCCGGCGGACTCCAAGTCCAGTATCCGTTGTTCGCCATGTTGCCTGATGCCACAGCTAGAGCTCCACCTCCGTAACGCGGTTGGTGTTGCTTTATATCCACACATGGTTCGAGTTGCCGAGATTTTGAGGCTCTGCAGTGAGCTGTGATTCATCGATTCCATAGAAGGGTGGAGGGGGGAGGGGTCCCACACAATCTGATTGCATTGTTGCGTTTTAGCTGCGTCGGCCCCAGAATGCTAGGTGCATGCCCCGAAGGCGTCCATGTTACCCACTGCGGGATGGTGAGCAGGGTGTGGCGGCAGCGCTACAGGGATTGGTGGGCCTGTGTGGTTGCAACATTCCTGCGCTAACGGGCGACATTGCATCTGCCGGAAAAGGCAAGGCCGGTGTATCGCATCCCGGTGGCTTGGTGCAGGATCACCTGGCACCCCCCAGCGCGGACAAACAATTTAGGAGACCAGCCTGTACGATCAATAAGGGTATACCTAGCCAGGGGCTGAATTGTTGTCGCAATACCATTTGCCTGAAATCCTCAAGTCATTTTCCTCGCGCATACGCCTGCAGATTCCAGCTCGAACGTCGTCGTCTCTTCCTCCACAGCGCAGCCATCGACCACATGATAACATGTCCGATTAATGCAGTCACTTTCTGTGCTCAAGCATATGAGTAGACCCTTTGACATCAGCCCACGTATGCGGTGGGCCAGCCCCAAACAACTATTTGCTGTCGCGTAGCCTCACTGATACCACAAGTCCAGCCCGATAAGACCCACAAAAGATGTGACTATCTTTCGACAATGAAAGCCACGAGCAAGCATTTCTACAAAATCCCTATAGAGATGCAAAAATCATCGCTCGTGACTCGAGATATATTGCCATGCAATGTCATTCCCACTGAACTACGCAGACGTGCAGCCTCTCGCTCAGGCTGCGCAGGGCGAGCAACAGACAAGATCGAACCAAGAACTGATCTTCGACACTCGAAAACAGCTGCAAGACTTGTCAAAAGCTCAGGAGAAATTGGCAAAAGCCCGAGAACGAGTACTCATTCAACGAGAGAACGTCAGAGCATCTGCACAAAAGATTCGAGAGAAGCGGGTTATAGCTGGCGATGCCGAGGCAGTTTTCATGAATTCTGTCCGCCAGTATGCGAATCAAAACAACGGCAACGTGTTAGCAATCGTGACAGATCATACACATGTCGAAATGGCACGAAATGAACTTGGGGTTTTAGAGGCGGACCATCTCCAGGCTGAAGGCGCCCTCACCGGTGCTGAGTGGAACTTCATGGTTATGGAAAATGAGTTTTACCAGTTTGATATCCAGGAGCTCATTTCTCAGATGATCGACCTCCAACCCCCTAGTACGGCTACGGCAAATCCACTCCATATGCCTCCTCCTCCTCCGCCACCACCGCCCCCAAATTTCATTCCTTCTTTTCAACCTTTCTCACCCCAGTATCCACTTCCTCCTCCTCCGTCTCATCCACCAACGCTGTCGTCACCAACATACGACCAGTTGCCATCGATAAATAGAGATCACGATGCGGCTGTTGCTGAGCTTGATGAACTGAGGAAGGAGTTCGATATCTTGCGTCACGAGCAAGCTAGACGCATCGATGCAAGAAGTGGTGGTATACTGTCCAAGGATGGAGAAACACTCGAGGATGCGTCTCCTTCCGATTTTGAGGCCGTGTATTTTGACGTTCTGGGGAGGATGGCCCACCGCGAAGTTGACGCACAACGGCTAAAGGAAGATTTGGTGCAGCATGAGCTCGAGGCATCAGCTATACGAAGACGCAACTCTGATTCATATGATATCCAAAAGCAAATACCGTTTACCTCGTACCCTATGACACGGGCCTTAACCGAAAGTGCAATCCCGATACTATCTGGAGATCCCTCGGTGAGGCAAAGGATACAAGACTGGCTTCTGAAAGATCTAAAGGAGAACGCTGTGTATAGGAATCTCTATCTGAACACGCTCCATAGTGTTGGGATCCAAGCTGAAAACGATGGATTGCTTGAAGACTGGGCAGCGAGAAATTGGGGTGCTGATAGCTCAGGTGCACATATGCAGGATGAGATCGAAGACATACCCACCGAAACCCGACCTGCTGGTTATATAGACAACCTCGAGTGTGGAAGAGTACTGGAAACTTACATTTTCGGCCGAACAGAGGGATGCGACGACGGAACTCATGCAATCACTGAGGAACCGTGTTATATTCCTTTGCCTCTATCTTCCAAAACGACTTCCGAAGATGCCACCGAAACTGAAGATCATAATGCCACCCCCCTCATTGTTGGCTCGGCGGTTTCCGACCTACATGTCTCAACCGATGACAAGTTCGCAGCAGAATTATCGAAATTTCGACCAGAAACATTTGAAATATCTTCCCACCCACAATCGGCAATACGCAAAGACAGCCATCATGGTTATGATACAATTGATTGTCAATTACCAGATGCTAGCAATTACGACGAATACCACAACCTTGACAAGGACAGAGTGCACCCTCGGGATATACCAAGAGGGCCAGAGACCTACGATGGAGCAGAAATACCGACCATCACTGTCACGGAGCCACAAAAGATTCCATTCATCGAAAACGCGCACTTGGAAACTAGGGAAACTCCACCACAAACCGCAGTTTTCATGTCAGCTCGCCATTCAACACAAGTTAAGAACACAGGAACAGACTTCGAACCCGCTTGTATCCACGAAATTCGCGTGAACGTAACTCCAGTAATACCTCGTTCAATATCTCTACGTAGCGAACGGTCCAGAAGTTCTCGTACTCGAGTCCGTGAACTCCTTTTCAAGAAGCGACAGCGTAGTCAGAGCACAGGTGCAACGCTCGGTGCTAATGACACGATGTACACTGTGAGTAAATCACCTTCTGGGGGAGCCCCATGAAAGATAATCTGACATTCCGACATAGTGGGAGCATCGAAGACGGGATGTCCAGCTCGGAGAAGCTTTTCGGGGGCTATAAGTTCTGCTGTGGAAGGAGGAAGTCAGTTTAAGACAGCGCTTGGCTTTTAACACTCGAGTCAGTTACCCCAAAGGCCCCCAGGTCCGCGCTGCTGGCATTAGTGAGTATTCACTTAGTTTTGTCCTAGTGTCATCGGGATACTTTGAACCGGAAGTATACTCATTCAGAGTTATGACGTATCCTTATTGGAGACTTTTTCCTTTTCGTACGCCCGTGTTCTCAAAGATTTGGCATTTCATCACAGCAATTTTGACGCACGGAGTTTCAAATCAACATTTGCTTATATAGCATGGGGTACATCTTGGGGTGATCATTTGGTGTTTGGGGTCTACATTGATACTGTTTTATTAGGTTGTTCAGACAACTCTCAGAGCAGCTTTTAAATATTTATTCTAGATTTAGTGTAACGATACTCTTCGAACATTGGTCATCTAGAGCATCAACTCAGTGTGACCGTACTTGAGAGTAGTTGAAAGATCGAGGAATGGGTGAACAGAACACCAGGCTGAGACTATCATCGGGTATCATGGAGCCTTTCTTGCGCCCTATCAAATCACAAACACACAAAGGTCCTTGAGTGCTCAACCCTCAACAGGCCTATCTTCGCGGGCCCCCGTCACTACCGGAAAACCGTGCGGCTCAGCCTGAGGGGGAGGTAGAGACGCCAAGTCCTTGATATTGTCACACGTGAATACACCGATCAACAGTACGATGCTTCTTCCAGAGCAAGGGACAAAACGAGCGCCTAGGTCTCGCCCACCGCACACGCTTGCACTAGTGACATGAAGGCAAAAGTAGGCAAACCTGCGTGGACCTGTTTAGGCGCTCAGCTCGACGTATGGCGGGTACTGTAACCAAACGCTTGGATGCTTTACCCATACTCCAATCGTAAGTAGTTGCTCGCCTACCGCCGCTCTCACCGCGACGGCCTCGATCATTCAACTAAGAGCCAGGATAACCTAACCGAGGAATCGGAACTATTCGACTCCGAATCACCACGGGCCGATGGAAAGGCGAAATCGTAGGCTTACTTCCCGCTATTCCGGGATCTCGCATCAGCCGATGCCTTGGGCGGTTGCTGCCGCGGCTCGTTGCGGTGGGTTGAAACGCCGCGTTCCGGTGGCTGAGCCTCTTCGTAATGCGCAACAAAGTTTGCACCACGAGTAGTGAGACGTAGCGATGCGTGCTTTCGTACTAAACATAGGGCTTGTTGCAAACTTGATTTCTCCCTCGTACAACCATCAGAGGTGCATCCCTTGTCGATCAGTTCGCAACGGCCCGAAAACCCTGTCAACCCCACTTCATCCGCATGGCATGCTAGCTCCCCGTCTGCGACACTGCCGTGTCTGCACACAAGTAGAGTCAAGGTTGTGAGAAAAGGCGGCTGCATGAGATCATCCATCAATCGTACCCCACTCAAGATTCCGATACGATTCGTGCGTGTGACAAGTTGTACCCTGCCAAATCACCTCCTTAAGAAGCTGTGCTCCGCGGACGCCCACATCGTGTCATAATTTGATTGCGAGAATCTGGCCGCGGTCTCATACGTCCGGATTCACGCGCCGCTGTCTTCCTACCTACACCAAGTTGGCGCGATCAGCTCACTTGATCGTTTCGATAGACACGCATACCATACGCCTGAAGCCAATACAGTGACAGCACTGATAGCACGCTGGCATACGGCACAGACTCGCCTCGGACGGACATCCTCGTCCGTGACTAGGAAGATAATTGACAGGCCAATTAAGGCAGCGGCACGACTCAATGAATCGTGATTGGGAGTAAGACTCTTTAGAAGCCGTTGCGACCTATAGCAGATGTTACATGGTTTCATGGGATCGGTATCAGGGCGCTCGGTTGAATGCCTCGACCACCACGAAGGGCCACAGTCGGGGTAGAGTCCGCAATTGGTTCAAAACGTGATTGAGACGAGTCGGCGCTTGGTGACGAGATGAAGGGGGATAGAAACAAGGTAGCCACGTTCAGCTATAACATGCGGGTGGCTTGGTAAAGTTAAAACAGCGTGCCGGTGTATATGGTGTCAAGTCTTATGTGTTGTGCAAGCTGCAGCCTGAGGCAGGCTTATCTATCGCCTTGGTAACTAGACGTCACATGCCAGACTTGATCTAGCAGTACGTGACAGTCTGACAGTTTTACGCCTGGAGGACTACATGAAACGCCCAGGCTTCATTGTCATCCAAGCTCGAGCAGGCGTTCGCCTTGCCAAGCCATCAGCATTGCATGTTCGAGCAGGTTTATTTGGGAACCGAGGATTTCTTTGCCGACTCGAGAGACGTACTTCCTCGCGCAGTAGCTTAGGCAAAAAGGCCTACAGGAGTGATTATTCCCATAACCAAACATAAACTTTGCTAGGTACTAAGAAGTAAGGCATTACAGTACATATTTAGGGGGGAAATGTGAAGAAGCATGCAGGAACACTGATCTACGAACTGGAGGACCGCTTCTTAAACTCAATCTGACGTCGATCGCAGATTGTTACCTATTCGTACTTGGTTGCATGGATTGCGGCAGGTTTAGCCGAAAAGGTCTATAATTTCTTGAGTGTGACATCTTCTGTAGAAACAGTGGAGTCTTCTAAGTCCTTCAAATATGTGCTCCTGGCTGGAGTCGAGCTCACCGGCTGAAGTATTGGTTGAAAGTCCGTGCCGCCGGCGTGGGAGTGGGGCTGATTTTCTCCGCCCTGCCGCCCTCTCGTGAGCCTCAGGCAGAACTCTACAGATAAATTCCACTAGCGCACGGGATAAACCTAGCAAAGCTTTGTGAACATGTGTTCGCAGGAATCTATCAAATTTTGCCGATACTTTCATATCATGATATGATGGAAAATAATGCATCGCACTATTTGCTTCCCGCCAGAGTAGCCGCAACACCGATCGATAAAGCGGCGAAAATACCGCGACCCGACTGCCCCTTCCCATTCCGCAAAAGGAAGGCCCAACGGGAGTATGCCAACGGGAGCATGCCCACGGGATTTGAGCTTTGCCGGACTCCATTCGACTCTCACTGCTCGTAGGATTCTCCGTCTGATTCTCCGTCTTACATGAAAGTTGGTAATCCAAATGCACTGCCGTACTTCGCTGACGTCCCTGTTTCTCGGCACTGATCTCGCGACCGAAAGGAACCAACCGATGCGGGGCAGTGATGAAACTCCCTGTTAGTTATGCGATGCCGACGCGACACACCTGCACGACATGGCCCATTCACGACTTGTCTGCCTGCCTTTTAGCCAATGACTTCTGTTTCAAGGAGATGAGCGCGTGGTGCAATGAAAGTTACGGCAGCGTGCGGCACCCTGCAAGAGAGTTGTGCACATGTGTCCTTGCTGAGACACAACTATTGGACCGAGATTGATTGGAAGATGATCGCTCAATGAGATTTCGGGTACAGTAACACGAAGTCTGATTTGAATGGGCGTGCGCACAGAACTGCAGGGTATGCGAATGTGCAAATTGTGAGTATAGCGGCGTTTCGTGAGATGCTCGGGTGATGGACCTAATTCAAAAATAGCAATACGTGCCGTAGGTTGCACAGGTAGACATCGAAACCGAAAGTCGATAGGCTGATCGGTCGGGTAATCAAGGGGTTCATGCAATAGAGTCAAGTGGAGAATATGATACGGAAAGGATAGCAGAGCAACATACCAAAAGGGATACACCTGGTAGGCATACCTAGTAGACCAAAAAACCAAAAAGGATGTATAGAATCAGTGGTGTAGGTATCCAAATATCCAAATATCCATTCATACATTCTGGCTGGTACACATGCGTGCTCCTGAACTATTTCCACAAACGCGTCATCGCAGCTAAGCCTTGGATCATTGTGATTCATGTTCGTTCCTAACGCATCCTAACCTGCAGATTCCAGGTCTTGCTGCTAAAGTGCTGGAGCACCAGACCAGAAAAGCATGGGCCAGACGGAGAAGAATGATGCTGTGATAGGTAGGTTTTCCATGTCCTGGGTGGCTTGTCGTGAAGTATTGAAGTCATGAGGGCCGTAACGAGAAGACTGAGCCGAAAAGGTGCCATCCTAGAACAAAAGCAGGGATTATCGTCAAGGCTCAAAGCCACTGGGTTCTTAATAAGAAAGTGAGGCCAGCGCTACGAATTGTACCAACCGGCGAGTCTGATTAAACTGTTCACGCATATTAGAGTGCCGAGCAAGGTAACCTCCTTGGAGCGTCGAACATGAAACCGTTCAAAAGCCAAGAGAGATATACAAGCACCATACCAGAAATGTTGCGGCGGTTCCAGAAAATTTCAGGTTAGAAAAGATGAACCGTATGTAGTCTAAAAGCCGGTCTATCTTTACACACTATGTGAAGAGGATCCGGATATCTTGGAAGGTTCGGGAACTTGATATGGCGAGTCCTGGAAAGACACGAAGGGAAGGTTTTCAATTCGATGAGGATTGTTATGATAGACTACATCTGAGAATGGGGTTAGGCGAACGAGTGGTAAGCTCCAGGGTTCTGGGCTGTCGATCCTAATGTAAGGTTGGTAAAGGCGTGGGGAGGCCTGCGTCTTTGCGCCCTGAGAGTTTGATCTGGATTTTGGCAGTTTCGTGCACGACATTGTTTGGAGAGTCGGATATATTTGATAGAATTGACTGAGTGAAGTGGTTAGATGTCCACGTGCACTCTCAGGGGATTGCGACCTAGTTGACGTCGAAAGGGAAGGAGGGACTTGGGGTGCTGTTGACTGAACTTTATCCAGACTTTGAGGTCTGTCCGTCGGAGAATTATTATCAGAGGCGAATGTAAGACCCAATTTAGGTTCCCTTTCGTCGTCGACAATCATGTTTGTTATCCCTTGCTGCATTTGTTCGGGTAAAGATTTGTGCCTCGCTCTCTCAGGCTGCTCCTCGCGGATGATTGTACCACCATTTTCAAACGATGTACAAGAGTTATAAGCTTCATTGGCAGAAAATGTACAATCGCTCTTGCCCGAAAATGCACGTGCCATGACGGTAGACTCGATGCACATGGAACGGGCGCTTGGAGATCGCTCCATAAAGCTGACATGCTTGGGTAAGGAATCAATGAGATCGTTGAGCTCGATAGTACTCGGAAAATTGACAATCCCCAACGTCTCAACGATCTGATCTCCAGAAAGTAGCGGGACTACAGGCGATGGTTTTGTCTCAGAGTCGAGAGTCACCGGCGATTCAAATAGATTTTTCATGGTAGTAATCGAGATAGAATGGCGACTAGTAGTTGTACCTGATGCTGTAGTGTCTCCAGTATGGAAAGACCCAGTATCCGGATTATCTGAGCTCCAATTTTCAACGACGAGCTGCCACCAGGCGTCGTCATCAATATCATCCGTTGGCACCAAAGTCTTAAGCAGCCCTTTTTGGAGCTGCGACTTTGACAAGATTTCGAAAAGCCAGTTATCGATACGCCTACGAGTGGTAGACCAATTGATTCGTGCGTAGTTGAGATCGTTCTCGCTGTAAGGATGCGGTAGAGCGTGCATAGCCTCTTCAGTTTGAGTTGGGGTGGCATGATGTGGCAGTGAGGTTGAATAATCGTTCGAAGATTCTGCAGCCTCATGCAACTCAGATATCCGGATTTGATCAAGGTCTTCTAAGGTAGTCACACTCGGTCCGTTCGCTAGAGAACTAAGAGGTGTTTCTAGTCCTTCCAGAGAACCGGAAGTATCCTGTACGTTCGAACGACCAAAAGAAAATTGCGTCACACTTCCTGGATCAACACCGCGCGTTTCTAGCAGTGGCCTAGGCAAGCTGTATGCATTCGACACAGGAAAAATCCCTGACAGTCCTTCCACAAAATTAGTTTCCTTCTGCGTATACCTCCATTCTTCCAGATTGTAGGTCTCTTCGGCTTCCTCGAGATGAGCACTCTGCTCTGCAAGAGTATCCCTCAACTCTGCTGCTTCTGAAATCGCATTCTCGATATGGGTTGGAAGATTAAGACCCTGGCTGTAGAGATAGCGTCTCACTAGTTCGAAAGCTGCGCCTGCTTCAGTCTCTGCCTTCTCTTGGAGGGCCCGAAAATCTCGGCGTTTGGTATAGAGTCGGAAACGTGATCCAACTAGATCATCTCGAGCATCTCGCAAAGCCTCCTGTTCTTCCTCGATCCGGTCGACAGATCCTTCATACTGTTCTGGTGTGGTGGGAAGGCCGGGTATATTTACAGTCGGCTTTGGTAGGGAAGTCAACGGTGCGTTGGTTTGCGAGAGAGCTTGAGACATCGATCGATGGTTTGGGCCTGCTTTAGGCTCCATGAGGCTTTTTTTTGGCTTGATGATAGGCAAGATCGGGTAAGAACTCGCGGTCGCGTGCAGGAAAGGCCTCTACAACGTCAAAGGAACGACCATGTGAGACCGGATACAATCTCAACGACACTTTTGGAGAGAAGGCAGGATATGAGTAGTGTCTGTCATTGTGCTAACGTGATACTATCCGTATGTCAACCTTATCGTTTAAAAACAATACCAAGGCCATCTGCATACCAGATGGAATGTGCTTTTGGGGCTTGGTGAAGTATGCGTCTGAATGCCCACGCGTGATATTGAGCGCTGATGATCATTTCCTACGGGTACTTTGAAAGGCTGTAAGAGGTCATCGGGATGCAGATGGCCTAGCATCGAAGGCGACAGAGGGACATAATGCGTACTTTAGCGACAAGCCTCTTAGATAAGACAACGCACCTTGCAGAAACTTGCACCACCCCTCGAACCCGGCGGAAGTGCAATTTGATTGCAAAGAATAAAAGCGGCGTGACATTCCAAAGCTCGCGTGTGCTAGCTGCTGGGGTCCGCAACCCTCCTCAGCCTGGCGCAGCCAACACCGCGGGTGCCCCATCGAATCACACTCACGTTGTGAACGCTATGTTTGGGGCATGTGAACCGCGATTAGACGATGCTGCATACTTTGCACTGTATGTGCTGTCTCCAAAATCGCAGAGCCGCACGCCCGTGGCCGTCCACTGGGTACTTAAATTCGAATCGTCCCAGTTGATGTAGCAATGACTAGAGCTACAAGAGGTCGGGTCATGTTGTACGGCATGCCGCCCAACAATGTCTCAGCCAATTGTGCAATGGGATCCCAATCAAAAACGATACTTTCGTACATTGAATAACGTCTGTCAGTGCTTGCTACCTATACACCGAGACAACAACTAATTGTAATCAGCGGAATGGATGCCAGTTGGCTGGCAACCCCAGCAAGATCCGTCAGCAACATTACTCTCGTACGTCTTGATGAGCGTGCTACTTAAGAATACTACATAACTGTTGTACAGGAACTCTCAAGTACGACAACGCAGCGATCTCGCGTACAACCTGTTGACTCCGGGATGTGTCGTTAGGCATGTTTATAATTCAGGAGTATCAAGTGCAGGTGCGAGCGCTTCGTATCTCCAGCCGAACGTCTCCTATGGGGCTCCGCAAAACCATGGCTTCATGCCAGAATACTACCCCTCTCAAGCCCCTTCAGAGTATGCTGCTCAAGGGCAATACGCAAATTACACAGCATCGGGGTACTCTCAGGATGCTTCATTGCCGATGAATAACTTGCCCCAGGGGGTCTCTCATTATAGAAATACCAACGTTGGTCATGTTCGTCGATTGCCTAGGGGCGAAGGCGACAGTATTAAGGGAACCTATGACGGGCCGTCAACCCTTCATTATGAGGAAGTCGATCCTGCATACTTCGTCAGGACCAAAGCGTTCTTCCATGAGGGGAGGGTGTTTTCCGTCATCATGAACGAAGCAGCAGGGGTCAATGCATCTCCATGCAACCCAACCGACTACAACACTTCTGGTTCCATCAATACTGTAAGGTGGAAAGGCAATCTCGTCTACACGAATATTCGACGCTTCGTCGTAGTCCGTCAGAGACGTGAGTTTTGCTATGCTTGCCCAATCTTTACATATTCAGGAAATGCAACAACCAAGAGAGGTGTCAGAGCAGCAGAACACGGTATCGCTTATTCATGGGGCCAGGAGCCTAATCTCATCCAAGGCGAAAGAGGTATTACCAAAGCATCCTTACCTGTCGTCATGGCGACAAATGAATCGAACTTAGATCCCGCTTCTCGTATCTATTATGGCATTCATCATCCCATTCAGTACAACGTCAAGGTAAAAGAAATTGGTTGCGTTCCAGAGGCCTACATTACCACGCTCATTGGTAACTGGAGGGAGGAAGAGGGGCGGGAAGAAGGCCAGAAGCAATCATCCGCAGTGACAGCTCAAGCCGAGATGCCTCAAGAAGAAGACGACGACGAGTACGCATACGACTAGCATAATACTCCGCAGGGCTACCACCCCCGGAGTAATCCACACGGTTACCACACGGGGAAACCTCCATTCGGATACCACCCTACTGTTACCATCCGCACTACAATCCCCAGGGCTACAACTTCGTCTACAATTCGCTAGGTCATCATCTTCACCCAAATACACACGGCTATTATTCTAAGTACAACCAGCATAGCTACCACAAAGAATTCAACCTATATGGCTTCCATCCGCAGGATTTACCATATGCGTATCACCCGGAGCATAATCCGCATGGTTACCATTACCGACACAACCCTAAAGGTTACCATCCCACCTATAATGTAGACGCATATGACCCGAAATATCATCCGGACGGCTTTTATGATGCGAGAACTGCACGCGTCAGTCGGGTTTTTATTCTTTCTCGGCACACAACGCATTAGTTCCTTTGGTATTGCTATCATACGTTTACACTTTTTCTTTCATTGCTCTAAATTTGGTATAGTTTGCATCAAACGATGGATATCTTTACGAATTCAAATTGATTAAGTCTCTGGCAAACAACGATACTAGTCGTACCTTCTTATCGTTACTGCCGGCTTTGTCTACAAGCGAAATTTGTTTCAGATTCGGGGAATCACACATTTTTTCATTTTCATTGCGAGTAATCTTCGCTTGCCGAGATATTTATTACTCTAAAATAACAGGAACATTGTATTTCTGAGATTGGGTCTTTCCCTTATTCATTCATATAAGATTACGCGTGTTTTCTGATTGAGAGATTCTGTTGCTTACAGTAATGATAATACGTACATTGGAAGTTGAAAAATGGACCCAACAAGTGACCTAGTAATGATCTCTTACCATTATATGCGTTCTACGATGTGGGGAAAACCCGAGGTAGAATTTGCGCATGCTACCACAGTCAGCGTAGGCCGCATAGCTTACTAGGCGACTGACCTGCCATTTTATAGGACTATGGGCAGCCAAATTGAGATAGAAAACACACCCTTCGCGTGTGGAGTTCATTGAGATACATTAGAAGCCCGACATTTACACTGCATCGATAAGGTATGACCATCTCTCAAGTTAGGTGGTTGGTTGATCGTCAGATTCTTTAGTCGAGAAAATGTGTGCTTGACGCTTACACGAACTTTTCTTTCTATCAGGTATATTGGCAAAATTCTAGCCTTTCAGATTTGGGTAAATTATAAGCCCCATGGCTAGGTGTTGCTGTTACATTTCGTTGCAGCTGAAAAGCTTCTCCGCCGGTGCAGGTTTGAAAACGATGCTTTACTACTGATAACTTGACACGTTCTGATTCTCCGCATGAAAATGCCTCTCTCACTTCTTCTAAGGAGCATAAACTCATATTTCCAGCCCATAATGTAAGCTCACCTCTATAAAACAGGGAGCTACATGTTATTCCCCCATACACAGGTCAATCAGTGCCACATACCGGAACGGTGATATCGAATAGTATTTCTACCAAGTTTATGTAATGATCAATATATGTAGTGCAAACCAATGTGATATGTGCTCTATCAACCGATACTTCCAAAAGCGTTGCCTAGTACCTTAATTAATAATTTGATGCCTACTCTACTCTAACATGCCCAATTAGGTTAGTTATGTCTTCCTTTCTAACCGTACCAACCTCGAGAACTCTGAGGTTGTGTTGGATAGGATGAGATTCATCGTATTCGGTGCGTGACTCGGGCTCGTGCGACTCGCCATTGCATAACTTGAATGGCCATTTTGTTGATCTTTTCTTCACCAGGAAGAATGTCTGAAGCTACTTCCGAGGTATAGATGATGCCATATCCCTCTACCTTGATCCCACGCCTCGGGATCCTTGGAGTGAGATTCTGAATTTCAACTGGTATGCAGTTGTTTCTATCTCTCTTGCCCTGCCATACAACCACAACCAAATCGTCTTCCGTGCATAGACGGCCTTCTTCACCTCATCTATGACTTCTTCGACGGCCCCACTGTGTCTATGACTATATTTCTGATGAGCTTGTAGGGAAGGCCCTTAACGTCGACGTTGTCATAATCTTTGCCTTCTTCAAACAACAGCATGCGTGCAAAGAGGACGCAGAAACGGCGAGAGCGGGAGTTGGTAAAAGGAAGGCGAGGTATAGACAAGGCTTAGCTACCGCGTGTCGCATCTGAAGCGTGTGTTAATGATTGCTGTATATGATGCCCTTGTAGTTGCGAATGAACCTACTAGTAACCTGTTCTCTAATGTGCCATGCTCGACGCAGAAGCTCTGCCTCTGCCCGTGTACTGCAAACTCAGCCGCGTCAAGAGTTGTACATCTTGCTAACAGAAACATGAATATGAACATCGACAGTTAGATATTGAGAATTGCGTTTAGTGAGGAGAAAAGGTGGATCCGAGACATTTGTGAGACGTGGTGTTATTTCGGTCGTATCCTGTCGCAGCATTGATAGCTACTCCTACCTATCTAAGCTGGGCCTTGGATTTATTTCTTGCCCTTACCCCTCGCATTAAATGTCTTCAACGGGTCCACCTTGCCATTCCTCCCTCTGACAACCTTCCTTCCTCTCCCCTTCGCGAACTTCTTCCTATCTGCCTTTGGCATATTTAAGCCCACAAAGCCAACATCTGCCGCCTTCCTGCCACCCGGTAGAAGATAGTCTGGCACATGCTTCAGATGTGGTTGTATGCGTGCGGGGTGGTTCAGCGTCTGATCGTGTCGAAGGTGCTCGAGGGCTTCGGGGTTCTCTTCAAACTGTTATAACGTTAGCGGTAGCTTCTCAATGGTAGTATACTGGGAGACGTACGTAGCGCGAGAGCTTCTGCGACTTGGAGAGCTCCAACCGAATCTCCTTGATGCGCGCTTCTCGAATAGCGATGCGCGTCACAGACCGCAGTGCGTCTCCGAATCGATACCTAAACGGCTCAAGGCGCTTCATGTCGAAATTGTAGTTCTCCAGTTTCTGCCCCTCCTCCTGGTGCTTCTCCACCTTCTTCAGTATCTCTTCGTCGTTCTCGCAGCCAGCAAATGAGGTTGGCTTGTGCTTTCGGTACTTGTCCTTTGGTATGATGAAGGAGATGGCGGTCCCGGACTTGCCAGCGCGCGCGGTCCTGCCGATGCGGTGAAAGTAGGATTTGTATGTCGCGGGGAAGTCAAAGTTAAGGACGCAGGACACGTTGAGGAAGTCGATGCCGCGGGAGACTCCAGAATCGACCTTGCTCTCCTTGTCCTTCTTGGCCTTCTTCTTCCGCGACTCGCCGTTCTCCTGCCGTGAGCCCAGAATCTCCGTCTCGTCCGAGGCGATCAGAATGTTGTAAATGTTCTTGTTGAACTCGTCGACGATGTGTAGGCGGGATGCGAGCGGTAGCTCCGAATTCAGTACGCAAGACTTGATGCCGAACTGCTCGAGGAACAGCTTGACGCGATACGAGCGGTCTGTGTCGCCAACGAAGACAATCGACTTGCCCTTGATCAACTGCAGCTTGAACATGGCGTATATCATCAGGAACTTCTCCTCCTCGGCGCACTTTATGACGTACTGCTTCACCTTCTGCGCGTTCTTATCGGTATCGTCGAGCTTAAGTACAACGGGGTCGGTGCAGAGCAGGCTACCGAGCGACTCGACTTCGGTGTTAAGGGTGGCGGACATGAGGAACATCTGCACGCCCTTGGGGATGCTCTGCGCGATTTGATCGAGGTCCTCCTTGAAGCCGTAGCCCATGACTAAGTCACCTTCGTCGACGACCAGGTGCGCCAGCTCGCTCACCGACAGCGCGCCATTGTTGATATTCGCGCTCGCGCGAGCAGGCGTTGCAATAACAATATCAGGATTTTCTGCCAGCTTCGCCTTGGTCACCACCTCCGACTCCTTCCCGGCAATGTTTTGTATCCTGATCTCCTGCCCTACATGCGCTGAAAGCGCTTTGGCGACCTTTGTGATTTGTAGTGCGAGTTCTTTGGTAGGTACGAGTACCAGCGACGTCTTGCCCTTTCGACGTAGCGTATTATGTAGGATTGGGAGGAGATAGGCGGCTGTCTTTCCTGTGCCAGTCCCGCTACGAGCGAGAATGTCGCGGCCTTGGAGTGCCAGAGGTATAGCCCGTGATTGAACAGCCGTCGGAGAGTTCCATTTCTGGTCCCTTATGCCTCTCAGCAGTCGCGGCTCGAGTTCAAAGTCTGCGAAGGAGGCCACGGTCGCTGTAGCCTTCGAGGCCTTTGGCTTGGCCTTGGGCGGGCTGGCGGGCTCTGTTTGCGAGGCGTCGCTCGCCCGGCGCTCCGAGGGTTGCGGGGACTGTCCCTCAGGAACATCGTGCTCGTTCAGTTTTCGTTTCATGGCCATATTTGGAAAATAAAACCTGTAATCGCGACTGTCGAAGGTTGGAGCTTAAGATTCAAGTTCTGAACCTGCAGTCTCCATCGCAGCTTCTGAACTTTTTAGGCGCTACTGCCGTGACTGGCTTAGCGCTCCCCACATCGGAAAAACAGAACGGAAGGCTCCATCTGGGCATTCACTCAAGAAGAACGCAACACCATGCTCAATGGGTGGCTTACATGATTAGCAGCTATGAAATCAGCGAAGGTGATCGGAAAGAATCGGATTTGCCGCTACATCTCTTCAAGACTGTTTGAGTATGAGGCACTAGACCACAACATGAGTCTTCAAGAAGATGCAATTACCTGCACCCAGCTTGAAACCCACCTCATCTGATTCCCATTCAATACAGGTATCAAGTTCGCGTCCTTCCTCCTTTAGGAATTCATTATAACTACCGATCAAGTTATTCTCAAGCAGACTAGCGCTCTACTTTCTATTTCAGGAGATTGATTGCTTTGGTATAACTGTCGACTGCTAGCTTAGCTCGTCCCAACTCCACATGTCGCGTCTACACCCCACCCTACGCTTGAATAGGTAGCACACGTTTCGCTGATTGCCTTCTTAGGAATTCTTTGCTAACATTCATGGCTAGGTTAACAGTGAAGGTACCACGTGGTGGCTTACGTCATGTCGCATGCGTTCTTCCTTTAGTGCAGGTTGCCCGAATCCTACGACAACATTTTTTCATCAGGTGCTTTTCAACGAGCAAGACTCGCATGGGCACAAAGAAATCCCTAATTCGCATCATGAAAGCCATCGCAGCGCTGTACCCACCCCTCTCCAAGCGTCAACCCATGCCTGCATTCTATGGTCCACTCACCTTCTTCCTATCCCTAACCCCATTTTTCTTCCGCAATCGGCGCCAAACAGCTCTCTGGGTCTTTCCAATCCTTCTAGCGTTATGCATCCGCGCACCGTGCTATACGTTTGGCGACCCATCCGCGAATTACTACAATAGCTCTCCTTTCATCGCAATACCATTCTGGTTCCTTGAATTTGCCATCTTGACACCAAAGGATGGGCCAAACGCACCTAGATATGTGGGCAATGCAGACGAAGTCAAGAAAGAGACAGGAGTGAATGATCAGCGAGATGATATGAAAACACTGTGGGAGCGGTTTGCATGGGCCTGCTCGTTGATGATTCCGTCGCACCGTGGCATAGGCTGGAATTGGCAAGTCAAGAACGTTCCAGCGGATGCTAATCAGCATCTACCGAAATGGGCGTACGTACGGAAGCATGTTGGCAAAATGCTGCTAGCGTACATACGCTCTGCGGCTATGCTTGTGATCTTAGGGTACAGCTCTAGTATGGAGCAGCGCCTTGCATCATCAAATTCGCGCGCGAAACTGGTGTTTGTGAACGCGCTCATTGGCTGGTCAGGCGCAATTTGGGTCTGGGATCGGCTGAACTGCTTCTACAGCCTGCTTGCCGCTGTATCGGTTGCACTAGGAATTTGCAACACCTCGCAGTGGCCGCCGCTCATGGGGAGTATCCGAGACGCGTGGTCTGTGAGACAGATGTGGAGTGTAGTGTACCACCAGATGATGCGAAAGGTATTCTGGCCCTCACTCATCAGACCATGAACTTTCTATGACTATGTTCGGAACCTTTCACTGACGCGATAACAATATTTAGATAGTCTCACAGCCAGCTATTCGAATTACTCGCTTCATCGGTTTCCCCAAAGGCAGTCTAGGCTCTTGGCTTTCGCAGATTTACATATCTTTTTTCGTGAGCTGTCTAGTACATCAATTCCAGATGTTCATGGTTACACGGAGGGATATGGGAGAATTTGTCTTCTTCATGTCGCAGCCTGTCGCTTATACTCTTGAGACATTCGTCCGCTGGCTCTGGATACAATCAAGAGGTGCGGAGAAGGTGCCGGGAGAGAGTGAGCTCCGTTTCAGAAGACTGGTCGGATACTTGTGGGTAATTTTGTGGTTCTCGTCTAGTCTCCCAGTGTATGTGAAGGGTTGTAGAGTTGCGAATATCGTTGGAGATGTCTTCTTTGGCAGCAGGCCTTTTGACACCGGAGTTCGTCTCGCCTCTTCTTATCGCAACTCAAACTGATTTGACCTCTTTCAACGAATGGCCGTGGTTCAAGAGTAATGTGTTAGTCTTAGGATCTGATGTTCGACTTCAGTGTCAAGGAAGAGTTAGGAGAGTAGTCGGGCGTGTAGTTGAAGGAACGAGGCTGGTATCTGAGGCGCTAGGGCTATTCTAGGGCTACGAGACTTTAGGTAGATTACGCCAGATGCTTGGGTGGGTGAGTGGGTTATTGTGTTGCTCACATTCTACTTCAGCCACTACACGCCTCACGCGTAAGGCAAAGCAACTAAAGAACCCAATGGAAAGATAGAACAGACCAAATCCGCACCGAGACACCATTACATCTCCATCTTCATTCAAACACCGCTTGAATATCCCCCCGCCACATAATCATGACTTGGACACCCGTATTCCTCACCCACTTATCAAATTGCATCCATCTAACCTCATCCCTCGATTTCTTACTGCAGTGCAACTCAATGCGCCTCGGTATCACACTGACTTCTTTTTCCCGCAGGTAGAAGTGAACCCATTGCAAGGCATCCCACTCCGCCCCTCGAAAACGAATGAGTTCCACAGAAGGCGGAATCTCGCATTGCGAAGCAGCCGCGCCCGACTCAAACTCTAGCACGCGAATGCGAGGCAACCCACGCAGAAGAATTTCTAGCTTTGCACGGAAGCTGGATCGGTAGTGGGGGTCGTGACCGGCCATTGACTCGAATTCGTTTTGGCGACACCGGATGTTGAGATTGGTTACGTTAAGGAAACAGCCCTTGCGTATGGAAACGAATTGGTGTGGGCCAGTGTAGTCTAGCGTGAGTGAGGTCAAGCTGGGTTGGCGGGCGACAGCTAGACCGTTCAGCCCGGTTGATAGCGTTAAGCTCTTGACTTGAGTGGCAGCCAGGCCCTGACTTAGACGCAAAACCTCCGTGTTATCATGCTTGGTTTCGATCTTTGTTGAGCGATATTTTAGTCTACGGACCTGCTTCTCATCTGCCAGAGGCCTCGCATGGAGCTCTAGAGCTTGGAGCTTTGGCAGTGAAGCTATAATGAGACTGCAAATGGTAGCTTCAGTGGGACGCGTGAGATCCTTTAGCCACAACATCTTTGCTTCTCTTGATAGGCGCAGGGTATCCACGAGGTCGGTGAGCTTCTGTAGACAGCTTGCACAGGAACAAACGGCGTCATCATTTGCAGTTTTGGAAGAGCGCAATCGCTTGCCCTTCTTAAACCATACTGCAAGATACCGTACGTGAGCTCCTAGCTCGGGGCGTCGCATGATGGTACGTAAGAAGCATACCAATGACGACGCGCCTCGATCTCCAGGTACTGACATCCGCCGAGGTTTTGGGAGGAAGATATCTCGGTAGAGAATATCCTGCGCAACAGGTGCCAGCCGCTTGCATGTGAGGCCGAGGTTGAGAAGATCTTGGATGCTCCACAAATGAATTCGGAGTAAGTCCGTCGTCTCTAGGTCTCGGTTGTTTTTCCTTTCATATAAGGCGCGATAGCCATCTTTCCTGCAGATGTTCTCTGTTGACACGAGGTGTCCTGCAATTTGACAGAGGAGTTCGTTGGGTAGCTTTAAGAGAGAGGGGCCGATATCGCCGGTTGTCTTAGGTGCAGCTGCTGTTCGGTCGCTAAAGCAAATCTGGGGTGACCGGTAGAGACCGAGGGATCGAAAGAGTACAGCAGCGTCATCGGCTGCTGTGTGTAGCGCCATATTGGCTTTCTCCGTGTCGGTGAAATTTGCTTGGATTCAGCGCTACAGCGATTGATGATTGAGGGTGGTCGAGTTGAGTTAGTTTGATGATGGGGAGATTTAATGGATCGCCGGATTATATAGATGCAAGAGCACCACATTCGACGTGAAAGTGAAACACACCACTCCAGTTACTTGTTTAGACTTTCACTTATGTCATGTGACAACACCCCGTGATCCTCTACGCGAGACATTGGCAGAGTCACTGCTTAGATCTCACAGTTGTTTGTGATTGATTTCCAACTTTCATATGTTTGTGTGGGGGTGAAAACTGAACATATTCCATCGTTGCGATCTGCCTTCCATCATGACGTGTCTTGAACTTATATTAAAAATTATACACTACGCAATTTCTCGACTATTAGTTGACTCTGATTCGTCATATCAGAAGCCCAGTAAAGCATCGTCCACAGCGTTCCCCCAGATCTTACGTGTTAGCTAAATCATGACTGCATCGCCATCGCTATCCCACTCCGCCTCAAAATACGGGAACTGAACTTCGACCACGCCAAAAGCGCCCATGCCCTTAAGATAACACCAGCTTTCAGCCCGCCGTAATGCATCCAGTTCTTTTTTCAATCTCCAGGGCGTACCGCCAGACTCCCACGTTCGCAATCCCCAGGGCGGAAAATACAAGTACAATTCAAGGCCCGCATCTTTGAACATGACCCGTACATCTTCGATTGGGTGAGGAGAGTGATTAAGTCGAGCGGTCGTCTTCGTCCACTTGGTGCTGTCGAGGTGGTATACTTCAACCCGACGGAGCGACGGGAAATGCGACGCCTTTTTCGCAAGACACAGCTCATTAAGGACGTTTGCAGTAGCATCGCTCGCCTCGCTGATTCGCAGCACTTCCAGTGTTGCTGGAAAGATATCTTTCGGGTCTGGTGGCGCACGCATAGCGATTCCAAAGCCACTGAGCGCCTTCATCGTAATACCGAGTTCTTTCAGTCCAGTAAATGCCCGAAAGTCAAAGAGTGACGTTATGCGGGAGGGGAAGTAGATCGATGTCATATCCGTCGGCACTTCTAGATACCGCAAGCGTGGTAGCACAGCTGTGAGCGCACCGGTAAGGAAGTCGTGTTTCCAATCTATGGGTAGGGTGAAGCGCGCTATAGCTTCCCTAGATCGTATAATGCTGAATAGTGGGAAATCCATAAGCCACGCGCTACCAAGCTTAAGTTCCTCTAAGTTCGGCAGGATGCAAAGTAGCACGCCGAAGAGCGCGGGGACGACATCGTCACGCAGTGCATCGAGCCATTGATCCTCCTGCTCTTTCCCCTGTGCAAAGTGGGCTACGACCGCGGCGCATCTCTCCATCAAGCCCTCGCGCCGCCGCAATCTTTTAGGTGCTTTGATCGCCTTGTACACTTTTATAGACCTGCCGTACTCATCGCGCTGTATCCTGTCCTCACTCTTGCTCCAGATCTCCAGACTGCGCACTTGGCCTTGGAGATGCGGGTGATGCCCAAGGCCCCATATGTACTGGTCTATATACGTTAGGTTGAACTGCGGCTCTTTGAGGAGCCACTCCTGCGCGATAGGACGCCATCTCTGCGATATAAGTGCGAGGCTTGCCAAGTCTCTGTTTCGGTTCAAGTCTGTGAACTGGGCGCAAATATTGAGGAGGAGCTCGTCGGGGAGGCTTTCAATAGTAGTCGGGGGTCGAAACATTGTGGGCTGAGGATGTGCTATGGCGAGGCGATCAGTTAGGCTAAACTAGGTGGGTAGGCAACAGATGTTATACAATTGCCTTGAAGCAAGGAAGGCACAGGCATAAGTTTTCAGTAAGCCTTAGGTTTGAGAACCTTCAGGCATGGTGAGTTGGGTCGCATGCAAACGGACGCAGTGGCTCGAGCGCCGCGCGTTGTCACGTGAGGCAAGGCATTCACTCCATCATGGGACCTTACAATTGAAAGGTATGTGATTTAGCTTAGAACCCACTGCAAACTCTTATTAATATACCAAGCTTACACATTACTAAATTATGGAGTTTCCCGTAAGATGTATGTGCTCAGTTCAAGCGAGCAGGGCACCGTGGTTCACGTTTACGTCAGGGTCTTGCATGCAATCAATCTATAGCAACATAATGCTTTGGGATTTTATGAATCATATACTAGATATAGAACACACGCTCGTGACCATCTCAATTTCGCTCGACTAGACATGGCGTAGTCTTGACCTGCCCCACGAGATGCCCCTAGCACTCTAAAGTATGACGGCTAGTCCGCAAATTGACATGCGTTTTGAGTATGCTGGTCAGCATAAATTGTTCGTATAGCCTCTCACTGAATGTGTGCCTTCCATACTGTGTTTTATCAGCACCGCACAGGCAGGATCCAGAAATCAAAGGCTATCGTTCTGGCCCCACACACTCCGATGCGGTCGGAGCCAAAATTTCCAGTTGAAGCACGACCACAATCTATCATCGAACTTTGAGTGCTCGTAACCTAAAGTGTGGCGGAGGGCGCTCATTTCGACGTTGTCTGCTAGGCGTAGCTTTGCCACATGCTGCTTTAGGGTCTGATCAGATTCCTTGTTTGACTTTTTCATGCGATTGTCGGTCCGCCTACCACGTTTCGGGTCGTTCTTCGACTTTTCACTGCGCTGGAGCCTTTCTTGATGACTATAAGAGGATCCCTCGGAATGACGAGAATTTTCCCTCGAAACGGTATGTTGCTAGGCGCAACCTCTAACTTGACCGTGATTTGGAAGTTGAACTCGAACTGAGCTAAGTCTACGTTGCTATCAGTCCGTGTCAGCTATTTGCATGTTATAATATACGTACCTGGCAAAGTTTGAAGTCGCCGTACTACTTCTTGCTTGCCGAGAAGTCTAGAACCCCACTGATCTAATTTGAGTTTGTGAACCTTCGAGCCACGAGGCATGATGTTTGGGTCCCACTTTGTGTTTCGAATGCCGTGGAAGAAAACAACGGATGCCCAACACGAACCGTCAAATGTAGGTGTATTCATAAGTCTGAAGTAATCATGACAATGCTTCATGAACAGTTGGCTGCTTAGAATCGATGAGCGGCGCCGCATGCTCGCTTTTGTGTCTAGCTCCGAAAATTGCCTACCCGATAGGGCAAAACGCCATGCTTCAAGGGGCGACAAGTAAGATAGTCCCACAAGCTCTTTATGCATATCGAAGAGCCTCTCAGTCGGTCCAGTGTAGAAGGCGACTTTGACGCCTTTATCGGCTAGCTCAGTGAGGATCAAAGGGTAGTTGAGTTTTCCCTCGTCAGCCACGTAGCATTGAGCGATGCTAGTTCGAGGTCGGGTTTTGAAGAAGAGCTCAATGCACACGATATTCAGCCTCTGTACTGGAATTTCATTGACTTTCTGCAAGAGAGCGAACGTTTGTCGGCCGCAGGACCGGAGGTGTAGATGTGTCAAAGTATTTGGAAGGATTTTGAAAGGCGAATGGGCTCGATGGAAGGCGATATCCTCATGACTCTTGCCGGAATCTTTGGTAGCAGCCTCTGCACATAGAGCAGGGCTTATTGGGCCTAGGAATCGGATGCTCAGTGGCAGACCAAGCGCATCCATGGGCAAATCTAAGCGTTTCAGCTTCGCGAACCCGGGCAGTGTGATAGTATGCCTTCCCATATTTCTCCATGGCAGATCATGAGGAGATCTCAACATCTCAGTCTTGGCGGGGCCTTTCCACCGTGAGTTTTCTAGAATGATGAGCACTTCAAGATTCTTCTGCATTAAGCGGAGGGCTGGACCTTGGAATGGGGTAACGGGTAACAACTCTTCATTTAGAGCAGGCAGTTTGGCAGGGGCTAGATTGACTGGACGTGGTGGGTTACCAGTGTCGAACGCCCTCGCCTCTGGGAGTTCAAGTGTTATCGATTTAATGTTTGGACACAACGATATCACTATGTCCATAAAGAAAGCGTTACTCTTACGCCAGACTGGGCCTGAGCTACGCTTGCCTTGTCGAATTTCATTCCAGTTGACATCGCCTCTCGTGCTGACTGCAATAGATTTCCCTAAGAACTTCAAGGTATTCGGATCGAAGTTTGGCAGGCCTAAACAAAGGCATTCAGTGTGGTGGCCACATCCGTAATCTCTGAAGTTTACGCTGTTGACCTTCTCAATGAGCCCAGGGTGTTTTATCAGCGTCTCGAGGAGTTTCTTGATGTGGTTCCTTGGGATTACGAGTTCCTTGATCAAAGCCTCCCGAGTGACACGGCTAACATTTTTGTTGACCCTCGCGAGGTTGAGTATATCGTTGGTACCGCATAGGCCTTTGGCTATAGCATACAATAACTCGAATGGTAGATCGATTAAACCAGATTTTGGACTCCGAGAGATTTCGCCATGTAGCAGACGATGGGGTAATGCATAGTTATGTCTGACGTCTAGAGTCTCCTGTCGAAAGAGTTCAGGCGCCATTCCAGAAGGTGGAGAATTCATAGCGTTTGGTTCACGCCTTGGGCTTGCGAGGCGCTTCTTTTTGGTGCCAGAAACCTGAGATTGCGGAGACGTCGTTGAGGGCACCATAGCGGATATCGATTGCGGACGGCGCAGTCGGGAGGTTGATTTCGGGTGCTATATCGCTGGGTTGAGGCAATCAAGTAGTTATTGTATCGTTGTAGTGATCGCCAGCTTAATGCATCGCGAGTTCGCTCCGTTGGTCACGGACTCCGCAACTACGGTACGCGCGACAAACGCTCGAGTGAAACGGTCTGGTGAAAGCGGCTGGAGAAAATTAAAATTGGTACCAGGCAGTCACCAAGATGATTCTAGGGAGTATCTTTGTGCTGAGGATCACCCGAGGGATTAGATGTGGTGGGGTACCGTGGTAGGAGGCAACACATTTCGCCAAGGCGCTAGGTGACGACATGCTGGGTAGGCACGCAGGCATTAGGTATTCAGGAAATCTGCTTAGTAGGTAAGACGATGTGTGGTGTCACTCACCCCATGTCTATTCTTGTGACTACGATGTCTCAGGTCAGCTCAGAAATATTGCAAGTGAAGGGAAGTAGAAGATGGATATAAAAAGCTGCAAATTTATTTTTGCGTAATGAAGACACGACACAACTTTTGCATCTACTCAGCTGAAACCCCAGAAATCTTTTGTTATCCTGAACAAGACTTTATACGTACCTCTAGACCCTCTACAGTCTGTTACCCTCCTTACCTAGCATTCGTTCCCTTCACAGCAATGCCACTCGTCAATCCAAAAACGCAGCACTGATAACAGCGACAACGGTTCGGCCTTCCTGCGGCCATCCAGCGTGTCCAGATGGACAGCTCACTCTTTCTCCCAATGAGTGACTGCCCGCACAAGACAGGAGCGCTGCAATTGGTGAAGCTATCCCCTTGCAGTTATGATATAGTCCTTATTCTCTTCACAGTAGCTCAAGTTTCGCAGGTTCTCTCGATATCAAACAATTCTTCAGCTTTCTCTTATCTCGTAGGCCGTCCACGGTCCAGCTTCAGTGAGGAAACGTTGCATTGGCGGCAAGGTGCAATTGCGCGGCTGCTGGCAATCCGTTTGAGGATTGAACGGCCGGTATACCCTCCTCTTCCGCAGTCTACTGGGGCATTGTATCCATCCCTCCCGCAATCCATAAAGTGGGTGCGGATATTAGCCAGGTCCCGGTCCAATGCCCTGGTACATTTCAACGCCTCTTTCGGTTTCGATGAGGTCGAGGATATGTTCAAAGTATATGGCTTTGCTTGAAACTTGAGCTCTTGCCTTGGTGCTGCGCTGGTGGCTTTGTAGCGAGGAGATTCGATGATTACCCCGTCTGGGCGCTCGATAGCACAGTGTTTTTTCGCGTGTCGCTTTGACTTCGTTTGGATAGTCATCGTAATTCTCAGGTCGGAAGACGTGGTGATGATAGAGGTGGGTACTGTGGTGCCTTTGTTGCTTCGCTCAATAGCTATGTGAGTAGGTAGCTGCATCCTTCTAAAATGGATCCGTATGCTAAGATGCGTATAGACTGGTGTCTCGAAATCTATTGTATGATTATGGTGCTGAAATTGCTATTCTAGCAACATCAAGAAGGGATGCTCTTACTCTTATACACCTACCTCGAACCTCGTCCACACATACAAACCATAGACACAAGTAAAGGAAGGATTCGCCGAAAGTCCAGAACCCTTCGATCGCGATCCCATATTCCCCAAGCCCTCTCAAACCCTCCTCATACGTGCAGGCCGAGCTCACCTCACCGCAATAATAGCTGCCTTGCGCGCAGCGATCCTGCGAAACTCCAAAAGAAGGCGCAAAGAACCAGCAGAACGTCATATCACGCCCATCGCGACGCGGTCCAGACCTCCAGCGCCCACCACCTCTGGATCAACCATGCCACCGCGCATCCCTGTATCTCATCTCACCGCGTCGGGTTGTGTTGTCGGTATGGATTGTGACGTTTTACGAGAGGTGGTGCTGTTGCGCCTCGTTCAGCTGAAACGCGCGCGCCTCCCGCACAGCCCCCGGAGTTGTGATGTCATGGACAAGGCTGACGGGGGTAGATTCTAGACCTTGAGGTGGTTTTGGGGTATGAGGGTAGGGTTGAAAAGTCTAGATTTGGGCCTATTGTGCGTAGGATGAGTGGGTGGATAAGGCGTGGGCAATTGTCGCGTAGTGGTGGTCGGGAAGGGCCGTGACGTCATGTTTTGCTTGCTTGTGGGTTTTGGCGAGGGAGCGAACTTTCGAACTTCTACGTCTCTCATATTGAACACCTTAACGACCACTTTTCGCATCTTAAGATTAAGGATCTCCTTTGCGCATGAGCTGGTAGCAACGTTTTATCGACAGAATGTACGAGATTAGACTTGGTGATTCCTTATTGGTTGTGCTTTTGCAGCATATACTGCGTCTTCACGGTAGGGAAGTATTTACAAGGCTTATTTGACTTCTTCGATCTAATTGAACTCCTCTCTGTGTGTTCCTGGCTTCAACGTGCCTTGCAGTTTTGCTTCCCTACCAAGTTTCATCAACGGCTTCCGGAACTCGATTTCCACGTCTACAAATGCCATTGCCTTGTCAATGGCCATAACGATGTGAGCTAACGCACACATGTCTTATTCGCCGTAGCGCTTCCAACGCCTCTGGTATCTTGCATAGCTCTTCGTAAGAGCCGAAGCATGTCTGGATGGCATTCCCAAGGCATCCTGTCTCGTATTGCGTTGACGCCTCCTCTCCGCCGACCGGTTCCTGCGTCAGGTTGAGGGTAATGAAAGACGTAGTGAATAGGATTCTTGAAGCTTCCCAGCTGCGCAACGTAGCAAGACTCTGTCGATGGGACCGCATCTGCCAGGCAGTTTGCCACATGTTGCATCTGAACTGTAGCTCGACGTGGTGCAACTTCGGCAACTCCTTTGGGCTTCCTATCAGCTTATCAATCCAAGAGGAGCTATGAAATAGGCTTCCGGTAAAGACATTGACCATTCGTATTGATTCGAGAGACGCAGGAAGCACGAGAAGAGGGTCCGAAATCCCAGGCGCACACTTGTTGTAGGCGATCATCCAGTAGGGGATTTCAAGCTGCCTAAGCTTCGAAAATGTTGAGACCCAAAGTACGTATTACTGTTGATATCATTTGTGGGCCATACGCGGAGAGGACCGCCCGTATATACTGAGTCTTCGTCCATGACTTGAAGCACCTCCAATCGTGCTGCGAGCTGCGAGCGCACTGTTACGGATGCACATTCGTTACGTGTGTATGCGGAAAACAGCCCAAACCACTCTGTCGAGTTGGTACCCATGGAGATGGCTTTGAGACCTGGCGCAAGAGCAATAAGAACAGCCACCCCAGCCGAAAAGAAGCCGTCGTCTCGGATCTCTTTTCTCCATGTCGTCGTTTTGCTGACGTTTGGGTAGTGCTTGAAAAACATATCCCAGCAGGCACTTGATCTAGGAGTCTTAGCCATCGCATCATGTAGCTTTTGGCTTATCGGCCCAAGGCGCAGGTGAGTGAGAGTCTTGGCTAGGCCTGGGCGAATTTGTAAGAGCTCGACTAGCTTCCAGATGTTTATTGGTGATACGACGGTTTTCCGAATCAAGGTTACCAGCGCGACGGGACGAAGACGGTGGCAGGTGAGAGAGAGGTTTCGTAGGTCGCGGCAATCGACGTATAGCGCAATATTAAGCAAGAGCTCTTCGGGGACGCTCAGGATGCCCATCACGATGGAAGGTTCGTATATTCGAAGTATTATGGGCCTTCCGCGTCTGGTTGATTGTGGTTTCCGCGATCAAAACAAAACCTTGCGTGAGATATGGAAGTAGAGCGCGTGTAGCCCGAGCCGTTTGCGCTACTTTTTATCTTACACTTGCTTCGTTGTGGGTAACGCACAGACTACCTCCCCGAATGCATAAACCCTTCTTCACAAGTGATTCTACTCACCCCGCCTCAACCTGATCTCAACATCCACCTCTAGCCTGGCTCACCACAAGCACTCATGATGAGCGACAAGCACTCGACTATCACACATCGCGCGGAAGATGGCTTTGGGGAAGCATTTAACAACGCTGTACCAGCGCCGCCACCGAATATTGGGCCACCCAAACTCCTACAGCTCCCAGATGAGCTCCTTCTCACGATAGCGATGAACCTGGATGGTAGAAGCCGAAATAAGGACCTCCGCAATCTCGCTCTCACTTGTCATCGTTTCCGGGGCGTGGCGCAAGAGATTCTCATTTGCAACGCGATTCTCACTCCGGACGCAGTGTGCCGAAACCTTGAACTGCTTTTCGAACACCCCGAGCATATCCATAAACTCCCGAGTCACCTTGATCTCTTAGGGAGGGGGTATAGGTCAGACGACATCTGGTACCCTACCAGCGACGACTTCGCCCAAGCCTATGGGGAAGTCATGATCAAGACATGTGGGCTAGGCTACGGGCTAGATTGGATCAAAGACTTCTCGAGAGGTGCTGAATCACGAACATCTGCTTGTTTAGCGATCTTGATTCTGCTTCGTCCCAGATTAGAGCATCTGTCCATATCAGATCACTGTATCAACGAGTGTATACTCTTCTCTAAGTGCGTCGAGCAACGAATTCCAGTCCGATTCCGTATATTTGGTTATCAGCCTACCGCTTCCAGCAATATCCCTCAGTGGCGAACTTTGATAATCAATACCTTTGCTCCAAAGTTGCTGACTTTGGAGGTGGTCGATACTTCCTACGGAGGCATGTTAAACCGTCTTGGATTCCGGAAGTTCCAGAACTTGAGACAGCTCTCAGTATCAGCAGACCATATCATCTTCCTATCAAGGGCCCATGCGCTAGTTCCGCTTTATGAACCTTCGGATCCGATCGATGTGCTACCCAACAGCTTACGCTCACTCCAAATCTACGTTGAAGATTTCACATCTGAGTGTGGATCTATATACGAATGGCTTGAAAAGCTTCGTAATCAGCAGAACGCGTTCCCATTACTGCGCACGATTCGGCTCTTCTTCAAAGTCACACTTCAGGCGTTCCAAAACTACTCGAAATCGGATAGCACGGAGAGGTACTGGTCTCGTTTTAGCGATACCTCCAACCAAGCTAAACATAAATTAGAGTTGTTGGAGAGTTGGAGGGATTGGGACATTAGCTTGGAGATGTTCTTCCTTAAGTTGGAAGGACCACCGCGCCCAGAGGGCATAGACGCGTGGAACCAACATTATAAGGCGTTAATGAGGACACCTCTGGACCCAGACGCAAACGATTTGTGCCACTTCCTTCAAGTGCCATATAATCATGTGCTTGAGGGGGTGCGATAGATGGATGAGACATTGGAATGCACCCTCCATCAGAAGATTTCAAGACGCCTGAAAAGCTGGGATCGATCAGCATGAGTTTGGCGAGGCGTCCTACCGTGTACTCGAGGTGGAGAGCTGATAATATATGCAAAGAAAATATACACTGTAGATTACATATTTGCTTGCCGCTGCCTTTTTCAGCCCCAAAGCGTAGATCCCAAATTGTAACTTGGCGTCACTCCTCAACATTAGATCACGTCAGTTCTACTTGGTGAGTAATTTTAAAATTACTGCTTTAACAGAATGGTAAGAGGTATACATATCCTCTGTGAATGAGGAGTAGTACTCAAAGTTTGAAATAATATTGATCTCTCTACTTATGACTTTAAGACTATGTAATTACTTGCCGCTGACGCCTTCCTTCCATTAAATTGGATATATTTCACGTTGCCACACGCCCATGAACGTTTTATAGTGGCGCAACACAGTGATGGCTTCCAATGCAATGCGTGCAACAAACCCTTCGATCATTTGGAGCATTGTTTCCACACGGATCTATAACACCTATTAGCATGACACAAATATCAGATCTGAATCGAAATTTACGTACACCAACTCGGCAAGCAATGGTTCGTGCAGAACGTCAACTCCAAATCCGTGCTCGCTTGACAGTTCTTGACCTGGCTTCCTGCAGGCGGTTTGCCAGACCCCCAAGCAATCGCATCGCAGCTTGAGTCTGTCGGCTTGATTGACAGGGTACGCCCGGCAAATCCATCACCAAAAACGTCGCTCATGTCGTACCAGATTTGATTGACATCGAGGTTGTATGAGAAAATCGTCTGGCTAGCATTTGGCTTGAAAATTCCGCCTTCAAGGGGGCTGATTTTGAGCGCGATACCCCCGGATGCTGGGTCGCGATGGAAAGTCTCACTGTAGGAGGTGTCCTTCGCGATGGTGTTCTGCGCGCTGATGGAGCCACCGACCGACCAGAGGTAGATGGGCTCGTCGCATTGATTTGTTACAATGGCGCGACCAACGGCTTGAACGCCGACAAGGAAAGAGAGGCAGACAAGAGCGTAAGTATTAAAGAGCATCTTGATTTTGCAGCGAGTGACGTAACGCGAACACTTGCAATTATTGTATTACTGTTTGCTTTGCCAAGTTCACTTTCCCGCACGACTACCAGCTCGCTTTATACTTCGGAGTGTCGCATACGACGATGTGACCTAGCGTATACAAGGCAACCATATCATCTCCGCGAACATATTTCGGGGAAAGTAGCATGTAAAATACGCCCATATGGTGAGCAGAAACGAGGTTTTCCTCCTGTTTCCTGGTGGCGGCTAAAGTCATTGGTCCGCTATTTCCAGCCCGGCGATCTGTGCGGGGGATACGGACACCAATCAACCCTGTCTGACACCAATTGAAGAGCTGATTCGTGACCTTGGGTCAGCTGGCACTGCGTAGCTAGCTGATGGTGGGAGTACTGGTGACTGCCTTTCCTAGTTATGGAAAGAGCGCGCTTCATGTCGGAGTATTCGTTGTAGAGTACGATTTTCAAGTGGGCACAAAATGAAGAGATATGAATGTCAGAGTGGCTTATGTACAATAAACGTGCAATAAGTCGCACCCATTACAACAAAAGAGGGGGATTGATCGTCTGCTCATATCGGGATTAATTCGCGCACGAGACATCGCGTAGAAGTAACGTAGTAAAGCTCCTAGAAGGGCGTGTCAGTATGCAGGCATATCGCATGAGGCTCTTCATGTTTAACCGGGCAGCAGGTCACCTTACCATGGGTTTGACCTCGGCTGACCACGGCGCTAGCCTGTATAGGATATGATATACATGAGACATCACGCCTCATGGTCAGGTCAGCTTTAGCCATGGTCAGGTTAACTTTATTCATGGTCAGGTCAGTGCTAGTCATGGTCAGGTAACTTCTACACTTATGGCCCTGTAATAAATACGTGCTAGGCACTTCGTAATCTATTCAAGTACATTTACAATAATCAAACAGGTGTCGGTATGCCACCTGCTCATGGGACTGATCTCGGCGACCATGGTCAGGTAACATCTTCGACTTATGTTACAGTAACATGCCTAATCATCCTTGCGGTATATGTAGTATTATCGCAATCACCGCCTCTACAGTTTACTCAGGTCTGAGTGAGATTTGGATTTCTTTTCCGGTCTCGTATTTTCCAGCTCTAGGTTGGACCTCGGCTGTAATGGGAGAGAAGTCTCAGGTCTAGCTAGCTAATCTCATGGTGAGCCGAGCTAACTTCAGGTCAGCGAGGTCAAACCCATATTCAGTTAACATCCTCAATTAACTTTATGTTCTTGGCAGAACAATCAATAGTGGAGCCTTCCTCATTGACAATGAAAGTTACGCGCTCGATATATAACGGCCTCCTAGTAGCACCCAAGGGGTTTATTGCACTACCTCAAATCGCGAATGGGCTTGAAATGGAATGGTTGAGATCTTTTCCCCTAGCTGTCACACTATTGACATGAGACCCCGCGTCGGACACTATTCACCTATAGCGTTTGATACCTACATCAACGCCTGAATTCCGACCCGGAAGCAGCAATGTGAAGTGTCGGTGAGCTAGTGTTGCATCTGCGGCATACGGCATGAATTAGAAATCTCCAACTGGACCCGCCTTTCAACAAGCACACTAGAAAAATGCCATAATCACTTAAATATGGATGCCTTTCCTTTTCATACAATGCTTACCATACCCATCGATTAAAATTACGAAACTATAATTATCATGTCCTACTATGGCTACTACCTTAGCGAGATTGAACTAATGATATGCAGCGAATGCCATACCGAGGCGTTTGCGTGGATGGCAGAGGTTTTCGCTTGCCCTCTTTGCGGGAATAGTAAATATGTGTTTCCGATGTTTGTTGGAGAGCTCCCTACTAGGTTCGAAGACAAGAGCAATACAGAGTTTGGAGATACAGTACCAGATCGGCGGTGGGCTCTTGACTTCGAGGGGAAGGTTATTCAGAGAAGAAAGCGCAAGTTGGATGAAAGTGAGAGTGGCTAGATAATAAGGAGGAAATCTATATGTGCTCATGAAATAGGGCCATCATGCAAGTGTGGCTCAACGCCAGAGAAAAAGTCACCCATGCGCCCGCTAACCAGCGGCGCCAACCAACCAATACAGCATCAGAGCAACCGTGAATGAAAGAACATAAAGGCTTAGCGCCCGCTCACCAGCAACGCCAGCCATATGTTATGAAGGAAACCGCTAGCGCGAAGAGATCATTTTCCTCAGATGATTCTCAAGCCTTCGCACTCTCCTTACCCTTAAACCCCATCTTCCTTGCGAAAGCGCCAAATCCACTTCCCGTTCTCTCAGTCTTCACTCTCTCCGCAGTTTTTGACTTCACCTTTTCACCCCAGGGACTCTGCCTCTCCTTTTCAATCTGTTTCTTTCTCTCCACAGCCAGCAAGCTCACCTGCTCCACAAACACACTCTTATCGATCAGGTCCTCGACCCGAACCCTAAAGCCCTCATGATCAAGAATAGAGGCAACCTGGGCTAAACCCATGATGTCTCCACCAAGTTGGAAAAAGTCGGAACTTAGTTCACTTGGTGTTGGAGAGCCGTGCTCGTCATGCAAGATCTGCTCCCATGCGGCGCGGAGTGTAGTTGCAAGGGTGTTGATCTCATGCTTAGAGAGGCCGGTATCGGTTGGTAGGGCGACTGGTTGCTTCTCTGCTGCCTTGATCCGCATTTTATCGGAGTTGATGGTCGTCGAGCTCTGGGAACTAAGCTCAGATGGTGAGGGCAGGAGTGTATGCGGATCCCCCGAAAAAGCCACTGTATTTGCGCATAACATTTCGAAGACGTTCTGAGCAAACTCTGCAGTGATGGTGCTATTCGGAGAGTATGTCAAGGTGACTTCGAGTGTACTACCACCGCGGGAGGTTGAGTGGATGGAGAAGTCAGCAAAATCTTCTTGAGAGCCCACAGCGCCAACATTAAACTCGACGCCGCCTAGCTGCATCATGGGGTTCTCCTCTTGGATGTTCTGATCATGCTGGAGGACACTGGAGAAGTTGGTCCAATCTGGCCAGTCTGTGCAGTGTCGTGTAATTTCCCGGAAGCCAAGAGACTCGTATGGCATGTTGGAAATTTGTTGATCCTGAATATAGTGAAGGAGATCTAGTACGGTCCATTCTGGCCGATACACTACACGAACAGGCACCATGTTGAGGCAAGGACCGACGATACTTTCGACGTTTGCAACATTACCGTTCCGGCCAGAAATGACGTGTCCAAAGACGATGTCTGACTTACTTGCAACGCGTGCAAGAGTTGCAGCCCATGCAGCTTTCACAACGGTAGCAGCGGTGATATTGACACGTGACAAAGTAGGTACCGTGAGTGTCTGTTCAAGCGTGACTGTGCGGCCAGCGGAACGTTGGTAACTGGGACCGAAGCGGTTCACAATCTCGGTCATACTAGAACCACGCAGGATCTCTTTCCAGTGGTCATGTGCGCCAGCAACAGTTTTGGCTATTCCCTTCACGAAATTACCGAAGCTGGGAGCGGAGGAGACAGGGAGGCCGTTGTAGCCATCTTGAAGCGCGCCAAGAATCCTCGACATACAGACACCATCATACTGAGCGTGCGAAAGTCGCATGAAAATGCGGTAGCGTCCGGACTGCTTCTGTTTGGCAACAACAAATTGAATGAAGGCTTCGCCAAGACGTGGGCCATGTTCGCGGTCTTTCTGTCGTAATTTGGTAGTGAACATATCAAGGTCATCGTCTGTTTGTTGGTATATGAAATCTGGTTGAAGCTTCCGGAGTACTACCTGGAGGAATCGATCGCCATACGGAACAAAGACGGTCCGGAGGATATCAAAAGCTTGCACCATTCGGAACGCAGCTTGCTTCAATTTGCGGAGATCCAGAGGCCCGTTACCGTCAAGGTAGAAGTAGTTTAGCATCCACTTGGATTCCATTAGGGTCCCGGTAATTGCAAGCGCTTGAAAATCGGTCACAGGGAAAACGTCGGAGATGCCACCTTTGAAGACCTGTACCTTCGAGATGACGCTATCGACGTTCGGATCTCCGAGCAGTGAGATAGATTTGGGTGCAGTAACTTCTACTCCTTCCTGGATTGTTTGTGGAACTTGCGACTTCTGGCTTGACTTGCGTTGTACCTGTGGCCTCGATGGCTGTATACCGGACGCAAAGCCTTGCCATTTCTTGAACATCGTTTCATTCCTTGCTGGCTCCGGTTCAGCCGGGGGTGTACTGGGAGCCATGCTTTTACCATCGACGTTGTACTCAGAAACTACAGAACGGTAGTCATCCCAAATCGAAGATGCTTGCTTGGTGAGTCGATAAGTAGGTCTTGATGGTCCACCGGTATCCTTGCCAGTTATCGATTCGCCACCAGCACGGGACATGACTTCGTCGATGAGCTCACCAGCTACGCGAACAACCTGATTATTATGAGCGTGGATCATGAAACAATATACTTAAAGCTTACTCGAGCCATATCTGCAAAGGTTGGGTTTTTGAACACATCAGCGACGGTCATTGATAGACCTTCCTCTCTCGCAGCTCCAACTAAGCGCATCGCAATGATGCTATCACCTCCAAGTTGCTTTGTATGGTTAGCGTCTTTCTTGCAACAAGACAGGATCTAGACTTACAAAGAAGCTATCATCTTGTTCAATAGTGTCATCTACCATCTCCAACAATTCACTCCATAAGCCAAGCAGCTTCTTCTCCACGAAGTCGGGCGCTACCGATTTCGAGCCTTCAGTGGCTAAGACACCCACAGCGGCCACCATGTCGGCAGCGATTTGGATTCTATTTTCTGCGTTACTTGCAACACTCATCCGACGAGAACGTACAGAGCCTCGTATAGAACCTGTTTCGAGATTTGGTCGTCCGCGCAATGATTGGGAGGCTCTTCTGGTGAGAAATCCTGTCATCTGACTCGTCATCTGGTCGATCGTAGCAGAAGCAGGCTCTGTGGCGAGTTTGTTTTTCGCAACAATCTGGTCGACAATCTGAGGCACCATCTCACTCACGATTGATCGAATAAGGACGTTCCAGTCTGGGGTCTCAGGCGGCAGGGGGGTTGCGGGGGACAGATCTGGGAAGGTTATTCTGGGTGTTCGGGATGGGGACACGGAAGAGTTGGATGTGTAGGATGTGTTGGAGCGTGACCTTAGAATAGACGGGCGTGGCTTAGGTAGTGTAAGATGTGCCGTAGGCGCTTGGATGGCTTTTCCTTTCACGGTAGCATCTAGCTCCGCCACCGTCTGATTGACGTTGACTAGAGCCTGATCCAAGATCTTGGCCATGAGAGAGGAGACATTTTTTGCTTCCCCATCGGTTATGGCGTCACTCCAGTATGTAAATCGTACTGCTTCGTCATCGCGCGTGGCATCGATGTTTACCGTAATGGCGAACTCACTTGGATCATGGCCATCGAGCTGCTGAAACTCAATACCAGCGTTGTCGTGTGTCGAGTCATCGGTCGTGACGCGGGTTTGAATCGAGACAGCAGTGTTGAACAAAGCCTTTCCAGAGAGCCCAAGGTCATGCTGGAATTGAGCTAATGAACAGTGTTGATGCGGCATAGACTCGATGAAGTCGTTCTTCACTTGTTGAATGACCAGGAGTAGCGAAAGAGCTGGAGTCACGCTGAGTCGAGATACCAACATGTTGATGAAAGCCCCAACAGCGCTCTCTATATCATTGATCGGAACATTTCGTCCAGAGGTAAGATAACCATAGCAAACATCCGAGGAACCAACATATGAACGTAGGACAAGGGCCCACGCAGCGAGCAAAACGTTTGCGAAAGTGACATCGGTCCTCCCAGCAAGAATGTGGACCTCTGAAAACCGGTCGAAATTCATGTCTAGCGAACGTAGCTGCCGCTGCCTGGAGGTATTCTGATATGTTGTGGGGAAGTAGCATGGCCGGACGCCGCCCAGCTTGCCTTTCCAGTAATCGATCGCGTCATTGGCGGGAAGATTACGCAAGTATCTGATGTAGTTGCTGTAGAGTGGGCCCTCTTCGTTGGAAAGACTACCTTTGTATGCTTCCTGAAGATCGCGTCCAATGATTGCCAGTGACCCTCCATCAATGATAGCATGGTTAACGATGATCTTGACAACAATCTTCCCCGAGGTCGATTGTACAACCACAGCTTGATGTGGAAGTGCTGGCTTCTTCTTGCCATTAAGCTCGCTGTACTTGATCGAGTCAAGCAAACCAAAGAGCTCAGAGTCGTCGCAGGTGTACCTAATTAAACCAGTACCAGTATCTTTGATAACAATTTGGTCGAAGACACCTCCCCTGCATACACTATCAATGAATACAGTGCGCAATGCGGGATGCCGATCAACAACCTTCTTCCACGCTTCAGCCACCTTCTTCGAATCAACCGGGCCCTGTCTAGACTTCATCTCAAACGTCGTAGAGGACCAGTAAGACTCTGGATTCTTGATCTGGCTCAGGATGATGCCGTCCTGAATAGAGGAACAAGGATAGATATCTTCGACTTGGTCGTATGATGAAATTCCGATGGAAGGTAGACTCTTCAGAACGCGGTCGAGGCGGCTGTATGATTCTAGCGGTAACAACGGGAAATCAGCCATTGTAGCCTGCCACGTTTTAATTTCGGCGAGATTAGTGACGATCTCTTCAAGCGTTCGCTGGCATTCAGCGATCCACCTTCGAATGCCTTTCTGGTTTTTCATCCGGCGGTTGTACATGAAGATCAACTGCAGCTGGCCTTCGGAAACGACCGCAGAGATCTCAAAGAGCGCCATACGGGTAGTTTTGCTGCCGACGTCCGATGTCTCGTCTTCCTCGTCCTCGTCGAACTGTATCGGTTGAAACAGTGAGTCACCGGATTCCGAGGACTCTTGCCTGCCCAAATAGTTGAACAAGACTTCTATAGGCGCATGTTCAGCATAACGTTGCTTTCCATCTTCCGTCAGGAACCGATGCGTAAAATAGGGTCGGCCATTGTCGGTGACTTTCCTGCGACAATCCTTGACTTGGCGGACTGTATGTACCACGTCATCTTCTTCTTCGCCAATAGGGACTGTGATGGGGTACATAGCTGTGAACCAACCCACCGTTCGTGATAGGTCGAGATTGCTAGACTCCCACACTTCGCGGCCATGTGATTCGTTGAAAATAGTTGGAGGCTTTCGGTTGATGAAAACGCGAGAAAAGGAGTGCAGAATAGATGCGACTAGGAGATCGACTACATCTGTTTTGAGTGCTGCGTGGTTGTCAAGCGCCATGGCAGAGATATCCCTGTCGACGAAGAACTGATCTCGCTCAACGTCGCCATAGACATTATCTCGCTTCTCCATACCCCAGAATGCGATATCTGCCGGTAGTACAGAAATTGACTGTTTAATCATCGCCTCTGCTTGGTGAGACTCATTTGCATGAGCATATTGTTGCTCGCACCAAAGCTGGAATGGCAATTCTTTCTGCAGTGACACGGCTGGTTGGGAAATGAGAAGGTCCTCCAAGTCACTTAGGATGATTCCCCAACTGACTACGTCAATGATAAGATGATGAGCAGCAATGAAGAGAACCTGTTCTCCCGTTTGAAGGTTAAACAGATCGACAGCGAATACCGGTCCTTTCCCGATGTCGAGGCACTTCTGCGTAGAGGAGATGATGGCCACGGTGGCAGATAAAGTGCGTACATCATGCACCTTGAAAGAGTATGCATTGCTTATATCAGACGTGATAGACTGTTGCCACTGGCCATGATAGGTTTTGGAAAAGCGGGCGCGAAGCATGGAATGGCATTCAACAATAGAGTTGATGGCACGATTCACGGCAGTCGGTTCTACCTTCTTTGAAAGCCGCAACGTGGACGATTGGTTGAAGTGGGTGTTCTTTTCGGCATCATTAGTTTTGAAATAGAACTGCTGGATAGGCGAAAGGTCAAAGTGTTTGTCTGTCTGTTCCTTGCCGTGATTTGAAGCAGTCGTGGATTTGACGCTTTGGGCAAGATTTGCGAGAGATTTTGCGCGAAGGACCTGGTTCAAGCTGAGGGTGATACCCTCACTTCTACATTTCGCGAGGAGTTTCATGGCGGTAATGGAATCGCCGCCCAGGGCTGTGAACAATTAGTCAATGGTGTTATGTGAGAAAGGAGGCCAACTTACATAGCCATGACCTGTTCGCTTTCACAACGTCGACTGGTTTGTTCAAAACCGTAGCCCATATCTTTCGGAGGGTTGTGATGGCTGCATCTGCAGTGTTAGTTGTATCTTCGCTGGCCTCGAGCTCGAGTATCTGTTGGTAGGTGGTGTCGTCCATGCCCTCTAACCAGGCGCCAACTTGTTTCCTGTCGAACTTCATTGAAGCCAAGAACGGAATTCTAGAAACAGCGATCCATATGGTGGGAATCATGTACGATGGTACAAGATCGGAGAGCCTGTCTCTGACGTGGTTGATTTGTGAAAGTATCCCCCTCCCCACCAACAGCTGATGCCACGGCTGCTTCGTGTCGACGGCACTGCTCCACGTGCTGCGGAAGCTTAGCACTGCTGTAAGCTTCTTCTCGCAAGGCCCAGTCTTTGGCAGCTGTACGACGGCTTGCCAAACACTGTGATCGGCATGGAGATGATGTTCGATCTCACCAAGCTCGATGCGCTGACCAGCAAGTTTGACCTGGTTGTCCTTGCGCCCAAGATAATGGAGAGAGCCATCTGGGGCGTATCGAACGAGGTCACCGGTGCGATATGTACGAGACGGACCTTGGGAGAACACCTTCATGAAGCCTGGGTTCTGGACGAATGATTCAGCAGTCCTTTCAGGTTCATTCAGATATCCTCGGGCCAGGAGTGCCCCTTCCAAACACAACTCTGCGACTGCCCCCACAGGAGCAAGCTCATTGGGATCCCGCGGATTTGTCAACCAGGCTCTGCCGCTTGAAAGCATTCGGCCGATGTTTGACGGATCGCGTTGGACCGATACAAGATCATTCGTGACGGCAAACACGGCGCCCTCGGTAGGTCCGTAGCCGTTGTAAAGTTGTAGGCCTGAAGCCCACTTTTCGACAATTTCGGATGTCATTGCCTCGCCTCCGGTGACCAAAGTCTTCAGAGTAGGAACTACATGGGGACCTTCGAGAGTATTTGCGACAGAGGGGGTAAGGAACGCCCATGTCGCCTGTAGCGTAGTAATGGCAGAAGCAAGGTCTGCTGTGCGTTGTTCCTCCGAGGGAACGCAGATAGTCGCACCACACATCAGAACTGCGAGAGTCTCACCAACCGAGACATCGAAGAGAAAAGAGCAGAACTGGAACACTCTCGACGAGGGTGTTATATGGAGACCCTTGCATATCGCAGCCGAGCTTGAAACGATATTTCTATGCTCCACAACCACTCCTTTAGGTATCCCAGTGCTCCCAGATGTGAAAATAACATAGCAGATATTGTTGCTCTTTGCCGGCAACAAGATTGGGGACCGGCAAATAGGTAGCTCGCGAATATTTGCCTCGCTCACACTGAACACTCGGTCGGCCAAATTTGCGAAGCGGTTCTCATATAATGGGGAGCATAGAACAATTGAACCTTTGCAGGCTTCAATTATCTGACGGTGTCGAGAAGTAGGATATGCTGGTGAGAGCGGAACATAGCCAGCACCTGAAATGAGAATCGCCATGATGGTGACGATTGCCCAGCGTGACTTATCTAGACAGATAGGAACCAGTTGGTCTGGGCGTGCACCAAGCTCCACCAATTCTTGGGCGAACTGAGAAGCTAGATCACCGACTTCAGCATACGTGAACTCTCCATCGAATGCCGAAACCGCTATCGCGTCAGGTTGCGAGACGACCTGTTTGAAGAATAGAGCAGGTACGGTGTCATCGACGACTTTTGGCTCATACTGATTCCATTTTCGTACCAAATCCTTGTCCTGTTTGCTTAAGACGTGAACTTCGCGGACATAAATGACTGAGTTGAGTTGGGTCAGGACAGACTCTAACTGGTAGAGAAGTCGCTGGACTTCCCAAGTTGAGATCACAGTTGCATCGTAGTGTGCCATGATTTGGGTCGTCGATTTGCTCATTTTGCATTCAATCACCAGTGGATAGGTGAAAAAACCGCTCTGTTCTCCCTTATCGTAGACCGACCAGATTGAATCGGAGAGTTCTTCGTTCTCATTCTGCACGACGAGTAGATTTTGAAAGTCACAAGCGGCCGCTGTTTCGTCGCTGATTCGTTTCATATCAGACAGGCCGTGGTGCTGATAAGGGATGCGGTCCGTCGCAGTAGCAGAGATATTCCCAAGGAGATTTGTCACAGTAGCGTCGCGATTGATCTTGACGCGCGTGGGCACAGTTGTCAAGGTTGGGCCACATACATCGGTGATACCTGTTACAGCAATATCACGACCGGCGAGTGTTTCTCCGAATATAACATCATCGCTGCCTGTATATGCTGAAAGAAGTAGAGCCCATGCTGCCCGAATGACATTTGAGGCTGTGACATCGGCATGGCGACTAGGAGCAAGCTTGATGGCGTGTTGTAGTGTTTGCCCTTCGGATATCCTCTCTGAAATCGAGTGAGACTGCTGTGGAAATTGGAACGGAGTGGCTCCAGCTAGGCATTCCTTCCAAAACTTGATTGACGCATCTTTCTTTGCATCCATAAGGTATTTGATGAACTTCGTATACGGCGTCTGCGTCAGCTTCGAAGATCCCGTCTGGTATATCTGCTGGACTCGCTGAAGCATTAAGTAAATACTCCAGCCATCATATAGCGAATGATGCACAGTCCAAACAAAGAATCTCTCGTTGGAGAGTGTACGAACGATTGTGTAAGATGCCAGTCTTCCTCCAAGGTGTGAGGGTATCTGCGCAGTCTCCTTCTCGGCTTCGTGGAGTGAGGATACTTCTTGCCAAATGATGGTATCGTCTACTGGAACGACTTGTACGAATGCGCCTGACCGCATTTGGGCAATGCGTGTGCGAAGAATATCAGTTTCCTGGATTAACTTCTCCCATGCGGCCTTGAACTTGTTGATATCTACGGGACTTGGGAGCGCTAGGACGTGTTGCGCGACGTAAGCTCCAGTCTGCTTGATTGAAAGGGTGATGAGTGCGTCCTGGAGCGGACTCGTAGGGAATATGTCTTGAATATCATCCTTGGGCACACGGCATTGCTGCGCAACCTCCTGCATTACCTCTGTTTTTATGAGAGGAGGCTGCAACAGCTCAAACGGCTGTATAGCCTTCTCCAAGGTATAGGAATTCTCCGCGCGGGTGCCTATTCTGGCAAGGTCTGCAAGTTTGGGGTTCTTGAAGATATCAATGAAAGATAGCTCCAGGTGTTCAGCCTGCGCACTCGCAACGAGTCGCATCGCTGAGACGGAGTCGCCGCCGAGGCGCTGATCGTCGTTAGTCATTGTTAAATTGATTACATGCCAAAAGTCCTTACCACAAAGCTATCATCAATTCCCACTGATGATGCAGGTAGGTTGAGCACCGAACAAACTGCTTTGTGCAGCTTCTTTTCTGATTCGTTGCTCGAGTGCTTCTTATTCACCGCATTCGTCAGCCGATAGAACGCCATTGCGTCGCGATTGATGTCCTGGACAAGATTTCGCAAGCGATTCCGGTCTAGTTTCCCTGCAGACGTCCATGGCATTTTCGTAACGGGAATGAAAATAGAAGGCACCATATAAGGCGGTAAAGAATCACCAAGACCATTCTCTGTTGCCTTGCAAAGATCCCGAAGCTCCCCACTCATGGGAAGAAGTAGCTCTTCAGGAGCTGGTAGGTCGGTAGACGTTCGCTGAATTACGTCTGCGCTTTCAGATGACTGGTTCTGGATGATAGTGAAGAATACGGCTAGAGCCTTGGCAGAACTCCGGCTTGAAGGCGAGACCAGCTCGACTGCAGATTGCACATACTCCGGGAAGTTTTTCCCAACATGGAACTCGATCTCGCCCAGCTCGATCCGCTGACCGTTGAGCTTGATCTGTGTATCTTTGCGGCCTATGTAGCTGACCGACCCGTCAGAATTGTAGCGGACCAGATCACCAGACTTGTACATGCGCGAAGTTTGGAAAGTCCCATTGTCTGAAGGGAGAGTTAAAGCCCATTTAGGGTCGGCAATAAAAGCTTTGTTAGTCTTGACTTCATCATTGAGATAGCCACGTGCGACGGTAGGACCTTCGATAATCAGTTCGCCAACGCTTCCCACAGGCATTAGTTTATCGTGGTTTCGAGGATGCACAATCCATAGTCGGCATCCAGAACCGAAGCCTATGGTCCCAGGGTCCGTCTCGATCAGTTTGTGGTCAAGGGTAGACTTGTAGCTAGTGGCGGCCACAACTGCGGTTTCCGTCGGGCCGTACGCTGCGGGGTGTCAACTTTTGCATTATTTACAATTCAACTTAGATGACTTACCATTTATGAAACATGTACTATTACCCCATTTCTTGAGTATGAGACCAGGTAGGGCTTCGCCTCCGGATACGAGCGTCTTCAAACAAGGTACGCGCTCTGGCTCAATTGTTCCAAGAACAGATGGAGTCAACAGCGACCAGTTCGCTTTGAATTTACGAATAGCCCCAGCGGGATTGTTCATTCGATCATCCTCAGTAGGCACACACACACTGGCACCGACAGTGAGCGCAGAAAGGATCTCTATGCAACTGGCGTCGAAGGTATAGGAAGCAAACTGGAATGTGCGCGAGGTTGCGTTTATGTTCATACGACGCGTAAATGCAGCTGCACTCGTACAGAAAGCTTGATGTGGAATAATAGTGCCTTTCGGTTTGCCAGTTGTGCCTGATGTGAACAGACAATACGCTGCATTATCTGGGCTTGCTGTGGACTTCGGCTTCGTTCCGGCGGGAACTGAAATCTTTCGGACAGACCTTTGGTCCACGATTAGAGGCGTAGTGGCGACTTCGCTCGCCTTGTCATGGTAGTTTCGCGAACACAGCAGGACTTTGGCACCCACGTCGTTTATGAGCTCACAAAGGCGGGTTTGTGGATGCTTCGGGTCAAGAGGAACATACGCGCCGCCAGCCTTCATGATAGCTATCATGCTGACAATGGCCCATGACGACTTGTCGAATAAAATAGGAATAAAGGTCTCGGTGGTGACACCAATGGCCTGTAGATGGGTCGCTAACTGATCAGTTATTCTATCGAACTCCTGATAAGTGAAAGTCCCGTCCCAGCCTTCGACGGCCTTAGTAGAACGCGGCCTTGTGAGAGCTTGCTCATGAATGACTTCATGTACACAGCGGCGGATAGGTAGTGGAAGGTCGACATTCCAATCCATGATTTGTCGGAGGCTGCCTGAGGTAAAGATATCCAAGTTGCCGACAGTAAGAGTGTCGGCACTGCTAGTAATGATATCTTGAAGAATCGTTTGGAAAGTGTCGGCCATGTTCTGTGCCTGCACGGGGAGAATTTTGTCTTTCCAGAATCCAAAATCAACCGATATACTCTCATCAGTAACATCAGCATTAATTGTGACGGCATACTCTCCGGAGTCAGCTGCTTCCATGTTATCGTAGATAAGTGCTGTCTCTTCGGGGTCGCGGGAGAGGTTTCGTCTCTGGAACGTGAATGCTGTATTGAAAAGGGCAGACAGCTTAAGCTCATGCTGAACGTCGGCGAGTGAGCAGCCCTGGTGAGACAATGCATTCATAGAACCTGTCTGAAGAGCTTCAAGGAGGTGAGAAATGGTTGTCTCGTCCGAAAACGTGAGGCGAACAATGAGCATGTTTACGAAACACCCCACTGCTTCATCGATGTTCTTTACAGGGATGTCACGACCCGATGCCACGAGTCCGAAGGACACATCAGAGGCGCCAACGTAGCAGTGTAGGGTGAGGGCCCAGGCAAGCTGGAGAACATTGGAGAGTGTCACACCATTCCTTTTGCAGAAAGCGTAAATATCTTTGGTGCCTCCAAGGTGAATGTCAATCGACCCAGACTCGTGCGGCCTTGATTTCCCATCATTAAGGGCGGGAAAGAGGCAGGGCTCAACGCCAGAAAGATAGGTTGTCCAGTATGCAACATCTGTATCCCTAGAGCTGGATAAAATGTAGGCAATGTAGTCCGAGTAAAGCGGCCCGGCGTCGGCTCGAGATAGCCTCCTCGCGTATGCGCTAGCGAGGTCGCCGAGGATATTGGAGATGGAAGTGCCATCGTTGATAACATGACTCAGCTCTAATTTGATCCAAACTCTCCCCGACACTGTTTTGCAGATAGTCATGCGATGGGGTGGAGTGGCTTCGCGACAGTCGATTGCGGGCTGTTCCCGCAGTATGTCAGCGACTTCGATGTCAGCACAATCTTCAGTGAATTGAACCCTTCCAGCTTTATCCTTGATCACGATTTGGTCTTTTGAACCATTTTTGGCGACGCTGTCTATGAAGACAGTGCGCAGGGCGGGATGCCGATGAACGACAATTTGCCAAGCTTCGGCGAGTCTGTGTGGGTCTACAGGCTGACTGCGATCTGTTGCTTGCACCTCGAAGATAGTATGGTAGGTATAAAGTTCAGGATTCCTCGACTGCGTAAGCAGAAGTCCTTGTTGCATAGGCGATGTAGGGTAGATGTCCTCGATGTCTGCTATGGTCATGCTGGAGGGGAGTGCCTCCGTAACTCTGGACATTCCATTGTAAAGCAGAGGAAGATGCTTGAAGTTCCCTAAGCTGGGTTCCGGACGCACCAAGAGGAGTTCATCGACGGCATCGACAAGTGTCTGTTTGCATTGTGCAACCCAGGTGCGGATCTCGGCCTGGCGTTTCATATGTCGATTCCATCCAAAGGAAAGTTTGATAGCACCTTGGGATACAGCTGCTGTGATATCGAAAATCGACAAGCGAGGGACATCTTCTCCGATTTCACGTGAGTCAATGCCGTCTAGCGATGAAAACAGAGCATCTTTGCGATCCATATTCTGGAGCCTTCCAACGTAATTGAAGACGGCCTCGGCAGGCCAATGGCTGGCGAAACGAGTATGGCCTTCCTCAGTCAAATTTCGGTAGGCGAAGTAGGGACGACCTTTGTCGGGAGTTCGAGCCCTCACATCTTTTACCCATCGAATGGTGCTAACTATATCAGTTGTCTCTTCTGGGGGCACTGGAAGACTAATGGGCGTCAGAGTTGAAAACCACCCGACCGTGCGGGAGAGGTCTTGGCTAGACTTGAACGGCTCTCGGCCATGGCCCTCGTTGTGGATGGTGATAGTAGTCCTATCTGGGAACACCTTGCGGAAGGATTCGAATAATGCGGCAACCAAGATGTCAAGGATCTCAGTGGATAGCGCATCCTGGGCTCCAAGTAGAAGCATTGTGTCTCTTGTGCTCAACTGAAAGTCTTCCTCTATAGCGTCTCCGCTAACGTTGCGACTGTCTCCCATTCCCCAGTAGTCAAAATTCGTGGGTGAGATATCGCCGATAGGGAAAACCCTTTTCGCAGTCTCTTGTTTAGCTTGCGTAGACTGCAGTTGCAGCCATGCATGGTATGGAAGACTTTGCGGTGGAGGGTTAATTCCATTGAGGAGATTTTGCAGATCCTCCAAAAGAACGCCCCAAGAGACAACATCGATGATCAAATGATGAGCAACAAGAGCTATGGCTTGAGAGAATGTCGCGTTGGCTTCAAAGATATCGACTGCGAAAGTTGGCCCTTTCATAATGTCCAACGTTGCCTGGCTAGCATCGAGGATCGGGCGAAGCGTGGCATCATCGGCAACCTGTACGTGATGTTGGCGTAGCCTGAAGGACTTCTTAGTATCCTTCTCGACTCGCTGACGCCAGGTCCCGGACTCATCCCTAGCAAAGCGCCCACGTAGCATGGGATGAATCTCTACCAGTGCAGTTAATGCGTGTTTGATCTCATCCAAGTCAAAGTTTCGCGCAAGACGGAAAATCTCTGTCTGATTGAAGTGGTTATGCGCATTGCCGACAGTATCGAAGAAGACTTTCTGAATAGGCGAAACTTCGAAAGGGAAGTTGTACTCTTGCGCTTCGGAGGTTATTAGATTACGGTCCTGCGATGATGCATCAACGGTTGACGCGAGTGTAGTGATTGACTTCGAACGAATGATGTCTTGTACGCTCATGGCTAGGCCTTGCGCTCGGCATTTCGAGGACACTTGCATGGCTGCAATAGAATCGCCCCCTAAATGCAAGAATGATTGGGTGAGGCGCACGTCTTCCGAAGGTAGGTTCAAGACATTCGCGAAGATTGCCTGTAGTTTTCGCTCAACAGCACTCGCATCCGTTTGGGGGGCCCCTGAGCCCAGGGATGAGATCGCCCGATACGTGTCCCTGTCCATTTTCTCTAGCCATTGTAGTACGCATCTACGGTCCATTTTGCCCGAGGGCATCAATGGGAATTGCTGAATAGCAACCCACAGAGACGGAATCATATATGATGGCAATCGCTCACAGAGATGGTCACGAATAATAAAAATATTGAGAGAAGCGGTCTCGTGGGTAAGAATCTGCAGCTCTCGCCCCAGTGTCGTTGACGGTGGGCAATTCTGAAGTGATACGATACCCACCAGCCGCTTCGCGCAAGGCCCAGCGGTAGGTACAGAAGCAAGGGCATTCTGAATTAGATCGTCGTCCATAAGATGATGTTCGACCTCGGAGAGTTCCAGTCGCTGTCCGCGAACTTTGGTCTGCGAGTCTTTCCGGCCAAGATACTGCTGATGTTAGCGCACGATCAAGTGTTTCTCACCGATTATTACTTACTAGCATTGTACCATCCTCGTTGTACATCACAAGATCGCCGGTCTTATAGATTCGTAACTTGCTTGACAGTCGGTCAAAAAGTAGTCCTTTCGGCCACTTTACATGGGTTATGAAAGCTTGTGCTGTTTTTTCTGGGTTTTTGAGATACCCAACGCCAACAGCACCGCCCTCAAGCAACAGTTCTCCAATAGCCCCAACTGGCAAAATCGTATGATGGTTGTCTTTGGAAACGATCCAACCTTGCGCTGTCACTGCCTTGCCAAGGTTGTTCGGCTTGGTATGAAGTGTCATAACATTAGAAGTGGAAATTGCAGCGCACTCGGTCGGACCGTAGCCATTGCCAAGGGTGACACGGTCCGCCCAGGTATGTAGGTCTTGTTGTGACATCGCCTCCCCAACAAGCACGAGCATTTTGAGCTGTGGGACTTGGGAGGGCTGCATCATACGCACAACCGAAGGAGTCAACGTCGCCCAGTTGACGTTGAATTTGTTGATAACTCCTACGAGGTCATTTGTTCGGGATGCTTGATCGGGCACGCAGACAGTGCCGCCACACATCAATGTGCTAAATATTTCAATCAAGCAGGCATCAAAGGTGTATGAAGCGAATTGAAGCACTCGAGATGTTTCTGACATTTCCCATCCCGGGGCAAATGCTGTAGAACTTGTGACCCAGTGAGAGTGGTTAATCACAGCGCCCTTAGGCTTTCCTGTCGAACCGGAAGTGTAGAAAGCGTAAGCTGGAGAATCACTCTGAACATCAGGTAGTTTGTTCAGACGGGCATGGCCTTGCTCAGTGGTCTCTCGGTTGACGATAAGGGTATTACATGGTATGGACATGCATAAAGCCTCGTACTGCGGCGCGCAAAGGAGCAGTTCGGCTTCGACGTCCCCAACGAGTTCGCGTAATCGGAGAATTGGCGCTTCAAAATCCAAAGGGACAAAAGCTGCTCCAGCTTTGAGAACAGCGAGTATGGCGACGATCGTCCAACCTGATTTGTCGAAACAGAGCGGAACGAACTGCTGCGGCTTTACTCCTAGTGACACTAGATGAGAAGCAAGCCGAGTAGCCCGTTCGTCGAGCTCTCGGTACGTCATAACGCCAGTATCCCATGCTTCAACAGCAGCGGCAGTAGGCCGTACAGTGGTCTGGTCCTCCTTAATGACGCTATGGATGCATCGATTGACAACATGAACGGGCTTGCCATTCCACACAGTAATGGCTTCCTGGTCGGCGGGGTTGAGTAGACCAACGTCGTCCAAAGCTCGATCGAGAGCTTCAACAGAGTTGAAACGAGTAAGGATGAATTCAAACTGCTGCAGGAGGCGTTGAACAAGCCACGGCTCTATGACTTGGTTGTCATAGAGAGCCTCAATGTGCACGCTGTCCGGTTTTACTTGGCAGTTGAAAATGAGAGCATAACTGAAGAAGTCCGTGCCAATAGTATTAGCACTCTCCATGTTCCACAAAGCACTGTCAGCATCTTGCAAGCTGTCACCTACTTCAATTCCGAGGAAGCTTTGGAAGTCGCAAGCTACTGCCGTTTCAGAACTAAGTTTGCGAATGTGTTGTAGACCGGCGAACTGGTAAGGCAAAGAAGTCGAGGACTGCCGCTGCGTCTCTCTCAGATACTGGTGCACTGTAAGTCGACGGTTCAGCCGTAGTCGTATAGGAGCAGTTGTAATTGTCGGGCCGATAACAGACTCGATACCGGGAACGGACGCCTCTCGTCCGCTGTTTGTCTCTCCCCACAACACATCGTCGGACCCGGAGTACGTAGCCAGTAGTAAACCCCACGCTGCGCGGATCATTGAAGGAATTGTGACCTCAATACTTGGCTCTCGAGTGATGTTCACGACATGTAACAGCTGGCTGTTGGCCTCTACCCTGTGGCCCGGGGACGGTAACTTGGGAAACTGGGGGGCGGTCATGTTATCGAGGTTGGACAACCAAAACTCGTCAGACTGCTTCTGATCAAGAATAGACAGGTACTTGATGAAACGTGTGTAAGGGACCGAAGGTGGCACATCCTGTGTCGTTTTGCGATAGTAAGACTCAACCCTGCGGAACAGAGTTGCCCAACTCCAGCCATCATACACGGCGTGATGCGCAGTCCATACAAAGCAAGGCGCAACTGAATTCTCACCTACAATAGTGAATGTAGTAAGAGGAGCACCATTCTTCGCCGGGAGCTGTCGAGTTGTTTCATTGATTTCCTGGAGATCTGCTAGTGCATGCCACTTCAGCTCCTCTCGCAACACGACTTGCAGGAAGCCATCTTGCTCAGTGTATATGATACGTGTGCGTAGAACAGCCTCCGTTGCAAACACACTTTGCCATGCCTGTTTGAAGCGGTCCAAGTCGATATCGGATGGTAGGCGGTAAATAGGCTGCACGACATATGTCCCTGGATCTTTGTTTGAGAGCATAATGAGGCCTTCTTGAAGTTTGCTGCATGGGTAAATATCCTCGATGGAGTCTGAGATGACGCCGCATTCTGACGCCGCAAAATCGGTGATGCGCTGTCTTGCGTTCTCGGGAAGGAGTTCGAAGGGAGCGGTGTCACGTTCAAGTTCGGTGGTCAGCTCATCTGAGGAGAGAACAACAACAGTGGCTGCCATCTCTAGCAGCTTCGGTTGTGCGAAAACATTGGCCACATTCAGCAAAAGGCCCTCCTTTCTAGCCGCTGTGACAAGCCGCATTGCGCTGATCGAATCTCCACCAAGTCGGAAAAACGAGTCTTCTGCACCCACTGTGTCTGCGCTCACCTTCAGGACCAATGCCCATATGCGAGCCAACATACTCTCGACATGGCCTGAAGGCGCGCGGCCACTTTTGCCAGCCAAGCGAAAGGGGGTCAACTGTGACTCAGGTACTTCCGTAGCAAGCTGGCGCAGCACCTTGCGGTCGAGTTTGCCTGATGTCGTCATAGGCATGTTCGTGACGGGCATGAATATAGTTGGTACGTAGTACACCGGCAACGCATTAGCGAGGGTAACTTCTACTTGCTTTGCCACCGCCCGCACTGAATCCGTCATCTCGCTGATCAAGGGCAGTCCATGATTATTGGACGCGGCTGACTCATTGTTCAAGCACATAAAGGCTACCAGGGCCTTCGTAGCGTTGCTATCATTGAACTTGACTAACTCAACCGCGGATTTAGCACCGGACGGAAGATTGAGTTTGAGGTGGTGTTCAATCTCGCCAAGCTCGATACGCTGGCCATTCAGCTGAGGATCATTAGTGTCTGTGACGGCTGGGCTAAACGATCACATTGCATGTGCTTACCTTGACTTGACTATCTTTCCTACCCAAATACATCATTTCTCCATCTGAAGTGTATTGAACCAGATCACCGGTACAGTAGAACCTTCGTCCCTTTGGTCCCGCTGTGCATGCCCATTCAGGGTCCAGGATGAACGCCGCCTGCGTTTTCTGAACATCATTGAGATAGCCACGACTCAAAATAGGTCCTTCAAGAAGTAGTTCTCCTTTGCAGCCAATAGGCGCAAGACGGTTGCGATTATCCGGGTCCACAATCCAAGAAACACATCCGATGGCTTTTCCGATATTGGTGGCTTCGCCACCGTCTTTGAAATCTCTCCAAGCAGAGTTGATAGAGGCTTCGCTTGGGCCATACTGACCCATGACGGAAACATGCGGCCTCCATAACTCAATCAATGCTTTAGTGAGAGGTTCTGCACCAAGACAGAGGCGTTTAAGGGTGGGAACTTCCGCAGGAGTGAGTAAGGCAGCGACAGTAGGCGTGAGATCCACGATATTCACGTTCAGTCTAGCGATAGCTCCACCAAGGTCGTTGACGCGATCAGCCTCAGAAGGTACGCACACGCAGCCTCCTCTCTGAAGGGTTGTAAACATCTCTTCTAGCGAGTTGTCGAATGTGTACGAGGCGAACTGGAGCATACGAGAACCTTGACCCAGTCCAATTTTTGAGCCGTGGGCCTCCGCACTAGTAACTATAGCTGAATGCTCGAGCACGACTCCCTTGGGCCGACCAGTACTCCCACTAGTGAAGATGACGAAGGCTGGATTGTGCGGCTGGATGCTGGTACAAGCTGGTCCATCAATTGCGCTTAGACTCTCCAAGAAGGCGGAGTTGACTATTACCACGCTTGATATGAGACCCTCAAACTTTTCCGCTCGCGAGGGTGTCGTCAGTACTATTTGAGCTCCTGCGTCTTCTAAACGCGTTTGGAGAGCAGGCTTTGGATGAGTGGCGTCGAGTGGTACGGCTGCACCACCTGCTTTGAGGACAGAAAGCATAGCAACCACTGCAAGAGCGCTCTTGTCGAAACAAGTGGGTACAAACACCTCAGGGCCGACGCCCAGCTTGACGAGATGATGCGCTAGACGATTGGTGACGGCATCAAGCTCAGCGTAAGTGTAGCTGCCATCAAATCCACAGATTGCTGGGGCATCGGGCTGGGTCGCAACCCATTTTGCGAACATGTGATGCACGCACTCGTTCAACGTGGCGGGTATCACGTTCCAATTCTGGATTTGTTCCAAATGCCTTGGACTGAGATGGTCCAGTGCGGAAATACGACGTTTGGCGTTGAAGACGATATTTTCAAGGGCACGAGCGAAAGTACTGGCGACATTGACCGCTTGCGCTGCAGAGAGGTGGTCCGTCCAGTAGTCCAGATCGACCGCTGCAGCTGTGTCACCCACTTCGATATTGAGACTGACTGGATACCTAAGGCGAAATCATTAGCGAATACTCGTTTGGGCGATAGAAGAACTACAAAAACCCCCCTTCGTGTACCTTGCGTATCTTTCTTTTGCAATCTACCCCAAATATAGAGATACGCCAGGTACAGCAGGAGGTTCACTTGCATGTTTCATTTTTGGATAGGGCATTACTTACTCTGTTGGGTCGTAAATCGGCCGGACCTCCACAATTCGGAGACTGCTGTCGTCAATTTGCTGTTCCTGGGGTAGGCGGCGATAAGACAAGGCGGTATTGAACAGACTAGCGCCGGACAGCTCCACAACATGCTGGACATCAGCCAGCGCAATATGGCGATGCGGTATAGCTTCCATGTAGTCTCGCTGTACATCCTGGAGAACGTCAAGGAGACAGCGAGAGCCGTTGGTAAGATTCACGCGGCAAACTAGCGTGTTGATGATAGGGCCACACATGTCCTCGACACCATAAACCTCCTCGGAATCTCTCGCCGAGGTAAGATATCCAAATGTGACATCGTCACTTCCCACATAACAGCTCAAAGTGAGAGCCCATGCGGTGTGGAAGACGTTCGATAGCGTGATTCCATGCGTGTTACAGAAGCCTTGCAAGTCTGGCAATCCGATGCTGGTCAAGTCCATGCGGATAGAGATCAATTCCTTCTCGATCGTTCTTCCATCATGTAGAACGGGGAAGGAGCAAACCTCGCTGCCGCCAAGGTACGACTTCCAGAACTCCAAGCTACTCTCTTGAGGCTGCTTCATCAGCCATGATATGTAGTCACTATATGGCGGGCCACCCGAACGAAGCTGGCCTTCACATGCTCTCTGAAGATCAAAAACGAGCATACTCATCGAGTGGCCGTCCATGATAGCATGGCTGATCTCCAGAGAACAGAAAGTTCTCCCATCTTCCGTGTTGCAGATCGTGAAGCGATGATTGGGACAGCGACCATTGTTGTAACTGACCGAGCGTTGCTCTTCGATATGTCGAACAGCATCTAGCTCATTCTCACATTTGATGTGTACGATGTTGGCAGCTATGTCTTTGAGAACGACTTGGTTGTACAGCCCTTCCTTTGCCCCAACATTCTCGAGAAACACGGTTCGCAACGCTGGATGGCGCCTGACAACTTGACGCCAAGCGTCGACTACGCTTTCCCACAAGAGTGGGCCATTCGGAGTCTTGATCTCATGTAGCGTAGCTGCAGCGTAAAACCCAGCATCTTTTGTTTGCGAAAGCAAGAGACCCTCCTGCATACCTGAGCATGGATAAACATCCTCCACGTCGGATTCCGTGATACCCATGCCTGAGAGTCTCTCTAGCATAGAGTAGAAACTGTCCTCTGTCAATGACGGCAAAGGAAAGTCGCTCACGGTTGGTTTAGGATCCAGAAAAATAAGCCCTTGAATCATCTTGGAAATGGTCGTCTGACACTCAGAGATCCACTGCTGTATGAGGCCCTGATGTTCCATATGGCGATTGAATGTAAATGCAACCTTAAGATGCCCTTTAAAAACGAAGGCGGAGATTTCGAAAAGTCCCCAGCGGCAGGTGTCGTGACCAAAGTCCGATGTTCCGCCAGATTTTCCCGTCTCGCCAGCCATAGTTCCTAATGGCTGAAGAAGAGCATCGGGCCTTTCAAGTTGCTACCAAGAGAATTAACAAGCTTCATACGTCCAAGATTCGAGGTGCATACCTGATATTGGCCCAGATAGTTGAACAAAATTTCCATCGGCCAATGGGTCTTAAACTGCTCGCGGCCGTCTTTGGTAAGACATCGCCGAGCAAAGTAGGGCCGCCCGTTGCCAGGAATCCGCCGTTTGAAATCCTTGGTCTTGCGTACAGTTTCCGTAGGATGTTGAGAAGGCGTGACTAGAATTGGGGACACTATTTAATGTGTTAGCTAAGGCTGTTGAACGCTAGGTAGTACATATGTCTATAGTGGTTGCTGGCAATTATCACGATGTACACACGAGTGGCCAATTGCAGAGTTTACAGATGACAAGGTATAAAGCAAGATACAAAGTCTCGAAACTCTAGGGAATATGGGGGGAAAGACGACTTACATGCGGTAAACCAGCCGACCGTACGAGTGATATCGATATCTGCGCTCCAAGGCTCACGTCCGTGACCCTCGTTAAATATAGCAGGCACAGGTCTATCGGTGAAAACGTGAGACCAGGACTGAATCAACGACGCGAGCAGGACTTCTACTGGTTCCGTCTTGTAGGCGGTATGACAGGTAGTCAAGAATGCAGAGCTGAGATTCGTGTCCAGTTCAAAGCTAGCGTGACCAGCATTGCCGTATGTGTTATCTTCGTGCTGGATACCCCAGTACGAAAAGTCTAGCGCAGGAACATTGACATGTGGAAGAACCTCGTCCAGTTGAAGAGTCTCTGCATGCTCGCTCTGTAATTCAGCCCATTTCTGGAATGGTAGAGCAGGCGCAAGTAACTGTCCGCCTTTCAGTATCTCTTCTAGTTCTTCCAGTAGCAGTCGCCACGTGACCAAATCAACAACAAGGTGGTGACCGGTGAGGAAAGCGTATTGCTCGTTACCGAAATCGAAGAAATCGGCAGCGAACAAAGGGCCATTACTGTGATCAAAGCACTGCTGCGAGTCTTCAATCAAGGCGTCAATTTCACCCTGCGATGAAACAGTAGAATGTCGAAAGCGATGAGAACCCGCGATATCATCTGAGAAGTTAGCACCAAGCCGACGGTTATAGGTGTAGATCGAAGATTGACTAACTTGTGAGACGCTGCTGCCAGCCTTGCTCTTCCGAGAATGAGAAGCGTGCACGCAACATAGAATGGCGGGAAATCAATTGCTCCACTGCTGATTGGAACTGTTGCGCAGCCGTCCTGCGCGTTACTCGAAGATAAAATGATTGGTTGAAATGTCCGTGTGTATTCGGTCGCTGGAAATAGAGAGACTGAATTGGCGAAAGATCAAATTCTTCATCGAAGTATTCTTCGTGCTCATAAGAGGAGCTTTCGACCTCTTTGACAGCGTTCGCCAACTGGATGATGGATCGACTCCGCAGGACTTCCTGTACGCCGAGACTCATACCTTCCTTGCGGCATTGGCCCACGACTTGCATCGCGGAGATGGAGTCTCCGCCAACTGAGAGGAATGGTTGATCGAGTGCAACACGTGGCAGATTCAAAACATGAGCCCAGATTGACTGGAGACTCTCCACGTGACTAGTGTCTTCAGGCTCCATTTCGACAGGTTGCTCTTCACTGTCTCAATATGGAGTAAGCGAAAGACAACCTAGTAGTCTAAACACTGCGAGGACAAAAGGATGGATGGTTTGATGATGAGAACAAATCGTAACCCGAAATTAAGAACTTGTCGAGGCATTCAAACCTAGGGACGAAGGAATAAACGTACCGAAAGTGGATGCAAGGTATTGGATCAAGCTGTATGTCAGCAACAATGTAGCAAGGGCACTTACTATAATTTACGATGCCAAGAGTCAAGAGACGTGTAAGAGACACAGTACTGAGTTTTATGCAGTTCGTGAGGAAGGAAAATTGCTAGTAGAACTATTATGTCTCCAGCACGAGAAACTGCTGGGGATAGAAGAGCTCAGGAACCGTGAGATGAAGACAAGATCAGCGAGTTCTTCTACTGTCTAGGGTTGCCCCTCGAATCTAAGGAGGTGTCCACTTGAGGAACGAACAACGATCCAATCCCTCACTTGGCTTTCGATGAAATCATTGTTGGGTTATTCTCGTGTTCACTAGCCAGCCACGAGCATCGTTTGTGGCAAGCGGTGCCTGCGGACGAGCATTGTGGTCCACCATCTTAAAGCGCTAGACTTATAGCCTGTTTTCATCTATTAGGATATGACCATCGTAAGATCTGCAAGGTTACAGTCTGGAAGAAGTGCAAGGGTGCTGGATTTCGAAAAGTGGCCATCGCGTATTCGAGCCGCGTCGTGAGAGACCACGACGCTAGCGGTAGGAGTATCGTGGCATTATGTGTTTAATCAACGCGACGCAGAGACTGGCGGCTGTACTAGTTGCATATTGTGGCGTGCTGAGACCCAAGCCTTGCAGAAAATGAGGGCTGAGGTTCTGACGCGCCCGCGATGCCAGGCCGGTCGCTTAAGCTGGTCAGGTGATCAACACACGCACTAAAATAGACCTCGGGCCGACCTAACCCGATCGGTAGCATTGGAGCGGAGTACTATTCTCCGCTTGCGATGCCCAGGGCCAGGGTGGATCTCGTTGGACTCAGCAAACGTTGTACACAGCTGTCATGCTATGCAGCAGCATCCGGTATCCACCCCAAAATCCCCGCTGCGGCAAGTCTCAGCCACGTGCAATTAACCCATATTTTCGACCGGAGCCTTTTCGTCAGAGTACACGCTCCTCCTATGGCTGCCACTGGGGACATCCTGACATCTTCTCATCCCCAGAAAACCCGTCCGCCTGTTCCACGGTGGCGTTCCACCGGAACTAGGGAAACTCCCCCGCTTTAGCTCCCAGGGCTTACCGCCATTCCCTTTCCCCACAGTAGCACCGAGTTCCTTAATTGGAACTAGCCTCTACTCATTATATCTTTGCGCTGGCGATTATCCGTCCTCCACCCGCTCAAACTCCCAGAAGTCTGGTTCAACTCCACAAAGCGTCTTCCCCCCTACATGATCCCGGCTTCTAGCAGCTCACCAGGCTTCACCGTAGCCTGTCAAATGCAGTCACATCTGCGAGATCACCGTCGCCCGGTGTTGATTACGAGCACGAGCCACAGCAATCGTGTTGCGGGTATTTGACATCGCTTCAAAGTTCCGCATAGGGATCTGCTCCCGTTCTAAGTTGCACCCCTTTTGGTATGTCACGGCTAGTTCGGTCGATTTTACAACACTTGTTCCCCAAAACAGATTCACATCGTGGCGTACGTAACTCATTTAAGAGACCAAGAGGTTAGAGTCGGATAGCCCGGGGCCATCCATATTACCCGTACGAACTGCGCAAGAACGATCTTGACGTGTTCCAGCATTAGCAGCTTCACATAACCGGCAAACCCCTTTTTTGCCCTTCAAATTACCCATTACGCAATACGAGTCTTCTCGAATTCTCGCATCCAGTAAGATCGGCACTGAATCGAATTTATCTGGGCAGCTTGGAAAAATGCCAGGAAAGCGGCACTTATCCGTCAAAGCCAAAAGTCCCAACACCATGATTCACACCCATCGGTCCAGATGTGCCATCAGCTAAACCATGCACTTAATTTACGCTACCGACAACTGTCTTCTGCCTTCTTCGGTGACCGACAGGACGGAAGAAATCAATACTTGTAGCAGTCGGCAATATCGTTCAATTCCTCTCATTCAGCGGCTTTTCGGAATGATGATGCCACGCTTACTTCCATCGGCCTGGCAACTTTTCCAGATACCCGTATCCGCTTTGGGGAAAGCCTCGTTACTTGATTGATTCCACATTGACCCTGGTAGTTATGTATGCGCCGATGGCGTGCTGCTAATACAGAAGCTCTACGGGAAGGACTAGGCTAATTACCTTTCTGGACGTCCCTTCCAAGACGCCATATCATCATCTCCCTCGGCATTTCGTGGCTTAAGATTGGCGCTACTGGAAACATCCACCTTTGTTGGCCATGAAGCTTCACTGCTACTCTGCTTCTACGGCAACCACAACAGCCTATACAGGTTAAGGCAACCCACATATGTCATTTGAGCAGGTCTATACCACTATACCAACATAGCACTTGACACAAGTCACTGTATATGGTGCCAGCTGTGCTCGTCTAAGTCCGTTGTCCTACATGACCACTAGGCGAAAATAAGTCAAGCAGACTCATGCTTCAGTAGCGCCCACGAGTCTATTAGGAAAGAGATCAAACGATCATTCTCGAGTCTGAATAGTCATTCGAGTTTTAAATAGTCACGCCACCAGATTTCTGAGTCACAATACAGGTTCCAAATGGTCTAGAACAGTACGATGGTCCACATTAATTTGTGCTTTCCAGGAATCAATCTCGGCGCTTAGCATGGCCTCGATGGAGAAAATCCCTAAGCTGTGTCAAGGAATCTGTTTGTATCTCCAAACATTATTTTAAGGTAGAAAGGGCCGGGCGTGATTCAGCCAGCCAAGACACATCAGGTGTGAGCGTCGCATGACAGTGCTGATCAAAGAGCGACATGACAGGGAGATGCCAGTACGAGAACCTAGTCACAGAGATCAAGGCTGAGAATCTCGTCCCAGAGCCGCCGTCCACTAATGCTTAAATGCAGAATGAGAAGGAAAGGTGTCGATCCCTCCCGCAAATTTGGCTAAACCCAATACGAAACTGCATGTACAATCCCTGTCCTCATGTATGTCCTACCAAAGTTTGCGCATACACGGACAAATTTTGTACTGGGTTCCTGATGCTGCAGCCTGCGCCTCTAACTACCGATTGACGCTCAGGAGTGGAGCTTTTGTTATTGGACCCTTGGGGTTGCAAGGCTTTTCTCCAGCACGGCATCGTGACGATCATCGTATCCAGATCAATTCGATGTCGTCAAGTGGTAATTGTTAGACCCTTGTAGGTCACCCAGGGCCACGTATCGCTATGAATACCATCACGTTAGGTAAAGACAAAGTATTAGCGCTAAGAATACTGACCTTTATGGTCGTGTTGCAGGAGACCGCGCACCACAGGATCAGCCATTCATTCCATCCGAGCTTTCTAGGCAAGACACCAGATACGTGGACGCCGCTGAGGTAGCAGTAGAGGGGCTGACCATCTGCCACCGGCTGACGCGATCAGCGTAGCAGTTGAGAAATTCATAGCGCCATTGCTGGGGCCAAAGTGTGAAATTTCAGATTCCAACTCGTGCTACCCTTGATGCTTCAACGAAATTTCTGAGGAATCTCAAATGATTCATTTTTACGTTCACAATGGCATCAAATTCTACTCAAAACTGTGCGTCAGTTGACGATACATTCGGTCCTTATGCCGGAGAGCAATGTCGGGGAGGCTTTGATTTCACCCTTCTTTTTGGAGAGGTGTTCCTCTCTATATTGCCTCTTGCTCTACTCCTTGGAGTTGCGCCATTTCGGATTGTGTATCTTTGGGGGAAGCACATCAAACTCTCAAGATCTTCTCTTCTATACACAAAGCTAGTATGAAGTGGCCCATGGTTAACCTGTACTGAAAGCTAACTATCACACAACAGATAGCTTGGACGCTATTAGCTAGTTTCGACCTCGCTCTCCTTGTTATATGGGCAAAACGTCGAACACAAAAGCATCGCGCCGAACTGCCCTCCGCAGTCATCAGTTTCGTCGGCGCACTCGTATTAGGGCTACTCTCATTCTATGAGCATCTACGTTCCATCCGACCATCGTTCCTATTAAACGTATACCTCCTCTTCACCGTATTCTTCGACGTAACTCGATCACGCAGCTATGCACTCTCTCCCGATCTTGACCTCATTGCAAACATCTTCGCTACGCGGGTTGCCGTTAAGGTGTTCCTCGCGATATTCGAGGCTAGAGGGAAACGAATGCTCCTTCTTCCGGAGTTCGCTGACTGCCCGCCGGAGGCTACAAGTGGAGTATATAAGCGCACATCGTTTTGGTGGCTCAACGAGCTGTTCAAAAAAGGTTTCTCTAATTCACTGACGGTGGATGACCTTTTCCATCTGGACAAGCATCTGAAGGCCGACTACCTACACCATTCGCTAGGGTCGGCATGGGATAGACGTGAGTGACCCTACCTATTGTCTTGTCTTTTTCGGTATGCTGACCTATTCTTTAGTAACCCGGGCTAGTCCACACTCCCTATTCGTGGCGACATTGAAGAAACTCCGATGGCACATACTAGCGGTCGTACCACCTCGACTTTGCCTAATTGCCTTCAATTTCTGCCAGCCATTCCTGATCCACAGGGCCGTAAACTTTTCCCAGCAAAGTGTCACGCCTCAAACAACCAACATCGGTTACGGTCTGATCGGCGCATATGTCCTGGTTTTTGTCGGTATTGCAGTATGTAGATTAGCGAGAACGCCGATCATGCAGCGAGTTCGCTAATAATTTGTGAAGGTATCGACGGGCCAATACATGCATTCAACGTTCAGGTTCATCACCATGATGCGCGGTGGTCTCGTTTCAATGCTGTACAGCAAGGCTACTGACATTGCGTTGACTGACGTGGATGTTGCCTCTTCGCTTACACTAATGAGCGCGGACGTTGAGCGCATTGTTACCGGTATGGAGACTGGTCATGAGGTATGTATTCTATTTCGGCATCCAATGGTCTCTAGGAGGCACACGAAGCCCCAGAATTGCCCCTCACATTTCCCATTGCCTGGTGCCATATCCATTGCTGACTTGGTTCCCTTTTGAAGATCTGGTCCAATACACTAGAAATTGCCTTAGCGATGTATCTCTTGGAACAACAACTAGGCGTCGCGTGCGCAATTCCGATTGGCGTCGCAGTTGGTATGTTCGGTCCGACCAAAGTACTACTAGCACACGCTAATGTCTAGTTCAGTATCGCTCCTCGGGTCCTTGGGTGTCACTAGCTTAATCATGCAGCGTCAAGCATTATGGCTTGAGGCCATCGAGAGACGCATCGCTGCTACAAATGCGATGCTGAACTCTATGAAGGGCGTGAAGATGTGTGGCCTTACTGATGTGTTGCGAGACGATCTTCAGCAACTTCGTGTGGATGAGCTCAACATTTCCAAGAAGTTCCGGAAGCTTCTCATCTGGACCATGGGTTTTTGTTAGTCCTATACTCTCTCACTTCTTGGCCACAATACTAACATTGACCAGCGTACATCTCACCAATAGTTGCACCTATTCTTGCGTTCGCTGTGTTCTCGATACTCGCCCAGAAAAGCGGCGGGGCTAGTACGCTTGATACTGCTACCGTTTTTACATCTCTTTCTCTTTTTACCCTGCTGACAGAACCTCTTGGGTCGCTCATCATGGCCCTCTCGGCGCTCATGGGAGGCATCGGCTCGTTCAAGAGGATTCAGGAGTTCATCTCTACGAAAGCGAGGACCGAAAAACGCAAGTTCCCCTCTACTCAAAGTAGCGTAGCTTGGGTTTCAGATATAGGCAGCGAGTCTGAGAAGGTGTCCGATGCCTCACAGAAGAGTCAACTGTCGTTGGAGGTTAGGGACGGAGGCTCGCTAGGGTCTCAGGCTATTGTCATCGAGAATGGATACTTCGGGTGGGACAAGGAAAGGCAATCGCTGGGTACCTTGCAGGCGATCAACATGGTCGTCCCACGGGGTAAGATAACCATGGTCGTGGGTCCTGTAGGGTGCGGAAAGTCAACCCTGCTCAAAGCTGTCCTGGGAGAACTGCCGCTCATGGGTGGCACACTACAGGTGTCGTCCCTGCGAATCGCGCTGTGCGACCAGACTGCATGGCACGTGAACGGCACAGTGCAGGAAAGCATTATTGGTGTTTCGGATTTCGATCAGCGCTGGTATTCATCGGTTGTTCGTGGCTGCGCATTAGATGAAGATCTACGACAGCTTCCACAGGGAGACCAGACCCAAATTGGGAGCAAGGGTATTGCATTGAGCGGAGGTCAGAGCCAGCGCATAGTGAGGCTCCTCCGATATTCACCCCACCTTCCCTTTATGGCGAATCGCTGATAACACAATGTTTACAGGCACTTGCTAGAGCGGTTTACGCCCAAAAGGACATCGTCATTCTTGATGATTGCCTCAGCGGGCTCGACGGCCAGACAGAGAATCGAATCTGGCACAGCCTCTTCGGCCATGAAGGCTTGCTTAAGCGATGCAGAACAACTGTTCTGATCGCTTCATCGTCAGGTAAGTGCCATAGCTACCTCCCCAGTCTCGCACGACACATACTAACGCCGCCTGCTTTGCGATAGCCAAACGTCTACCTTATTGCGACCACATTGTTGCACTCGATAAGGAGGGCAAAATTATCGAACAGGGCACTTTCGAGAAACTCAATATCTCTGGCGGTTATGTGTCAGGCTTCGACCTCCCACCACCCGACTGGGAGTTCACCCTGGAGAAGCACATCTATGAGGCTCCGCCAAAATACACGGAGCGTCAAACATCTAGCAAAGTCACTGAGGATGATATACAAGCCGAGGCAAATCGACGCACCGGCGATATAGCTATTTACTTGTATTATATCGGGTCGGTGGGCTGGATCCCGACTATTATTTTCATCGTTTCCATGATCATTTTCATTTTCGGCATATCCTTTCCATGTAAGTCTTCTCCAATCTTCATCTATATCATGGATACTGACATAGCGTCAGCGATCTGGGTAAAAATGTGGGCTGAGTACAATGAACGGTTCCCAAACCAACGCCTGGGGTACTACCTGGGTATATACGCCATGCTAGGTGGACTGGCACTCTTCTTTCTCATCGTCAGTTGCTGGTATGTATGTCGTATTTTTACAGCAAAAGCGGCACTCACAATATTTAGGCAACTCATCATCACAATGGTCCCCCGCTCTGGGGTCATTTTTCATCAGAAGCTGCTTGACACGGTACTTGGGTAAGTGATATTAGTACAACTACTAAACCCCGCATACTGACAGGGATAAGATCGCCCATGTCTTTCTTCTCAACTACCGATACCGGAGTCACTCTCAATCGTTTCAGCCAAGATCTCATGTTGATCGATATGGAATTGCCGGTGGCGGCGCTCAATACCTTCGCAAGTACGTGCCAAGATCTCTCAGCTTAGTTCCCTGTAGGCATGCTGACGTCAATGAAGCATTTGTCCTCTGCATAAGCCAAATGGCTCTCATCGCCGTCGCTGCTCCCTTTGCAGCCATATCCTTTCCGGTTGTAGGTATCAGCGTCTACTTCATCCAAAAGTTCTACCTTCGCACATCACGCCAGCTTCGCTTCCTGGATCTCGAAACGAAGTCACCCCTCTATACTCAGTTCAGTGAGATACTTGAGGGCCTAGCGACTATACGGGCATTCGGATGGCAGAGCTTCGTTGAGGATAAAGCCAAAGCGCTACTCGATCGCAGTCAACGCCCCTTCTATCTCCTCTTCGCGGTCCAGCGTTGGCTGACCTTCGTCTTGGACCTCGTCGTTGCGGCTGTTGCTACTATCCTCATCATTCTTGTTGTCGCGCTGAGGGGGAAATTGAGTGCTGGCTATGTTGGCGTTGCGCTTCTCAATGTCGTACTATTCTCCCAAAGTATCAAGCTGCTCATCTCGTTTTGGACTCAGCTGGAAACGCATATTGGTAGCGTAGCCAGGATCAAGAATTTCACAACCGATGCCGTCACCGAAGACCAGGAGAATGAGGACCACATTCCGCCGCCTAATTGGCCGAGCGCAGGCAAGATCGAGTTCAAGAATATTGAGGCGTATCACCGGTACGGATTTTACCCGACTTACACATATTCATGTTCTTAGCTAACTTTATAGGCCGGGCGAGCCAGTCATCTCAGACTTCTCGTTATCCATCAAAGCAGGCGAGAAAGTTGCCATTGTTGGCCGGACTGGAAGGTAAGCTTCATCGTGTCCTTTCGTACTGCCTATCTAACGTGATTGTAGTGGCAAATCCTCGCTTGTCCTCTCCCTCTTCCGCATGATCGAGCTTTCAGCAGGCAGCATAACCATCGACTCCCTCCCCCTGCACCGCGTTCCCCGCCAGACCATCCGCTCGCGCCTCATCGGCCTACCCCAAGACGCCTATCTGCTCCCCGGGTCCGTGCGTCTTAATGCCGATCCGCTGAAGCAGAGCCACGATAAGGCCATCATGCAGGCGCTAAAAGATGTCCAACTCTGGGATGTCATCGTCGCTAAAGGCGACGTGGAGAGATACGCCCATCCGCTCGACGTAGAAGTCGAAGACCTGCACTTCTCACACGGCCAGCGGCAATTATTTTGCTTAGCAAGGGCGCTGTTACGGAGGGAGAAAGCAAGTGTCGTTGTGTTGGATGAAGCTACTAGCAAGTAAGTCTTTTCCCGTCTCCCATCCCACTCCTTGACTTTCCCATACCCTCCTGGTCACCGTAATTAACTCGCCAAAAGCCTCGACCACGCAACCGATTCCCACGTCCAGCGCCTTCTACGCTCAAAATTTCCATCCCATACGCTTATTGCTGTGGCACACAAACTCGATACGGTCCTTGACTTTGACAAGGTCGTTGTCATGAATCAGGGCCAGCTCGTCGAGTATGGGGAGCCGTATAAGCTGCTTGAGCGCCAGGGTAGTTGGTTCAAGAGTCTGTACGAGGAGGTGAATAGGATCGAGGGTCCTATGGAGGATGAAGATATCATGCAGATTGCCCAGTGAGTAGTGTAGGGGAGATGTATATAACGCTCGTTTTATGGATATTAGGGGATAAGATGAGAATTCGAGGAGGGCATAAGTACATATCTGATAGTTGTGTGGCAAAATTGAAATGGAGCTGGAGGTCTTTATATGTAGTATGTGTACGGTGAATGGAGATGTCACGTGCCTCATCATTCACTGTGGTCAGATGATGGGCAAGAGTGCGCTGAAGTCCATCACGGTGTATTATCATCTAATATTCAATCTAGAAGGCTAGATGCCTTCAGATCGTTGTGTCCTATCCATCCGGACTATCAAAACACTGCCCGTAGGCCCCCAGGGTATTCTGCAGGTACCATCTCAACCATCATCCCTCCCCATGTCATCCTTCAGGTCCATAACCCCTTCTCAAGCGACACGCACCAGGTCGACGACAACATTCTGGCCCTGCTGGGCAAAACCATGTCCCAGCCAACCCCGGATGTCGTAAAGGACATTTACCGGGTCCTGGTCCTTGGTGGCGTTTGCGGTCATGTCGCTGTCGATGTATTCGATGCGAACATGGGTGAGCGAGCGACATGCGAAGAGGGCGCCGAGATCATACTTGGCGGCGACGTCTGCATATGGCATGCATTTGCGATCCTTGGACCTGACCGGGTCCAACTTCTCGCATTCGATCATCTCACGCTCACTGCCGAAAGCTGACTTTGTGATACCCGCAGTGTGCATCCTGAAGGTCAATTCGCGCAGGTTGGGGAGATTCTTTGCCATCTCCAGGTTCGGGTTGTGGAGACGGTTGTTGGCGATTCCAGAAAACCAGTGGAATCCTGGTAGCTCGAGCTTGGTGACGGCGGTGTAGAGTCCGGGGAGAGATGGCGATCCGAACATGACTCCTGCGAAGTGGACGTCGGGAGGGCAAGCGACGTTGAAGGTCAGACCGGCAACGTAAGGCAAGACCACGTTGGTCCACTGGTCTGGATTGTTGGAGTCCAAGACAACTCCATGAAGGAAGGCGGGCTTGTGGGGATTGGCGTTGGGCCGCTCGCGTTCGGCCGTCATGTAAACGGCGACTGGGCCTAGAGAGGAAATATATAAGTGAGTGACTTGAGGAGGACGAAAGAAGGTACGTACCAGTGGCGAGCAATGCCTCAATACCTGAGGCGTGGCCTTGGCCAATAGGTGCAGCGATAGCACCATGCTGGACTTGTGAGCGGGAAGAGTCCTGCTCCGAACTCTCATGCAGGCTCTGAAGGTGCTGGAAATGAAGGTAGTTAGCAACAAGAGTCTAGATTGCTTTCGATCATGACAACGAACTTGACCGGCTCCAGGAGCGTACGCGTTGGCGGTCGCACGAAGCGGAGCTGCTGTTGATGTTAGTAGATGCAATTTGAGATGTAGTCAGGAGGTTCTTACCACCACTGCCGGCGGAGTGGCTAGAGCGCCTGGTGACATTGCGGTTGGGAGTAGAGCTCATATTGTCGGAGTTGTTGTTGACTAGGTGAGCAAAGAGGGTGAAGAAGGGAGGCAGAGTCAAAGAAGTAGTGTGGAAGTAAGAAGTTGGACTGGCGTAAGCTTTACAGCTGGTGGAATAGAGAGTTACTAGCTGTGGAAGCTGCTTACTGTGGTTGGTGGTGGAGTAGAAGTAGCGGGCGAGGCAAAAGCTTTATTTATGCCCTCGGGGGCGTTTGCAAGGCAGCTCTCACGTGTTCGTTTACGGCGGGAAGAGGGTCATGTGTGGGGCAAGAGCGTTTGCTCTCAGTCAGAATAGTAAAAGAGAAGGTGAAGCGCGCTACGGAGAGTGCAAAAGCGCGGGCGCACGAGGTGAAAGAGGAAAAATGCCGCAACCCGACATGTGTATATGATCGCGAAAAGATATTCTTCGGCTGTAGTGATGTTCAGGCAATTATAGTATGATTTTTTGACCATTTCTCCTGCGGCGGGCGGGCCATTTTATGTGGTGGGAACTTTCGCTCTCAGTGCACCCGTGGGCGCAACCGCGGGCGTGACCGATACATCCGCCCCTCTCACAAGGCTTAGCAGAACGCGTGGGGTAGTCAGGAGTCTTGCGGCATGTAAGTGACGCGACCACAAGGTGATAGAGTGAGATGGTGCAGTCAGGAGTTATAGCATGTGAGTGACCACAATCAGAGTGATAGAGCGAGAAGACGTAATGATGAGGGAGGGAGAGGATGTCCATGTGTACCATCATGGATAACGGGATGATGACCTGAATATTAGACCCCAGTTCTGTTTGTGGCTACTGCTCCTGTACCAGCTGTTTCTCAAGCCCTACCGCATTGGCAGCTTATTTTCGCTCGATAAGAAACATGCAAATCGCGAGATCGCATGTCCCATGCCTACCCGAGAACTCAACTAAGTGCTTGCGAACCTGCTTCACCTCGTTTCGAACCCGCCCTTCTTTTACAGTCGCGAAGGCAAGGTGTACCAAGACCCACTCCGCCAGCTCCCTGAAAGCGCGCAAAAGATAACCGCAGCCCGTATCAATCAGAAACTCCATTTTAAACTTCTCAAGGTGCTCCAGTTCATGGAGGCTTGATAAGCCCCAAAGACCAGCAACGCGCTCTACGTTGATGACAGCGTCGGTGGGTGTGGGTGTCGACACGCGACCTCCCGGGCGAAGAACTCCAAGCGTCGTGAACTGAAGGAAGGACTGGGTGTTGATCGTGATAGTCAGCTGCTTCAAGCCTTGACATGACTGGATAAGAGCGAGTTCCCGACCTCGAGGTGAGAAGTACCGAAGTGAACGTGCGAAGTCAGGGAATGCGAGTCGCTGTATAGCAGACCGCGCGCAGACTGGTAGATTGCCTAGGAACTCGTCGAGGTATGCTGCATCTACGCCTGAATGGATGTAGAACCGTGTCTTCTGAACAAGCATCGGGAAAAGTTCGGCGTTGAGTTGCTTGTTTGCAAAGGCGATGCCGGGGAAGCACTTGAAGAATGGTTTGCACTTTGGTTTAGGTAGGTTGTTGTTGTCTAATTTCTGTCGGGCAACGCGGTATACGGCGACATCGATCTCGTATGGAAAGCTGAGAGTGATGTATGCGTATATACGATTTCGAAGCTCGCCTGGGAGATGCATCCAGCCCATGGTGTTGGGAGATTTGATAGAGAGTTGAGTCAGCGCTACTGTTAAGGAATCCATGGTCGTGGTCTGGTTGCGCTACTCACTCTGAACAATGATGTGACTAGGTGTAAGTAAATCTTATCGAGTCACGACGTACCAGGCTCACGTGATGTAGGGTTTGGGGGCACGTTTACTCTCTGCCCGTCTGAGCGTTACCCCCGCAACATAAAACTTGAAACGCAGAGAAGATTAGTAGGCTAGCGGTGCTAGCAACCCATCGTCTCAATGTCTAAATGATAGTCTTCTGCGCATCAGCTCCTTGATGTCCTTTGGATTACAAGATATTGCGGGACATACGCTATCAGAAGATTGGTGTTCAAGAGAGCTGAGGGAAGAGAAATGACTGTACTTTGCGCAAACTTGGCTAACGTTCTGTGTAGAATAAAGGAAAGAACGGAAGACGGGTGGGCTCGAAATTGAACAGACATGGGAATGGGACTGGAAGAGTAAACGGCCAAGGAATGTGGGGGACGGAGACGCATCACCACCGAGATGCAGGGAACCAAATCCGGGGAAACCTGTCGGTAGTATCAAGTATTCTATACACGACTGATAGCACTCTCTTCGCAAAGTCTTCCATGTCCGGGTACCTAAATTTTAGCGTCCTAATACGCGTATCCCTGGCAGCGATTTTGGAGTAGAACGGGAGGGAACATCAACTCTAGCACGAGAAGCTGTCTGTATACGTTGTTGGAGATTACTAGAGTGCATATTCGACATGGGGTAGGCAAAAATTACGTGCAACTAGATGGCATCCATGACCATGACTGAGGTTGAGCGACGAGGCTTTGATTTGGGGGTATGGAGCTGACGTAATGAGCGCGCTCGCAACATTGAAACGTATCCCTGACATGTCCCAACGCCTTGACCCGTACGGCTCAGACGTCTCACCACGCGCAGTTCCTAGCCACAATGGCTCACGGCGTGCCTTATCACTCCTGCCGCGAACATGGCTGAGTATAATTGCTAATACGGGGCCTCACATTCCGTTGTTTATCAGCTCAACGCGTCCCCGACATGCCAGTGTTCACATACATGTGCGTGCGACACAACTCCAGACCTCCCCACATTTCGCGCCCCCATAGCCACGGCTTGCCACAATGGTAGCGCAACCCTCGCCGCGAGACTCGATAGAAGAAGGAGCACCCTTCCTTCCCTCCACCGGCCCGACCGCGTCCCTCCCACTCGTACCGCCGCCGTCGAAGAAGAAGCCGTGGGTGCTGCTCGTACTTCTAGCCTTTGCCTTGGTCGCCATCATCGATGTTGGCGCATTCCTCGCTGAACCGCCTAAAATTCGCGTTTACGAGGCGAACCTCTGCCTCCTCTACTACCGCGAACATGACCCGTCGGTCATTGGCGACAATGGCGCTATACCCGAGCAGCTGTGCAAGGTCGATGCGGTGCAACAGAAGATGGCTATGATCTTTGGCTGGCAGGACATGTTCGATGCAATACCAGGTATACTGCTGGCGGTGCCGTTTGGGACGCTTGCGGATAGGATTGGGAGGAAGTGGATATTCGCTGCCAGTCTGATGGGCCTGCAGCTCAGCTCTGCGTGGGCGCTGCTCATCTGTGAGTGTACTGGAATCGACAGGCAAAAGCGACGGATGCTGACATGTGTGCAGGCTACTTCAAGACGCTACCACTCCAATTGACCTGGTTCTCGTCCGTCTTCTTCTGCATTGGCGGCGGGCCTATCGTAGCCATGGCTATCGGCATCACCATGATCGCCGACATCGTGCCCCCGGAGAAGCGAACCACCATCTTCCTATACTTGACGTCATGCGTGCTAGTTGCAGAGATGGTAGCACCGATAATGTCAGCACGCCTGATGGAGAAAGGAGACTGGCTGCCGCTATTGCTGGCTTTGGCAATCCAGCAGGTCGGCATCTGCGTTGCCTTCTTCTTCCCCGAAACGCTTCACTTGCGTGACCTGCCAGAGCCAGCAGACGGTGACAACCAGGAGCTTGAGCTCCAGCCAAAGGGCAGTAACTACTCGCTCAGAGCACAGCTTCGGAACTTCCAAACCGCAATTGACTTCCTCAGGAGCGACTGGACGTTAGGTTTGGTCGTATTCTCGTTCCTCGCCAACAGGCTCGGAAGACAGGGAATAACTCTGCTCGTCCGCTATGCCTCCAAGCGCTATGGCTGGGAGATTAAGAAAGCAGCCTACCTCTTGTCGTTCCGCGCCGCCACTAATCTGGTTGCCATTACAGTCTTCATTCCCATCATCAACTACCTTTTGCTGAAGAAGTTCCGCCTCGTTGCGCACTGGGCCGATCTCTGGATCGCCCGGGGCTCCATCGCACTGACCACGATATCCTTCTTCGTCATGGGTATCGCTACACAGCCAGCTCTCCTCATCATTGGCCTTCTCATCTACAACCTCGGCACGGGCTACAATGCCGCCATGCGCTCTGTCTCCATCCACGTCGTGGGCGGGCAATCGAGTCCCGACATCGGAAAGCTGATGAGTACAATCGCCATTGCTGAGAGCATTGGTGCAATGATTGCCGGACCCGTGCTAAATGAGCTGTTCCAGTGGGGTATGGATCTAGGAAGTGCATGGCTGGGCCTTCCTTTCCTAGCATCCGTGATAGTGTTTGCCGGTATGACGGTCGTCACAATGTTGATCAGTGTGAAAGATAAAGAGGTTGTGTACGCCGAGCTTCTTAGCGACGATGAAGATTATATGGACGAGGAAGAGGGAGCTAGGACTTCGGCACGCGAATGAGCAGTGCTGTCTAGATACGCTCCTCGAGCGCCAATGCAACTATGTTGGACGCAACTTTGAGATCAGTTGATGAAAGAGTGACCACCGACTGATTGGTTGCAAGACACAGTCCCAAAACGATGGGTGGTACCTGCGACAAGACGGCATACCTCGTGGTTGTGACTACTGGATGAAGAGACGAAGAAGGCACGATAATCACCGCGCGAGCGCCATGTTGGACAAGCAGCAGCTCCAACTCCATCCTCTGTTAGTGTGGTCTCTCTTTATTACCACGCCATCGCGCTGTGCCTCTTACCGCTGTTTCTGCTACATGTTGTCAACACCTCTTTAGCAGTGCCTTGCTACGTTGGACTCACCGTCTTACCACTCTACCACAGCCCCCACTAGTCTTATACCGTCCATCAGATGCTGGCTCGGGCATCTAGCGATGCCGGCACCCGCCTACGTCGCTCCAAGTCCACCTCGACTGTTCACAGGCATCCGCCTCCCATTTCAGAGTCTTGGGATCCGGACGTGGCACAACAACATGCCCTGGCCGCTGCCACTGCTGCATTTGCCCGAGCCCAGGTCCACGATACGACCGACCGCAAAACGAAGCGCAGCTCCGAGACGACGAGGTCAAAGAGTAATGCCAGCCGCAAATCCCTCACAGCCCAGGGCAGCCACTTCCCACCGCGAGAGTCAAACTTCCGATCTTTGCAACCCCAGAAGACTGGACGGACGTCAAGCCCCCAGCGGCCGTCTCCATCGTCCACAATGAACCCGCAGCCATTTCCGCCCTTCTCCGCCATACCAAGCAGCGATAGGCCTTTATCCGTACCTCGACTTTTATCAGCGCAACCCTCCATCACCTTCAACGAGACTGCTCGACCGGGCTCCCAGCCAAAACCTCTTCGACAAAGCGCTTCTTCATCGGCCACCTCGCAACAGATCCGAAAGGCGCGCTCCATGTACTACGCAAGCAGCATTCAGACCGGTTCGCCTATCGCTCGGCCACCAGCGAAATACCTCACTACACCGCCTCCCATGAGTGTCAGCCCTACACTGGAGATTTTACCTGCCCCTCCGCCGACCCGAATACTAGGACCATCACCGCTTGCAGGGCCACGCATTCCTGTCAGTGTTGCGGCTGACGAGTCGATTGACAACGCGCGGGACAAGTACCTGCAGAGCTTCCAACAGAGAACGGTCAAGCACAAACCATCCATCTTCCTAGCGCCCTTCAAAAAGAGACAAGACAAAGCGAAGGATAAAGGGAGGCGGATCACGTCCGGAATTTCCTCTGTTTCCACGAGCAGCCATCGCACACCCGACGAGTCGACTGTAGACTTTAGTCTGACCGATTTTCTCCCACAACCAGAGGTAAAGGAGAAACGATCTTTCTCTGGCTCGCTCAAAAGCAAGTTCAAGAAGGTGTTCAGACGTGGATCGAACAAGTCGCCGAACCTCCCTGTGCAGCAAATCGAAGCGAGTCGCGACTACTCACATTTCAGTCCACCATACGTTCATGATGCATACGCAATACCAAGCCCAGACAAGGAGACATTGCAACGAGTCCGCTCTCGCACTCCATCGCTTGAGGGAGCGCGTCCGGGATTTGTCAGATCCGGTTCCCGCAGCAGTAGCAACGGAAGCGGTCGAAGTAACAGGAGCAATCGCAGCCTCCACAGTGAGGTCAACGCCACGAATGAGTCTGTATCGCGTGTGACAAGCTGGGGAACCTCATCCACTGGAGACACATTGACTCAAAGAGCCGTTAAGCGCCTGACCGTCATTCACGAAGCCAAAGACAGCATCGGAAGCGAGGCAGAGCGCTTGGCATGTATTATGCCAAAGAGAAAACTGATACCCGTCCCATCACTTGCTGCCTTCCGTGATCCCATTCCAATGGAGGAACTCACTGAGGAATCCCTTACGTCCGTCGATCCAAAGCGTGTTTTCTCGGCGTTGATGCGAGAGATTGACGCGTCAAAGTCTGCAAGATCTCCGTCAGACGTTGCCGAGCGAACTCCAGGTGCAGAGAGCGATGTCTTTGAATCGAGCGCCACCAAAGGGCTCCACTATCCAGCTAGAGAGTTGCACTCGAGCGCTAGTCGAGACTTCCGACCCAGTATGGGCAGCGACCAGCGCCCGCCCTCGCGACGACCTCAGAGTGCGGCAGCCCAAAGTGCACAGAGCAAGACTAGCACCATTAGGTCTCTTGGTAGGGCGATCAGATCGACTATACGCACAGTCACACCTGCAGAGCAACGGTCTTTACCAGATAATGAACCTACAGGTAGCGTGGGTGGTGCCGTGCACATTTCGAAAGACGACATGAAAACGCCCTTGTCCGTCAGTGCCCCTGGATCCGGAGGAAGCGATATAAGCAACCCAACGGATGACTCCCTGGACGTCCAAGGTGCCAGCATCAAGTAGGTGCCATCCTTTTTGGGTTGTTTCCCAATTTTTCTAACTGAACTAGATGTCATCCCGAGCATGAAAGGGTCCCGACTCCACTGTTTACACCTTCGCCTGCACAAATCGAGCAGCGTATGGAAAGGGCCAAGGACCGTTGGAAGACACCTTTAGATGGTGCTGAAACACTTCGGTTCCCACGCGAGACCAATCGAACCTACAACGTAACCAATTTCACCGAGCACACAATATCCTGCGAGACGCCTATCAACAGCGTGGAATCTATTGGGCCAAGGCCAGTCGATAGCCATGAGCGCGGCGGGCACAGAACTCGAGAATTGCCAGTGTCACTAGAGTCTCCAACACCACCCAATCGTCGACCTCTGATGTCACCATTGTCTCCAAGTCTTTACTCGCGGAATACGGATAGAATCAGTATTCTTCCGAACGAAAGCGTCATATCTTTCGGCGCGCCTGAAAATCCTCAATCCTTACATGACGGAGGCTCGGCGATCATCTTGACGAGCCAGTCGGTGCGAAGCTACGTGATCGGCACTCCATCTCCTCGTCGTGTAGAGCCGACGCGAACTAGTCACGAATGGAAGACATGGCTTTCACATGAAGTCTCAGGGATGGAGCTCTCCAGTCAAGAGGACCTGAAGATTCACGAACGAGATATGACTCCATCTGGCCAACATCGGCGCGACATCGCACGTACTTCGCACACTGAGCATGACGAAACGACTGTCATTCTGCGGGATACTGACGAAAATTGTACTACAGGACCGGGCTCTGAGAGTCTACTGGACACCGATACTTCCAACGCCGTAGGACATCTCAATACTCGCGACCCGTCCAAGCAGCAAGGCAGACCTACTCCATCAAAAGGGACTACTCTTGTGCTTGAGAAGTCGCAGTCGCATCCAGACACCTTTAAAGAAGTATCGCCGGCCCACCCACCCACCATGACCCTGAATGAGGAACCTCAAGCGCGAATAATCTCCTCTCGGCCGAAATTATCGCCACTTTTGACTAGACAGGGCCCGCCTCTTACACCCAGTAGCTATCCGTCTACATCACAGCCCGTGATTGATACACCGAGGTCTTCGCGTATGAACGACCGTTTTCCGTTCATCGAAACCGGGCGCTCGAGCAGCAACAGTGCAATGTCGTCATGCCATTCCAAGTCACCGACCGACAGCATCGCATCGCTGAAGTCATTCAAGTCGCCAAAGACAATACCAAGCCCCAAAATATACTCAGATCTTTCCACTCCAGCCGCCAACCAAACTCCGCATCGCTTACGAAACACGGCTTTGAAGAGAAGCGATGCGCAACTCAGGAAGAAAGAGAACGCTACACCACCATCCTTGCTTCACAATGCCGGGCCTAATATCGGTTTGATGGGGTCAACACCCCGGCCGAAGTCATTGCAGCCATTTGCTTCTACAACCCTCAATCAGAATACGCCCAAGACGGGACTGTACGTGACGAATGCTCCTGATACCAACCCCGGAATGCACAACCCGAGTCCTTCCGTGACATCTCAACGCCCACGCGTGCGTGTCACTGTGCGCCCTCAATCCCCAGACAAGCTTTCACGCCGCCCAAAGAGCGCTTTCGACCTTCGCCAAGGCAACACACGATACCCGTTGCAGGCGAACGGAATACCACAAATTGCGACTCTCGAAACACCCTCGCCCAGTCCGTCATTGGAGCTACGCGGTCATGTGCTGGACGGCAAAACTTCATCGACTTCGCTGGCGCTTGGCAAGGAACCGAGCCCGGGGAAGGAAGTACGAGTCATCGATAGCGTACTTGACAGCGAACGCAGTGGCAGTATCACACCTGGACAGCGCCTAGCGGACCGTTTCTTAAGGGAGAGGAAGAGTACTACCGTACTGGAGAACGGAAAGATGAGAGGAGGGCTGAGGTTGGTCAGGGAGGACACGCCTGCGTTCCTCTAATATCTGAGTATCTTTTGATGTGTTTTGGAAACAGCGAAAATACCGCAGTATCCATATTATGGCTGAACATATCGAGGTGGACGGTTAGTGGGGCCTTCAATTTGATTGAGCCACTACGGACTCTTGGATAGAGGTATCCAGTATGGCTTTACGTGCCGGTATCAGGTTGAATATGGGATTTTTGTATGGCTGGCGACGTTGCACGGCATATGGCCTGTATTTTAGGGGTGAAGCATCAATTGAAATCTACATTACTACTCCTCTGGACCCTCGATGTGCGTGTAACCAGCTGACCGGTTTTTCCCCGCTGTTAGATTCGATCAATTCAACTTTTCACGACTCTTGTACCCGGGCACCCTTATCTGAATCTCAATAATGCTCTGATTCATGAGGCTATCTTGTAAATGTGGGTCTCTCTGTACATCTGAAATAGAGGCTTCATACCTAGTGCCGAATTTTCTTCTCATTCACACTCCCCCGTAACGCGCAAATTGTGGTTGTTGTGCAGGTATCTGATCCCAGATTGCGATAAGTTTGTATATCGTAGATACCTATAGATGAGGGTGATTGTATCTATCAAAGCGCAAACGCGTTGACTCCACTAGCAATAGCGAATGACTGGTCAGACTCCAATGCACTGACTGGCACTGCTCACCGCCTGAGTACCACCTCGAGCATGGTCATACGTGACGCACATGTGCTGTTCATCCCCGAACTGTTTACATCCTCTACCTCTCACTACTCACTACTCACGCTATACATTTCCCTGCTTGTCAACTCGATACCCAAATCCATTCACGATGCTCCTCTTCACTCTCTTGTTCGCCTTCATCTCACTCGCTGCGAGCCTCACACTCAACAAGACCGACGGCACGACTCTTGTCCTCGGCGACGAGCCCATGATCGTCGACCTCAGCGATGTCATCATGCCGCTGCCTGAAATGGCACCCGATCCCATCATGTCCGTACACCTACTTCCTCAGCAAAACGCGTTACTCTCAACTTCGGTTCACGTGAAAATTAACACGCTTAGCAACTCTAGCGATATCGGGTCTACGGATGCGGGAGGCGAACCTGTGTATATGGTGCGTTGAATAGCTTGATATTCACGTAGACAGACGCTGACACACCATAGATCCAGTTCTACAAGGACACGCACCACAAGGGCATTCAAGGCGTGACTCAGAGTTGCGACATGCCTCTTAACAGGCAATGCCGTCGAACAGACAGTTGGTCAGTATCTACGCACATCAAGCCGCAGCAGTCACAGCAATGGAAACGAAAACAGCATCGTCCAAGTTCTAACAGCAGCACAAGGTTCCCCGATATCTCCTCCCTCTCCTTACAGGGCTGCCGCTACGGCCAACTCAATTATGGGGTTCCATTCGGGTGTTTCTTCTGGGAGTAAGCAGTCCCTCGCTCGCTGTCAGACTGCTCTGCGTACCGATGACTAGTGAGATCGAGAGGTTGTTTCGCTGACTGTGTACATTGCAGTACTTCGAATTGCGATCGCTCACCAGGCAAGAACTCCCTTTGGCTTACTTACGGAGTCGATGACCTTGGTGCGCTTAAATGGGATGTAAGTTTGTTTTTGTATTCGCTGTTGGTGGTAGGAGGGGGGGTTAAGCTTACTGACTGGGAACTGCAGAATCGCATTCGTGCTTACGAGTGTCATGCTACCAAGTAGCGTGCGAAAGTTGATATAGAGAAACCTTCCATGGCAGATTGCTATTCGGCTGGGTAGGGCGGACGAGTGATTGTGCTGGTTCTTGGTTATCGGCATTGGGGTTTCTTGTGAGTGGGATGGCTTGCATGTGACGTATTGGAGGTTCTATTGTCGAGGGACTCGGGTTAGCCTGAGTGACCATGACTAGTATAGAAATATTTCCAATCGATATCCTGATATCGGATCTTCATATTCCATTGTGCGTTGAGGAGAGATACTTCAGTGTGACGGTACGATGGAACTCCTAGGAGTAGACGTCTACACATCCCAGAGCCATATAAAATGCTTCCATAAGATATTGCGACTTTGTCCGATACAACTACTGCACAGTTGCTACCAAATTCCAGAACCCTCATAATCCGCGGCTTTAATCTCAATCCCACTGTTGGCGTCGTACCATCCACCACTGACATGGAATGGTAAGGTTGTTGTATGATATCCCAGGACTAACGTGGCGGCGTATATCAGGTCATCAAGTCGTATTCTGGCTTATGATCATGGTAGCATTGTGTAATGACAATGGCGCTGACGTTGTTCAAAGGTTGTAGTGCATAAGATAGCCTCCTAGAAATACAACACCGAAATAGGTTAGCGCTCGTTTTACTCGTCATCACTCGAAGCGATCTGGTCCTATTTCCATCACCTCCATCTTACCAAAGCTTTCCCATCACGCATCCCACTTACCCTACTTCCATGTCGGTCTGGGCATCATATGGCAGCTGTGAATGCAACCGCCAACACCGCCAGGTCGTCAAAGCAGCATGTTCCCTTGAGCCGCGACTCGTGAAGCATACCGTCCTTTAGTGAGAGTAACAGTTAGCTAGCCTCCAAGCTGGACTTGTGTTGTGAATACATTCATCTCGACGCAACTAGTTAGCAGACTCGGATTAAATGGCAAGCAGACTAGCTTTGCACCACAGCAACCAAGAACAATCACCATGTGTTTCTTCCTCGAGGCTCACCGTTTAGGCAAGGAGCTCAATGAAAAAAGTATCGGGAGTTGAATCCCAATTTGACCAAATGTAATGTTTGTCACCACGAACGCCTGACGTTGCGCAGCTTGACACTTGATCAAAGAAGTGTGAGAGTTGTCACTGTGGGTGCCATCATCGCACAGCTTGGACACTTCGAGGTGAGATGTTGAGATCTCGGGTTACAAATCTCGTCACCATGCTGTCCCGCACCAGCATAGCTCGAAGATCTGAAAAGAGGAGGATAACTCACTTGAATGTGGGTGATGTCGCTGTTGGTTGACATGCACCAGTACAGCGTGTAACATTCAAGCCTCCAGTCTGAATCGAAAGCCTCTTGTGGACGTGGGTGCGCACCAACACAATCAGTCTTTTCGAGCCACAACATGGAATTGAGCATCCAGCTCCCGACCACCGGGGACCGGGATGCACCGGCACAGTGGATAGCAAATCGAACCTTGCCCATTGGACAAGGCCCAACCCACTTCCTGTCCAGAGGGCTACTCTGGGTTGGACATGCTGAGGCAGATTTGTGTTACCATATCTGCCCAGCTGTCCACGTTCAAGGAGCTGGCGTCGACTGAACTCCAGGATTACTCACGTAATTTGCCATGGTCCCAGAGGACATGCAGAGGCTCCGAGAAGCACTCCGAACCGCAGGCATCTTCCACACTCGACAACACCAAAAGGCGGCCACCGGTGGCGGGGTATTCAGATCGTTGCGGGTGACGACTGAATCCCTTACGTAAGGTTTCTGGAGGGGCTAAGGGCAGCAAAGCGACCAAATTCCCACGACGGAGTGATACATTATTGCTAATGAGCACTACCGCCGTGACAGCTGAACTCTCGACGAACCGACAGCGGTGCGCAAGCACGTATCGGGTTTTGACTGGATCTGATCGCGCGTACGCAATATGCCATGGACCATATGGCCTATCGGAGCTCCCAAAGAGTGCTCGATATCGCAGGCGTCTTCCACACTCGATACCCTAAAAAGGGGATCACTGGTGGCGGGGTCCTGGACGAGGGCTGTCGGATTCGAACCGAACACCTACAGTGGGGACACTGCATCAAAGTAGGTACCAGAAGTAGAGCCGTTGTACTTCAATCCCTCGACCAGTCCCTACGTACGAGGTTTCAGAAAGCACAGGGCGGCACCTGCACGAGGTTAACTAAATGCAAGAATTCGCTGTCGACTCATCTTACCCGCTCTACTCCCACGATTGGTGGGCCAGTCTGCAGACTCATAGCACCGGCAAGTGCTTTCGATCCCCTTACACTCCATGTCGCTTGCACCAAAGTCATACAAGCTTCATGGGGGCAGCTGCTTAAGCAACACTGCACCACGCTTGCGGCCGAACCGTTGATGCTTCATCACGGCCAGCCAACCAACAGACGGTCTGTAGGTTGCTGTGGGAGTCTGCTTGTTGAAGCGATGCTTCGCCCCCTGTACCATAGACTGTGTAGCGCCGTCGCGACTACACAGTTGACGGCAGGCCGGGGAAGGTCGGACGTGTGTAAACAACCCATCCCCAGCCTGCACGTCGCTCGATTGGAGCTGAGCGGGGTTTGTTGAAAATCCCGCTCAGCTCCAATCGAGAAAGCCTTAGGTTGTTAGTAGATGGTCATCCTATATCGAGAGAGACACTCACCACTAAGCAGCGAAGTTGAGCCCTTCATCGCGCCGCAAACCTTTCAACAATGGCTACATGCGCGCAATGCACACCTAGGCATTGTATCGCAGACATGATCCACAGCAAGCCCGAGAAGGCGACCCTTTTTCGTAGTGCACCGAAGGCGAGGTGGCCATTGTGAGAGGCGACGACGATTTTTAACGTACAATATCGTGAGGACAAAAGGTGGTTGGCTACAGACGATCAATGAGGGCACATTTTGTATCATTGAACCGACACACTCGCCTCCGTCATGTGCAGGCAATGACAGGTACTACCTTCGAACGTCGTGGTGAGAAATTGACGGCGCCTGTGGTATTCGAAGATTTGGCTACGACTACCGTCAGCGCGAAAGTATTCACCTTTTTCGATCCCAATGCTAGATACAAGGCCAGCACTACCAGCGGAAAGACGCACACTAGGGGACTTACAGAGGCAAGGAAAACTACGCGCCTCGACTCTGCCAACAAATGAGAAATGCGCACTCTTGCTGAGCTGGCTGAGTTGCGAACCCGAGGTCACTCGTTGTTGATGGAGAATGAGCGCACCGGTGACTGCAGAGGTAATGGGAAGTGTGCACTATTCTGTCGCCGAGGAAGATACGCGCCTTGGGAAACCCAAGAAGACCGATGCTGTTGGAGCCGACGGAGCACGCAAACCGGTGAATGACAACACAGAGTGAATTATGCGCCTGTGCTCTCGTGGATGAAGAATTGCAGGCGTGTCGGGAGACAGACCATCGCGATAGGGCGGGGTCAATGTTGAGTAGTATTGATCGCAGGTGGTTTTGGGAAGCGGATGAAGTTGTGGGGAAGTGAACGAGGGAAGCTCTAGGAAGAGTTGAAGTACTACGCTAGCGCGGGTGCTCGGATCAAGTTACGATTTTGATGCGGTTGCGCGCCGTGGTGAATGAGAAATTCACGTAGCCACACAATGTCCGCGCTCGATGCTGCTTCTGGCCTGACGTCACCCCATGTTTGCACGAGGAATATCTACGACAATGTTTGATCTTGATCCTGATCATATATGTCAATTCTCAACTCCTTAAAAGTGCTGGCATCGCATATTCGACCTACCCGAGCAACTAAAGCAGCTTCTACTAGTCTGCGCCATTGCTATCCGCGAGTAAGTCCATGAATGATTACACACTTTTCCTTCGCGCTCTTCGGTGGCGCCGTCCTTCCTCCGCTGGCTCTTATTTTGGTTTCACTCTGCGGGGACAGTTCTCTCCCAGCTCCCTGCCCGAGTAGGGTCTTTCACTGGGACATCCCTCGCTGTTTTTAGGGTCTCTACCTTGGCCTCCTTCATCTCACTGCTCAAGGTTCACTCGCTATTTTCCTTTCACCGAACGCTATCCGCATTCACCACAGAGCTGCTGCCTTAACGACGTTTAACCTCCCTTCGGGAACCCACCCCACATAACTTGCAACCTTTGGTCCTCTTCTCCCCTCCACCATCCTACTCACCGTTTCGCTCAACGCTCAAGTAGATCGTAAGTAATAACCCGATTTCGTACTTCTTACACAACTAACTAATGAATTCGCATAGCACTCACTCATCGAATGTGCCATAATGGTCGATAAGTCAACTTCTCCGCATCTAGCGGCTGATGCGAAACGGACTGCACCTGCAGGTACTAGTCGCGCTCAAAGCAAGTTCACGTCTTCACCTACAAGCAGCCGCTCAACACCTAGCGATCCTGCTGTTTCCATTGCCAAAGAACGCAACCCAGCCGAGAACGCCAGTGTCGGTCCCAACGCGGGCCACAACAGCAAAGAAGGTGGGATCTAGCCTTTCTCAATCAATCATTACACTCACTAATATTACCGATGTAGATTCCTGCGAGACAGTCACTAATTCGGACACTGTGGGCCCCACCCCCGTATCATCAAACGATACTTCGCTCAACGCGCAAAAGGCTCGACATGGACCTCCATCCAATGTTACTGCTACCGATACTACAACCACTGATACAACGGAAGCAGTCGACATGATCCAGCTAGAGAAGGAAATTTCCATCGCATGCGGAGCACTCCATAATAACTACACGAAAGTCGTCATCAAAGAGGAAGTGTTGAAGCTGCATGTCAAACAGCCTCCAAAGAAAGATCTTGGTACTATACTTAGATCTCGTAACGTCATACGTAATTGTATGTTCAACCAAGAGCGAAGGCATCCTACCTGCAAGATTTTAGACATTTGCTAACTCTAAGGGTACTAGGGGCTCAAGCTGCTCTTGACAGAGGAGATAGGCAGACTCTGCTTCGACTACATACCAACGTCCATAATCCCCGCGCACTCATTTCTCCGGCCAAGGTTTCTACAACTACAAAAGATGCATCATCAGCTGCTTCCTCCGCCGCCCCGGCATCTGCTAGAGGCCCACAGGCACGCAATGCCCGCACGGCGAAGCAGGAAGGTGAGGATTCCCTTGCATTACCGACGGTATCACGCTTTCTTTCGAACGGCAATACTCTAAAGCGGTAAGTCATGATGCGACCTCATCACAGTACTCGTATGTTATACTGACCAAGCACAAGTGCCGCCAGCCCAACCCCCCAAAGCCATTCTCATTCCAAGAAGAAGGTCAAGGAGTCCACAAACGGTGGTGCGCTTGTAGGAACTTTGAAGCCCCAGCTCGTACCTAATGGCCTTGCGCGTGGTGGCCGCGCTCCATACCCGCCGTCGCAGCCAGAGCTAGCCACCTTCTGCCCTCACAACAAGGACAAAAACCTCTGTAACAGGAAGACCTGCAAACATTGGCACCATGACCAGATCAAGCATGCCAAGACGCAAGGCTCTCAGGACTGGAAGTCCAAGATCAAGTACGAAGTTCTCCGCAAGTTCGAGAAGAAGGAGATTTCTGCCCAGTACGAATATGACATCGTTTCCTGGCCGCCCATTAAGCCTGTCTTCGGGATGCCTTGTCCCCATGAGGACAAGGGTCAGTCATGCCTAGAGGGGAATGACTGTAGGGCTACTCACGAGCGTCAAATCTACTTCGCAACTACCCCAGGCGCCAACCACTGGAAAGATGGTAAGGTTATCGAGAATGGAAAGCGTAGCCATAGGGAGGGCAAGGGAGTCGAGGTCCGCCGCAAGAAGCGCGCCTAGATGAGTGTCCAGGAAGCTGGTTTCAGTCCTGTGATAATCAGGGTATGTATATATATTAGAGATTCTGCCCGGCTTGTTAGCCTTCAATAAATCACTCTTCACTCCTCTCGTATCCACCAATGCCCACTAGTTCAAACGTATTAGCTGTGGCATCTGCTATCGTATTCGCTTAAGACACGTAACCTTAAGATCACAATAGCTACGATTGAGCATGTAGTCTCTAGACTACACTATACGGTTCACGAACGCGCATGCATAATCCATTGAGGAAATCCACGCACCGCTGTTAGCATGTCGGTGATTGATTACAAATTACAGTGTAGTCGTCAGTCAACAGATGAACCAATCGGTGTTTCAGGCCTATCAGTTTGCTATGGCTTGCACAGGAGGCTCACGGGTATGCTACAAGTGCGTTAGCATTTCATGGGTATGACGAGCAGATGAACCGAGGTATGAGTGTAGCGTGTTGAAACCAATATTGAAGTAGATTTTACATGCGAAGGGAAAAGATTGAGTAGTTCATGCGCTTAACTAGTTCTTGTGCATCATTCACCTTAGAGTAACAGAAGGTACAGAGATGAGTTGGAAGGCGCATAACAGTCTAACCTGTCGACTAGTTTGTGGATAGGAACCTTGCAGAATGTCAGCAATACTTGAATCGCCTTCTCATTGACTGAGCCTGAGGAGTATATTTAGAAACTCAGAGTCGGCAGATGGGCACGTGCGTGGACTGCGTGTAGGAGCTAGTGCGGCCCAGAAAGCACCCACATTTCTCCACACCGTCCGTGCTTCTCCACACCCCAATATGTACTCCTGAGTCCATCTCGCATTGTCGTACGAACAGTATAGATGGCTAAGGCTATACTTATACCTGGGTGGGCGCCACGTACCTTTTGCGCCTATTGTTCTTTCGTTTAGCTCGCCATTCCTGGTGCGAAAAGTAGCGAGACCATATTGAATGGCCTCGATATGAAGGTTTGTGCCATCTTGGGCCCCTGTGAGCCTGATGAATATGGCGATTGGGCTCATCACAGGCCGCCAGCTTCAGAAAATACACACATTCTTCGACCTATGCAAGCCCAAGTAGCACTTGGAGTTCAGATGCACAGTCCCTCTGTCACGAGGGATCAAAATTAACTACCTTAATGAAGCAGTAGGGTACTACACGGCATGTGACTGAGCCGATGCTCGTCGAAATTGGTAACGGTAGGCACCAAAGGCACCGTAAACACGGGATGGCGTTTGGACTTACTCGTCAATCGATCGACTATTGGTGGAATCCTTCACCCTCAGTTCACTCCACTCCACACTCCGGAGTAACGAATTCCGAGGCGAGCTTTATAAATTGCCTGGCCCCCGTGGGGATATGCAGCCCGGTTGGCCTTTCAGCAGAGCCAGACTCACGGGTTTCCTCTGCCATTCCCAGTTCTAGAGAATCCGCACGCGTTTGGAACATTACTCTCACAGGTACGTGCAATCCTGTTCCGGGTGGATACTTCGCAAGCTCAACTATGACACTTGACGGTTGCGACAGCTGGCCAGGCCTTGTTGTCTGCTTGTCTTCCGCTTGATCTGGGCTGACACCTGTAGCAGGCACGCTTTGAGAGTTCACGAGCATGTTTCGCACTCCTTTGTGCGGCAGCCAGCACTGCCTTGTATGCGCCTTACCATGTCCTCCATGATTTCCGGCCTTCCGAGCTCCGTCCGGTTCAGAGATTGCACGAAAAACTAGCACGACCAACCGTCGTTTTATCACGATGCCGATCTACCGATGTGTCACCTATGATCCACCATGGCCCACCTTTTCGGAACCACTGAAATCTTTGCTGAAGATTTTCCCACGCCAACGACCCCCTGCGCCGGTTGCGGGCCGCTAGCGCTGCAACCTCGGTGTTGACATGCTGGCGCAGCGTTGAAGTTTTCTCGGTCAAAGTCGGCTCTGGTGATCAAACTTCGCTTCATTCTACCGGAATGCTGAGAGATGGTGGTCACACCTGCCGATATGATGGAATCGTCCGATCGTGTTCCTGCTTTTTAGTGGTCCCTCAGTCTTGGCCAAGGGCGTTCCGACGTCATGGCTCACAACCCGGATGCATCGCTTGGAGAAGTCCAGTGAGGCGTAGGACAACCACCTTCAGACACAGAGAGTGCGCGAGATCGACCCAGCTCTCGATCGATGCAAGAACGCCTAAGACGCATCTTACATGTCCATACTTCGGAACTGGGGAGGTTCTTGCAGACTTGGTACTCGGACACGAGCATCCACTTCAATTGCAATCCTGTGAGGGAATTCAGGCGCCCCACAGCCCTAACCACACCGCAGATGCGTTCCCACTTATCCATCGACTTCGCATTGAGCGTAGCCAATGTCCGATTCGCCAGAGACGCATGCGAACCCACCAAAGAAGCAGCCGAATGGATCCGGACATGTGTCGTTCCCCAGTCTACACACTACATCGCCATCCCAACGAGAACGGATGCCGTCTCATGTCGGTCGCCTCCACAACTATTCATGTCCCATGGGCAGCTCGATAACTTTGCGGGATTCATGGGGATTGGAATCGATTCAATAGCAAGGGAGTTGCGCTCACCTCATGCAAACAGTGGGGCCAATGACGCAGTACGCATGGCCGTGCGTTTTGGCACTATTTCGAGCTGTCCGATATTGGGCGAAAGAACGAGTTGACTGGTCTCATAATCTTTCGCGTGTCCTCGTGGCAGACGGATATTTCTTGCAATAGCCACCGCGAGACGATTGCATGATTTGCCCCGTTATTTGGGAGCTCGTCCGAGCATCGTGCCTTTGGCCTCCATGTCTAGAGCGTCAAAACATAGGGCGGTGGTCTGAGTGCAGGGTTAACATCGGGGCTCCACTGTTAGACCTGCCAATGGCCCCCGCAAGCTCTTGCTATTTATTGAGCGCAAAGTTCTCTTCGCAATCCACACTGGACTTCTATTCTCCAACCCTTCCCCATATAGCTCCTCCATAACCCACAACTCACCCCGAAGGACCAGTTTGCCACTGTTCTTCTATTCTTCAACCTTCAGTGAGCACACAACACTACGGCAAGATGCGTTTCTTTAGTAAAAAGGAACAAGAGGTCCACGAAAAAGGGACCCCAGAAACCAACACACCCACGGAGACTCCCCTGAGAGGCAACTCTCATGTCGCTGCCGCCGCCACAGATGTCGAGCCTAAAGGCCGAGTACCTATCATTGCGGTCATTCTAGGAGCAGTGGCCAGCATTGGAGGTTTCATGTTCGGTTACGAGTCCGGACAAATTTCCGGATTTCTCGCCATGTCCGACTTCAAGGAGAGGTTCGGTGAGAATGGCGAATTCTCTCCCGTTCGTCAAGGTGCTATTGTCGGTCTTTTAGCGTAAGTGTTTTCACCTTGCGACAAGAACTTTTTTAACACTTCGCAGTATCGGTACTCTTTTCGGATGCTTGGGTTCAGCGCCTCTTGCTGATACCTACGGTCGTCGTCTTACCATTTCCGGCTCCGCATTCTTCTACATCATTGGCGTCATCATCGAAATCACCAGCGAGAGGGTCTGGGTTCAGTTTGCCATGGGTCGTCTTGTTGCAGGTCTTGGCATTGGCGCCCTCTCCACCGTCGTCCCTATGTACCAATCCGAGTCGATCCCCAAGCGCATCCGTGGTGCTACCGTTAGCTCCTACCAGCTTTTCATCACCCTCGGAATTTGGACAGCGTACATGGTCAACTATGGCACGTCGAAGGACTACTTTGATAGCGCGCAATGGCGCATTCCCAATGGTCTTTCGGCGCTCTGGGCACTCATCCTAGGCAGCACTATCCTCCTTCTTCCCGAATCGCCCCGTTACGCCTACCGCAAGGGTAACATTGAAGACGCACGCAAGAACATGGCTCGCTTGAACGGTATCGATCCTCACAGTGCCTACATCGACAAGGAAATTGCCGAGATCCAGGAGAAGCTTGAGGCCGAGTCAACGGGCGGAGCTCATCCATGGCACGAGATCTTCACCGGACCACGCATGTTGTACCGCACGCTACTTGGTATGGTCCTCCAGGCTGGTCAGCAGCTTACTGGTGCCAATTACTTTTTCTATTACGGTACCACCATCTTTGCCGCAACTGGCCTGGAGAACTCATATGTTACTTCCATCATCCTTGGCACAGTCAACGTTGTCGCTACCATTGGCGGATTGTGGATTGTCGAGAACGTCGGTCGCCGCAAAGCCATGATGGGTGGTGCTGCCTGGATGGGAGTCTGTCTGTTCATCTACTCCTTCATCGGACAATATCAACTTGACCACGCCAACCCCAAGAGCACTCCTCAGGCCGGAAACATCATGATCGTTTTCACGTGCCTCTTCATTGCGGCATTCGCAACTACCTGGGGACCCTTGGTTTGGGCAATCGTCGGCGAACTCTACCCTGCCCGCTACCGCGCTACCTGCATGGCTCTCGCGACCGCTACCAACTGGCTCTTCAACTTCCTCATCTCCTTCTTCTCGACCATGATCACGAAGAAGATCGACTACTTCTACGGCCTCGTCTTCGCCGTTTCGGTTTTCGTACTGTTCTTCATCGTCTACTTCTTCATGATCGAGACCAAGGGTCGTTCGCTGGAGGAGATCGACACGATGTACATGCTGCACGTCAACCCGATCACCAGCGCCAAGTGGGATCCATCTTCCCTTCAGAATGATGGCTTAGTCGATACGGACAGGCTAGAATTAGGCCCGGGCGGAAGGACCATCAACAAATCGGAGCAGTCGGGTCGCCCTGCTGGCATATTGGCGTCTACGGAGCGTCAAGAGGTTCAGGTCTAGGTTTGAGGCCTTGCGACACTTATAACCTGCGTAATATGTAGATGATAGATTGCGCGGTTATCGCACCGTTGCGTTTATTTGCACGTTTCGTATTGGAACATAAGTGCGTTAATAGATGATGCTGTAAGATATAGCATGAATAGACAACTAAGCCCGTCGGGCATTTCATATCATTGGCTTTTATCCAAGAAACTATTTCAGCAAGCAGTGTCAACTTTTCCCAAACAGTAGACCTTCATCGACGGCATTGGTTCAATGTGCCGAGTTCTCGAGACCTGAGATAGATGTAAACACCGGGTAACCAGGCTCGATATAACTATCCGAATCTCAGTGTAGCGCTGAGGGCGACGTTGTAGGATGTGATTTGTGACACATTGTAAAGCTTGTGATGGACTAGGAAAACTTTTTGATTGCACAAAGGGTTCGAGTTTGTACGGTAGGGAAGATGGACTTACTCCGTACCCCACATTTCTTCTCAACTCATGCTTCGGTTTTCCTACTTGCACAGGACCATCGCCACATTCAGATTAGCTAATGCGGCAGAAAACTGGTCACTCCTGAAATATGGCCATTGTATGTCTACCACTACAGTTAGCAACCTACTACAGTATCGAGAGCTTCTTCTAATGCAGTGGGGCGCGTGAACGCCACCTAGTACCAGATTGAGAAATACCGCGAGGGAGCCCCTCTTCGAGTGGACTCAACCTTAACTACATGCTTTGGAGACATATTCACGAATCCCTGCTTCAGTAGCTCACACAAACCTTCTATTGTCTCGTCGCCCAAGGGCGTGAAGTACCCACCATGCTGGATGATAACCTTGGTGAGCATCTTACAGTCAAACAACCGCGCAAGGTTGTGTTTGGCGAAAAGGTCAGCCGGGTTGTGAAGTATTCGGGTCGGGGAGGAATACCGATACGTCAGCTCATTGATGTGAAAGTTGAGCTTGATGGAGCGTAAACCCTTACACCTCGCTGCGAGCTCGAGATTTCGATTCTTGGACAAATCCATGTTATACTCAAGGGAGCAGTCGAAGTTCAGGCGTCGACAGAGTCCAAAGCGCCCTGGTGCAGCAGCTAAGAAGGCTCGTAGGAACGTTCTGTCCTTTGGCAAATCCACGGTGAACTGGGAGCTCTCGATGACTACTCCGATGGTTTCTTCGGTGGTGTATTTCGATGTATAGCATAACGCGGGTAGGAACTTTGGCTTGGCTGGGTCATTGCTGGCCCTGCGGTAGGGGGCCAACTTGATCTCATCGAGCCGATCTGGGAGCGAGAATTTCCAAATAATAAGACGTAGCTCACGCGGAAGCCGCATGAAGTCATGGAATGTGGGCTTTGGTTGAACCACAATAGCTGGTTCAGCGCTATCGCAAGGAGGGATATCGAGTGATTCATCTCGCACTAAGGTCTGTCAACCTTTTGTGTTTCTATGTTCATAGGTCAACTTACTATGTTGTGAAGCTTTGGACTCTCCATGTTCTACCACATGCACCCACAATCGCGGTGCAATGGCGCATGTGGAAAGAGGAAGCTGCTTGCGCCCGCCGCAGCCTGGAAGAGATGGGAACATCTCAGGCTGGAATGAAAACGCCGCTGAGTGTAGCGCGGGAGTGTAGCGACGCAAGTTCTGGTTGTGCGGGAGTATATTCACTGGCATAGCTGGTATAGTATCTAAACACATTAGCAAGTTATGTCAGGGTACCCGCCTGTTGTGACCCACCGAGTAGGTTGATACAGATCGCTTGTTAGACTCAAAAACTGATATCGGTGCACTGGTAGAGCTTCTGGGTGAAGGTTGTGGAATGATTTAGACCGTGAGAGAAAGTTTTCATGGGGGTGGTCCGGGTTTATATGGCAGCGGGCGCTCCATTCTCGCGCATTAACAGGCGGGTGAAATATTGTAGTTTTGCTTGTTTGCGCTAGTAACGCCAGCCATTAGGCTGCCTCCGACCTTGGAGAGAATTCAAGTCTTAATATATATGTCGAGATGCTATTCAATCAGTGGGGGCTTCGTGAGTAAGTGTAAACTGGGTGTTCTTATAGTCCGAGTAACTGCTTAGTATGCGATTGCCCAACTCCGACACATGATATCAGCAAGCGTGTTGCCTAGCAGTCATTCATCAAGATCTGCGGCTTGCACTCAGCGTCATGGGGTTAGAGAAATCGATTGAGATTCATCATCCAGAGAGAATAGTGAAAAGAATATTTCTTTCAAGAATATGCGGAAAAGATAGAAGTATTCTCTCAATCGATGCCTTTCCAGAATGCGACTCCTTCAGGCCATTAAATGCAAAGTCAATAAACCCATAGAATGTCACTTGAACAACAAGACATGACTACAAAGACCTGATATATCATATTTTCAAAAGATGATGAATGGCATGAGTGCCGAGAATGTTGATTACGATAAACCCGGCAGAACACCTTACTCAAAGTCCGCCTGCTTCAAATTGGCCGTGATAGTTTCCCCTCTTCTGCCAAATCGTCGCCTAGCTCTTGCTCAACAACGCTCTCCTAGATGCGCATGTACCTGTGATCCTCGTCGTCTCTATTATCAGGATGTGAACCATCGACCATCAAAATCTCATCGCCAGGAAGGAGCTTCCAGAACTCAGACGGGCTAGCCAGCAAAGTCGTGATCTCAGTCGCGCAGTCGTCGTACGTCATCGGTGCGATGTAGCGCCATGTTTGTGGGCCGGGGGCTTCGCGATTAGGCGTTGCGAGACAGAAGCGCATCTGCATACATGTGTTGTCAGCTAAGCCCGCAAATGACAAGTGTGGCCTCGCTTGAGTGACTTGCTTACCTCGTGCTGTGTGCTCGATCGCCGCGCAGGCCCGTGGATCATCCACTGTGCCATACCAGTGCCGTATCCAATTTGGCTGAATCCAAGATCGAGGGCGAAGAAGATTCCGAAGGCGATTAAGACGCAGACTGATGAGGCGCACCAGAAGCAACAGAAAGCGTAGACATTTTGTTTGCTGTTTCTGGTGTCGCGCAATGCAATGCTCTTGAATGCATTGTTGTTGTCGTCATCGTCATGGTAAGGTGTGCCTTCATCTGGAAAGCCGCATTGCGATTCTTCGTCTTCAACTTCTCTAGTTTGGGTTATGGCGAAAAGCTTTGAATGCGTATCGTTGCAGTTGCTGTATGGAGGGGGTGACGCTTCGCTGGTATTTGGCTCTGCTGCAGCGGTAGGACGGCGAAAGTATGTGAGCAACGAAGCGTGCGGTAGAGCGACGTCCATGTCTGTATAAGGTGTCGACATTTCGAGTGTTGTGAGTGTAAAATGCTCAAGGTGAATGATGCGCGTATGTTATGTTTTGCTGAGCAAGAATTCCAATGCAAGACAACTGAGACAAGAGACGTGATGTTGAGCGTTCTATTGTTTTGTCGCACCAGTGTTGAGAAGGTATAAAGGACGCCATTACGATCTTGTGTTTATTGATAGGACTCGGCAGGTATCGAATGCGGCTGCAATATGTGCCTGGTTGCAGTGATCGTGGGTTGCGGAAGGTGAGGCCAAGGTCGTGTCGTTTGCAGTAGGATGAGGGCAGGGGGTTGGTGTTGCGGAATGCAGTGTGGCACGTGATTGTGTAACCGGGAGAACATGCCAACGTTGCTATGAAAGAGTCCATCTAGAGACGCAATAACACAAGTAAGGAAAAGCAGATGAGACACTCAACTTGAATACACTAGCAGTTAACTACGGACAAAGTGGAAAGGGAGACCCCTTCGCAAGAAAGATGCACAAAACATGGGCAGGTAAGAGGAGTCGATCGTTATGTAGGGTGAACACTAAAACAATCAAAACAGCGAGGCGTTATCGGCCATCGGGAACGGAATCCCCTCGTACTTGCAGACATTCGTAAGTATGCCAAAACTGTGCAGCATTATGACGGTCGCACTGAACCAAGAAAAAACGGACCTGTCGCGGGCCTTACTACGGGCCTTGTCGTAGGCGGTGTGCTACTAAACAAACTAGCCTGGGGATTAAAGATGGGGTTAACTGGCTTCGGCTGCTCCGTCTTCATCGGCCATGACTTGATCAGCAAGAATGATAGCTCATCAATAGTGTCGAGCTTCGCCTCGATACCAGGGTTCTCTTTGACATTGATTTTGAAGTGCGTCAAGAAGGCGGTGACGACTGCATCCCTCAATCCGCGATTCGAATCCGGAGTGGCTCCGTACGCAAGCTGTACCGCAGCGACAAAGTCTCCCGAGTTTGCATGGTGATGAAGGCACGACTCAAACTTCTCTTTGGCAACCTGACCAAGTCCGTCGACTTGGTACTTGTCAGCAAGAGCGTACATGGTAGCATGTATAGTGAGTGGATTGGCGACTTCGATACAGTTGGGCATTTTCACAACAACGCTGTAGTCCGCGGGTTTGTTCTTTGACTCAGGCTCAAGAACAGGCTGATTTATGTTCTTCGTATTGGGTGCGAGACAGGCGCATTGATCAGAGCCCTCTAGTCCCGTTGCACGGTATCTCGAATGGTAAGCGGAAGCAGCTGCAGAAGTCGACTCGTGTTGTCTTATGGTACTGAAAGATGATACTCTGAGCGCAGGGCAGGGATCGTAGTCGCCGAGGTAAAGATACGCAACCAGACGGCGGATCATCTCAGGGTCGTCTTCTGGCAGGTCGATGCGTTTCTCCTCTGCTTCTTTGCCTACGGCAAACTTGATGCTCTTCTTGAAGAAATCACATGCCGAGCAGACAACCACCTGGTGAACGTGAAATGTAAAGATGCCGCAGATGATGGTAAGGTCGGTAAAATCGCCGTCCTTGTAGGCTCTGGGATCCTGTTAGCATGTGTACCTGGGAGTATTTGAGGTTGCTTGCCTAAGAATGGTCGGCGGGCAGGTTCTTTGTTGCCTAAAGAGATTCATGGTGGTGGTGCGCAATCGCTCCAGGTTATTGATTTACTTGACTTGTTGCCCAGATCCGTAAGTGTCCACGGACGGGGCGACGAACGTGGTTGAAACAGTATAATAAGACGCATCCTCAGCTATCTGTAGAAGCAGGCCAATGCACAGCATGTGGAGACTCAGGGGTCGCACCAAGTGTTTCAAAAGGACGACCACAGCCCGTACCGGTATCTTAGCGCACTGTGTCACAGCTCTTATCAGTCTTGTCGTCAACACCATCTGAGCTCCCCACTCTTTCCCCGCAACAGCATCCGCCTCGCCGCAGCATCTTCAAGATGGCTACGCTAGTCGCTCTCTCGGAAACCCTATTGAGCCATTACTTCTCTACGAAGAGAAACTCTCCAGCATCAGCAGATTGAGGATAGGAACGTGCAATGGCGCATAAACGCGTCGAAGGGGCAGCGTTAGTAACAGGCGCAGGCTCAGGTACCACCACCATCGCAGCTTCAAGTATACCGTCTTCTTAACACGTCTCTAGGGATTGGACACGCAGTATGCGTCGCCCTCTCTGTTTCCGGCGTGAATACGCTTTACACCACCGATATCAACGCGTCCGGCCTCGAAGCCACCGAAACCGCCATCCTGAACCTCAAACTACCCTCCCCACCTACAATCAAGTCTATACCCGGCGATATAGCCTCACCCGAATTCATCACCGAGCTCTTCAGCCAAATATCATTCCTCGATTACGCGATAAATTGCGCAGGCGTGCTAGGGGAGAACAAGCCAACCGCAGAAGTCAGCCTGGGGGAATTCGACAGGCTAAACAGCATCAACTATCGTGGGCTGTGGATGTGTGTCAAGGAAGAATTGAAGCTGATGCTCAAGAACGATCTACGGCCGTACCCTAGCTTCACGCTGTCGGAACAAGAGGCACGCATACGTGGGCAGCGCGGCTCCATAGTCAACATCGCCTCGCAGCTGGGCATTGTGGGCAAGACCCAAGCTTCGATCTACACTGCTTCAAAGGCTGCTGTCCTGTCCATGACACGCTCCGATGCGATCGATTATAGCAAGCCACCGCATCATATCAGAATCAATTCGGTATGCCCTGGAATCATTGCTACGCCAATGACGAGTGACGAGAATGGTGAGGTGAGTGAGCGGCTGAAGAACGCGATCAACATCGCGCCTATGGAAAGAATGGGGCTGCCGAGTGAAATCGCGGATACGGCGGTGTTTTTATGCTCTGGTGAGAGTAGCTTCATTACAGGGCATGGATTAGTGGCTGACGGTGGGTATGTGATTAACTAATGGTTGACGAGGCTAGAGTAGTGATGCATCTCGATCTGCCACACCCATCATACTGCAGCTGCCATCTCTTTGCCTGGAGTCTCGCCTTTGCTTCTCTCCTCAGCCTTTTGAATGCTCTTCCATTCCACCAGGAGAGCCCCCAACATACTAACCGCCGCCAGTCCGGTGCCGACCAAGAACGCTTTCCGAATAGCGAGTCTATACCCTTCGAGCACAACCGTCAACCACTCATTAGTGACGAGGTCCTTGATCATTGTCGCGCCTATGTTCGTGATTGCTTTCTTGTCCAAGTTCAGGCCGGGCACCGCGCTCAGCTTCCTCGCCAATTCGTCCGTGAACACGTTTTGCGCCACACTGACGAACACCGCCCCACCTAGATTCTGACCGAAGAACATGAGTGCCATTCCGATTGGTTGGTCCTCGCGCGGAAGTATGATCTGTGCCATCATGCCAGGCTGCTGCATACCCAGGCCAATACCTAAACCGAAGAGGACTTGGTAGCCCATCCAGAAGCGCTTACTGACATCTACGGGCCATGTTGTAATCATCCCGGCGCCAGTGCTCGCGAGAATCGCTGAGACGATCATGAACGGGGCGGGCACTCCGATGCGTTGTACCATTCCGCCCGCGAGTATCGACCCGACCACGAGAGCAAGCAGGAAAGGTAGAGTAGCCAAACCAGAGTCCAGAGGCGAGAAGCCCTTGATGGCTTGAAAGAATAAGGTGGTGTAGAATGCGTTTACGAGCATACTTGCTTGGCTGGTGAAGGTAAAGAAGAAGCACGAAGCGATGCTGCGTTGCGTGAGGATCCGTAGTGGAAGGGTCGCTGTAGCTGGGTAGCATATCTGAATGGCGAAGAATACTGCCAGCAGAAGAGGGAAGAGCGTGAGTAAGAGCACGACGCGCCAGTTGGACCAGTTGTATGTTGTGCCACCCCACTGGAGCGCAAGCAAGAGACACACGATAGAGCAGATGAAGGTCAACATACCCAGTGGATCCAGGCTCTCCAGTCGCTGGGCTAGCGATATGGCTTCGTCTTGTCTCTTGGTTCCAGGGCTAGGTTGAGGCAATCTGAGTACGATAACTAGTACCGCCACCGCAACGGCGCCACACGGCAAGTTGATGTAGAAGCACCAGCGCCAACTGAGCTTTTCGGTAAAAACACCACCAAGTAGCGGACCGACTACACTCGCGATCCCGAACACGGCGCCTATCAGCCCTTGTAGCAGCGGTCTCTTCCTCAACGGTACAACAGCCATCATTACCACCACGCTGCCATTCATGATCCCTGCGCTTCCTAGCCCGGCTATCGCGCGCCCAATTATGAAAGCCACGGATGAGGGCGCTGCGCCGCAAATAGCGGATCCGACTTCGAATATGGCGATGGCGAGGAGGAAGACGGATTTGGGCGAGTTGAGGGGTATGGGTAATGAGGAGGTGGATGAAAGTGTGTACAGTCTACCCCAGAAGAGTTGGAACGAGCAGAGCGTGAGCATGTATGCGCTGCCATACCAGCCAATATGGTTAAGCGAGGAGAAGGTATTCGTGATACTGGGTATAGCAGGGGCGATGATAGTCTTGTCCTGAACTGGTGTGTTAGCGCTGTTCAACCTAGTATAAGCGTGGGAAGAAATACCAGCGCGATCAGGAAGATCGATATGTAGATGGACATCATAATGAGCGCGACCCGACCAGCAGATGGATATTCCTGCGGCGCACATGGGCTGGCTGCCGCCCCATCTTGGAACTCCCTGGTCGGTTGAACTGAAGACTTTTCAGAGACAGGCTCGTCTTTCATTTCATTGACAACCATGATCGTTCGTTCGTGAAGCGCTGTATGATTTGTGATTTTGACAGAATGATAGTAATGTGTCTACATGCAAAAGCGATTCGTGCGAAGGGTATTAACGTAGGTATTGCAAAGGACACTGTGTTGGTAAAAAAAAGGCTAAAACTGCTACCCTACAGTATTTATGTACTAAATTGAACTGCCTGATCAAAGCAATATCGCTACTCAAGTTCCTGTCCTCGGGCCCTATGTTGGTCGACATAGCCATGTTCGGGCGCGAGATATCGTGTTTCGGGCCCGAAGAATTTATGGCGTTCAGCAGTCGCGCCACATCTAACTAGCCCTGACACGGGAAAGAAGTGGAGAGCATTGTCAATGACCATCTTCTAAAGTTGAATTAACACGGTTTATTGTTGTTGCTAGATCGCGAAGCGAGTTATCGCGACTTCATGTGATGACGCCTTGCCAGTCACCTTTCTCCGCCATCTCACTATTTCCATGTTATGGCAAAATCAATCTCTCTTTTGGTCAAATGCTTCAATGAGATTCTTTTCTTTGAAAAGACCATGCTAGAGTATCTTTTGAGCTCACACCCATTTTCCTCCTGCCTACGTTTACTGTGCTCGCAGTAGGGGGGAGGCTTACAATTATGAACTTGGTCGAAGAAACAGTTTGTTGGTACTAGTCGCGAACTTCGGTGGATGGGGGAATGTAAGCCAATTATCTGCTTCACTGAGTGGTATTTCAGTTCTCCACTAAAGCAGCATACCAAATGTTTGAAAAGTATATGTATTGTATATCAACATTGTAATGTAACGAAATTCATCGAGGTAGATCGCTAATGTGGTATCATATAAGACTAGCGAGTATATAACAAACAGAAGAACGATAGCCAAGACAAAATGAAGCGATAATTCAAGGATGGAGCCAAACTCAGCAACCGAATCCCAAGTAGAAATGATAGGCTTGTTCTGTTCATGTAGCTAGTCGCACGAAGCCACCTGCACTCGGGGTGGGAAATGAGAATCTTGGCGAATTCCGTGTAGGTTGATGCTGACCCCTGCATAGTGTTTCGCAGCCGACTGATACTGTTGTACGAACATATGTCGTGGTACTTTTGGAAAGCCAATACTATCTCAAAGTGCGGGTAGCTGCCGATACCGCTGTCGTAATCGGTATCAACCTCAACGCCCTGTCTGGAGGTTGTATAGATGTCTCAGCCCATGCTGGAAGGCTTGCAAGACCGAATTCGGGGCACTGAGACAACGAGTGCATAGGAGCACTATGATGTAGCCCTCGTAGTAGATTTTCGCGCGAAGAGCGTCAAGTCCCTTTGTGATTGGTGATCAAAGTCCGATCGTGGCTTTCATGATGCAACAGGAAGACCGCTCGCCATCCTGAAAAGCTCGAAGGCGAGTCCCGGGGTTTCTCTAACCGCCATCTCGATATCGGGGCGCAGCGAAAGCCCTGGATTCGCACGGAAAGTTTGGATGATCAAGTCCCGCAGGCCTCGATCAGTATGGAAGGTGGTTTCGTACGCCTCTTGGCATGCTTCTGGAAACTCGGGGCTATTGAGGTGAAGATCGATTTCCTGGGCAAACTTCCTGCGTGCAAGCGCTTTCAGGCCAGCAATGCCGTACCTATGACGATTTGTTAGCGACAATCTCTGGGTACGTGTTTATAAACGATCGCGTGATTGGAGCGGAACAGTTACACGCTGACGTGGTCTGTCTCGAGAGTGCAGTTCGAAAGTCTTGCCCGCAAAGACAGTGGTTGGACGATCAAAGACAATGCACATAGAAGAGAACAACAGGGATAACGGCGTGGGATCTGACATATGGAACGCGCGCCAGGCGAAGTGATTGGCACCTCAAACAAGCGGTGACGTAGACCGCGGGATGTCGGCGTTCTTTCGCCGTGCGACGCGACGCAGCGCAACGCATATGTAGAAATAAAACCTTGGGTGCAAATGAAAGATCACCGGCTGACATGGGCGCGTAATTAGGCAAATCGAGGAAAGCAAAAGGTGACGAAAGGTGATACGTACTTCTCTGCAATTGCGTAGACCTTTGCATGTGTGACGAGATGCGCCTTCTCATCGTCGACATCGGGCTCTAATTGAACGCTCGTGAGGTAATCTGCTGCAGACTCGTCTGCCATCGGCGTGTCAGGCATCTTGCTGGAAGGTGCATTGAAGTTCTGGGTGGTAAGCTCGTCTGCAGGAGGCGTCATTGGCAACGAGTTGGTAGCTGCGAGAGCTTGTGCTAGCAATGGGTCTTCCACGAGCGCGAGGTTTATTTTCTTAGGCGCAGAGTGTCTTGCGGAGCGCGAAGAAAGCGGCGTATTGGCTCTAGTGCAACGTTGCGATGAGTGACGAGATAGCGGCTTGTTAAGATAGTCGAGATGGTAGAAGTCTGAATTATTCAAAGTTAGCAGGGCATTGGGCATCGCCACATCTTTATCCTACTTACAATTCACCATGTACTCTACTGCTTCTGGGTCATCTTCAGTAAGGTCGATGACTCCAGTCTCGGCCTCTCGAAAGCCGTTGCGGCACGCTCCCTCAAAGAAGGTGGATCGGGTCGCGAGCAACGCTCGATGTACTGGGTATCTTTTTCCTCCACAAACAATGGTCAGATCTGAGTAATTGCCGCTTTCAAATAGTCTAAGACGACTTAGCAAGAGCTGGTGAAAGAGAGGGTAGTACTCACGAAGCCATTGCAGACTTGAGCTCTAGTGTCGCAGTGTCCATTGTAGGTGTTATAAAGTAGTAGATTGTGAAGATCGAAGCTGGACTTGGAATAAGATTTAACGGGAGGAACAGGCTTCTATAACTGATTGACCTCAGACCCTGAGTTTACACAACGAAGACTTTAAGTGTCACAACGCTGGGCGCAGGAGGCGCGTTGAACCGTGCGTAAGAACGCGTAGGGTTACGTAGGGTACGTAGGGTACGTAAGGTCGGCCGATGATCTGTTAGAGGCGCCGCGGATCCGAGAATATGGTAGGGCGGAGACTAGATACCGAGATCGCCGGACGCAGGCAGGTAAGCGGAAGCAACCGACGTAGAAAAATGCTGAAAGTATGCCGAGATGACCTAATCTGGGAGGGCTGTCTCGGTGTCTATCTGTAGTGCTCGAAATTGGGGTGGAAGCAGGAGCAGGTCAGATCGGAGGGATATTCGCTTTCTTGTAGGCTTGCAGCCATATCGCAAGCTGGCGTCGACCTGGAAGGGGCTTCATCTCACGACGATGGGCTGTTGCTAGACCCAGCTTCTAGACAAGTTCTAGGGTGTCCCTTACACTCTAGCCATCAGCCCAACAGCCGAGCTGACATGCAACCTTCGCTAAGAAGCAAAACTTGCTTGGCTGGCCCAGACCAGCGAGGCCTAGTTTTCAAGCGTCTCGTGGGAAAGCAGGCTAGAGCGGTGTCACGCGAAGGTCTAACGCTTTGGTGGCTGCAGGGCACTGCTGACTGCGACAATGGAGAGGCCAAATTGGGCGGAGCATAGGCTGTCGAGGCGAAGGGGCAAGAAGGCCACAACTCTGGCACACTAAGGAACTAGCTAAAGTCAACCAGAAACTCTAGAAGCGTACGCAATTCACCCTTTTCCCACATGAAATGCTAGATAGGACAAGAGATTAGCGAAACAAAACCTGCTGAAATGAAGGTGATGACTGAGGCGTGGGGCATCCCGCACAGCGCTGTGCGGGGAGCTGTTGGGATGGGAAATAATCCCAGGCCGTTGCACCACCAGTGACCTGACATGTCGCTACGATTTGTGGCAGGAAAAGAAGTTCTGGGCCCATGGTGTCGATCAGTTCCTGTATGGGGTTGTGCTCTAGACGCACACAGTAGTACTAGAGCTGCGGGACGGGATCACCGCGCGGATGCTGCTGTGCTCTTCTCCATGAAAACGCTACTCCATCCTCTTCGTCTCAACAGGCGATATCTGCACCTCGAAGGGGCACTTGTCTCATAAGAAAACTCGAAAACAAGGGGCGTTCGAAGGAGAACCCTCAGTGATGTCGCGAGTGCTGTGCTCATAACACTGGTAGATAGGATTGGAGATAGGATTGGAGATATGTTTGGACGGCAACCCCGCACCTGATAGAGAGCGCAGTGGTTGGATCGTATAGCCCAGGACGTATGAATTGAGAGGTCGCATGCACACAAGTATTGGGGTGCTGAATACGAGCTGAGGGAGCGCTTTGGCGTTGGGGCTAGCCTTGTGCCGCTGTCTCGCCAGACATCAACGCCTTACGTGGAAGCGAAGGAGCTAGATGTTATTTGGAAACGTCAGATAACCGAGTTCGATGTGCGTAGTGTAGGAGAAACATTTTGTCGTCAACCTCTGTCGCTGGTGTTGACGAGAGGAAACAGGTGAAGGGCAGGCACGCGGCTGACAAAAAAGAGCCGACACCAAAATCTTTAGCTCACCCTACTACCACCAAATTTTATATTTATTAAAAATTCATGCAGCATTTAAAAACTTAAAAAACTTTTATCTTATAATTTAAGCAATTTAAGTTAAATATATACGTTGTTTTCTATTAAAAAAACTTAATTTTAGGTTGAATTTGTAGTAGATACAGCTTTTGGTGTAGGCTCTTTTTTGTCAGCCGCGTGGCAGGGAAAGCGGGCTGACATAACGAGCAGGAGCGACCGGGGTGTCGGAACGTTCCGCGAGACTTGACGTCGACAGCTGGCCTGGTAATTGCATGTCTATACGCCTGCGACAACAAAGTCATCGCAAACAATTCTCTGTTCTTCACACTCCCCAGTGCCACACTGCCTTCGCCATCTTCATGTTCATGCGTACGACTCGTTTTCTCTCTTAGCGCTCCTCATCTCCCGACCTCTGCCCCTCCTCTCCAGCCAGCCCACTCACCACTGAGCACCCCGCGTAACCTCAACCTCCACCATGGGCGACTTCAAGCTGTCAGCCACTCTGCGCGGCCACGAGGACGATGTAAGTTGCCTGTTCTCTTCACCTTGAATCAGCTCTACATATTATAACCGGAGTTGTCCAGCTAATGCGTAGTGCAGGTGCGAAGTGTAGCTTTCCCTTCCCCCTCCTCCGTCGTCTCGGCGTCGAGAGACTTCACAGTCCGAATATGGGCACAGCAGTCATCGAACCCGCCAGTATGGGACAGCACGATCAAGACCCACGGCAAGGAGTTCGTCAACTCGCTCGCCATCGTCCCGCCCTCGTCAGACTACCCAAACGGCCTCATCGTCTCCGGCGGCAAAGACCAGATCATCGACGTGCGGCAGCCCAGCAAAGGCCTCGATGACGATGCGGATGCCCTCTTAATAGGACACGGCAACAACGTTTGCGCCCTCGATGTCAACCAGGATGGGAAATACATCGTCAGCGGCAGCTGGGACATGGAGGCACGGTTGTGGGAAGTAGGCAAGTGGGGCGATTCGACTGTCCTGCAGGGCCACACTGCCTCTGTTTGGGCTGTCCTTGCCTACGACAACAACACCGTCATTACTGGCTGTGCCGACAAGCAGATTCGCATATTCCAGGCCTCTGGCTCAGCTACTCCAGTGCGGTCAATACAGGCGCCTGAAGTGGTGCGCGCACTGTGTCGCTTGCCCCCGAACCACCCCTCTGGTGCACAATTCGCATCGGCCGGCAATGATGCTGTCATTCGCCTGTGGACTCTCAATGGCCAACAGGTAGCTGAGCTCCATGGTCACGAGAACTTCATCTACTCACTCGCAGTCCTTCCAAATGGTGGCTTGGTGAGCGCTGGCGAAGACCGAACTATGCGGATATGGGAGAACAACCAGTGCATACAGACCATCACCCACCCAGCAATCTCTGTCTGGACTGTCGCAGTATGCTCAGAGAACGGCGACATCGCAACAGGCGCGAGCGACAAACTTCTCCGCATCTTCACCCGCGACCAAGGACGCTATGCAGCAGCAGCAGAGATTGAGCAGTTCAATGACGATGTCAAGGGATCATCAATACCGCAACAGACAGTCGGCGATATCAACAAAGAGAAGCTCCCAGGGCCCGAATTCCTCACACAACGTTCAGGGACAAAGGAAGGCCAGGTTCAGATGATACGGGAGGCGAATGGCAACATCTCTGCATATCAATGGTCTGGGGCGGCCAGTCAATGGGTGAACGTTGGCACTGTAGTCGACTCAGCCGGGAGTGGTGGACGAAAGATCTCGCACAACGGCAAAGAATATGACTACGTATTTGATGTTGATATTGAAGATGGCAAACCTCCACTCAAGCTGCCCTACAATGTCAATCAGAACCACTACGATGCCGCGCGCAAGTTCATCGAGGACAACGAGCTCCCACTAACATATCTAGACCAAGTCGCAAACTTTATCATCCAGAATACGCAGGGTGCAACACTAGGTCAGAGTAGTGCACAAGGAGCGGATCCTTGGGGGTCGGATGCAAGATATCGCCAAGGCGACGCAAACGAAACCACATCGCAACCAGCACCAGCACCGCCAGCTGCTAAGATCCTTCCCCAGAAGGATTACCTGCCAATCGCGACCGGAAATCACAAGGTCATTTTCAAGAAACTACAAGAATTCAACCAGGCGGTAGTCAACGACGGACACAAGGGCATATCGCTAAACCCATCAGACATCGAGCAACTAAGCACTACCGTCGTTGCATTAGAGAAGGGTGATGGCAAGAGTATCGACATTACGGGAGTTGAGCTACTCGTCAAGGCGGCTACACAATGGCCAGCAGACAAACGTCTCCCTGCGCTGGATCTACTGCGTCTTGTTCTCGCTTTCGAAGAACCAGCGGCATACCTAGTGTCGCCCGACCAAAATCTACTGCCTGCTCTTACTGAGTCTGGGGTCTTTGCCAACTCATCTCCGCCCAACAACACAATGATGGCCGTAAGGTGTCTCAGCAATCTACTACAAACAGACAAGGGTCGTTTGCTGGCAAGCAACGAGTTCGACAACATCCACCCGCTTGTATCGCCCTTCATCACTTCCACGAACCGTAATCTGATCATTGCGCTCACAACATTATACATCAACTATGCGGTTCTGCTCACATCAGAGAACAACGCCGATCGAGCTTTGTCACTTCTTGACGACCTATCAAGAGTTCTCACTACCGCCACGGACTCGGAAGCAGTCTATCGCGCACTGGTTGCTACGGGCACATTGCTCTGTCTAGGTCCCGACTTCTGCGAAGCTGGCAGAGACATACTGCAAATAGGCGATGCCGTCAAGCGCGCAGAAGAGAAGGTCAAGGAACCGCGGATCAAGAACGTCATCGCCGAGATTCGACAGAAGTTGCAGGGTTAAAGGTCGGTTGCCGTATCGGATACCGTGTCGGGTACCGACGCTCCTAGTTTAGACGGATCTGAACCAGAACTGGTAATTTCGGGGCTGGTGAACAAACCGGGATCCGATATTTGGATTATAGACGGGAAAGTGCAAACATGGATGAGGCTGAGTCGGGATTTTATCATTCAAGTACCTATCTTTGGTACAGATGAGGGCGGATGAGTGGATGGCATGACATGAGCGAGTGCTTTCTGCGTCATAAGCAAGCGAGAGCATCACTACATCAGCAGACCAGATCAAATGCATCAACTACATTAGCATCACTCATTCCTTCCACTGACGTAGTTTCTACGTCGTATCTTGCGCCCCGCCGGTGACAAAATAACATCCATTTACCCCAGATTTCACTATATTAGCCATGTCGCGCTAGATGATCGAGTGACTAGGTCATCGTCGGTGTGTCGGCGATTGTGATTGCCGACTCGAGCGTCACCTGCGTGCTTGCATGGGGAAATTAAGACACGGCCACGCCTTGAACGCGTGTCGTTCGTATGTGTAGGTGCAGGTGATGTTCAGGAGGTGTTTCAAATGTTGTTTGGGGCGTTAGCTTCGATGCGGAGGGATGAGGTAGTGTGATCAAGATTAGGGGCGCGTGGGATGGAATGGGATGGGGTAGCGTTGCGCAATGTTGGACTACATTTGTTCCTTGCTCGTGATCTCTTTTTTTTTTACAAACATGTATATGCGAGTTAGTAACGACTAGTTGGGAAGAAGGAAATTTTTAAGCCTCAAGACTGCTGACGTAAAGATTATGTGCAATTGAGGCAGTTTTGTTATTTATTCTGCTTACCATCACCAACTACCTCATGACCTGGCTTGGAGACTTCATCATCTGGATCCTACCGGATGGAGTAGAAGACAAACAGCAGTGATGCTAACAAGCTGATATGTCGATGAAGAATAAGCAAGGGCCGATTGACTGTACGTAGAATACCTGACCTCTTCTCCTGAAAAGTTTTCAAGTCTTTCTCTCACAACACCAATCAAACTCTATTGTCTCCATCCACTTCCACTTCCACGACAACCTCCACACTCCTCCCCTTCTCCTCAAACCCCTCTTTCAAAACCGCTTCCATGTTCACTAGTACATCTTCCGCACGCTTCAAGCCAAGAAACCGCAAGTCATACTCTCTGATCTCGCAACGAAACTTCAGGTACGTAAGTTTCTTCATCTCGAACAGATTGCCGAATTCCCACGCGGTCTTTAACTCATCTTTCGAATACAACCGCGCAGTATGGCGTTGCTGGCCTGAAGATCGCCCTGTTAGACGAGACAGGGACCGTACGCGAGCTTCAAGTATTAAGCTGCGTATCCCAGTGCACTGCGACACGAGCGCTTCCGGGTAGAATTCGCCGGGAAGATAGGACTCGCCGTACCATATGATGTCGTAGATGGAGAGCATGCGCACGGACTGCAAGCCCCGCGGGAACTGAGACGCGAAGAGCTGGAACGCGTACATTTCGTGGACGTGGGGCTGCTCGAAGATGAAGCGAGTGCGCTGGAGGAAGACTGGCACGGACTCGCAGTGGAGTTGTTTGTTGGCGAAGCATAGATTGGGCAGGGCGTGTGGTAACAGGACTACTTTTGAAATAGTGGACCGCTTGTTTATGGCGAGTCGCGTTGGCATATCTGCCATTGCGAAGAAATAGACTTTGTCGCGGAGTTCACGGGGTAAGTCGAGGAAGTGTTGGAAGCCTTCGCAGTGGCATCCCGGATACGAGGTCGTCGTCATGCTGGTAGAGGCCAAATGCTTTCGATGGTGCTTTTAGCAGCGCCTAATGAACGAGAAAGCCTTGGTGGGATACAAGAGCCTAGGAAGGTCAAGTGCGTCACGAGAGGTGTACGTACAGCCTAGTGAATTGATATGCTATTAAAGGAAAGAGGGCCACATTCCCAAAACATATGCTTCACTAGATCTCTAGCTTCTAAACCTTCTGTTCAGGCTCCTTTCGAATTCAGCTTCCTCCTCCTCCAATAGCTTCCTAAATTCGGCTTCCTTCCGCTTAATTAGGGGCGCCATGACTTCGTTGACACGCTTTTCGAGCTGAAGCCGCTGCGGTGTTTTCTTCGACCCACGATTCGGATAAACAAAGTGCGTGATAGCGCGCACATGCGAAGGCTGTACCTCTGTCAATCTCAAAGTCGGGCTTGAAAGTGCTCCTGTACGCACCTGTCCACGTAGATATAACTCAGCTGCCAGCTCAAGTTGCCAAGTGACATCCTCGTCTTCTGTCCATTTTAGGAGGGACTCGCATGCACCGATCGGCTTTGTCACGACCGTTACTGCGGACCCCTTTCTCTTGAAATACTCATAGCTTGACAAGATCGCTTCCTCAAAGTTCAACATAATGCGCGGTACATCGATGGTTTCCGCGCCCCATCGGCCAAAGGGTGTGACAATCACAAATGTGACTTTTGGTTGCCTCTTGAATGGTATGAGCGACCACGTGGGCAATTCCTTGCGAATCTTGGAGTGGTAGACGCCTTTTTCTCGCCACTTAAAATCCTCTTCTGGGACTTCTCCCTCGTCATCACCCGCCCCGTCCCAGCCGGCCCACTCTAGAAAATCTTCACATCGGACGAAGATAGTGATATTGCTGAGATGGTCCTTGGGAACAGAGCCACACGCAAACGGCGTCGTGAGAAAGTCGCACATGAGGCGGCGTGCATCACGAAAATGAAACTCGTTCTTTTCCAGCCATAGGTTCGTCGTCTCTTTCGCCATATCTACGCCTACCCACTTAGGGTCGAAGATGGGTTGACGTCTTAAGGCGTCTAACTCGTATCTGATATCTTCTTCTTCGTCTTCATACTCTCGTGGTCTCAGACTCTCACCTGACGCGATATACGACACCTCCGCTGGTCCATAATGCTCATGGAAAAAGGCATGGCCGCGGTTGGGAATGAGAATGGGTCCATCTTCACAACACAAGTACTCATAGATCATATAGCGGAGGTGGGGCACGCAGTGCTGCATGATCGCATCTGCCAACTTTCTGAGCTCTTTTTGCTCGCATCGGGTTACTATGTCGTCAAACTGTCTACCCAATATAAGTAATCGTGTTGATATAGTGCCAGGCAACTCACTTCACGAAACGCTTCTTGTCTCTACGGATCCGGAGTAGCTCTTCGTCGTCCAAATCCGCGTCTACATCATCCAAGCAGTCTTCGATTCTCTAGGCTCTTTAGAGTTAATCCTCAGATACATTAGACAAAACATACCGCTCGTCGGCTTCCTTGATCTGTTTATGCAGGCTTAATAACCTGCTGTTAGCATCGCGACTCAAACGTGACGAGATACTTACCCTCGAAGAGTCTTCCATGCGGCCCGCGTGGCCTCCGAACGATAATCAGGCTTTGTTGGCGCTTTCATGTCTACAACGTCGTGATTGCGAGTGCTGTGAGATTGAGAATGTTGAGGGTCGAGTGTTGTTCAGGTGGTTCAGGGGTTCGTGGGGTGTACCTTGGAAATTATGAGAACCTGGAGCTAAGCTACAGTCAGACTAAGTAGTTAGTGCGGCCCAAACTTGAAGTGAAACGGACAGGGATAGCTCAGATGTCACTTCCGATAGAGACGAATAGTCTTTAGCCATTTTATGTCTGAAAATCTGTGGCAAAGCATTAAAAAGCCCTTCCCTACAAGAAAATAAGCTGACTATAACCTAGGATAGTTACTACATGGTCTAACTCAAGCTCCAACACGCAACGTTGATGCCCAGTCTCGCGAAACCACCGCATGGTTGCTTTTTTGAATTGGTGGCTGGTGGGAGATGAGACGGTGAGGCTAGCGCCGAATCTCTCTCCCAAAACGGATAGGATGGCTGTACTAATCTACCACTACAGTCAATCACGATGCGCCCACGTGATCGTCATTGACCATCATCGGACTTTCGGATTTCGGATTCGGAGATTTCGGGCAAAACAAAACACGAGACAGTAATTGTTTTATCGTCTATCTTATCCATCGATGAATTGGTCGCCTACGCCCATTTTCCAAGGAAACTCATAAGCACCAATCCGCTCACCAACGCAAGCATCGCACACGCCGTCCTTGTCAAACCCGCGTTCGATAACTTTCCACCCATCCAGTCTCGGGCCAACATCTCCACGATACCGACCCAGGCTAGAATACCGGCGGACAACGCATCTAAGGTACCAATAGCGACAATCGTGTTCGGGTCGTTCCCGTTGAACTGATCAAGCACACCAACACCAATGGCCATGCCAATGGGCGTGATGAGCGCAAAGGTACCGGCCATTATGCACTTCTGAAGAGTAGAGGCTGCGACCTTTGGCAACTCGGCGATGCAGGTGCCGAGGGCGATGCCTTCGAACATTTGGTGAAAGAGGATTACGACAAAGAGGGTGATGAAGAAGCGATCGCTTGCTACTACAAGGGTGACACCGATGACTGCAGACATGTTAGTTGGTGTTGTTAGCACATGATAGGTAAGACTTACGGATGGAATGGAAGATGATGCCTGCTTCCAGGTTCATTACATTGATTTTCTCTTCCATTGGCGTAGCCGTACGAACAGCCCCATGGACATGGGGAATGCCATGATCGTGGTTGAACTCGTTCGGTGGAGTTGTAGAACCCGAAGATGCTCCCGACTTTTCGTCACTGCTCGCATTCGGGACCTCAATGCTAGCATCAACATGCTTGTTCTGACGCCATTGCACAAAGCGTGCACCAAGATAGTCGACCAGAAAAGATAAAAAGAGGCCAGCCATGAAGATCGCGGCAGGAGTGCCTTCGTACTCCAGGGCGCCCAAGCATTCGTTTGCGAACATGAGTTGCGCATGTGTGAACAAATGGATGAAAGCAGTGGAGATGACAATGCCGGTTCCGAACTGCTTCAAGACAACGAAAATGACGTTGTCATGCGAAATAAGGTTGAAGCGAGTGGTCAGAACGGGCAAGAAGACCCCGATGGCGCTGGTGACGAGGATGACGAAGAGAAGGCCGATGCGTAGGGGAATATTGTAGTCCCGTTTTTTGGCATCACACGATTTTTCTTGTGACTCACCTCCAACGCAGTGTCTAAGCGTTGTTAGTCAAGAGGGCGTGGGGCTTGCTAAAGGCAGCAATCACTTACTCAACACCCGCATGGGAGTGACAATGCTCTTCAGCACCAGCTGGTTCATGTGAAGAGCTATCATGCTCATCCGTATGTGTAGTCTCCTCTTTCCCAGCCGAGTCGATGAGCAATTCGACGTCCTCACCAGAAGCGTCGACGCAAAAACTTGTATCACGTCAGCACGGCGTCCAAATATGCGGTACGAAGACTAACGTCTTTATGCCATGGGAGTGGCAGTCGGTATATTTTGATTCCATTGCTTCGGTCTTAGTTGGCCCGACAACCTGGTACTCCTCAGTACCAGCCATGCACCAGCTATCATTCGTTAGTGCCAATTTTCGATATCATCGTGTTCCCGGCAAACGCACTTGACAGTGCCATGAGGATGGCATTCCGACACAGCAGTAATTGACGGCTTAGCTGCTGAAGTCGTAGATGGAGGTGCAGTTGTTGTCTGCGCGGCGATAGATCTGGCGAGCAGCAGAATCCCGGTCGAGGCCGCAATCCGTGCGACTGAAGGCATGCTTAGGGGTTAATAGATAAGCGAGTTGAGTTGGTGAATGCTGTTAAAGTCGCACCAGGGCAGCGTCTTAATAAAGGAGAAATAGGCTGTAGTTCTCAGCTAGAGCTCTCCGCGAAAGAAGAGGTGGTTTTTAATAATGAACGGTACGCTGTTACTCGACGCAAAACTTCGCTACCGACGGAGGTAAATCGTGGAAGTAAACCGACCAAATATGTTGACCTAAAAATGTAAGAAGCTTGCCTTTCCGTCAGCGGAGCGGAATAAAAGAACCGTGATGGACAGGCAAGCACCGAGAAGTATCTGCATCCATATCCACCTTTTCGAGGTCATCGTGCTTGGCCTTCCATGGCTTGAGCACCGTGATGGGCAAATTACCTTGGCATAAATCCACTCGACATACGTTGTCAAATCAAGATTCCGAACGTTTGATTATTTGCTGTCGGCGCTGCTAAACAGAAGAAGAAGGTGGGCGGGTGTCGCGCACTGCTGAAGTGGCGGAGGTCTTGGCGGTGAATGTTGAGTCATATGTGCTCTATCCCCCCTTCCCGGAATTCTACGCGAAAACTGGACAGTCAGCAGGGCAAAGATTAAATTTGTTGGTTTTTTTAATCATAATGAAATTGGTACAAGGTAAACATACCATGCCTTGTCCCTCCAAATCGAACAGCCTCGTATTCCTGGGTCCACACTTCAACATGCCCGATGCTTGGACATACACGTGATACACACGTGGTCGCCTCGGTACTACTCAGCCACAAAGTCTCATGGTACTCACTATGACTTACTCCGTGGAGGGCCTTTCGGGAAACCTGCATCAACCCGCTCTTAGGCGCTTGGTAAAGCCGGAGGCATATATCCATGCCAACACCTCTTCGGTAGAAGTGAGAATTCTTCGCTATTGGCAGTCCATCATGGTGCTCGAATGCACATTGAGAAAGGTCTTTAGCAGTAAACCATGTAATTCACGTCGCGATGTGAAGATGTGCCGAGCTCAACCATGCGAGCTGTACGTAGGCCAAGAAGGTCGGTCGTTTTTTGCCCTGCGTGGTGTAGTAGTAGCCTCTCATTGACTGCTGATATACCTGCGGCTACATCGATGAGGCGTAATGCTTCAAGTCTTGGCAATATGAGGATCGTAGCGATGTCGGTGGAATCTGCCGAGGAGCACAACGCTCTAAGCTGAAAGATTGCCTATGAGTGTATAAAAAGCTGCATCTCGTCTGCAAGGACCTGAATCCAGCCTCTCGGGACACTTCCTTAAACATCAGCTTGTATCGTCATTGACACTGAGCCGCCACCTTGCAAACATTCGACACGTCCTTCAATCCAATTAATTCGCGGAAATGGTTGCCCGTATCTCGTCCCTCCTGCTCCTTGGAGTTTCAGCTGTCCTAGCGACTCCTCTTCTTCCTCGTCAGAGCGTAGCGACCGTCACTGTACCGGCAGCTCCCCCTTCCTCGACAGCTTGGGACACGGGTGCTGTTCATGAATATCCCATTCACGCTTCATGCAACGCAAACCAGCGCGCCTACCTTAAGAAAGGCCTTCAAGAGACTGCCACCCTCTGTCGTCAGGCTCGCGACCACATCCTCCGCTGGGGAAACTCCTCAGATATCTACCAAAAGTACTTCGGTGATGCGCCTACCGGAGAACCACTCGGGTGGTTCACGAAGATTGTTGACGGTGACAAGTCTGATGTCCTTTTCAGATGCGACAACATCGACGGCAATTGCGGGCAGAAGGGTACATTACCTATCAGTGCTACTTGAGTCTGCCTACTTTGACTGACACTCCATAGGCTGGGCTGGTCATTGGCGCGGCTCCAACGGAACTTCTGAGACTGTAATCTGCGACCTGTCCTATGAGATCCGCCGGCCTCTCGAGGGAATGTGCATGTTTGGTTATGATGTCGCCAACGGTGCTACCAACCTGTACTGGGCCTCTGACCTCCTCCATCGTCTTCTGCACGTTCCAAAGGTCGGTGAGGGTGCTGTCGAGCACTACGGTCATGAAGGCAAGTATTCCGGCGTCCTCAGTCTGGCTAAAGAGAATTCCACATATGCCGTAAAGAACAGCGACACTTTGCAATACTTTGCTCTTGAGGTGTATGCCCACGACATCGCCGTGCCCGGCATCGGCTGCGCTGGCACGTACACTGCAACTTCGACTGCTGCCACCACAGCAATGAGTGCAGCATCAGTAGCTGCCAGCTCTAATGCGGCGACCCCTAGCACGGCTGCTGCTACTACAACTGCTGTAGCGGAGGCTTGTACCCCTCATGGTGACCATTGGTAAGTTGTTTGTACAAATTTCCCTCCCTGTAAATATACATACTTACAGATATCAAGGCACTGTCCTCCTGGCGTCCCTGAGCCAAGCTCTCCTCCCTCCTGAGTTTGCCATGGCCTCAGCAAGGTTGCCGGCATGTCTCGAAACAACTAACGAGTAGTTAAAACTTTGTGGCCAAAGCTCGTATCTCGACTCGCCAAAATCACACTATATATTCTAATGATAACCCAAGTTCTTTTAACATTGTTTTCTGCGGCTTGTTGAATGCGTGACAAACCTATCGTGGCATGTCTGGATTTAAACATGAGCTGCATGTGCCTGTTCGGGTACGTTTGTGAACGGTTGAGATTTTTCACCGCCGCCAATGGCAGTACTCGATCGTGATGTAAGATTGCGCTATCCAGGAAGCCCATTGTATACAAAGTCTGCTAATTGACTATTGTTGAGCAATTCCTCTGGGCTCCATTGTTGCAGACCACCCTCACCAAATGCGAAGTCATTTTCGATTTGCGTGAATAGATATTGGTTCGCTTCGTCCATGGACCAAGACCAAGGTGTCGGGTTGATATCTGAATTCGCAAGACTAACCTCCCGTTGGAGCTGCTGCTCGACAATTTGCGGAGTGGCGCTATCTTCTGGATGGGGTCGCAGCGTCTGTAGCGTGGTAGGACCGAATGAGCCTCGCCCGCTCGGTGTTTGGCCGGCAGCACTCGAGAAACCGACATCATCGGCCTCCATTGCCAGTCTTACAGCCGTCTCGCGATCAAGATACTGGAAGAAGAGTTGGAGCACCCAGTTCGTCACTTCCCAGGTCTTTTGCAGCTCTTGTAGTCCTAGTAGGCATAGCTTAGCTCGATGCTCAGCAAGGGTTCTTTTAATCCCAGTTGAGCGTCTAAGGTTTGCTACATGAATACACAAGGTATTGAACAGATTAGTGATAACGTGAATTTGCGCATGTCCAATGTCACCATCGGGGAGCATATCCTCAACAATGCGCGAATTGCGCGCCGCTGCCTGCAGCGCGATGCTTCCGTCGGTCTCCGCGCTACCCTTCTCATCCACAATAAAGCTTGTGCGGTAGAGGAGAATCAGAAGGTTGTTATAGGCGAGGTGAAGCATGCTAGCTTGGAAGCTTGGTTGGTCACCCATATCGCTACGTAGTTGCATGACAAATGGCAGGTTTCGGTTCCAGTCGTAGAGTTCGTCACGGATCTTCGATCTGTCTTCAGACCTGAGGGTACGATTTGGTAAGTACCCAGCGTCAACTACCCTGCCCAGAAATATGGCCAACTGCACCACGCCAATCATGTAAGCAATGTAACGGTGACAATCAGAGGTAGGTGTAGATGGGCTAAAAGCCGACACGAAGTCAGATGTTGCCAAAGGCTCGATATCGCAGTCTTTGTCGCGGATCCGATTTGGCAGTCCAAGAGCAGACCCACATTGGCGCTCACGAACATAGATAGCCCACCAAAGGCGCCTCTTCAGTCTCGTCAGTTTCTCTTCCGCTACGCCACCAGAGCGATGTAGCGCCTTGGTCTGCGAAAGACTAATTGCAGTTCCAAGCCAGTGACGAGTATCTTTTTCCAACAGTGCACCAGCTCGCCAAAAGCTCATCAGGAACAAAGACTGAATAACGATCACTTTGTTTGTTTCGTAGGTGGCGTCGTAAATATCCTTTGCTCGGATATAGAAAAGCCATTTCGCTCGATGGCGGTTGCCCCATCCTAAGCTGGTAAGTGTTGATTCCTCGCAGTGGATGACACCAATGAACAACATGGCCTGTAGGAGAAGATGTGATACGCTGCCTTCCTGATACAAATCCCAGAAATCGGCTTCATCGAGGATAGCAAAGTGCGGGTGGAACCACTGGAAGTAAGCCTTCAGGAACTCGAGGCGGGTCGCTGTGGGAGGAAACGAGAATGCACCCTCGACTTGGAGCGCTTTCATCCTGGCACGGCGGCGCTCAGCTTCCCATTCCGGGACCAGAGCCTCTGCCTTGACGGCGTTTGGTACCGCATGGCGGAAGACAGATTGTCTACGCTCTGCTGCTGCTGGCGAATGCTCTTCGGTGACATAGCGGAGTGAACTAGACTCGCCTAGAAATACGGCTGCGTCATCCTCAGCGGGCGTAGTTTCTGTCTTGGAATGGTTGCTACGAGATTCGGATGGCATAGAAGGAATTGCAAACTGGTATGGAGTTCCGGCTGCCGAGCTGTGGTTATTGACAGGGCTATGGAAGTTGGACGAGAGTGAAGCTAAAACATGTGATGCTGCGACCTCGTCTTCGTGGCGCTCGGGGCTCAATAGCGCATTTCTAATTCTTAGTCAGTCTGTAGTTCATTATCACTCTTTCTTTCCTCGTTCCTGGTTAGCAAATATGAGAAATATACGTACACAGCATCGCGCCCTTCTGTTCCTATCCGGGACTTCCTGGGATGCTTGCCCCGCTTCGACTCGCGCGTCTCGCACAAGATATTCCCGGCCACACAATTGCCACAGGGCTGGCGATCTGTCACATCACATTTAACACGTCTTGCGTTGCAGGTGACACATGCCAACTTCGCGCGCTTCCGTGGAGGCTCAGACATGTTGCCGATTAGAGATGATGAGATAGATGTGGGGAAGAAAGCGAAGTCGGCTATCAACGTTGAAGCTGAGAATCTAGTGGCTTGGCACTGTTGTCATTATTTTTGGCAAGCACGACTGTCAACCCCTAGGAATGGGAACTACTTCAGCACGTTGTCTTCTCTAAGCTTTAAAACCTTGATATAGCTGCGAGAAATGCCAGTCATGTCTATAATGTGTTCGGGGTATTCTCATGGCCTTCGACATAATAGCGTGCGATCGATGTGCAAGTCACGCCAGCGTTATCGATATCGGCTATGCACCAGCCCTCTCCGCATCCTCCATAACCGTCAACACGAGCCGCTCATCACTTCACATAACCTTAGAGACCATTTGAAGCGTCTGCATTGCTTACATGCAATGCATGTAGTAGACAAAGCCGATTGACTACCCAATGTCTTTCCTAAGTCGCCGCCTCTTCTCCACAACCGCTCGGCAATGTGCCTCAGCGACAGAAGCATGTTCCGAGATCCTTTCACGCTTCGACAAAGGTCCTGTATCAATACGCAAACAAATCATCGACGCAAATCAACTTCAACTGCTCAGCATCACACTGAATCGCACGCCAACTTCTCTCAATCCGCCACCAGATGGTACGCCAGTTCCACCAGGGTATCATCTGGTGTATTTCACTCCTAGCATCATCGAAACTGAACTAGGATTGGATGGCACAGATCGAACCGTGAATCCCTTATCGCCTTTCACGCGACGCATGTGGGCTGGTGGTGAACTGCGATGGACACAAGATTCAAATGCACTACTAAGAGTCGGGCAAGAAGTCCGCGAAACCACAAAGTTGCTCTCTGCCGAGCCTAAGAAGCTCAAGAGTGGGAGTGAAATGCTAGTTGTTGGCGTCGAGAAGACATTTGAAAATGAAAAGGGCGTTGCGCTCATCGACAGGCGCAACTGGGTCTTCCAAAAAGAAATCACGCCTGTAAACCAGATTAGAGCTCCACTAAAACCTGAGATGAAGACATTGCCAACGGGCACACATATGCGCCATTTTTGTCAAACGGACGTTACCCTGTTTCGCTTCTCCGCGCTGACGTTCAACGGACATAAGATTCACTATTCGCCCGAGTGGTGTAGAGAGGTGGAAGGGCATCGAAACGCCGTTGTGCACGGGCCGCTGAACTTGATCAACATGCTCGATTTCTGGAGGGATACGGCGAGGAGTGGTGATACGGAGGCGGTACCGAAGTCGATTGCTTATCGCGCCATGGCGCCTTTGTACGTCGGTGAGCCATACCGGATACTGCTTGAGAAGGGAGAGGCGAAAGAGTGCGAGTGGAAGGCGGATATCTGGGATAACTTTGGAAAGGAAAGCATGATGGGAACTATCGTGGGGTAGACACAGAACTGGTCTATGGAATCAATTATCAACACTTGAAAGCTATACAACTATCGGAGACCGAGATCTCAAACTAAACCCCACCACGGTACTCGATACATGTTACCACCCGACTAATCTAACCAAGCAGACCAGTCAAGATGTTGAGCACCGCCTTGATAGTGGCCTCTATCTCCACGTTGTTGATCTCGGGCAGTCCAGCACCGGGAGAAACAGACAGCTTCGAGTTGCTAACCAATCCAGTCAACTCGCTGACAACCTGCTTAAGCGTAGACTCAATCTCGAGCTTGTCTACCTCAGACAGGGCAAGATCTAGCACAGTGGGTAGCTCGAGACGTAGCTCGACACCGCGCTTGCTGATAAGGTCGTTGACTTCCTCGGGTAGGCTGACACTGGGAAGAGCGGGGAGGCCGAGACCGTCACGCTTGATAGGAACGTCGACAGAGAGCGCTGGGAGCTCGATTTCAGGGGTCTCAATCTCTGGGACCGCGGGGAGTCCAGCGCCGAGGCCTGTTGATGTTAGCACATGGCAATTCCAGATGTGAAGGATGTACGTACCGAGAGCTTCACGCTTGATGGGAAGGTTGACGTCGTCGACCAGATCAGTCACAGGCTGAAGAAGACCGTCCACAGGCTCAATAAGACCGTTGACCACCGGGAGTTCTTGACGTTTGATGGGCAGCTCGACCGACGGTAGCTCTGGGAGTTCTACATCGTTGAGAAGAGCATTGAAGTCTGGAAGTTCCTGACGCTTGACGGGGAGGTCGACTGAGACCGATGGTACATGTACCTCGTCGACAAGACCAGTCACTGGCTCTAGCAGACCGTCGATCTCGGTAAGTTCCTGACGTCTAACGGGTAGCTCAGCTGAGACGCCTGGTACCTCCGGGACATCGACTGGAAGGTTTACGATTTCCGGGACATCGATAGGTCGAGTGGAAACATCGAGGGGAGCGCTGACAGCGACAGCGATGAAGCTTGCGAAGACGACGGAGGCGCGCATTTCGAATTAGGATTATGGTTGAGTGAGTGAATGAGTGACTAAAGCTATTTAAAGAGAGACGAGAGGAAAGACTGTTGGAAGCTGATGGCGATATTACTTTGGGCAACAGCACTGTTTATATGCATGCTGTCGCAGCTCCTCATTTAGTGTTGCACGGGCTAACTCAAGCGGAACTTTGCGGGACATTTGGCATAATTACAACGTGCGCTAGTAGCACAGATCACGTCAAGGTACCGTACCAGTGATCATAGTGTCTACGGGGGCATTATTCGGTAACTTCCACTTGATCGACATATGGTCTGAGCGCACGGTCCCTGTGGTGTTGAGAGGAACAGCAACCAACTAAAGTCGTACCTCCAGACATATTGAGAATTGTAACATGAGTGTTAATCTGGCTATTTCACAGCATGCAACATATGATAGGGCAACATTTAGTCCAGCATTGAAGACTGAAGAAACTCTCCGCTTGATGTTCAGATCAATGTCGTGCTGAGGCTGGGATGGTGATCGACAGGGGTCGTCTGATCGACGTGCAGATCCCACACCTTTTTAGCGTTACCAACGTTTAACCTTCTGACCCATCCGGCAGCATTAATCTCCTCATGAACATCGCTACACTCGAATAGGGACGAGAGAATGCTGTAGGAAGACACCATAACACCCGAGTCTCGACTGTCCGAGAGTTCGGTGATGTAGACTGGCGTTTAAACATTACGTTTGGATGCACACACTACAGCAACAAGGGACTACGCTTTTAGTAGACTATGAAGAAAACGTGATTGTGCTTACTCTGGGGTTGGAGTACGTCACTTGTTATCTTAAAGGTAGACTATATTTAGAAAGGTTATTTCCAATATTTGGAGGACTAACTAATTCTAATAGAGTAATATTAGAGCCTGGGGATACAACAGTTCTGGGCTAATAGGAGCCTACAGATCCTGCGGAGCGCATAAACAGGAATATTAAAATTTAAAATAAACTAGTTTTTTATTACATAATTACCTGCTTAAATTAATAGTATAATGTGTATTTTTTTATCCTAACTTTAGCGTTCTTATTAGCTTTGCGAAATTTAACGCTAACTTTACTAAAGTTAGCCTAAAGTTGCTTCTTACTAAATATAATCTACTTTTTACACTAGCTGTAAAACTAATAGCAAGTTGTTGTAGTATATTGTAATACTAAAAATTACTAAATAAGGTGCGCTAAATTAATTGCGCGTATTTTTATAGTTATAATATAACTTATTATAGTTGCGCAGCTAGTGTAGTAGGTTTAACGCGTTATTGTTATTACTATTTTACTAAGCTATAACTTTCTTTATTAACTCCTATATATGCGCGTAAAACTCCTACCTTCTAATATATAAAAATTATTAATTATAATACTTAAGGGCTTTTTAAAGGCCTAGCTTTAGGGTAATAATATTTTCTTAACTTAATACAATTTAAATAACAATTCTGTAACTTTTAATCCCGCTATATTATACCTAGAAAGCCTTAAAGGTAACAATTACTACTAAGTAGTAAAGGGTTTAAACCTGTTTTTTTATAATAAGTTTTATAAATTTGCAGCTTCTATCTTGTACATATAAAAAAAACATGTAACTTAATTTAAACTTTTTTTAAAAGTTACTTAGGTTAGCTTATAGTATGCATACAGTTGAAAATACACTAATACTTTTTATAATAAGGGTATTAGTAGGCGAGATACAAGTATAAAGATAAAAGTATATAAATAGAAAGCTACTCTACGTTAACTATATTAAGGTAAAAATAATACTTTTATATAAGGGCTTAAAGTTTTAAACTTTACTTATAACTATATTAGATTTTTATAGTACAGCCTCCTACAGTTCTAGCAAGCTAGTTAGGATAAAACAAGAAATTATATAATTAAGGATAGAATATAATTAGGTGCTATACTAGGCTTTGTTTACTTGCAGCTAAAAAAAGGGCACTTCTTTATATTTTTTTAGGACGTTAGAAACTGTATAGTAAAGTGCTAATTAAAAAAGTTAGGAAGCTGCTTAAGGATTAAAGCTCTATAGGATAAGCTTTAATAGAATTTTTATAAAGACAAGCCTTACTCTTGTTTTTTAATTAAGGTAAATAACGCATTTTTTAAATACTTTATTAGGTTTACTTAGGATCTTTCTAGCTGCTTTATTTTACTATTCTAGGCCTACTTATACTTTATAAATATGTTATAGGAGCATTTAGACATTCTTATAATAGACTATATATATAAAACAAATTGTTTTAATATGCCTTTCTTTTATATTATAGGGATCTTAAGTATAAATTAAACTTTTAATATAGCCTTTACGCTCCTTTTAAATAAACAGGAAAGAGCATATAATAATGCTATAACTGCCCTAAAAGATCTCCTAAACCTTATTAGGCGTACTATAAAGATTTTTATTACTAATAATAAAAAGGCTTTAAAGCGCTACCTGCGTAGGACTTTTAAAAATGTCTTTATTAAGGGCTATTTATAGCACCTTAACACTAACTTTAAAGTTAAGATTAATAAAATTTAGGCTAATAATAGGGCCCCCTATAGTTAGAAAGAAAAATTTAAAAATATTAGAAAAGAGTTTTTATACTACTTTTATAGTATAGTAGACGCTTAGAGCGAGGAGTAGTTTAATACTTTATATATATTCTTCTAAGAGCATTTTAACTACGCGCTAACCCTCTTAGACTATATAAAAAGTTATATAATACTCCTAAAATATAAATAAGCAGAGTATATATACTAATACATGCCTAGTTTTAGCTAGCAAACAATATTTCTGCTTAAAACTTTATATAAAAAGGTTAAACGAGCTCTTCTTAATTAAACTAGGCACCTTTTAAATATAATAAAGGACTTTTATAAGCATATTTAGGCCTTTAAAAACACTTATTAAGTTGCTGTAAATATAAAGGAAGTTTAGGTATCTAATAATATAAATATTCTAGGCTTCTAAAAGCTTTATACTTATATTACTTTGCTTAGATTAGTCCTTTTTACAAACTAGTTTAGGCTTGCAAAGGACTTATTTTGTAATTTTAAAAATTATTTAAGGGCTTTTACTATAATATATAATTTTTCTTATAAGTACTAGCTTAGTATATAGCTCTAGGAGGACCTAAACTTCACCTTTAAGCCTATATAAGTAAGTTAATATTAGTACTTCTACCCTTTCTGCGCTGCAAACAACTTGCGCTGCTATAAGTTTTTTACTAAAAACTTAGTTAAATTAAGACCTAAGGGTTGTCCTAAAGGTACAAAGGGTAAAAGCAAAATTACTAAAGATAATTTAAAAGCTGTTTTTACGCTAGAGAAATATAATTTAATTTATTTAAAGTATATGCAGGCGTTTTAAATACTTTAATTTTTGTTGTTAAGGACCCTAAAGGCTTAATCCTAGTTTTAATAAGTACTTAGCAATACTTTTAAAGATTAGTTAAAAGTTCTTAAGCAGTAATTTATATAGTTTTAATAAGAAGTTTACCTTGCCCCTTTATTTCTAGTTAAAAAAAAAAAAGTTCTAGTTGTCTAGGAACCTTAAATGCTACTTAAAAAACCTAAAGTGCTTTAAAGTTTACTTTTTTCCTTAGTATATGTTTTTAAAGAGCTATAGCGTCTTTTTAGTGCATAGTAAACAAGTTTCTAGGCAGTTAGAATAGTAGTAAAGAAGTTAGTATATATATACGTTAACTTTCTTTCTTTTTTCTAGCTTCTCCGGCCTTGTCTAGGTAGTTTAGGCTAATTAAAAGCTTTAAGGGAAGCTATTTCTAGCTGCTTTAAAGTCCTTATATACGCAGCTATATGCTATTATTTTCTATTTTTATTGCAGGGGGCTAGCTAGTTAGGGGTTTAGGCTTAACTTTAATAAAAACCTACTTAAATAGGGTTATATTTTTATTGTAGCATCCTATACGACCTCTTTAATATAGGAAAAGGTATATATACATACCCTAAGCTAGTCTGCATATAGAGGAATATATTTTTTTAGAGTATTATTAAAAATTAAAGTGCAAAAGTATTGGCAATATTGTTATTAATATTATAGGTTTAATATAAGTAGTACTGTAACTCTACAACTACGTAATAAAATAATTCTAGAAAACTCTATAGTGCTACTACGTATACTATAAGAACGTACCTGCAGTTTAGAATAAAATAAATTGCTTTTATAGTATTAGTGTGGCTGCGCGGTTTAGGGCTAGCAGTTTTAATAAAATAGTTAGTAGACTTAAAATGTTACAAATTAAGAATAAATTTACCTATTTTTAACTGAACAATATAATTAGTGGTAAAATTAGTCAGGGTTGGTGTTAAATTAGGCTGAATATTTGAGGGCTGCACGCGTACAATCCAGAACAACCCTTCTAAATATTAGAAATAACCCCTCCAAATATAGTCCACTATCTTAAAATACATGTTATTACCCCATAGAGAGAATGTAGGATAGGCCAAGAACTAATTATCCGAAAAGAGATAGGGACAGGCGCTTAGTCTAACTGTATTGCATTTAGGGGATAGGTATTAACTGCATTGGGGCTGAAGAGCTTCTCCATCATTTGTGCCATGTATTTTGCTACTGGTCCGACTTAACCGCATGTCTAATTCTTCTAGAGATTACTACTGCCATCATTCTCTCTAGGCTCTTGTAAGTGACTTCGTGTCAGTGCGGTCCCCAGCGGCGAAATAAGTTTCCAGGCTTGACTTCTTCTCGCCCTAATCCCCTTTACTAAGATAGTGCTGACTCGAAAGCCTCCAGCCCCTGATATTCCATGATAGTGACAACGGCAAGAGATGCTCCTCCAAGTCATGGGCTCGACCGAAGAATGTTCTAGTGGGAAGCGTCATGTAGGCTTGGGCGGTTTTGACTGAGAATCATCATTTCTACGTGGCTAGATTCAGTTTTATAGTTGCTGCTACCAAATCTCACGTGTGAAACTGTACCGTTTATCGCGTTATAACACTGCTTGTACGATTTTTAGGTACCTCTAGGAGCTCCACAACCTTTTTCTTCTTTCTGTAAGCACAATTTACTGCTGCGTATCTATTGCTAGTGATCTAGTCGGTTGCATATGTCGCTGTCCGACTCGATGGACTTGGGGGGGTCGAGTTGACACGAGGGTGGTCACGGAGATTGTGTGAGCATGCACTGAACAATACTTGAACACCTTACTGAAGGGAATTGGTCAAGCCAACTAAGATCTATCGAAGGGTGAGTCAATGTCGAATACATGACGTAGTCTCAGGTAAACGATCAAAAGGCTGTCCACCGCCCTTGAGTGTCTCAGTCCACACCAGGAGCCGAAGCATGAAGGCAATATCCTTGAGATCTGTGGGACAAGACAGGTTTCAACCCCGATCTGGAGATCGACTCAGCGACAATGTCGCACTCACCTGTCTACTGATAAACCGTGCTTTGAGACATATGAAGCGGCAAGATGTGATACTGGTTCAGCCTATCAGCGCATTATATGCCATCGTTTGTGTAGTCAGAAAGATAACGATAACGACCCTGAAGCTAATGCATCACGGCTAGGAGGTCAGTCGCGCGAGGTACTGTTGAAGAGATTAGCGATCTGTTTTCGCTAGGATTATTGAGCGGACAACGGTGATGCATTTCGGAAGTTAGGTGTTCATGCGCCATCGAATTTATGCGTTGCTAGTTTGTCCTGATCAGGTCGCACTTATTGCGACTGGTCTCTTGTGGTCACGTTGGCAGGCATACTTAAAGGGCATGAACAACCTTAGCATGGACACTTGCTCGTCATTCTCCACCTTGTGAAGGCACTCAACCCCCAGAATGATGTTATCCCTTGGATGACATTGCTTTGGATTCACTGGGAGAATGATGACTTGATGCAACTAGGAAACTGTTATGTAAATGCAACGCGCGTTGAATCGATACGTGCGCAGCACGGTGAGGCCACTTTGAGCCCCACTAACGCAAACTATAAGCGCATCCTGTTGACAGTATTCGATTGTGGTTGCCCACATCTCTATTGCTGGCCATGGTCGATTGCTTTTGGAAAGTATGTCGGAATTTTTCTGGATATCGGCTCTGAAGCTACGAAGTATGATCTCTAACCAGCATTAGAGCTATCGCTTGGCTTGTTCTTTATCTCGACTTGGGTCGTCCCTCAAAAAAAGCATCGACGAGATGTAAAGCATACGGTGGCGGTCCAGGACCGCTTAATCGATTAACCACACCAGGTGTGATGATTAAGCAAACTGTGGTCGGCATTCTTCCCGACGTGTCACGACGACGGGTCATCGGTCGCGTGCAAAATGGTGGAGAAGGCAGTCCGTTCATGCAAGCCATGCGATCTAAGCCCTCCCTTTGTGTGTGGCGTGCTCCCGTCTACGCGAGGAACAGACGATATAGGGTCCACTCGAAAACTTCATGCCGCCAACGAATCCTAAGCGCACATGAGTGAAAGGTCTTTAAAGAACCGGGTGACCAGGTCGACTTGCGTTGTACCTCGCCTCATCTTGGTGTGAAAGTCGAGCACCACGCAAACTCATACTTATCCATCTTCCGCGGGCGTTTGTACCGGTTTTTGTGGGGCGGGAACTAGGGAAAATCTGGAGACGCTATAATTCGCCACCTTTCACACCTCAGTTTGTATATTTTCCCTCTTCAGTACTGAGTTACATTTCCACTTCGCTGTACTCATTGCGCTCAACTAAACCACGATGGCGCCGCAAACCTCAATACCAGTAGCGGCCACGGTCCTCGGCACCATCGGAACAGTATGTTGGTGCGTACAATTGGCACCTCAAATCTGGCGAAACTATCGAACCAAGAGCACCGAAGGATTGCCAGCTTCCATGATGCTGCTCTGGTCAATTTCTGGGGTCCCCTTCGGCATTTACGCCATCTCGCAGCAGTTCAACATCCCTCTCATAGTGCAGCCACAGTGCTTTTGTGTGCTTTGTGCGGTGAGTTGGGCGCAGTGCTTGGTGTATGGCCGGTAAGTCCACTGTATCGGACTGTTGTGATACAGAACTAATCGAGGTATAGTAAATGGCGGACTTGGACGGCAACTTTACTCCTGGTTACTCTCCTGGTGATCTTCGCCGGGTTAGAAGCAGGCCTCATCTTCGCAATTCGACCAGCGTACTCGCGAGGCATTGAGTGGCCAGTCCTGCTCATCGGCATCGTCGCTTTCGTCACTCTAATCTCTGGCTACTTTCCGATTCCCTTTGAGCTCCTCAAGCGTCGTGGACGCGTTGTCGGTATAGATTTTGTTTTCCTCACTATCGATTGGTGTGGCGCATTTTTCTCTTTGATGGCGCTCGTTGCGCAGAACGAATTCGACGGTACGTAAAGTTGGTATACGAATTGCATATGAGACACCTACTGACTTCGTGCCTCAACCTTCAGTTCTCTTCGGCACCATGTACGCGCTTTGGTAAGCAATGTACCCTTCTGCAGTAGGGGTTCCCGTAAGGCTGACAATTGATAGCTGCGTCATCGAGATGAGCATGGTTGCCTCACACCTCGTATGGTTATGGCGAACCCGAGGAATCCGGAAACGAGCAAAAGAAGCAAGCAAAACGTTTGATGAGTCCGAAGAAGGCATTGAGTGGCAAGCAAAGGGTGTCGATCTCGAGGCGAAGTTCCTCAAATTATTTCCGAAGACGAAGTCACCCGAGGAAGGCTTTCATGCCGATAGCGATAGCATAGCTACCCTCGTCGTGCCCGAGCACGTAACGTCGAAAACTGTGCCAAACGCAGTAGTTTGAGATTGAAAGTCATAGTCAGAAACCTTAAGGGCATACTACCTAGCGCCCCTATTGCCGGCTTTGGAATGACGACTTTTCCTTGCAAGCGAATAAAGTTTGTTGCAGACGCTCTGGTCTCGATGCCAGCAGAAAGGTGTGACGTGATCTTAACACTCACTACGACAATGAATGCGAAAGCTGGTAGAAGATGATGAAGGCGATAAAGAGAGAAGACAAGATTGTAACATCTAGAGCTCTGTGGGAATCGCAAATGATCTTTAGGTGTGCTAATGTCGGTGCGCAGGGTTGCGGAGGAAGGTCGCGATCGCGGGCACGACCTCGCTTAATTTGTCTCCCCTCATCTCAGACCTAACACGTTGGAAGCAGATCTATCGTCATCGCGCATCCTACAAGTCCGGATCCTCCCGTCCAGTAATACAGAGAAAAGAATTAATTTTAGAGTTTTTATCGCAATATTACTGTGATTCCGTCCCAGCAGAATTTGTATTTGCCGATCGGTGCTATCCCTTCTAGCTATCTAAGTATGGGTAAACAAGCACTCAAGCTTGGCCGTGTCATCTTCAGCTTCAACTTCAACTTGAAGGTGTGTGAACTAGGTTGTCAAGAGTAAGGTCCAGCCATTAGTGGGGATACTTGTTATTAGTCGCAAACAGCAGTGGTACAAAGTTCTCGAAAGTCCAAAGTTTAAAGAGGCATCCAATCAACGTCCCTGGAGTTACTTCCAGTGTTTTGGTCGATCCGGGCGAGAACTCGCGATGATCCACCTGTATTGATCACCGAAGTTGGCCGTTGGTCTACTCGCATTCTTTACACGCATTCCCGGCTTAGGTCTCAGTTCGCCCCCTGTTGCCTGCGTCCTTAGCCCTTCAGCAAGATCATTACGGAACGCACAGGCAAGACCTGCAAAGTAGGTTTGACATATTAAGCAATATCGATTGCTAACACGATGGATTCTAGGCAATGATTCCGTACTGCCTGCCTTTACTAAGAATCGTCACTTTCGAATTGAAATCGCGCTTCAAGCTCTTTAAGTTTACGAACATTTAGGAAACTCTTCTCGCATCAGATTTTATGTACCGTTTAGGTTACCAATAATCGCTTTAACACTTTTCTTCCATATGGTAACGCCATCCGCTCCACAACGACTGCATCCGGCTGATCTGACTTTCGATACATCGTACCTTCTCATTGCTGCTTTTATTCTTGGGTCTCTCTTATAGCTGCCGAGCTCCATCTTGATCTCCAGCTTGCAATCCCCTCCATTTTGATCCACATCAATCTTATGCCCCACCATGGGCGAAAAATATACTACGAGCCCCGGCTTTACGGCCTGGGGGCCTTTCATCAAGGACGATTATATCATAGAGCCCGTCAGTCGATCCGACCTTATCACAGCCGGGGTCGTATTTGGTTTGGCTAACATCTTCGCCCTCTCCGCGGCCTATGTTATCATCAGACACACGAGGGCATCTCGAAGACCTTTAAGGAGCGCTTACATCTGGATGATCTGGCTGGAATTGGCGGCATCAGTAGTCATTGGTATCGAATGCCTACTCCATCTGCTGCGGATCATTCGACCAAGCTTTTACTTCTACGTATCTATACGTAACAAAACCATGCACCCCATATCCAAAGACTGTAGCTGACTGAAAGTAGTACTAAACTGGTCCATTCAGATACAGCTTCTACTTCAGATTGTCATCAACCGCATTCGTATCATTCTAGACAGTAAGGAAAGAGGACGACAGCTTATTATTGGTACTGCCATCATTGTCACCCTAATCAACATAAGTGTCTTCATCATCTGGCTCCCCGCACGCCTTCAGATAAGTGAAAGGTAAAACCCTTTTACTATTCACCCTATCGCCTTTCTAAATTATATCAGGTGGATCCGAGTCAATAATGTTTGGGACCGCGTTGAGAAGGTTCTATACCTTACCATCGATGGCTTTCTCAATTACTACTTCGTTCGCGTGGTGAACGCCAACCTTGTAGAAAACGGGCTTGAGAAGTACAGACGCCTTGTGCGGTTCAATCAACGTATCATCATTGTCTCCCTTCTAATGGACGTCATGATAATTGGGGCAATGAGCATCCCGAATGGCTTTGTGTGAGTGTATCTCTAGATTCTCTTAACCGATCTCACACAAAGGATAACACCGGAATATGGTCAACTAACAATGCAACAAATTCAGCTACGCCATCTTCCATCCCCTCGCCTACCTTGTCAAGCTCAACATCGAACTCTCGATGGCCGATCTCATCAAGAAAATTGCTCTGGGCCGCCCGCGCAAAAGCGAGGATTTAGCCCTTAAGCTTACCTTCGGCACATCGCCAGGCGGCTTTGGCATGACCGATAGCAGTGTGACTGCAGAACCGCAATCTCTGCGGTTCTCCGCCCTGCAAAGTTCTTCTGATCGTACCAACTATAGTTCATCTATCAAGAACCACGAAATCAGAAAGACGGAAGAATTTGTCTTGCGAAGTTCCCTACAATCTGATTCTGACCGGGCCATGTCGAAACACGTTGCTGACCGTTGGATGGCGCAAGTCGAAGACGATGACTTGGACCAAATGAACTACACGCATCGGACAAGTGACGACGATAGCTTGGTGGATGTTGCAATATCAGAGCCAGTTGGAAATTCATGTAATGAAGAAGTTGTTTTTAAACATGGATCTCAGATTTGGCATTGAGCGTCGCCGGAATACCTTTTGTGGCTTTCGATAGTATTCCAACGTTACGGCGCGTGTCATGGGTTATGGTCCTTTAATCTAACAGGAGGAAATGATAGGTACTGTAGCGCCATACACAAATTCGAGATTCGCTTTGTACACACTGTGGGAGAGTTTCTCACACTATATTCTAATCGCTTACTGTGTTCCACGCTCATCTTGTGATTCGCGCGTGCAATAAAGGCCACTATTATGGACGCTATTCGACGTCTCCATATGTTACGCACAGCAATATTGTACAAGATGAGACAGGAACTGTCAGTCTTCTTGAGTCTCCAGCACTTGCGACCATGCAGCTTTGCCAAACGGGAACATGCGTACGAGCAGAACCGCATAAATGAATAGGCACCTCCCCTACATTACTGCGAAAAGACAGGGCTCCCCAGATACACTAGCCTAAACCTAGTTTCAGGTACCACAGGGCCACTTTCATAATAACGGTCATTTAAGTGTCAGTCGAGAATGAGTGTATTCAGAATAGAACAGCTACGCTGTGAGGTGGTCGTATGAATCTACATTCTCACTACTGCTTGTGCAGGTCTCATATTTGTTACGTCAGTGCGTCGTGTCGTTTTCTCTCTCATTGGTGCTATCAGATTCTGTTTCACGTTGCACAATCGACAAGCTCTAACCACGTAACCTCGTCATATCGTGTGCACTTTATCTTCAAGCGCGAACGAGCTTTCGGATTGGAGAACCCTTTCATCGTACTACTCCGGAGCTTTGGTTAATAATTACCTTTACGCCAATACGGCACATTTGTTCGTGTCTGTACTAAATTAGTCGATACAAATGTCCTTGATGGACCCAGTGATGTTCAAATTGATCCCAAATATCGCCGTACGACAGGTCGTCATTAGACATTTTCGTTTGGATTCTGTGTCCCGCGCCAAAGCAGCATAAACCTCTCATAAAGTTACCTACCGTGTTCGACTCATTTCCGAAATGTGATGTGATGAACAGTTTGCGACAGTGACAGGGCGCCTATACATGTATGCGTGACCGACAAAAGAATATAAATCGTCTTACAATACCCATGAGAAACATAATTCTGATGTACCAGCAGACTCAATCTACAAATAGTTTCGATAGCTTCCGCTCGCTCTTTGCACCCTTTTGAAACCCATAATGAAATACATCCTCAGTATCGCCGCCCTGGTGGCTATCGCCACTACACAAGCTGTTGACGACTTACCCGAGTGTTCCATCATTTGCTTGACCAGCATTATCCCCAAGACTGGTTGCAGTCCCACCGACACCAAATGCGCATGCGACAAGGCTGATAAGATAACCCCGCTACTCACACCCTGTTTAGAGTCCGTTTGCTCGGTCGACGAACAGGAAAGGGTAGCTGAAGTCCTAACGGCATTATGCGAACAGACTGGAGTCCCGATTGAGTCGGTGGAGCCGGAACCCACTCAGGGGCCCGAAAAGCCAAAGGAACTTGGAGGGCCTGCGATGGCATCTTGAGGTATGTGCGTCCTTCGCCTACATCAATCCATTTCATCATCTCCAGCGGCTATGCACTTGCATTGGACGCCTTTAAAGAGACTTACAGCGATTTCAAAACCAGCACCGTCACGCTAACTCTTTCCAAGACCTCCCGGTCCCCTAACCCGACTAACACTCCTAAGCCATCCAGTTCCACTCCGACTGACACTGCTAAGCCAACTGTCTCATTTGGCACTAGTGTTCCTGCTCCTTCCCAAACTACCTCCAAGAACCTTTTGCCACCTGATTTCACGGCTGCAGCGGCTGCCTTTGGGATTCCGGTCGCTGTTGTTGGTGTGTGAGGGCTGGCTGCTTTTGTGGTTTAGGGTTTTTCATAATCGTTAAACGGGCAATGAAGCGACCAGAGCTTAGGAGACGCTGTTATTTGATTTGTTTTGGATGTATGGTAATGATAGGCGATGAAGCATGATCGCAATACGTAATGCGCCTTGTATCTACTACTAATTCAGATCCTACTACGAGAAGGTGTTGATAAAAATGGTGGCCTGGAAGGCGATGGGCAAGGAACTTCGTTCAAATACTCTCCACCAACGCCTTGCTCCTTAATCTGATAACGCAACATTGTGACTTGTTGAATCTGCACCACATACATAGCCTGGCATTGATCCGTAGGGCTGTAAGCCCATCACGCGATCCGCAGTATAGTATATCGCGACAAGCCTCTCTAACCCTGCCAGTTCGGGTCCTCAGCCTGCAGACTGCGGGCAATAGCCTCGTCGCTCTGGGTCTCAGAGTCCAATCCAATCTGCGCCTCCTCGCCTGCGAGAGCGATGGCTCCCTGTCTCTGACCCGTCATGCAGCAGGAGTAGAACAAGCTAGCCCACAAGAAGACCCTATGCATATCTCGTCAGATCATCTCAACTCTGGTTATAATCAAGACCCCCAGAGGTACGTACCAGTTGAAGAAACTCATCCACAGAATCGCCCCCTGCCACTTATTTACCTTCACTCCACCAATCCACAACCCTTGCTCACCCGGCTTCCTCACTTCGTTACCACTAGATGTGACAAGTTGCGCAATGAAGCCTACAACATATAGACCTGCAGCGGCGATGATTTTGAATAGCTGGTACTTGACATACTTGTCCTTGTTCAGGGTACCGTTGAGAGCACGAATCTGCTCCTTGCGCACCAGGATGGTGGTCGTGATGGAAGTCAAAATGAGGGGGTAGAGGAGGCCGAAAGTGAAGCTAAGGAGAGAATATAATGTCAGCGTATGTTTCATGCATCAAGACTGCGTGATGGTCTACGAACGCTGTGTGCTTCGACGGAATTACTGCCGTGAGCAATGTGGCGAGAATGGTGAGGGACACAATGCCGAGTTGGCAGATCTGGATCGCCCGAAGGCGAGGCGAGCCAGCGCTAGGAAAAAAAGGCATCTTGACCGATCGTGACTTTTCTATGTCGTAAGGCTGAGGTCGTTGTAGAGAAGGAGGTATGTGAACGGTGTCGTATGATGCGCAGCCCCCGTGGTCTTTATCGCTGGGGTTGCGCGTTCACCGGTCAATCTTTAGGTATTAGCAGGATCGCCATCCTTGCTGGCGCAACCCGTTTTAGTAATATTCCATAGATGGCGTCCGTGAATATCTCGCTGGTGCCAGACGCGATTGGTCAGGGGCCTGAAATCCTCATCCGCGATACCGGATGCGTTTCGCATGTTAGGCGGCTACTGTGGCGGTGTTGCGCCAAGTCATCTTGTCAGCACTTGATGTCCCTCTTGTCCATTGAGCAGATCAGCTCGTAGGTGTTCCAATACTCGACTTTTAGCCCTACTCTTTGCGTGTCATGCGCAAATGAAGGAATCCATTTCCCATCGAATAAATCATCCATGCTTGTTTCTGACGCAATGGGGATGTAGATTTCAAACAACGCGATGATCTTTGTGTCATTTTGGTCGTGACTGCTATCGTGGCGCTGCGTAAACTGCACGCTCTCATATGATTTGCTGGCGCTCCCGATTTTTGTGATATCATCCTTGACTTCTGCAATATGCGTAGTTGTGAGCCCAACTGGTGCGGAAAGACACAGAGTTTTGTTTAGTGTCGAGATCAAATCCTTATGAAGCTCTGGGTGATGATGCAGGGTACCTAGAACGACCATCAAAAGATACTGGCATACTTGAACGCCTTTTGTGCACGATGTTGCTGGTATCATTTCCGAGAACTGTACTTCACATGCCGAGCGATTCATCCTGGCCAAGCAGGGCATGAACTGCTTTGTTCTCGGCGTTGGATTATCGAGGGCTGAAAGATACTCCGGTGAGGCGAGATCTTGAGCGTGGGCAGTTTCATACATCGCTAGATACTCCTTCTTTCCATCTTTGATGTCTAAACTGTGGTAGCGGCGCGCGCGTTGAAATCCTGGGAGACGGAGGCGCTCAGGCAAATGCTCGTTGGTCCACCAATCGTTCAGCGCATCTTCATCTGTGACTGCGGAATCGATGCGACCCCATAGGACAAGCAGACCCTGTCCCTGGAGTCTTGACGGTGGGGGGGTAAGTGCTGATGACATCGCGATGGTTAGGTTAGTAGGTAGAGAGCAGAAAGCGAATTATAGGGGGTTGTGTGGTGAATGACAGAGCGCTTGCGCACATGGAAATATTCTAAGCGACAGTGGTCCTCAACGAGCAGCATATATATTTGGATGATGCGATTTGACTATGGCGGGATGGGGGCGTTGTCCCACATCTTGGCTGGACAGGTGGGGGCTTGCGATTTGCTCCTGCAGCCTTTCTCGCCACCGTTGGCATTGCGCAACGTCACATCGCTTGAAGAAGTCTCACCCAGACAAGCGCTTCCATGTTGTGCAGCTGTCACGCTATTGAAAGAAGAAACCTACGAAGCACTAGACTCCCGGGCCCTACTTGATGCCGCCCATCGATGACGTCGATCTTGGGTCTGTAGTTTACGTCTCATTAACATGAATGATGGAGACAGGCTCATTTTCGGTGCATCGAGGGCCGTAGGACGAGCGTCAGTACCTAGAGCTTATCCGGAGCAATTGGAATATTGCGAAACCGACAAAGGCGGCCGCAAGAAAGCCCAACACGGTCCTACACGGCTGGCGGTCACGCTAACTCTCACGCCTTACGAGGCTGAGCACTAGACTCCGGATATAACCCCGAGAACTCACCACTCTTAGCCAGAACCTTGACTTTGTGGAGATGAGACGGGGCAGCTTTCAATAAGATTGGTCGGTAGTCCCGGGGTACCTGACGTAGCGTTAAATTCCGATGTCTGAACTTGTAAGGCTAGTTTAGATCAGCACTAGCCTTAGGCCTCCCCTCGCCACTAGAGAAACAAGCTTTGGTGACAAGCTTTCACACCAAGCTCAGGGGGAGTTAAAGAAGCATTACCTATATAACGGCTGGCGCAACGCCTTCAAGCCTCCTTGGACCTTTCGCTGTTCATACATACTTTCGTTTTCATTAGTGTGGTCATTCGTTAAGACTTGTTATACCAAGGGTGTCTTACCTCTCACATCACTTCCAACTTCGGAACACCATACTATCAATATGCGCCAATCAATTGCTATTATCTCCCTCCTAGCCAGCTCAGCCTGTGCTCAAGAGGTTGTTTCCTTCTACTACCCTGGTGGTGGTAAGCAAGCTATACAAACTCGACGTCAAGAAAATATCTAACAGTACTAGGACAAGAGGGTGTAACTCCTGTTGCCACCATCCAGTCGGTCAACCCGTCTACCACCGAATTTCGCGTCGCATGCCCCACGGGGGTCGACTCTAGCGACTGCGGCTATGGTCCTGGAATCAACTATACCGTCATTTCCAAAACTCGCTATCAAGCGGTCATGTCTGCAGGCCCCGTCTCCGTGAGCTTTGGCTGCGACTACAACACTCAGGCAGTCGAAATGACTTGCACGGTTGATCAAAAGGGCGGAAACGACAACACCGATGGGCCGGCAACTGCAATTCTTTCTAGCAGCGAAATTGCGTTCATCTCGGCCACAGTTGTTGAGGGAGCGAGTCTGTTGAGCGGAGGTGGAAGTGTGAGTGCGACCCAGGCCCCAAAGAGCACCGGTGCTGCTGCCAGCACAAGTGGCAGTGCGACGGCTAGCGGCTCGTCGGCTGCAAAGAGCCAGGCTTCTGGTTCTGCGACCCAGACTGGTAGTGGTGCTGCCGCTTCGAGCACAGGTGCTGCTGCGAGGTTCGGTGTCGAAGGATCGGCTCTCCTTGCGTTGGCCGGTGCTGCTGCTTTGAACGTTTGGTGATGGCAATGCGGAGCCTTTTGTCAACGTAGAAAATCTAACTGTTAAGTATTATACATGTCGCATAGAGCATTCAGGAGGGTACGTTAGTCGTTAATAACGCAGTAATCTTTAGTCAAGCCTGTCTCGCAATATGCTAGAAATAATGTACTTGTAATACATATTCTCTCGTTCTGCAGTTTCCACAACAAAGTTAATCAGGGTAAGTCTCAGAGGTAGGACGATGCCAACAACCGTGTCGTGTCTCAAGTCTTTTCCCATGTACGATGAGTTCACTCACTGCACAATACATTACTGTGATCATCGTTATTTAATTCTACACACCGGCTTTCTCGATATCTTACCAGCTCCCTGTTAGGATACAAAGCATTCACTACCCTTGACATGTCCGATAGCTTTGGGAGGAAGTTAGGCCGATAGAAGGGCAGTGCCTTGGGTGTTTTGTAAGGTCTTCAACATCCAACGTGTAACGCAATAACCAGGTACTAGTACTAAGGGGTTAGAATGGGCTCTTGGATCCATCGATGTTCTTGAAAGCCAGAAGATAACCAGATAGGGCCCGACGGAATCCATGCATATCTAAGAGTCGCATAGCTTTATCGACACTGTTCCATCGTCATTCTTAACTGCTAAACCAGGGGACGACCCAGTCAGATTCCACCTCCTCCAGCTCCTTAGGGTTGTCGTTGAGCCACTCATGTACATTTCCCTCATCCACCCACAGTCCTGGATGCTCCTTCAGAGTGCTTATCAAGACATCTCTAATACAACGATCATCTTCCGGTGTGCTAGTGAATGCCTCTTCGAGTGCATCAGCCAGTTCCAGCTCTTCGTCATCCCAGTAGACGTGTAGCACGTCTGTTGCACCTTGATAAGCATAAGTCTTGAGAGCAGCCATCCCCAGGTAGTCGGCTATAGCATATATACAAATGTGCATCATGAGATGCGATGGAGAGAGGGTCTTGCCGCTACATATACACTTGCGTTTGAAAATCGCAGGGCCTCTCAGAGGTCCATCTCGTAGAGCAGCAGTAGTGTGGTTGCAGTAGCCGGTTGTCGGGACAACTGTTCCACTAGGCAGTGTATACTCACTGTTGTACATGAACTCTAGGACGTGCTTCATCAAGTACATGTCCACATCACTAAGCTTGACTTTTTTGTCATCGACCTCCTATAGCACATGGTTAGCAAGAAACAGCGGCGGATACAAGGCATCGTGTCATACTACGCCGTTGAACCGGAACATCCCCTCGAAGTATGGAGATTCTTTTTCAAGAACTCTCCTATGTACCATGTAACATCGACTCTCGCATATGACTGCAAAGTCTGCAGTTGCATCGTTCAGGGCGAGCTTCTTGGGTGCGGTAAGGACCTTGTCGGTTATATCGTTGAAGGTCCCCGAGTCGGGTTGGATTTTGGCCATGACTCGAGCCATTGCTGGTCGAACTGGAAGTCGTAGTGTAGTTGAACAACGGTGTTTTTGGTAAGAATATAGAAAAGCAAACATGAAATGAACAAACGTTATGAAGTCTTTTGAGGAGGGTTGCGCTCCCGCCATGAGGGCGCGACCAGTAGTGAAGGTCGATGAAGGCTTCATTGTGTGGTATTGCTATAGAGACTAGAGTTGTTAGCATTCTGGTAGGAATTAAAGATTTCTTTGGGGCGGCGATCTTCTTAACTTTCACTTAACAGCGTGTTCTGGCAGGGGTGTGAAGGCAACAGCGAGACCTAGACTTGGCGTGACGATCATCGCGGAATTTTACTGCGTGTTCCATTAACCATATAACCCAATTCACACTGTGGTGAGGCTGACATTACTGGTAAAGATAAAAAAAGGTGCTGAGAACATGCTGACATTGATGGCTCCTGTAGGCGGGGGAATCTTAAAGCGCATTGTTTTCCGGTATGTCAATCGCATGAATGTATATGTAGAATTCGCAGCCTATAATATACAAAAAACGAAACTACAACTTCGACTATACAGTTTGTTGTTGATTTTGGAGGTGGAAAGTGAAGGTGACGAGCTTGAGATGACTAAGCACAGGAATGATTCCGCGGTTCTTTGTGCATCCAGCCCATCCCACCTTTCGACTAGTCGCGTCCATATATCTCGGCTCACGTACAGCCAACTCATCTTAAACGATAGCGGCAAGACCTATGTATGCCCTAATTGGCGTCTTTCGGACCGGCTTCCTCTAGCTGAATTGATCTCCTCACATGTGATACGCCTAGAATGACATCGTAATGGCCCTATTGCATCAGAACGGTTCGTCTGATATATCACCTGAATCGAGTACAACAACACCAGATCAGCGCGTCCAGAAAGGCTTCTCGTGCGTCCTCTGTGCTCAACGGAAAGTAAAGTGCGACAGACGTCCCGGTGGATGTGAGAATTGTACAAAAGCCCGCATACCCTGCGTCTACAAAGCTCCTCCACCACCACGCAGAAGGAAGAGGGGTGCACGAGATGTTGATACCACAACTAGGATACGACTATACGAAGACGCACTTCGTCATCTTGGCGTGGACCCAGAAGAGGTCGTAAAGCAGGGGTTTTCAAAGGATGCGGCTGGTGAGGATATCTCCGGAATCAATGGCTTTCTCGAAACTCGCCTTCACGATAAAGCACAAATATCTTCTCTTCCTCCACAAGTCGGCGTTCTTGTCTCAGAAGAAGGAAAGTCGCGGTATCTGGAAAACGGTATCTGGACGAGTCTAAGGGGCGAATTTCGGGAACCGAGAGAACTCTTTGACGACGACTCTTCAGAAGACGAAACAGCCGGAAGTTTTACCACATTCACACCGGAGCCGCTAAACACCGACGGCGCAGGCCTAATATTGGGCGCTCAGATACCGATAACGGATTTGAAGTCCCTACATCCGCAGCCCCTACAGACCTTTAGACTTTGGCAGTCATTCCTGGACAACATTAACCCCCTAGTGAAAGTCTTTCACGCACCAACAGTCCAGCAGCTGATTTCTAATGCAAGCGGCAATCTGGATGATATGCCGCGAAGTCTGGAAGCCTTGTTATTCGCCATATACTGCATTACTACAGAATCCTTGAGGGACGAAGAATGTATCGCAATTCTAGGGATGTCCAAGGCCATTGCTATTCAACGGTTCAGATCCGGTGCACAGCACGCATTGATAAAAGCAAGCTTCCTAAAGACATCCGACATTATGGTCTTGCAAGCATTGACGCTATTCATCGTAAGTAGTAGATGTGTCCGACGGGCTTGGCCTTGACGAACTTTTCTAACTACTTGTAGCTCTCCCTTCAGAACTACGACGGGCGAGTCATATGGATTTTTTCCGGGGTCGCTCAACGAATCGGCCAGCGGATTGGTCTCCACAGAGATGGCGAATCGCTCAAGCTTCCACCGTTCGAGACGGAGGTGCGTAGGCGACTATGGTGGCAGATTATGCTACTTGAAGGCTTTTCACAGAAGCTCGCGGGTACTGGCGCTTCTAGCAGTACTCTTATGAACGATGTGAAGATGCCATCTAATATCAACGACAGTGATCTGTTTCCAGGTATGAGAGAGACGCCAAAGGAGCATGAGGGAGCGACAGAGATGATGTTCTTCCTGATTCGATGTTCCGTTGGCCAGTTCCTCAAGCATTCTGCTGACACCCATGCTACCTTCGATGGTGTTTGGCATAGGGTCACGACCAGCGCTGTAAATTCGGCCATTAAGGACAAAGCTATTGATGAACTGGAGGCACTCTTCCATCGCAAGTATTTGCGCTATTGCGATCCATCAATAACCTGGCACTTGATGTGCACTCACCTTGGGAAAGCGATCATCTTTATGATGAGGTTCATGGCCCATAGCACAGAGTACTACAGCGCCGGGATGGCTCAACAAGAGAAAGAAGTTTTATTTGACCTCGCTCTTCAGGTCTGCGCTTCACAGAACCTCGCGTACACCATGAAAGAGATGCAAGGCTTCATGTGGCACGTCAACCTCCACTTTCAATGGAAGGCATTCATCTACCTCCTCTCTGAGCTTCGCTACCGGACAGAAGGCGAGCAAGTAGAACTAGCGTGGAAAGAGATCGAGAAGACCTTTGAGTTCCACCCAAGTTTTGATAAGGAGCTATCGGTGAGAGCACTACCTGTTGCTGTGAGCAACCTCACGCTTAAAGCTTGGGATGCCTACTTCACAGCACGGGGTATGCCTGCAGGCGGGGAGCCATATTTCATCCAGCTCATACGTGGTAAACGGACCCGCGCAAAGAACCTGAGTAGTGGTAGGGAGCATGCAGACACCCCTAAAACCCCATCACTACCGAGGGATGTAGATGACAATAGGAAAAGCATGATCAATGATGATCTTCCACATCAAGCAGCTCCATTCCAGGCTTTCGACTGGAACGTGGCAGATTTCAATGCCAGCCTGGGTACAGCCTACAATATCCCGGAAATGGTGCCACTGGATAATCCCGAACAGATGAACTGGTCGACTTGGGATAGCCTTTTCGTCGACTTTCAGACAAGCAACACCTACGATTTTCAGATCAACAACTCTCAGGACTATCCCACGGATGTCTCGGCGTTCAATTTCGGAACGCAATGATAGACCAACGAAAGTGCATTTTGTTTGCAATAATGTATCTTGCTTTCACGAGAAATACTGCAATGCGAACTGACACTGGCCCGACGGCTGCTACTTCGCATATGATCCCAAGCACTACCTTTCCCTCGCCCGTTGATGAGGACCAAGGTGACATGCAACTCGGCTTCAGTCAAAGGTAAGCCGTTGTAGCTCGCGGCCTCTCTTGGCGGTTGCCATGCTGATGAAGTGGTAGCTTTCCGCAAATCGGGCTTTACTCTGTTCCACGATTACCTGTGGGACGATGCATACAAAGATGCCAGACTTGGAGTAGCATATTGATTTGGCGTTGACAATATGGATGACTGAAGTCTATGTCGTGTCGGGCGGTATGACGACACCACTATATCCTATGGATACGCCATCAGTTTCAGAACAATGAACCGCGATGTGTTTTTCAACAACATCAAAACCCTCAATTAAGCGCACTGGCAGCATACAATGCCTTCAGGCGCCGGCGACATGGATCTGGCTTTTGAGCCAGGTTTTAATCTGCGACGAGTCCGCACCATAACACGACACCACAGCTGATGCGCAAGCGCTGTGGCTGTGGTACCAGCATGTCTAACTGTACAAGTGTCCCACCCACACAAGTTGGCCCCCAATCTTTGATGGCAAATTAGAGCATCAATTTTAGACCAGTCAGGCCCGCTTGGTGGATGACCGAGAGAGACAGGGATGCGCGCTGCCGTGCTGCGTATCAAATCTAATGGGAGGCCTTACGCCCTCTTCATGCAGGCGAGGCTAAGCCCGTCACAAGGGTCGAGACGACGTCCGTTGTTCCCAGCTCCAGCTTCAAAATCACATTAACCATTCTTCGTTTTGACGTTTTAATTATGACTCGTGGTGAACACTCCGATTTAGAGGTGGTTCCTCAGTCGGAGAACGTGGATCAGCAGAAGTATCCATACTACTCACCGGAGCCGGTCTTCGCGACCCCTCACGCCGATGATACGCACAAGATCGCATACCAACCCACGGTCGAAGAGAACGCTCACCCACAAACAATATGTGGCCTAAGAAAAAGGACATTTTGGATACTGGCCATAATCGCGATAATCGTCGTAGTAGCAGCGATAGGAGGAGGAGTCGGCGGCGCGCTATCCTCAAGATCATCAAAGAGTAACAACACAGCGACACAGCCGCAATCCTCGGCAGCATCGAATGGCTCCACAACCCCAACACCCACCTCCGCCGAGCCCAGCACCTCGATAAGCACGACGCGACTCGTGGGCCCCTCGTCGACAATCCTCCGCGACTGCCCCTCGTCCAACAACTCCATCTACACCGTTTCCGGCAGCACGACGATGCAATTCCGTAAAGCCTGCGAGATATCTCTGATCAACATCAACGGCATCGACAATGTCTTTGGGCGACCCTTCACGAGTCTCGACGACTGCATCAACGCGTGCGCGACGTACAATATCAACAACCGCACGCGGATTGCGAAGGGAACGGATCGCATTTGCAATGCCGTGTGTTGGCGCAATACATTTGATAAGATTAATGATTGGCCTGGCGGCATGTGCTTTGGGTTTACAACGCAGAATGTTACTGTGCAGGGGGCGAGTACTTGGCGGTTCACATCGCCCGCTGAGACGAGGTGTGATTCTGCAGGTTTAATAAATCAGGAGTTCTAAGGCAAGAATTCGAAGTAAAGAAGCGGTGCATTCAATCTCATGATAAGACGCAGTAGTTTTGTTTTGCTTTCTGATCCGGTTGTTCGCCTTTCACTTGTCGGCATAATTCCTCTCTTTCACCCTCACTAACAAACCTTTCCCCTCATCTGCTGCTTTGGGCCATGACAAAATTAGTCATCCTGCTGGTTATGACAATTGGGTACATTACTTAACGCCTGGGTTTCTGCACTCACCTTCGACACAACCTCGAAACATCAACATGGCGGAGGCTTCACGTAAGCAGCTGCTCGGCACTTTCAAAGAGTACGCAATTATTCTACTGTATCTCACTTGCAAAACTGATTATATACAGGCTTCTCGACAGTGGCGCGTTTTCCGATCTCACCGTAACTTGCGGTTCCGACTCGTACAAGGTCCACAAGAACATCGTATGCGCTCGTGGCGATTTCTTTGCCCGCGCAATTAGGTTCGATGGCAAGGTATCTATACACTGCGCAGAAGTGCCAAAATTATCATGTCCACTTGCTGATGATATAAATAGGAAGCTGAAGAGCGCATCATTGATCTTCCTAATGACGACCCAACTATGGTCAAGCTCTTGATCCAATACATGTACGAAGGGGGATACGATCCTACTCTTCCTGATGACTTAGTTCAAGGTTCTGTGGCTTTTCCCTTTGCATATAACGCGACTATCGCGACACCGTCGAAGAAGAAGTCAAAGAAGGGTGCCTCAGCCGCCAAAACAAAGGCTTTCCCTCACATCTGCTCCGACAACCGTTATGGCTATATATGTCGAGATGACCTATGCGACCATCATGTGTGCGGCGAAGACTGCACTCGCTCGTGTGTGGAATTCACGTGTAAGCAATGCTACCCACCAACTTCCCCAGTTCCCGACATTCAAGGACCGGCAAGCCAGTTACTTGTACACGCAGAAATGTACGAGATTGCCGACAAGTATGACATCGTCGGACTCAAAGACCTAGTTGTGGAGAAGTTCAACCGGGCCTGCCAGAACTTCTGGGACGACCCGACTTTCGCCATCGCGGCTCATCACGCATTCTCTACTACGCCTGATCACGACAAGGGCCTGCGCGACATCGTCTCCAAGACCATTTCGGACCACATGGTTGCTCTCGTCCAGAAGCCGGAAGTGGAAGCCTTGCTCACAGAGTTTAATGGACTGGCGTTCGGATTGCTCAAGATGAAGACGGAGGGTGGTTGGTGCTGAAGATATTGAATTCGGGATTCGGGATAGGTTGTGGTACTGGGATAATGGGTTGTGTCCATGAGAACTCAGTCGAAGATGCGATACTTTCAGCATAGTTCAGCACATCAAGTGTTGCTTATTCTCATGGTCCTATAACAGATAGGTACAATACATGAGCTTCTCATTGAATTCGCTCTATTGCGCCTCACCGCATGTCGCTCCTTCCAGCTCTACTACTTCATGGTTATCTGACGCTACTGCCTAAGACTGTCTATTATCCATCCTATCCACTCCATGAATATGTCGGGTGTGATTCCTTCTTCCAAAGCTTTTAACCAAACATAGATCGCACTTGCGATATTGTCAGAAACATGACGTTGCGCATTATTGACACACCACCAAACGAGCGGATAAGGTCGTACCTGGAATTCCTCACGTGTGAAATCGCCCTGGCGGAATTCGTTTTGCCTAGGAGCGTCGATGCAAAACAAGAAACGCCGTGCAATAACTTCTACTAGGCTCAATTCAAAGTTACTGCATTCTGAAAGACTTTCCCACCTCCATGCACTGACCTGCATCTAGCCTCCCATTCGCAAACATCATTATCCGACGCCCAAGCATTTTCCCTCCTAAAATCACCTCTCCCTGGCGCAACCTTCATCACATGCCAGCATTCCCAGCCAAGAGCTCATACATAACCCCAGGATGCTGCCTCAAGAACGCCCCGACACACGGTTTCGTCAAAACACCCCTACGCGCCCTCAACACCTCCATAACAACCCCCCTCAGCCCCCCATCCGACTCCGGCGTCGAAGTGAACACATGCCTAGCCGCAACAGCAAATTGCTCATCATCCCAGGACACGGCACACGCCGCCTGGAAGTTTTCACGCGCCAGCTCCTTCAACCCAGTGACCTGGTACTTATCGCCGACCTCGTACATCTTCGCATGCACCAGGAGGCGTGAGGCGTATTCAGCAGCTGATCGATGAGGGCGCAGGTCATCGCAGACAGAGCAGGTGAAGTCGCTACATTTACTCCTACAATGCGTGCCGCATATATGGTGCTCGCAGAGCTCTTTTTTGCACGGGAAGTGTAGCGAGTACTGCGCTCCTCTTGTGTGGCAGGAGTGAGGGAACCAGGGCTGCACTTGTGGAGCTGACGACGAGAGGCTGCGGACAGGGGGATGGATGTCGTATGCACACTCGTAGAGGAATTGCACGAGGAGGCGTATGATGGCGGGCTCGTCCTCTGGGAGGTCGATTTTCGACTCGGCGGCTTCCTTGAGACTTGTTAGTTCATCACGCATGTTAGATTGCGGGCGGAACGTACACGGCCGACGGCAAAGGTTTCTGCTCTCTCGAAGAAGCCGCTGCGGGTGCATACGATGGCTTTATGCACATTGTGCGTGTCGCTGCCGCAAGTAATGACGAGGTCTGAGTATTTTCCTGAGCTCAGAAGACTGTTTTCAAGGTTAGTTGTCTGAGGCTATACGCGTAGATGGGCTGGCAGTACTCTTTCACAGACGCTAGCAACTGTTCGCGCACTTTGCTCATGTTGAATACTCGATGTCGCCTTGTATGCCCGCTTCGGTAGGAAAGAAAAGATGGCGGAGCTCTGAAGAGTGAGAGCAGTGTTGAAAGAATCAAAACATCAACGCTGTAGAATAAATATATTCTCAACCTTCAGACTTTGGTCACTGTTTCTCTCTCACTCGAGCTTACATCAGGTAAAGGTGGAAAGAAGATGAAGAGGTAACCGCACGTTCTTTTTCTTGTATACACTGCCAGCTCGCAGAAGAGGGAAATGCGTGAGAGCGTTTAGATAGTCAAGGACCTTTGCGCAGACTTCTGAGTGAAGCTCAGCTGTTCTTATACTTCTCAAACTGGCTCCTTGAACACACGCCTTCAACAAGCGCTTGAACAAACCCCTACACGACTCCTTCAGCAGCCTTCTAACAAGCTATGAGTGGCAATAGAGGCGTGGCGAGCCTGGTCAAACTCATGGGTGGAGCGGTTTAACGAGTGTTGCCTAACGAGAACTCTAGGACTGACACACAACATGTAGTGCATCAATGCTTTGGACCTGTATTAATGAGTCATTGGTGGAGGAAGAGAAGATCCATTAATTCCAGATATCTAGTCTACCTCCTTTGCTTTCCATGTCAAAAGGCTGTCACGTACAGTACATCAACTTGTGCCTAATCAGATAAAGAAATATATGCACCATGTAGCAAACCCGACGCCTATCCCAACCTAGACCTTAGTGTACTGCGACGAAGCGGGCAGAAGCCTGAACCTGGATCCTTATGCAACGCTTGCGAATGACCCCAAGGCTCGTTTCACCGAGCCTGGAGGCCTGACAATCTATCATCTACTGACGAGCAACGCGCTCCTTGACCTTCTCGAACATGCTCTCCATCTCCTCAGCAATGAAGTCCTCCATCTCAGACTCGAGCTTGGAGAGCTTGCCTCCGACGCGGCGGCCGGTGCGACCAGCAGCGCCCTTGGCCTTCTCGAAGTCGGCCTCGATGTCAGCGAGGGAAGGGATGGTGATGCGGAACTCGGACTCCTTCTCCTCGTCAACAGACTTCTTGACAGTGTATCCGCCCTGCTCGACGATCTTGGTGAAGTTGGAAGAGCCACCACCGTTCCAGGCGAGGATGTTCTTGGTGTTGCTGGGGACATCGGTCAGAGCACCAACGGTAGCGACCGAGATCAAGTTGGCCTTGAGCTTCTTGGGGGTGATATCAGCGACGGCATAAGCGGAGTCCTTGGCAGGCTGGAGAGACAGCAGGTAGGCAAGGAGACCAGCGATGTGAGGAGAAGCCATGGAGGTACCAGAGATGGTGTTGGTGGCGTGCTCCGAGCCGATCCAGGTGGAGAGGATGTTGAGACCGGGGGCGAAGATGTCGTTGCACTTTCCGAAGTTGGAGAAGTAGGCACGCTCGTCAAGGAGGGTGGAGGCACCAACGGTGACGGCGTTCTCAGCAGCAGCAGGAGAGTAGTTGCAGGAGTCGGCGTTGTCGTTACCGGCAGCGACGGCGAAGTGGATACCAGCGTCGACAGCGGCGTTGACAGCAAGATCAAGCGTCGTGGACTTGCCACCGCCCAAGCTCATGTTGGCAGCGCTGCCCTTGAAGCCCTTCTTCTTACCATCCTTGGCAGCCTTGACAGCCTCAGTGTGGGCCTTTGCAGCGTACTCGACACCCTTGACGACATCCGACATGGTGCCAGAGCCGTTGGAGCGAAGGACCTTGACAGCGTAGACCTTGGCCTTCTTGGCCACACCGTACTTCTTGCCAGCAACGGTGCCAGAGCAATGGGTGCCGTGGCCGTTGCCATCCTCATCAGCATCGCCGTTGGGGATGGTCTTGCCCCAGTGAGCGCGACCCTCGAAGTCGACGTGCTTGACGTTGGTGCCAGTGTCGATGACATAGACGTCGACACCCTCACCACCGTCAGAGGAGTATAGGTACTTGTTCCAGGTGCTGAAGCTCAGCGAGTCGCGGTGGGAGATACGGGCAAGACCCCAGGGGGCGTTCTTCTCCGTCTCGTGCTCGTCGTCTCCACCGAGGGTGTGGACCTCTGAGTCGCGCTCGATGTAGTCGACCTAGTCAGGGTGCATTAGCGTGGGTCCTGTGCAAGTACCTGAATGGCGCGTCACGTGCGATTGCGACTGATTGCGTGGCCGGAGCTGGATGCGGAGATAAGCCCAGCCTCCCGACTGAGCTCATTCAACAGGCACCAGCTGCAGCCTGTACTCGATATGGAGCTCCAAGCAGAGCCTGGAGTATTTCGAGAATCGATGCAGCTGCTGCAGGACAAATAGAGGAAAGGGTCGTGACTCACATCTGGGTGTCTCCGGATGGCCTCGATGGTTTCGTCATCGAAGTGGCCAGAATAGCCCATCAGGCCGCCGGCAATCTCGTATGTGTGCTTGAGGCCATCGAAGACCTCTGCTGTGATGGGGAACTGTGACCGCTTGCGCAGCTCCATACGCTCATCGCTCTTCTTTGTGTGCACGCTCTGGACCCAGTCGTGGTGCTTCTTGGTGTCCTTGACGTGCTTCTTGAAGACGACCATGTACGAATTGGGCACCTCCTTAGCATGTGTTGACGACAGCACCGGGGCTGCGTCTTTGTGAATGGTGTCGACCTGGAAGGTGGGCGAGGCTGCCGCAAGGGCCGGGAGGACGGAGAGTAGGCTGTACCTCATGGTGGCGGGTAGACTCGCGCTGCGAGTAAGACAAAGACAAAGCGGGAGTGATGTAGCACTGGACAAGCAGCTATGAGAGACGGGGAACTGTGATGGAAGGGAGATGGACTGGGGGAGCGACAACGGAGTGATGGGAGGAGAGACGGGTGGAGAGCTGGGGCAAGAGAGGATAGCTATGGGCAGTTTGGAGCTCTTATCAAGCGCCGAGGTGCAGGGGCCGCCTGGTTGTGACGCAGCTGACCTTGATTCGCGGCGCGGCAGCATGTCACGGGCAGCTGGTGCGACAGTGAGTGAGGCTGGGGCGCGCTATGCCGCTTGCAGCAGCCATGCACGCGCGCCCGCCATGGCCGCCAGTTGTGCTCTCGTTATAATGCATAATAATAACGAAAGTCGAGCACAAGATGGCGAGCGATGCAGCGTTGTTGGTATCTATTGCTGTTATCCACGGCCCAACGCAGCTATGCTTGCGGCTATCCGAGGCTCTCCCCCAGCAGCCAAAACGAGCCTAGTCTGTGGCTGCCCCGCGCTTTCCCTCTTACGGGGTAGCTACCCTCCCAGGCCTCGTGAACGCCCTCAGCCAGGCCTCGTAGTCAGCAGCTCACTATCAAAGGGCCCGCGTGAGACCTGATGGATGGAATTGCATACCAGAGCTGCTGTATTTGGGAGCCTAGAATGAGCTGCATGCCTCGTCGTCTTCCATAGTGCATTGCAGCAACAACCAGCACGGCTCCTGTAGTGGCTGCGTGGCTGCGTGGCTGCCTGGGTCCACCTCTGTCACAGAACAGGGTCCAAGCTCCCTCAGACGGGTCTGAGCTATACATAATCGGCCTTCTGCAATTGATAATTACCCCAATTCACACTCGAGCCCAGCACAATTGCCAGTACAGTACCGCTGCCAGTGCTTCATGCGGGCATCTTGTCCCCCAGAGACATGATTGTGCTTTTGGCTTCACCATCCCCTCCCACCTTCCGCACCGGCCGCCTCGACTGAGTATGGCCACTACGCGCCCTCACAGGTCCTCGACCGCCGCCTCGAGACTCCCGCCCATGAACAACCAGATAGCCGAGCTCCGCAGCCTCGCAGACGAACTGAGCAAAGCCTCTGAATCCTCCCCGCCCACCTCCCAGGCCCTCCAGAACCAGAGCAATGCGCTGCGCCGCATGCGCCAGCTGTTGATAGAGTCGAATGACCAGACCCACACCAAGGACGCTTTCCGCCATGTCCGCGGCTTCGACGTGCTGCTCCTCACCCTCCGCTCCCTCTCTGGCTTCTACAAGCCCGCCGAGCTGTCCACGACCGACCGCATCGACTTCTTCGAGGTCATCAAGGCGACGCTGGATGTGCTGTCAGATGCACTCAACGAGCATGCGGGGAACAGGCGCTTCTTTGCGAAGCGGGTAGAAGACGGCGGCTGGGGTGCGCTGGAACAAGCCCTAGGGAGCACAGGGATTTTTGGCGGGCAGTCCAAGAGCAAGCGGGACGATGCGGGACAGGAGCAGCTGTTTGGTACCCTGTTCGCCTTTGCTCTGGGTGAAGAGGCTATGACGCGCATCTTCCGAGATATCGACAACAAGGTTGGGGAGGCCCAATCAAAGGACAAGTCTCCTGCACCCGACCGTGACCCGCAGGCCCCAACCGAGATCGTAGTCTCAAGTCCGCGGTCCTTCTACAGCGACTCCGACATGGAACTGGACCCATTGCGGGGTCAGGTACGCGGCATCTTCAGTGGCAATGAGGTGTTGCAAAATCCTGACATGATTCCCACCATCCTCCACTTCTGGAAAGGTCTCTCGGGTGAAGATGCACCGGGCACGAGATCGAAAGCTCTTTCCGTCTCCGTGCTGCTTGCCATACTCGAGACCACCACGCTGTCGTCATACAACAAATCTGCTCTACATATCACCGGTATACTCAGCTTCATTCTGCCCCTCCTATTTGAGAACAAGTGCGCGCCCGTCGAAGCTGGCTTACTGCGGGAGCTGGCCGACAGCCTAGTGCAGTATGGCATCAACAAACTCGACGACGCTTACTACCTCTTCCGTAAGGCCGCAACCTCTGACCAAGCTGCTGACTTCCTTCTCCGAGGCATGCGGGCGTCTCGCAGCCCGCCCTTTATCCAGTTCGATTTATCATTGCACGGCTTTAGCGCCATTGAACTTCCAGACATGGGTCGGCCTTTTCCACCCGTCTCGCCTGGTGGCGGCTACACGTTTGCAACTTGGATGCGAGTGGACAAGTTCGATACAAATTGTCATACTACCTTGTTCGGTGCATACGACGACACGCAGACTTGTTTCTTAATGGCCTATTTGGAAAAAGATACCCGTTGTTTCATTTTACAAACTTACATGGGCCACTCTACAGGTGTGGTTCCCAGTGTACGCTTCAAGAAGGCCCCTCGCTTCGAGGAAGGCAGGTGGTATCACATTGCTATTGTTCATCGGCGAGTAAAGGCCATCGGCATAGGCACCCCCAAAGCATCGCTTTTTGTGGACGGCGAGTTCACCGAGACTATGAAGGCACATTATCCATCGCACCCTCCTGTCCTGGATAGCAGCCAAGAAAGCTTCGCGTCCATTTCTTCTACCGCTTCAAAACACCACATTCTTGCGTTTCTAGGCACGCCTCGAAACCTCGCTCCTCGGTTGGGGAGGAATGTGCTTGCCTCGAAGTTGTCAGTGGCCTCTTTTCACCTCTTTTCCGAGCCGCTTTCAGATGAGTTGATTGCTGTATACCATAAACTTGGTCCGCGTTACTGCGGCAACTTCCAAGATAGGCTCGGTTCCTTCCAGACCTACCGAACCTCTGCCGAGCTCCATGTGCACAATGAGATCTTGCATCCTGGACGGGAAGAGCGGTCAGAAATTGTCACGGCGATTCGTAGTAGTGCAAGCCAACTAATGCCCGAGTCCAAGATTTTACTGAGCTTCTCACCTAGCTCCGTCATGGACGACGATGATAGGAATGCCATCGATGAATCTCAGCTCATTCGCTCACTATCAAGAGAATCAGCGAAGACGCTTCATAAGTATACTAGGATGCACAGCACGCCCATCATCATCAATGCGGCCGTACCATCAGTCAACGACGCATTGTCCCAACCCCGCGGCTTTGGCCGACTATCTGGTGATCCAGTTGTCGTTGTCCCACAATCGCTCGATGACGCTATTTGGCGAATTGGTGGTTGCGTTGCAGTAGGCCTGAAGCTTGTTCAGTCTGCGCAGTCCTTGGACAGCATGCTCCGTGCCGTGAATATATTACTAGAGGCTGTTGGAGGGAACTGGCGGAACTGCGAGTCTATGGAGCAACGCAACGGGTTTGCAGTCTTGGCTGAGGTCCTCCGCCAGAAGATTGGATTTGCTATGGGTGGTCTGGTCATGCGCAACTCTTCATCGCTTGACGTGACGCCAGAAGAATGCGAAGCATTTGTCATGCAGCTCCTTCTAGTCATTCTACGTTTTGTCGGATACGACGAGGAACACCCGACGGAATCGCTCATCATAAACCCGCTTGCGTATCGAGTCCTTCTCGTGGATCTCGAGATTTGGCGCAGAGCTACTTCGTTGGAGACCCAAAAACTGTACTACCTCCAATTCGTTCAATTCGCCAAGGGTAGTAAGCATCATCACTACAACGCCAAGCGCTTCCATAGAATACGTACGCTCACTTTGCATACTACTTGAGCCACGCTAACGTCGTGCAGGGGTCGTTAAACGACTGACTGATGCCCTCAAGGGCGAGAACTTTACTTCACAGACATTCAAACTGTTTCTCGATGCTTTTAAAGCGCTCCTACAGATCAACTTCAATGGAGAGAACGCTCGATCGCTATCGTTGTTTGTCACCTATGCATTGCATGACAACCGTGCGTCGTACGCCAAACGCACACTCCGACCGAGGGCGAGCGTGCTCCGTCTTCGGAAAGGGACGCCACCCACACTGACGCCCGGGTCTACACCACGATCTGCCAGTCCCGCACTGAGTGGCACGGAACCTTCTCCTCTTTCGCTACCCGAATTGGGCATCGCTGTCCTTGGCCTTTTGTCAGAGATACTCTGCGATCCTCAGAATCCAAGCGAGATCGTGCGATTTGCCAAAAACGTCACTGGAAAGTGGCTACTATATCTTCTTGCAGAGCCAGACCAGCGAGTCGTCGTGCTAGGTGCAAAGATATTGGCTCGACTGCTTGTCCTAAATGGCCCGCATTTCGTCAAGAAGTTTGCCGACAAGACTGGGGGCTTTACGTTGATGAAGAAGAGGCTCCGCCCATGGTGGAACACACCAGGCATTTGGACTATCTGCTTTTCGATCTTGTTTGACCGCGATGTGGCCACTATCGACTTTGAAAGAGATTTCGATGTGTTCAATCTGGTCGACATATTTATTATGCACTCGCCGCAGCCCAAACTGAGAATCTGTTATCCGGAGATATTCCCTGTGATTTTAGCCATGTTAGATACGGGATTGCGTGCGATTGTCCGAGATCGAGATCTAGCGAAGGCGCAAAACACCACTCCGAATCATGGGAATGGTGAAGGCACCGTGACAAGAGGACGAGGTAGATCTATGTCCTTGAACGCTAAACAGCCTACAATTGGTAGGCCATCTCCCTCCCACCCGTGCTCCACCACTGACTGTATCAGACATCAAGGGCCCTCAATCAGAGCGACTGAATGACTATGCTGTTGTTTTGAACTCCGCCATCCAATTTCTTTCAGAGCTTCATTCGCGCTCGGAAAGTTTCCGGGATTACGCGAGCACATCCAGCTACGTGCAAGAACTGTTGTTTGTGCTCTACCCAGTCATCGTCACTTCCGATAGTGTTAGTGCGGAGACGGAGCTGCTGTCGAGAGGGTCGGCATTGACGTTCGAAGGCCAGGATGTTGTGATTCGACCTCTCTCGCAAGCTAATGGTCAGGACGCGCCTGTTGTTCGCACTAGCAATGTCAGTGTCTCACCTGCTCCTTCGGCTCAACGAGTTGCCCCCTTTCGCAGAGCTTCTTCCTTTGTACTCGTGTCTGCCGAAAAGAGGAAGGCTGGCAAGCAACCATCACTAAACCCAATTCTGTCACCGAAACATACTGCTCCAGTAGCATTGAAAGTTGGTAACTCGGTAGTCGAAGCTATGTTGGAGGTCGTGTTGGATGTCTTCAAGGACCAGATCTTCACGCGCAAAGACTTTCCCGGCCTCGGTCTATTCCTAAAGACGCCTCCTGGTTTCCAAGAGCACCAGGCATACTTTGAATCGTACGTTCTTCGACAAACTTTATCATCGGTAAAGAACGCTCTCCAGCTGGACCAAAAGCTCCTCCACGAGCCGCGGGTGCTCACAAACCTCTCGCGATTTGTGAGCCATGTGTCTGAAGCCGTCTTTGAGGGATGGTTCCTTGATGGTGCCGAACCATTGCTCGACTTTGCGGGCTTCCTTCTTGAGTACCTGGAGCGGCCCGACATTGCTGTGATCAAATCTGTTAGACTATGTACGCAGGCGATCCAAGTCATTAGATCAACGTTCATGAGAGTGGCTCTTCTCCACCTCGCGGAGCCCGATGACTCTGAAGGCGGATCACACACCAGCGCTGTCATCGAGAAAATGGTGTACTGGCAACCGATCATTCTCTCCTCTGCAAATAAAGAATCATTCTCCTTGCAGATGATTTGCTACCTCCTCTACGAAAAGCTGTCTTCGGAACACGAGGAGGTGCGGCTGGCTGCAGCGAACTTCTGGCGGTTGCTGTTGGTCCAAAAGCCAGATGAGACATCGACGATTCTCGGCAACGCCACGCAGTCTGACAAGAAGACCCTATACGAAGGCTTTCAGAAGCTTGTCGAACTTGACAACGAGACCTTTCTGCAATGGTTTGACAAGAACAAGCAAGACGTTGACAGCTCGTTCTTTGGAACTCTATCCAAGACTTGGCAGGATTTTGCAAACGATCAAAATAGAAAGACCGAGGAAACATCACAGAGACGGATTGCCAAGCGCAAAGAGAAGTTGAAGCAATGGCAGACCGAAGAAATATCGACCGAGAACATCTGGAACCACCACGAGAACTCTACGAGCCACTGGCGATCCAATATCCACGCCTCGGAGCGGATCAAGCACCAGCGCGTCCTCCAGGACCAGCAAGATAATGCTACCTTTATAGCAACGGTTCTAGCAAAGCTTGAGCATCAGCTAAAGGGTCCATGCGCGCTATTCGAGGACAGTCCACCCGCCAAGTGGCGCCTTGACGAAACAGAAAGTCGTGATCGAAAGAGAATGCGCATCATTGTAGACAGCACCAACCGAGACCAAACGTATCAACCCAAACGCAAAGACACGGATCCGAGGGAAAGGCTCCGAGTCGACACCACCGTTCCTGTTCTCTCTGTAAAAGAATCTCTAGGCGTCACCCCTACCGCTGGGCCGTCTACTAGACCGTCTTCCGCTACCAGTACGCAAGACGGCCCGAGGAATGATGCGCAATCAGACAGCGAAGACGATTTCGAGATGGTTGAGGCTATGTACGAGGACGACGACGGCTTCGAGGACAAAAATCGCAAGGTCATGAGGAGCCTCAACCGCGGTGACCAGGTGCAATACGTCTGCAACATATCCCGCGTAGTGGGTCTAGAGGCTATCGAGGGGCTTCTCATTGTCGGGAAGGACTGTTTATACCTGCTCGACGACTTCTTCCAAAGGTCTGACGGAGAGATTGTACGAGTGTGGCAAGCACCACCAGATGAGCGTGATCCATACGTACAGGTGATTGCTGGCAAGGAGGCGGTCACTAACCGGAGGCCGCCGCCCAGGAACCAAGAAGAGTCTGTAAGAAACTGGAGGTGGAGTGAGGTCATTAGCATCTCGAAACGTCGATTTTTACATCGAGACGTTGCTATCGAGGTTTTCTTTGACGACGGGCGCAGCTACTTGTTGACAGCGATATCTGCCCAGGCTCGAAACGACATTCACTCCCGCGTTCTGCAGAGAGCTTCGCACGTTGCCAACCCCGAGAAGCTTACCAACTCCGAAATCGCCTGGCGTCTCGACTCTCTGCACAACCCGCAAGAGGCTCCACAGACGTTCGGATCGCGCTTTGCTTCTGCTTTCGGCTCTGCCTCCTCACATCCAGCTACCAAGAAGTGGCTCAAGGGAGAGTTGTCCAATTTTCATTACCTTATGTTTGTCAATACGCTCGCCGGAAGGACATTCAATGACCTAACACAATATCCCGTCTTCCCGTGGGTCATCTCAAATTACGAGAGCGAAGAGCTAGACTTGTCCGATCCGCGTAACTTCCGCGACTTGAGGAAACCGATCGGCATCCAAGACCCTAAACAAGAGCGGTCGATAAGAGAAAGGTTCAGTTCCTTCGCCGAGATGGGTGACGCCAATCATGCGTTCCACTACGGAACACATTACTCATCCGCCATGACGGTGGCCTCTTATCTCATGCGACTGCAGCCATTCAGTGCAGCATTCTTCCTAATCCAGGGTGGAACTTGGGATCACGCAGATCGCATGTTCTACTCCATCCAGAACGCATGGGATTCGGCGTCCAATAAGAACATGGCCGACGTTCGCGAGCTCACCCCAGAATTCTTCTTCCTCCCCGATTTCCTCACGAATGTTAACGGCTACAACTTTGGCCTCCGCTCCGACAACTCAAGTATCGATAATGTCCAGCTGCCTCCGTGGGCGAAGGGTGATCCTGCCATCTTCATCGCTAAGCAGCGTGAGGCTTTGGAAAGCCCTCATGTCAGCCAGAGCCTGCATCATTGGATCGACCTCATCTTTGGATACAAACAGCGTGGAGAGGCTGCTATCGAAGCTGCGAATGTTTACCATTGGATGACATATCAAGGTGCCATCGACCTAGACTCGATCACGGATGAGAAGGAACGCGCGCAAAAGATCAGCATCATCAATAACTTTGGGCAGACGTCTACCCAAGTGTTCCAGCGGCCGCATCCTCAAAAGGAGAACCTAGCCAAGCCCACGAAGCTGGATACCTCAGCGGAGAGCTTGCATCGTGTGCCGGGCACGCTCCTTGAATCGAATGACCGCATTTCGTCGCTCAACTACATCGTCAAGAGTGATAAGCTTCTGTGCTCTGCGCCCTTCCGGCATAATATCCCTCCTTACTACGATCGCTACATGGAGTGGGGTTTCACAGACGGCAGTGTTCGCTTCTACGACTCGCATTCGAAGAAACTGCTCGGATTATTCGAGCATCTCCACTCTGGACAGCTAACAACCTCTCTCTTCGTTGACGGCCAGACGCTCATCACGGCTGGCACCGACTGCACACTTGCGATCTGGAACGTGACTCGAGGCGAGCGAGGACAGATGGAGCTGCAAAACGCCACGTCGCTATTTGGCCACAAATCACCCGTCGTCACACTTGCCGCCAGTGGCGCCTTTTCCTCCTTCCTGTCGGCCTCGCTAGACGGCCGTGTCTTCCTGTGGGATTTGAACCGCTCCGAGTTCGTCCGCGAATTAGACCTCGGTGCTAGGCAAAAGCGCAACCCGGTTCCGATTCAGGCTGCTAGAATTAACAGCGTCACAGGGCATATTGTGCTTGCGTGCGGGCATCGGTTGATCGTTACAACGCTAAACGGAACGGTGCTGCTCGATGAAGACGTGTGCGATAGCGAAGACGATGCAGAAGGCATCACAGCCGTGGCAGTGTACGAGGGCGTGGGCAACGAGTGGTGTGAACGCGAACTCATCTTCACGGGTCATCGGAGGGGCGTCGTCAAGGTTGGTACCATTACTTATAGCTTGCAATTCAGACATTCTAACGTGGTGCGTGAACAGATTTTCCACCTCGCCACCACGCCCTATCCGCTATCGAGCTCTTCACATACTTCGCAGCCTGGCCAAACACCCCAGTGGTCTATTTTCCTCGTCAACGTGCTTAATCATGGCGATCCGACGAATCCTAGCCCCGCGGCGCCTATCACGTGTATTTTGCCGATGCCGCTTAACGTTTACACGGGGGATGAGGATGGGAAAGTGGTACGTTATCTCTTTTCCCTTCTCTACTGCTTTATATCGGATGCATTTCATCATCCCTCCTTTTTTCACTCGACTTCTTCCGTAATTATTTCTATCTTGGAAGACAAGTGTGCTAACATTTTCCTCGCAGTACGAATGGGACTGCGTGCACCGGCAGCACTGATCTACCCTAATTGAGAGTGGGCGAAAAGACAGCGTGGGCTAGCTGGCTATGAATTGACCACAACAGAGTATGTAGACTTTGTGTTTTGGCGCTTAGCATATCGATCTTGTAGCTGGGTTTGCTGGTATTCGAGCTACATTTGGAGAAATGAAATCAAATGTTGGGAGAAGTGATGCACGTCATCTTCCTCAATCCACTTTTTCTCCTAAATCCTGCGCCCTTTATGCTCCGGTTTAGTGTAAAGAAGCCTGCCCCCTAATAACATGACGTGAGAAGATTTGGCTTATTAGAACACATAATGGACTCGAAATTCGGTCCGAATGGAATCACCGCAATGGACAGTGAATACTAGGATCTGAAGGTTGAAGAAGTTGGTTGAAGGAGTGAAGTACTGGGGGGGCTGACGATCTACATCCAGAGGAGGCTGGGAATCACCTGATATTCAATATTGGACTCGACGAAGGCCTATACACTACCCCAGTGGATTAATAGCTCTGGCGTGCTCGCAGTGGCTTAGTCACCCCAACCTGTAGCGCCATTTCTCCACACGCACGCGCAACCTTTGGCGAATCCGCGGCGCCAATCACGTCATTTTTCTACCTTAAGTGCGGGCGCGCCCCCGAACCACCCTTTTGCAACCCCATACCGCAAACATGCGATAACCCGACCCGACCGACCGAAAACACACACTATGGAATCGCCAGACAGCGGCGGCCCGCCGTCTGAAGCGGCCGCTAAGAAGCAGCGCAGACGCCCGGTGAATGGTGAGCTTACGCTTGTCTTCTGTTTGGTACAAAGACCTCGGCTAAACATAGCAACCGCTGTATAGCTTGTGCTACCTGTCGTGCGCGCAAAGTCAAGTGTGATGAGCGACCGAACGGGTGTCTGAACTGCGAGCGACTGCAGCTCGACTGTGTTCAGAACGGGGCTGTTGCGACGGCTGCGAAGAGGTCGAGTGCGTCGTTCGAGACTGTCGTGGGTATCAAGCGGAAGCGCACGTTTCGCTCTTGTGTCCCGTGTAGGGACTCGAAGGTCAAATGCTCCGGTGAACGGCCGATATGTACACGCTGCCAGCAACGCCGCACTACGTGCGTCTACGACGCTGAGCAGAATGAGCCCGCTTGGGTGCACAGTATCTCGACGCCGGTTGCGAATACGCCGGATTATTCTTCCGTCGTTGCGTCTGCTCAGTCTCCGCGGACTGCGCTTACGCCGATGCTGTCTGAGGCTGCGATACCTGGTTGTCCTCCTTCGTTGACATGGTAAATATAGAGTTTTGGATATGCATTTTCTTGGCGGCTAATGCGTGCCATCTAGGTTATTCGCGACACAGCTTCCGCCTAAGCTCAAGTTGCATGCGTTACTGGATGCGTACTTCAACAATGTCCATCCTATTCGTGTGTTCGCGTTCGAGCACAAGCCCTCGTTTATCCGCATGCTTGATGAGGGACAGCTCATCGACTCGTCGGACCAGGCTCTGCTACACATCATGTGTGCACTTGGCGCGAGGTTCTATGCGCTCGATTATAGCGAGTCGTTCGCTCCGCTCTCCAAGGAGCTCATCCAGTCGGCGGGAAGCCAATGGGCGAAGACGGCCGAAGAGATGTTCTTTGCAGACTACAGCACTATCTCTATTACTAAGCTCAAGGTCCTTATCCTACTCCACGACCAGGAGGCTAGGACGGGTAATTATGCTGGATCGTTCCTCCTCACGGGTCTGGTTATCCGCATGGCTCACGCGCTGCAACTCAATAATGAAGTCTCGATGGACGTGCTCTGCAAAGAAGTGGGTGGGAGCCCGAACGAGGTGTCTGTCAGGGAGTCCCGCAGAAGGATGATGTGGGCCTGTTATATGATTGATGTATGGGCTGGCAGTGGCGTTGACCATCTCACCATTTTGAACGAAAAGGATCTCAAGATTCAGCTCCCGTGTAACGAACGGCAGTTCTCACTCCAAATAGCGTGTGTCACTGAGAGACTTGAGAAAGGCGAAATTCTGGACTTTATACCCGCCGAAGATATCCCAGAGAAGCCGTCGGATAACTTAGGCATGGCAGCTTACTATGTGCGTATTGTTAGTATATGGCGGCGAGTACTTCGGTAAGATGAATCTTGGTTATTCTCGTCGATGATGATGCTTACTCTAGATTAGTTTCGTAAAGCATATGGACGAAGAACAGCCACCATGGATGTCAGGCTCTGGATTCGCCATGCTCATCGACGACATACAAACGTGGAAGCGTAGCTTACCCTCTTGGCTAGACTTCTCCGCAGACAACATATACATTCGACGCGAATCTCACCAGCTGGGCGCTCTGTTGCTCATCCACTGCATGTACCACCACGTCATGTGCGACGTCCATCGCATCGCGCTCCCAGATCTCTTCAAGAACCAGGAGCCCTTCGTCTTCCCTCCCAGCCAGCAGTCGTTCGTCGCCCACCTGCAAGACGTGTGCTTCGAGCACGCACAACGCATGTCCGTCCTAGTCTCCACAATCCTCCAGCACGGAGTAAAGCACTTCGCCGACTCGATTCTACCCTCCTTCGTGTACAACAGCAGCCGCATCATGCTCTACTACATCGCTCGCCTCCTCGACATTTCCAAACCAGGTGTGAGCACCCTCATCAGCCGCACCGTCGAGCTCGTCCAGCAGAACAACAAGGCGCTGCGCGAAATGACGTTGATGTACCCGCTCGCCGAAACACTCTGTATTACCACAGAGCGCTGGCTTGAGACTGTGCGCGCGAGTCTTGCCCGCGGACACACTACTACGTATATTGCGCCGCAGGATCCATCGGAAAATGAAGTCCGCCAGGTTGTTGGCGCACCTGTGGCTCGCACTACGAGTACCAGGCACACACAGCACAACAATGCGTTGTCGGTTCTGCCTCCGATCGCTGAGACGCTTGGTGCTGCACCGCCTTCTACAACACAATTGACGCCTATTGGCTATGGCACTGCTACTGCAACTTCGCCTCCGCACATGCCAGTCAGGCTATCTGGCTTACCTAGTACACCTCAGCAAAAACAGCAACCGGGGGATGATAACCAGGACGCCTTGTATCCCGCTGCTGCGGCTGTTGGTTCTTCGTCCACCGAGCAACCCATGTTCAACCTTGACGACTTGCAAAACTTCTTCGAGTGGGAGGCGACTAGCGGGGAGAATGCACAGTCTACGGGCTTTGAAGGGTTTGGGCCATTGGGGTGGGCTAATAATTTCTCCATCATGTGAGCGATCGGACGTCTCGTGGTGAAGAATTGGTACACACGAGTGTCGTCTTGAATGGAAGACAGGGGAACATATACCTGAGGAAGAGCGCGCGGGGATGTCTGGATATCTAGACTTTGGGACAATAGGCTTGTTCGCGGTTTACTGTTGCTTTCGATGATGGGTCGCCGTAACGGAACCTAGAAGCTACCCCGTTGGCACCACATAACTTTCACGCTACGAGGCTTCAATACGTCGGCCTCAATGGAAGAAGGCGAGATACGACTGCGCAGATACTCCCCGGGCGCACCGTTCCAAATGCATATGGCGCATCCTCCACATACCATGGAGGCTGGATACCGCACCTAGGTCGGGTACATTAACATGCCCGAAATACACCTAGCAAGTTGGTCATGTTTGATCGACGACGTTGATACGATTGGGAATTATCTTGAACGCCATGGAGTGGTGGTGGTAACGATGATGGAATTGGTCTTGTACTCCCGCAACGAGGAGACAGGTGAAGATGGGCATGGATGACCACGAAATCAAGGAGAAGGCAGGAAGGAGTTGAGTTAGTTGAGTAGGGAGTGAGATGGTTCATAGCTTAAGAACTGACTGAGAGATAAAGAAGAAGAAGTTTCAAGTCTACTCCGAGTCATCAGTCGTTCGTAAAGGCAGTGTTGGCAGTCCAATCACTAGCACATAACTACTGTTATTGAATATGTATTATGCCGTTCTTAGCGAAATGGGACAAGGCGGTGCATGATCATGAAGAGCAGGTTGTTTATTGGATATTTCTATACCTAGTTGTAGGGAATGTAAAGACTCTTGGTACTCGCCAGGTGGTCCAACCAAACAGGATCCTCCCAGAACGACACAACAGTATTGCTTGCATGCACGCAAGCTGCCCAGAACATTGAACAGTAAGGGTTATTCGCATTAGAGCCGTCTCTGTGCAGTTCGAACAGAACGCAAAATCGCAAGCTTAACGCACTGTCAAGTTCAGGTAAAGACGCCACTTGGACGACTCCAGAAATACTCCCACACACCCCGGTGCAAGCCCGACACCTTCGTCATCCAGTGCTCATCCGCTAGCTCTGCATCAAGCTCCAGCTCATCCCCCAGCACGAGCACAGCCATACCAATGTCTACAGCCTCGCTCAGATCCTTCAGAGCAATAAGCTTCTGTTGCAAGTACGCCTCGTGCTCCTGAATCAACTGCTTCTTGTCGCGTAATTCTTGCGTGCGCAGCGCCCTGACGCGAGCTTTCTCTTCCTGAACGCTCTCGTTTTCTTGGACCGCATCGATATCTTCGGCTTGATCCATGATCACGTCGTCGTCAATCCAGGCCATCCTCTCCTGCTCTTGCTCAATCGCGGTCTTTGTATCGTCTAGTAGTTTGTCCGCCCAACTCTTCATCGAAGTCAAGGTGGCATGCTTGGATTCTGGCGAGAAGAACTTGGAATCTTTCGCTCCCTTGAGCTGCTTGAAATTGCCGTGTGGGTTGACGCATTTGTGGATTGTCGTATCGGCGTGGTCGATGGCGTAAGCACGTAGGTCGCGCTCCACTGATTGGGGACCCTTCAAGGCGTCTCGACGAACTTCCGTAATGACCTCTTTCAAAACGTCTTCCTGGACTTTCATAGTTGGCTGCGGTACGTCTGAGTGGGTGTCTTCTGCCCTAGGAATGGCGAGGGCATTCGGGGCACTCGGGGCATAGGTTGTGAAAGTATCGTGAGCTCTGGCTTTGTCAAGATCCGTTGCTGAGCTGAGAATGAGCTCTTTCACCGTCGCAGTGGGCTCTGGTGAGAAGAGAGTCCCGATGGTGAATCGAGGGTCGTCTTCGGGGAACATTACGTGGAGCGGGTGATCAACGGGATAATGTGCAGCAGTGACGCCATCGCCGCACATTTGATCAAGCTGGCTAAGGTGGTGGTTGATTCGACCCTGAAGCTCAGACAGGGAAGGTCTGGATCCCTTGTTGGGTTTCGCTGGATCACGATACTGGCGAAATGCTAGGCAGCGATGGACCGTGCGGATAAGAGCTATACTGTAGACTTCAGGGTACATTCTCCATGGAACCTCTTGTTCTGGAGCCTCATTCCGACTCGTGGCCTCGGTGGGGAAAAAAGAAGTCTCGTCCCTGTGCAGTTTCGCTATCTGATTGCTGGGCATGGTGGCACACAACATCAGGTGTCTAATCAAAAGACCAAGCGCGTAGATGTCGGTGCGATGGTTCAAGTCCCAAGTGCTCGGCGTGTAGTGCTTGGTATGTACATGTTCGTAGGCATGTTCGGGGGCTTGCCAACACCTGGTACCGTACCCACGTGCATTTTTCATTTGTTCCTTGCGCTTTATGGGGTTATTAGAGAGCCGAGTGGAGCAATCGAAGTCCGTGAGGACGGGCTGACGGTAAGATTTATACGTCGGATCAGGACTCGCGAGTAGGACGTTTCCAGACTTGATATCGAGGTGGAGGATGGGCTGCCATCTATCCTCTTGACCAGTGGTAGGACCACTATCCATCTCCTTGCAAACTCCAGTTTCAAGCGTAGTGAGCGCGTCTACCAACTGCTTGAACACATACCAGATGAAGTGTTCAGGCACGACCTTGCTAGCCCTGGCATGGTTGTTGATTAGCTGATACAAGTCGCCGTGAGGCGCATAATCCGAGAAAATGTACCGCTGTTTCCAACAGCTCGGGTCTTTGTTGTCCGAATAACCGCCATCGATTGTGAAGTTCATGGTGTGATCAACAATGTTGCGATACGCTGGAAGATGTCGACATCCATCTGGAATTGTATGTACTACAGCTTCTTCGAGTTCAACCCTTTTCTTTGTTGTCGTATCTTTGTCCCAGGAGATATCCGTATATTTCACCGCAACACGATCTTGAATTATTCCCGCCTCGTCAAGTTTGACAAACAAGTCGATTGATCTCGGTGGAATACCTGATCGAGGCTTTGGCAACACCGAATTGATCGGCGACTGATGGAGCGTCTTTGCATAGCGCCAGGTACCGCCCAGAGTCTTTTGGACGAACTCGCGCTGTTGTAGAGTGGGTGGGAATTCGAAATAAGTAGACACTCCAGGTTCAGTCTCGTGGAGGCCATTATGGAGAACGAAGGGGGGGCATCGTTCACCTCCGATGACGGGTCGACGGCGCTTAGCGGGGGGTTCAAGTGACGCTACACTTGGTTCTTCATCGTTATTTCGTGCCCTTTTCGAGCCGGAGGTTGGAGGGATGTTCTGGGACGAGAGTACGGGGGAAGGCGAGCGGCTTGCGACGGGAATGGTATTTGCGCTTGAAGGTACCGGCGCAGTCGGGATTGAGGCCGGGACCGGGCTAGGAACGGGAGCAATCTCAACAGCGGAAGGGACTTGGACTGTTAAGATGGGAGCAGGTAGAGGTGGAGCAACAGCTGGGACGACTGGAGCGGATCGTTGTATTGCTGGGAGTTCCTGCTGCTCCTGCGCTTTGCGGACCCAGTAGGAGTGTGTCTTGTTCCACAATCGCACGCGACCACGTCCACTGCGGGGGCGCTTTTGCCTCTGGTAGTTGACACTGACGTGCTGAAAGAACCGTATGAAGGCGTATCGTTCAGTGTCATCGGACAAGACATGGTCAAAGACATGTCGATCATAGTCGTCTAGCTGGACGTACGCAAGCCGATCTGGTACCGCCATATCTGGATATTGAGGACTAGATTTAATGAGGGAGGTTATATAGGCTGCGAAGGTTGTTTGCCGGTGGTAGACGAAGTTGAATGATTCAAGGTTCGAGTTGGTCGTTGAAGGGAGATGTGGTATTTAGGTGAGTTTAGTCGCAGTTTCATGTATTGACAAAGACAATAGCTTGCTCGTCAAACAATACAACAATACAACAATAAAGACTCGGCTATTCTTTGTTGGAAGCTTGGACCAAGTGAAAGAGGATATCTAGATCTTGCGTCATTGTCTGCGTGTGGTGAAGTGCGGGCAATCTTCAACCATCACCAACCCATCGTAATTCTGGATGGTGTGGCATATTATGATGGGAGGTTACAATTCGCAGAACGCCCACTATTGCTTGGACTATTAGGGGAGTTATACTCGCCATACTTGACTAAATCCCCGGTCGAATATTCCCTGTGGGCCCATTGCAGGTGTGCGCAAGGACTATCTCGCCAATCTTTAGGGGCTAGCATTGTGTGTGTGTTAGAGTTTCCTTGACTAAATTTTGAATGAGACCTGCGAAGATACCGCGTCCCTCGAAATCTTTTCTGTGCCTGACCGAAGAAAACCGGCGGCGGACCTAGAGTAACTACAAAGATTCTAACCGAAGCAGTCTCTCATGCGTTAATAACAGCACAAAGCTGCGACGAACACCGTGCGGTGTCCAACTCGCATTGTAGTAGAAACTAAACTCTGCGACTTCAACGAAGAAAGTACTGCATCCCTCCCGCACATTGTGCCTGCTCTTTTCCGCAACCCTAACCACCTCAAGTATCGTATGTGTTGTACCTCCAGTCTCTACCAAACCTCCGCATCGTCTACGCGTCGTCTTGCGAATATGCTCAAGACTTTTGATCGTTAGCGGTAGCTCGCTGGTGCCTAGAGGTTGGACCATCATGGAGCTTTAGCGTCGGCCCAATCGATGACGACACTTGACTGCGAACTCTAGACACGCAGCGCTGTGACTGCACACTTTCATCCGAGACTTCTGTGTGGCGCACATATAATGACCATCGTGTAGCAGTCGGAGCCATCATAGTTACGTGACGCCTGGAACTAGCCCTAATCACGTGACTGCCCGGGAGGAGTTGCGAGTATGCTCCGAATGTTACTCATGTCACCTCATGAAATCTTGTTTGGTGATTGTGTCAGACTTCATCAATTTCAATGTGAGTTAGTTAAGAACAGAAAAGACTTAGTTTGGAGGGGTACTAGCTCTTGCCCAAGCAGGCCGTCTTCTTACACAACTTGGCTGCCTGCTTGGCACCAACCCCGTAAGGCTTTATCCCTCTTTGACCCATCAGCACCACTGCAACAGTCTTTGGCACTACAAACAACTTTTCCAGTTTCCATCGGGAACATCATTCATGGCTACTTACAAGTATGCCCCGCTCAAGCACCAGGAGTGTGAGATACGCTTAGTGACGCTGCGGCCTGGCCAGTGGAACGATGATATCGCTTTCACCATATGCCACACACCACTGATCCGTCCGAAAGATGAAGAGCACATATGCAGAAGGCTTTCAGTTCAGGAATTAAACCAAACTCTTCCAAATGGTTACAGGTGCGGAGAAACTTTGAACGGACGATATCTGTTCATGCAGGAAAAGGACGGTGCCAATAGCTGGGAACTAGGGATGCCGATGTTACCACAAAAGGATATATTGGACTCATGGTATCACCCTGATCCAAATTTCGATCCTGCACTATACGAAGTACAATCTCGCCGGCCAGGTTCAGATTCCAGACCGGAATACGAAGCCCTATCGTACACCTGGAGCTGTTCAGCAGACCCTGTGATCGCGCATGAACTGAGTGCGACTCCTTCGACAATGAAAATACGTGCAAATCTCGCTCTTGCCCTTAGATACCTGCGGTACCTAGACAAGCCTCGAAACTTGTGGATAGACGCGATATGTATAAATCAGAATGACATTTCTGAACGGAATCGCGAGATTAGTCGCATGAGAGACATCTACTCGCTGGCAACACGTACTATCCTCTGGGTAGGAGGGGAAACCTCGGATAGTGCAAAGGCTTTAGCGACATTAGAATATTTTGGGGAGCAAGTTGAATGCTTAGGTGGAGGACAGTGTGCCGACACCCCAGGTACTACGCAGCTCGGCTGGTTCCAAACGGACTGTGAGCTGCCATATGATGAGCAGACTTGGTCAAGCCTGGTAGCCTTCTTCCAAAGACCTTGGTTTACCCGTGTCTGGGTGCTACAAGAAGCTATTTTAGGCGGTGAGCGCTGCGTAATACAGTGTGGAAAGGATACTGCGTTGTTCTATTCTTTGAGAAAGACGATGCTCGTTATGGCGAGGAATACTACCGTTCCTGCCGCATTGAGATCCCTTCTATCCTCGTACAGACCAGGCCTGCTTCCGAGCTCCATCAGGAGCTTCGCGGGACTTGTCAGCTGGACCAGGGATCACCATTGTACTGATCCTAGAGATAAAATCTACGGCATTTTGGGTTTGGTCTCGCCTTCGATAGCTCAAGGTATTACGACGAACTACTTGCTGCCGACCTCTCGAATATACGAAAGAGCATTTCTCAGCTGTGTCTTAAGCACCGGCCGACTACACCTGCTCCAGCAATGTCGGTTAAGCCAGCAGCTGTATGATGGGCCTTCATGGTTACCAAATTTCGCCGTCAAGGATTCTAGCGCTACATTTGAACTTGAATTGGGAAGACATGCGTCTGGGCTTGCCGCTGCTCATGCAAAATACTTCGCACCAGATACATTGGAAGTCCTTGGGTTCAATGGTGGGGCTGTCGTGTTGGTCAGTATGGAGAGCTCTAGCAACGCGAAAGACATATTTAGAGCCATTCGGAGAGCCGTCCCTGGACATTGCAATTCATCTAGTTATGTTGCCGGTGGGTCTTTACTTGACGCCTACTTGGAGTCGGGGTTTCAGGGGCAAACGAGAGATCGATATCCGAAGTTCAGATTCCCAAGTTTTCAATCTTTGCAGAGCAATTATCACCAACACAGTTCTCACCATACTGAGCATGTCGAATTTAACATAAACACGCTTGGGCAAGAAATTGAGAATGTGGTGTTCTTCACAACTCAGGACGGATATGTAGGGCTTACACCAACAGGTGTTGCAGAAGGTGAGTACTCAGTTAAACCCTCAAAAAAAAATCTGAAGACTTAACATGTACTAGGAGACTGTGTTAGCATTCTGCTGGGCGCCGACTACCCGATCTTGCTCCGCCCAACAATGTCCGGAGAATACTTTGTTGTGGGACCATGTTATATTCACGGTCTGATGAGCGGAGAAGCGCTACTAGGTCCTATACCAAATCCCTGGCAAATAAAGATGTACAGGGGCTATAGCTCTGGCTGGCTGACTCTGTTTTCTCAACCCCCGAACGTAAAAACATTCCAAGATCCACGACTTTCACCTCTGTCCTCCCAGTGGAAAGAAGTAGGAGGAAACGATGATGGGCCGCCAATAGCTCCAAGTACATTTCAAAACACCAATACTGGTAAGGTCATAGACTCTGATCCAAGAATGCTGCCGAACGGGTTGGAACGAAGAGGTGTGAAGCTGGAGAAGTTTCGGCTTATATGAATCCGCAAAGACGAACCGCATATACCCGTACGGCGTTAGTGCAGATTACGCTGTAGCACCGTTTGGTCATGCGAGGCGTAAGAGGATTTTTCAAAAAGCCTACGCTTTAGCTGGGCTATCGCTGGTGCAATGAAAGTACTTTGATTGCCGGAGATGTTCGAGTTCGAGTTCGAGATTACATTAATTCTTCTAGGATAGGCGGTGGGTATGATTGCAACAGCAATTTCCCGAAGGAGGAAGGTGGATGGATCTAGCACCTCCAGTCTTGGTGAGTTGAAAAAGAGTAGATTTCACGATATCTACAGTAGCTCAAAGCCTGGAAGCACCCCATAACGTAGTAACTAAGACGCTTACATAGTCAACCATTTGCTAACTAAGTGCCAAGCTGTGGCACAGTCACCAAGCCACACTGTGTATTTGTTCCTATTGGTTTATACTAGCGCATGACGTAAGTGTCTCCTGTTCTGGCACCCACCCGCCTTACACCCTCCTCGTCGCCGACCAGAACTGCGTAACTGCCCGTCCCATTAGCGAATGTCCTCACCCCTCACAATGAAACGCCAGGCACTCACCATAAATAAATTTCAGCAACGAATCCTGCTGCTCGGCATACACACTGTCGATGCTCTTCCTTGACGTATGATCCACATCGAACCCGAGCAGATCTGCCAGCTGGAGCACTTCCTCCGCAGAGAGCTGGAGAGCGGTGTGGGTGCCCCATTTCAGCGCTGTATACAGGTCAACCCGAGTCCGGCGGTGAACGGATCAGCAGAAAAGTACGAAAGTCAGTGTTCGAGAAAGAGAGGACAATAACATACGTCCAAGGTTGATCCACACTCCACCAGGGTTCAGCAGCCGATGTATGTTGCTCAGGAAGTCCACCACGTTATCGCCAATGTCGATGAAGAACAGTGTGACGACGGCGTCGAACTCACCGTCCTGAGGAAACATCTCCAAGAAGTCGCCCTCGACGAGCTTGACGGTCTTGTTTGGCCAGTGGTCTGGTACCGTTAGGGCGGCGTAGCGTGAGGAGGGGCTGGCCTGATGTGTCCATTTGGTCACAAAGGGCTGCAGGGTGTGCTGGTGCAGCGAGCTCGTGTGGTTCGTTAGCAGGTGGTATGCCAGGATGGCGCCGTAGTCCAGCTCGTTGGCCGTGACGTCGTACCCTGTGTCGATGTGAGGCTGCGCCTTCAACCCAACGGTAAGATAGACGTACCGAGATCAGCGATATCGCTGGCCAGCCGGCCCATACCGCTTCCGGGTACAAGCACCTTCTTCCCTCTCCCGTTCCTGCCAAAGTGCTGTTCGAGCCCATCTAGAACAGACGGAAACACGGCCTGTCTCTCCTTTGCGCCCTGCGTGCTCCAGTCTCGCGAAAGGTGTCCAAACGCGAAGTCCACAACTCTGAACTCCGCTTCTTCCTCGTCTTCTAGCGCTTGAGGGCCAGTGTGGTAAGCCTCCCTCGCAATCCGCGCGACTTGTCTCGAGAACCGGGCGTTCACCTCGATACCCTTCCTGGCTTTCTCGAAGTGCGCAGGATAGCCGAGCTTTTTGCTTATCGCCTTCTGCGCGGGAGTCTGCTTGGCATACCGCCCGTGCTTCCGCTGGAGCACTTGCTCGGCGAGGAACGGATACTGCTCGAAGGAGTTGATGCAGTGCGCCAGTCCATCGGGAAGGGAGGGGTATCTCTTCCTTCTCCCACCTTCGGTTGCGCGCACGGGTTTAGCGTGCTCAGCGGAAGCTTCGAAGGCTTCTTTAGAGATTGGCGCGAGAGGGGCGGCAGGCTGTGAGGTGAGCGCAATGTAAAGCGCTTCGGCGCGCTCAGAGAGGGAGGAGAGGAGAACTGCGCTGTCGGACAACGAGGCAGCCCCACGGAAGCCCAAGTAGAAGGGGAATACGACGAAGAGAAGGAGAGTGAGGAAGCGGGTGAGATAGAAAGAGGTGCGCATCGTTGTGCTTGTGGCTCCAGATACTCGTGGGTGAGGAGGGTAGTCTTTTGCTATTAGTAGCACAGGGGAAGGCACCACGAGCGGATGATACGGTAAGACACCCTCTCGAAGACAACGTACTGTGACATCAGAAGCGTCTTACGCATCAACGGTAATAGCCGATGACAAGCACGCTGACTGGGCTTCTTCCATCAGACACAGCAGGCTGACTATTTAGGCTTTCGGTTATACTGTGACTATGGAGACCCCATTATCTCTCCGTGCCTGCTCTCAGTTCACTTCCTGACTGAATGATGGCCATTGCACGTTCAATTTTGTTTCTCTACATACTCGCCGTCCTCAACGCCCACCTCTCCTATGCGGACGATTGGAACGAGGCACCACCACCAAAGTGCAGCAAGCTGCTGACACGCAAAGAATGGCGGACGCTGACGCATAGCGAGAAAGCCGAGTGGGTGGGGGCTGTCAAGGTGCGCCCTCCTTCCTCTCCCTAGGTAGTAGGTACGTTGCTGATACCGAATAGTGCTTGGCAAGCATACGACACGAACGGTTATCCTTGACGAAGGACCAGACGGTCCTTGAGGGGAAGAGGAGCCTGTACGACGACTTCTCTTACTCGCACGCAGCAATGGAGCATAGCGCGCATAGGAATGCCTACTTTTTACCGTGGCGTGGGTCCTTCCCTCAGTCCCTTCCCCCCTTCTGACTCCTCCCCACCTTCTCAATTCTTCCCCACATTCTCACGCCTTCGCCAAGCACATGCTAACGTGAGCGCAGACCGCTGGTTCACCTACCTATTCGACACTTCCCTCCGCCAAAATTGCGGGTACAGTGGACCAACACCATACTGGGACTGGTCGCGCGACCACGCAGACCTATTCGACTCGCCAGTGTTTGAGGACTCGCCAGAATACGGGCTGGGCAGAACCGGGGACTGCGATTCTTCCCCTGAGGCGGACTGTATCGTCACCACCGGCGCTTTTGCCCCATCCACCGGGAACTTCGAGCTTGCCTGGCCTATCCCCCACCCGCTGCGGAGGAACCTGACGCTCATAACCGGCTGGTTCCCCCACGAGCTGCCTCAAAACCGCACCCTCGGCCCAGAGTTTGTCCGCAACTCGACCGAGCAAACCACAGGTGACTTCTTCAGGTTTCAGAATGCCATGACACTATTGCACAACCACGTACACCTTTTCGTTGGCGGTGACTTGGCGGGGGACTGCCCGAAAGTGCTGCCGGAGAAGGATTGCCAGGGCCTGGCAATAAGTTTCACGCCTAATGACCCTCTTTTTTGGCTTCATCATGCGCAGCTTGACCGGTTGTGGAGTGGAGTGCGTCCCCGCGAACCCCATGCTATTTTCGCGTTCCACATGTTTGTTATGGTATAATTTTGCTAACTTGAGTTGTACAGTGGCAGCGCCACCACCCATCGAATTTTGCCGCCTTCTCTGGCATGCCCCTAAAACCCCACAACATGACCGACCCACGCTACGACCTCGAAGCGCACGCAGATCATCTGATGCCTTTCGACGTTCAGAGTGTGCCTGTAGCGCCTAGGCGGGTGTTTGATACGGAGGCTTGGCCATTGTGTTATCGATATATGGACGTTGAGTGACGGGTACTAAATTAGATGAAGATCATGTTTTGGAAGTTTTGCTTGTACAGGGTCTACAGAGGTGATCAATGAACTATACCTCTACCGAAATCTTCGCTATGGCGTGCTAAGAATAGTTGCCTAGTTCACACGACGCGTAACCTTTTTATCCCTCATGCCCTATAGTGGGTATGAGATGGGCGGGATAGGAAATATCACCATGTCAACTAGCCTCCTTAAACCGCTCATACATGTCCGGCGTCCACTTCTCATGCTGGCTGCCCATCCAATCATGCACCTGTCTCCAGTCCCGGCAGGTATGCACAGCATCTACGCCCGCAGCAATTTTCTCCCCATTAGCCACTATCATGCCCGTGCCGCCCGGCTCCAGGGTTGTGTCAGCAGCGCAGAGAATGCCCTGTCGCAGGTAATGAAAGCAGTGCGCTGTATGATCCGACCCGTCATCCCCGTTGACAAGCACCGCGCGTATGTGATTAAGGCAGTGCAGCTGGTGCCACATAGACACGCCAAATGCAAAGTGCTCTTGGCCTAGAAAAACAAAGCCCTTGCCGGGAGGGCGCATGGCGTTCCATTCAGCCCAGGCGGGGATGCCTTCCATCCCGTAGTGAGAGGGGTCGTCGTGGAAGGCGGCTTGAATATTGCGGACCTTTATGGGGAGCTCGCGAGGTCGGTCGCCGGCCAGGTAGGCTACTGTTCGTTAGTCATGAATGTGAGGGAGAAGGTGAGATATGGCGCACTGTATTCACGCGTTCCACGCGCTAAGATGCGCAAGGAGAAGACGAGGGTGCCTAAATTCAGGACGAGGCAGACGCTCAACATTGCGAGCAGGGCATAGGAGGGGCCGCGTAGCTGAGTTGCCAGGGATTTGGGGAACATTTTGGTGTGCTATTAGGGTGGTGGTTTGAGGGTAGCAGAGTGAGACGAGGAGATTGTTCAGCACCAGGAGCTGGCTAACCGATTTAACACATCTATGACTGTATCCGTTCTCACTTCGGTGGGCAAGTTGCGCAGTCCAGAAGAGCGGGGCAGGAGAAGACGCACTGCCGAGATGTTCTATCTATTCACCAGAGCCCTTGGCCGTCTCCAAGTTCGAAGGGTGTCGTCGATGACGCCAGTTTGCAGCTCCACAAAATCTCCCCCTAACCATAGCGAAAGTGGATAGACTATAATGATGTGCTCGGTTGTAGAGAAAAGATCGCACCACCACCGTAGGCATGATTATAGTACAGTGGTGATTGGATGCTTTTTCACAGGCCCGATTGTATTTCTCCGAAACTGCACCTTCAGGGTCCGAAAAGAAACACTAATGCACATCAGCCTCCAATCATGCTAAGCACCAGGATCACCCTCGGTGCCATTAATGCCTACACCCTGCTTCGGACTTCTTGCCCGCCAGGCGGTTGGTGATGAATTGAGGATCGAAGAGGGTCGGCAACTCCCCGTGTCGCCAATCTCGGCCCTTAGCGTCGTCAGGTAGGGCCGAGGCTAGCGTGAGCGGGTGGTGCCGACCTCACCTCCACACCACCCACCATCCAGCGGATCCCACTATATGCACTACAACTAAAACACGCACAACTCCTACTGCCCCTTTCTAGTAGTGATGGTCGACCAGACGAGGGCTCGATTTGACTCGGCTTGACTCGGAATGTGGGGAATACATGCTACGGCGCTAGCGGGCTAATTACTGTGCGAGCATACTTCTGCACTCTTGAGCAGTCTTGCACCGGATCGCGACGGAACAGCGCTTCATGCAACAGCAGGTCGCTGGTCGATAACGACTCTGCCGCTTATCAGTATCATCGTCCTAGTAAGGATGGAAGGACCACGCACCTCTCGGCCTCTCAGGTGGGTACGGGGCATATCTGTTCCCGTATTCCGTTTGGTTTATATGCTTGATATCGCACAAATCAATGTCAACCCTCGTCAATTTCCACATCGAGCCATACCGCTACTTTCTTCAGGGCTATAACTAACTTACCTGGAACAAGCCCAGAGTGAATTCGGTCTAAAGTCTTACCCACTCTCATACTCCTTGTCTCTCACTTCACGGCAACGCGTACTGGCTCCATAGTATGAACGTAGATCTCTACTTTGACGCCATGCCGACTATTTCTGTTTCAATATCACGCGACCACAATAAACGCAACGACGCATACGCAACCACGGCAAATGCAACCACGGCAAATTCAACAGCGTCAAACGCAACGACGAGGGGAAGTCCTTTCTGTATGGAAATGTGCTTCTTTGGATCGCAAAACGCATAAATACCCGAGGGAATGACGAGTAATAACAGCATCTCATCATCAAACTACTTCTTACCTTCACTTGAAGAAAACATCTACTCGCCACCAAACTTCAGTCATGCAATTCACTATCGCCCTGCTCAGCCTCGCCAGCCTCGGCCTAAATATCTTCACTGCTCAGTCCGCCGCGGTTCCCGCCGTCGCGGTTCCCTTCGCTGACTTGGCTCGCCGCGCCGACTCGATCAACCATGTGTATCGCGATAACGAAAAGAGGCAGCACGAGTATAGAGTAGATGCTGACGAGATCGCACACAACGAGAAGAGGCAGCACAAGTACGGTCCAGATGATGACGAGATCGCACGTAACGAGAAGAGGCAGCACAAGTACGGCCCCGATGACGATGAGATCGCACACAACGAGAAGAGGCAACACAAGTACGGCCCAGATGACGATGAGATCGCACATAACGAGAAGAGGCAGCACAAGTACGGCCCAGATGATGACGAGATTGCTTGAATACAGGAGCAATACCGACGAGAGAATCTGCACGTCTACCGCTCGGCTGTGGATAACTGAACTCTCGCATGAACGAGCTTTGCAAACCTCTATAACGTGCTCTACGGGCAAGCACCGCAACCCAACAACTTCGCGCCCCTCCTTAAGCGTATGATTTCAACACCAACGTTGTGCCTCTCTTTAAGCGTATGATTTCACCACCGACTTTGCGCCCCTCTTTAAGCGTGTGGTTCTCCAAGCGTATGGTTTCACCACAGTCTCTACATAGCACTATACCTATATAAACCGAGAATATCAGGCAGTATCTCGAATATCTTTTTTTGCGTGTACGTGTATCATGTCCAGTCTCTCTACCCTTTGTTCAGCTTTTAAAGTATGGCGACTAAGGCTCTATCGCTCTCCTCTTTGACTCCCCAGCACTCTATAACAAGACTAGTTGCTTCTGTATACGGTTTTTCGGGGTGGGTAAGTTTCTTTAAGTTGAGCTATCAATCGCGTCGGCAGTGCATCTTTCATTCAGACACGTTATAGATGGCAGTGCACTACCATGATTATCCTGAATTCAATAGAAAATAATAGAGGAGATCGCAAGCTGGATATCTGCTTCGTCAAACAGTGGCATTGCGTTAAGCCATTGTACGTGAAGATGAAGATCGAAGAAATCGTAGCGCCAGATCAAGCTATGCACAAAAGCTACCGAGAATGAAGACAAGTTTTTTACATACACATATCCCCCTCGGGCGTATTGGCAGTGGGAAGTCACCACGTTTAGAAGCGAACCACACATGATAATCAAAGGACACGACAGGACTCCGGTCTGTATCTACAGGTACTCATCCGGCATGGGAATAAGCGTCTCGTTGTTAGCCGCACACATAGCCGGATGATCCTCCGGGAGAGCGTTGATGTCAGCCATCCTGACGTCCGAGCACTATTTTTGCATCAGCATATAGCTCTACTATCTGCAAGTCGGAGCAACTGACATAGTGTTGCACATTGCCCGTGCGCGGATCCCTCGCCTCGAAGTACATGACTCCCATCTCATCGACCTTGGTCTCAAATGGTATCGTGACATTCACACATAGCTGCCCCGAAGGCTGGATGGGCACGTCCTGCAGGATGATGTAGGGGAAGTCGTCTCTATTCCTTGGCACTCTATGTCGAGTATAGAGGGCCGTCACAAGGTCCCCGGGATGGCCGGAGAAGGAGAGAAACCCGCGAGAGTGGCGCGAGTATCCTTGGGGGTTGTGCACTATTTCCCCTTCTCGGTATCAGCCTACGCTGCCACTGCTGCGGGACTGGAGAAGGAGAGGAACGTACCGCAGAAAGGGTTAAACCGATCTATCTCTGGCCGGGTCCTAGGGTTTGGACCGCGGGACATCCATGGATATTGGACGTGGAAGCCGGCGTGCGCGGCGGATGTGATGCTAATATTGAGGGCAAGCAGGAAGGTGACTGCGGCGAGAAAGGAGGGCATGGTTGACGAAGGTCAAGTGTAGCACTGTGCAGAAAGCGAGGGCGAGATGAAATATGCTCAGACGGTCTAACGCCATAAGGAGCCGTCACGGCCATCCCCGGAGATGGCTAGTTGCCGAGCTGGTTCACGTTAGAACTTATGTGGACCCTGTGCATAGATCAGTCCGTTGCCGCCCCCGCCTATGCGACCTGACAGGTGGGGGGTGTGGGGCGTGGGGTATCGTTTGGCCGTGCAGAGTCGGTGTTTTCGATCGACTGTACGCGTACTCTCTCTGGCGATCACGGTGAGAAGTATGGCGCCACCGCCTGCCTTCACCTTGGCTTCGCTCACGGCGTGCCCTCTCCTTCCTCTCGCATATTTGCGGAGAACTCTCCGAGCTTTTCACCTTTTTTTTCCTCTTGCTCTGCTCTTTGACCGCCCCTCACCATGTTCTCCTCTAAATCAAAGTCCAACTCATCCGAGTATGCGCCCGTTGCGCTACACGACCATGTCAACGACTCCATCCCAACTCTTGAGAAGCGCTCCTCTTCCGAGGACGAGGACGACCACTCTGCCCCCTTGCTGGAAGCCGAGGACAACCTCCCCGCCCTCGCTCCATCCAAGCCTTCCCAGCTGCCCAAGCTCATCCTCTACTTCTCCTTCGCCCTCGCGCTGCTATCAGCAGTGAATGTCGCTCTCCTCCCCACCACACTATCAAAGTACCGAGCCTACCCCTTCTCCGACTCCGAGCTTGAGGCGCTCCCCTATGGCGACGCTAGGCTGGGGCTGGACAGGGCAGCGAAAATGATTCCCCCTCCTCAAGTCTATCACCACGTTTGGCCAGATAGAATTGCACGGGTGAGCCGGAAGTTGAAGAATGCCGTGTGGGGCCAAGGGGTGCAGGTCTATGTTACTGTTGAAGTCCGTATTTCGTACTTCCTCCTTCTTCATTCCCTTCAAATAAGCCATCCACCTGTTCTCCGTGTCTACCGGTGTGTATGCAGCTGCTGACGTAAGAAAAGGACTCGACAATTATGCGCTTTCCCATCCCCTCCATCGGCGTCAACGCCTGCGCACTCTCCTGGCGGCCGCCTCCTGAGCTCTCTGCACGTGCCAAGGATGTCACAACCAAGGGGGATGTAACGGAAATCGAAGTCTGGCAGCTTATCGCGCCCTCGGCCACCTCGGCCAACAGTATTGACGAGCTCGACTATGACGCCTTATCGTACTCGACCCTTCCCGTACGTGGGGAGCTACTCGGCGTGCTAGACCTCACAGCCAAGCCGAATAGCACAACACTGGAGTTCGCCTGTCCCAGTGAGGCGGAGAGTCTAACGGTGGAGATGAGGTGCCAGCGCGTGGCGTGTCATGTGAGCTTTATGCAGATTGATATGGTGCCGCGCTTTGGGTTCGAGTTGGTGAGGAGGAGGGAATGATCGGGGCATAGTGGCTATATTGTTTACAATCAGCGTCATTGTTCACGTAGATTGAGTCTCGTCCCTATGACTAGTGACTCACTAGTCACCTGATAGCAGTATACTCACCTACAACATGTCCCCATCCGCAGCTCGTCAGTAGCTACAACAAAGGCTATAGTTCCAAGTTCCAAGTTAACGATATTACAAAAGAGGATGTAGATCGTCGTCAGACAGGGAAAAGGAGCGGCTAAACCCGTCTCTTGAACAAATCACGTGACTCCATCCCCTCCTCAATCTTCACTTAGCTACGCAAACCCCTCTCAGCCGTCTTGTGCCCAACACCCATCGATCGCAACATGTCCACTCAACTCAACGCCGCTTTTATTGCCCGTCTCTCTCTACACGACCCCGCCCACTTCAACATCCAGCACTCCCAAACTCTTCATCGCCTGGTGCTTCTGGAGCACTGGAACATTCCCACGGGCTCCAAGGTACTAGAATTAGGATGCGGGCAAGGGGACTGTACGACTGTCCTTGCCTATGCTGTGGGCGAGCAGGGGAACGTGGAGGCGGTCGATCCGGCGGAATTGGATTATGGTGCGTCCTTTCGCTTTTCTACCCGGCGGTGCGAACGGAAAGCAGCGGACTAATGCTCTTGCAGGTGCCCCGTATACTCTCGGCCAAGCACAGGATCACATCTCGCAAGGCCCGCTGGGTAGGCGGATTACTTGGGTCCATCAATCCCCGCTGGACTACCTCTCCTCCCTCCCCTCCCCTTCTTCAACCTCGTCGCCGCCCGCCAGCGAAAGCAAGACCTTCGACGCAACAGTGCTCGCCCATTGCCTGTGGTACTTCCCCTCCCCTTCGCTCATCCTTTCCACCTTCCGCGCCCTGAAGCAGCACAGCAAGCGTCTCCTCCTAGCTGAGTGGTCGTTAGTAGCGACGCACCCCTCTTCCCAGCCTCACGTGCTAGCTGCGCTCACCCAGGCAGCGCTGGAGTGCCGTAAACCCAAGAGCGACTCCAACGTCCGCACGGTGCTGGGGCCAAAGCGGATTACCGAGCTGGCCCTGGCTGCCGGGTGGCAGCTGGAAAGTGAGACCCACGTGCAAGGTGGGGAGGGGTTGTTGGACGGACAATGGGAAGTCTCTGCTTGTCTTTCGTCCTCTTTCGAAAAGGAAGTGGAGGAGCGAGTGAGTGATGAGAGGGAACGGGGTGTGATTATTGCGTCGCGGGATGCGTGTGAGGCGAGTTTGGAGGGTGTGCAGGGGGGTCGGAAAGGAGTTAGGGCGATGGATGTTTGGGCTGCTAGGTTCGTCTGATGGGGCAGGCTGAGCGTGTTCAGCGCTGAAAGGTTGTGGCGCGATTTATTGCCGAGCGCGCTGCTTGGATTCCTCAAGATTAATCACGTTGCCCGCTCTCCCATTAATCATATCTGTGAAGGAGGAAGTGTCAAGTTGTTGTGCCTGCGCGTTGGTCATCGTGAGGTGGAGGAGACAGACGACGGAGCAAGCGGCAAGGATCACATGACCAAAGAAGGTGGGCGCCAGCAAATATCTTAGTCAACAGCATGTTGGGGGTCGGCATGTTGTAAAGTTCACAAACCAGAATCTTGTTTCCAGTCACAGAGAGGGAGCAGATTAGTTTAGTTAAACTTTGTTTGGAAATCTCCAGCAGAATCTCAATCACTCCAGCCTGGGGAAAGACAGACTCCGTCTCCTACGCCAATCGCGCTGTAAACTTTCAAACACGCAGATTAGTCGTTTAACCTTGAAAATGAAAAAAGGTCTATGAGCAGATACAGCTTTCTTTTGTGTGTGAAAAAGGTTGTTAGGCAGTTGCAAGGGGTGACTTAAGGCAGCCGAGACTGACCCTGATTCGCGAACACCAGTACTTGTTTTAGGAATATAAGAAGACCTAACCTAATGTACCATTATTAAAGATGGCGGACCTGACAGGAGAACTTATTCGTGTACTTAGTACCTGCAAAAATTAAAAACATACAACAGCGGGGCTTCGTTAGTGGTCACTCACCTAACTACTAATCCGCCGGTACACTGCTTGTATATGGCTGAGCGGACGGGAAGCCTTGTTATCTCTCTGTCTCTCAACCTCAAAGCCCGTTAGAACCCCGTATCTGGAAGTTAGTAAACCGCATCCAGACTAAATTCAGGACAAAAGTTGTATACTACGGCGAAACATGAAATGGGGGTGGCAAAAGAGTAAGCACTAATACTTATCCTCGTGCTAAAGCGGCACTACGGCGCGTAAAATCTATTTGTAAATGGACATGTCTCCTCCGAGGCTTCGAAGCTACATTTGCCAATCGTGAGCTCTGCCGTCTCACATTTGTGTGCCAATTCCTCTCTTTTCGTATGAGTGTACCCTGAAGCAATGGGTGGTAGCAAAAGTGATATACATGTCGCGATGCACAACGAAACCAGGAGATGAAGAGTCTCGAAAAGGTAGGCCGCCTCTTCTTATTATGAGTTCTGGTGGGTACGAGAAGCTCGCTCAGGATGACGAATGTCTGATGCAGTGATCTACGGATAGGCGAAGATAGACGGTCACGTGTGCACATGCATGAGCCTTCCACCTCAGCCTTGTGTGTTTGCAACATCTTCCTGCCTTGACCCTAATACAGTCACTAATCATCATCTAACCTGAGGAACTCTCTCTCGGCTCCATCAAGTAACAAGTTGTCACCAGGCGATCAAAGGTGTTTATCTCAACGACAACAAATATGGACGAAATCGTCCATGGAGAAGCCGAGGGCCGCGATACCTATGGGTTATGACTCAGATATCTGGGCAATCGAAGGATGTACCCTTTGCAGAAGGCCTAGGTATTTTTGTCCCCGTTGATCCGATTTCCGAAGAGATGCTCGCTCGTGCTAGGAAAAAGGCAGAAAAGCAGGTACTCCAGCCTTACAGAATGAATTGAAGGAAGCAACTGACATCTACAGATGCGTGAAGAATATGAGGCAGAATTGAAAGAACGCAAATTGAAAGAGGCTAGGTACAATCCGACAACAAGCAAGGTTAATTACGAAAAAGGTGTCCTGGTTATGAGCGAGTATCGAGACTTTGGCGCGATGTTTCTGTTGGATCGAGCTATATCTTATCATCGAAATGCTGTCGACACCACTTCTGAATCCGACACAAATTACATCAAATGCTTGAGAGAACTCGCGAAAGCTCTCGAGAGCCGATATTCGGCGACCGAAGACCCAGAGGATATCAAGGAAGCTATACAATTATCAACAACATTGCTGAGATTTCTTGAAGACGATTGGCTTGGAAAGAAATACTCCGTACATCTCTCACCTGCAAGACGGCCGAAACAAGGACTTTCAAAGTGGGACAGCCTTCTAGAGTTCGTGAGACAAATGAAGGATACATCATGCCTGCTCTACCAGAGATATCGAACAGAAAATTACCTGGCAGATCTCAGAAGTGCGGCTGAATTACTCGGCTACGCGTGGCGTGTAGTTCGAGATGGCAAAGGAGATGTGGCGTTGCGCTGGGCATTCAGCATATTCACATGTCTTGCACGTATTCGCAAAGAAGAATTTCACAGATCAGGTCAGAAGAAATTTCTACAAGAGTCTTTCGAGCTGATTAAACGTGCGCATGCCCTTGAAAGGAGATGGTCGCGTAATTTCGATCATCTTCTGGTCATGTCCGAAATGTACTATGAAGATTTCAGGAGAACAGGCTCCTGCCGCCCGCTGGATCACGCCATCGAGTTTGGTGTTAGAGCTTCAGAGATATTGCTCGATTCAAGAGAAAATTGGTGCAAGGCCAATCTCCTGTCGCATCTGGGATCTCTCTTCCTAAGACGATCATACCAGACGCGGTTGTACTCAGACACTAGTCAAGGCATCAGGTACATACAACTAGCCCTTGAAATGACGATGGAGAGGTCTAGGGGTAGGGCAGTACATCTCTGGAAGCTTGGCGATGCCTTTAAAGCCCGATTCAAGATGTTCCAGAATGAAGATGATCTAGCAAAATCGACGCAAGCTTTCCAATCAGCCTTAACATGTCACGATCTCAATGCTTATTTCCGCTTTCTGGTTCGTCATACAGCAGTTGATAACTTGGCCAGAGAGGGATCATGGTCACAAGCGATGGAAATGCTGGTTCGGATGAAAGAAGAATTACCAGAGGCCTTTCCGGTTGTTCTCCAACTTGAAGATCTTCAAAACCGCCTTCGTAAAGTGTCAGGATTGGCTTCGTTATCGGCATCAATCTCAATACAGGCACGAAGACCACTCTTCACAGCGCTTGAAACGTTAGAAGTTTTCAGTGGAGTTGTGACCAGCAGAATGTCGGCTACAAAATATCAGGATGACGATCTTCGAAAACATCACTCTTACCTAGCAAGAGATTATGAAACCGCTCAGCAGAATATCGAGGGCTTTCAGTTCCCAGGTTTCGAGAACCATGAACGGCTCGATATTGCTTCAATAGAAAGGCGCAGCAGTATTGATCTCCGACGATTAGAAGAAGCCCTCCAGCAAGCAATCAAAGCGATAAGGCAGCAGCCTAGCTTCGAGTGCTTCTTGCAACCACTTTCTAGGGATGAGATATGTGTTCTGTTCAGGGAAGGCCCCGCCGTATGTCTAAACATCAGCCGCGTGGGTAGCGAAGCTTTTCTCATCAGTGAGAATACAATCGCTGCGATCCCACTACCAGGGTTACGAAGACCGGATGTTGAGAGAAATGTGAAGATTTTGGCCTTCAATAGTAACAGGCGCCGCAGAGATGCTTCTCTATGCCTGGATGAAGAGGATGGCGATGACGGCGACAAGATCAAGAATCATGATCCTAAGTTGCATTTGGCGCTGCTGAACCTCTGGAATCACGCAGTGCAGCCAGTCTTGCAAGCACTAGGACTCCTAAGGCACGACCCCAAGCCCAAACCATTACCTCGCGGAAGGTGGGTTGTCAGTGGCATTTCATCATTGCTGCCGCTCCACGCTGCAGGATCACACATTCCCGGGTCAACTGATAACACTATCAGTCATGTTGTCTCTTCGTATTCTCCAAGTCTTATGGCGCTAGACTCGCTTTGTCGAAAACCTCAATTTGCGATACAAGATGAGAAAGCAAATGTTGTTGTGGTGTCCATGCCAACAAGCCCTCGACATACGCCTTTGGCTGTCGCTCAAGAAGTGGAGACAATTGTGACACATACCATGTCTTGGGCATCCACTGTTTGCCTTGAGCGGCCAACAAAGAAGCGAGTTTTGTATGCATTAACATCTTGCACAGTTGCTCACTTTGCGTGCCACGGTATCGTAGATGAGAACAATCCATTGCAAAGCGGGTTGATCATCGGACGAGAAGCAGAAGAGAAATTGAGTGTTGCAGACCTCGAGAGTGTAACGTGTGAGCATTCTAGAATTGCTTAGCATACTACGAAATATTAGATCTGTAGCTATCTCTGTAACGGTCTTTTCATATTGTAATAAAGCATCAAAGTTGCCATTTTTTCTGGTTCACGGGACTCTGCGCCTGCTTAGTCTCAGTGGCTCCTGCTCCACGATAACGCTTTCTTCCTCCCGCTTTGATCAACTCGCCTCCTGCTTCATAATTTGTCTCGTACGCTCTTCCGTTGTTATGAGATTAGGATAGAAAAGGAAGGCGGCCCTCCTTCATCTGCAAGTAGCTCGCGCTCCCGCCAAATCTTTCCAACGCTCTTCTACTGCACACTCTTCTACTGCACAACTTGCTCACATTGGTGCCCGAAACCATCTAATCTTTACTGCAGATTGCCTTCTCATTCATCGCTATCCTCATTATTCGCCTCCACTTCCGTCACTGCGCGCCCAACTTCCACCACACTTTCTCATCGGCCATGGACTCAACGACCACTATGGACCTCAGCTAGTGCCTAATACTTCCAGGTATGACTTGCTCTTCCGTAGCGAAAGATGAAATCTAACCCAAGAATGTAGGCATTATGTCATCACCGGTCCTCGTCTCGATCCATACTCCTTCCTTCCTCAAAACGTCCCATACACAAGGTAGACAGCGTCCCCAAATACTCAACCTACGGCCTGTCTCCAGAACGGTGACAATGACTGTGGTTCGACTATTAGGATTGCGGTATGCCTGGTGTAAGGGATATTCTGAGGCAAGGTAGGGACCCCCTGCTCAACCCCAGGGAAGAAGATTGTCATCCTTCCGACAGGAGTCCCTCGACAAGAGGGATACTACTTATGAAGATATATGTGCATCTAGAGGGGCACTGATGGGGGGTCGGGGCTTTTCTAGTTTTTCCTCCGCACCCTGCTCAGTCTTTATGGCTGACAAAGAGAAACTACAGGGCGACTCAATCTTTGGATTGTTGAGACAATGGTTTGGTGGTCATCACTGCTAGTACCATGGTTGGAGTGAGTGGTTGCTGGGCTGTGCAGTCCCAGAGTTGCGGTCCCGTTGACGGGTTGAGGGGGCGCGCGTGCGAGCCTTGGTACGCTCGTCCATGAGATGACTGAGTCATATTTCGGTGTTGCGGCCATGGTTAGAAGTTGGGTCAGGTCCTCGCTGGTTGCTTGAATGGGTAATCTCCAAATTTGTCAGGTGCAGTGGGTGCATGGATCTTGCTAGCTTGCATACACTTGTCATAGCGAATTGATCCCGTGTTTGTATTCTCAATGCTGGATTAGATGATCGGAAGAGCCGAGTTTACCGTGGTTCGAGATATGACTCCCCTTTTGGCCATGGTACGTCGTTGTTGAGGTGAATCCCATTAATGAGCCGCACTTTGGCTAAGAGGAGAGCGGATGTGCATGGTCTAGAGCCATGCGCTCATGTCGTTACTCATTCACACTACAACCCACGAATCGCAACGCAACATGTGTATCCCGCAGCCCTACACCATCAAGGGCCTAGTCCCGGCCCTGTACCGTGCCAACAAAGCAACTCAACAACAGCAAAGCCATAACAAACGATGAGAGCAATTTTCTTAGCCATGTTGAGACCTTCTTTGAAAAGCAGGGAGGCGAGTACACCCTTCATCCAGCTGCTTATCGAGTAAAACCTAGCTCAGTACATCAGTCCCCGAGCCCAAAGATTTTGCGTTGGAGGGAAGCGCTAGGTGCTTTCCAAAGACTATCGGTAACGTTGGAACGCGGGGCCAGGCGGGATACATAACATAAGCAGGTGTACGATATAGGTCCTGCGGCTTTGCGGAAGACATTGAGATAAACATGCATGGTATTGAAGTTGCTGAAATAGCCTGCGAATCTTGCTAGTGGCCGCTCTGTGTTCATCTCGTGAAAGGCGGGATACCAATCGGTACCTGGATGAAAGACGAAAAAGTAAGTGTCGGGACTTGCACCGTGAGACATCATGTTTACGTATTGATAGACATGTTTGTGAAATTCTCGCTGGCACTGTCGCGCGTTCATGGCCTCGAGATTGTCGGCAGCGGTTCGCAGAGATTTGTCGATACTGACGCCCAACTTAAGCAGCGCGGACGTAGCGTCCGTTCCTGTGAGCACTTGGTATGACCGGAATAATGAAGCGGATGCAGCTGCGAATCCAACACCTGAGGCAATGATACCAGCGACCACAAGAGGCGTTTCTGCAGACTTAAACAAGGGCTGGAGGGTTTTGAGCAGATTGTTGATATTTTCCTCAATTTTCACGGTCACACTTTCAACGGAATCCCTGCCAGTCTTCTCGATGGCGGCGGCTGTCACGTCTCCGATTTTTTCAATAGAATGGTTAACACCCATGATGCAATCTTTTTGAGATATTTGCTACTATAGATATTCTCTTAAAAGTATAGTAACCCTATTCTCCCAGCCGCTGTCACTTTTTATGCGCCAACATGCCGGTGTTGCGCTACTACTTCTTAAGATTACAGAGCCACTCGATTCACATCCCCCCAGCTACACATGTGTTGCATTGAATGAAACTGCTTACGTCAAACGGCGGGCGTATTGTTAGAAAGTAAAGGCCAAGGTAGGCCTACAATACCTTGAACAGGTCCACCGGGTAGGCGGCGCCATAAACCCGGAGGCGACCCGTCCCCATGGCCCCAGGGAGGCTCTTAACTAGCCTATATATTGCTCTGTAGAGTGGATAGGACGTTGAAAAATAACAAAAACAACAAATCGTCATTCTATCTACGATTTCTCCTTCAAGGAAGCTTTCGCACTCTCAATATGCCCATCCAGGTCGAAGTTGTGGATAAAACTCCATCGATCCGTCAACGCATCATGCATCTTCACGGGATCCAAGTCAATGTCGTCAGCAATGCCACTTAAGATGCGCCCTGTCTGGCGACTCGACTCGGCAATGCGCTGTGAGCGTGGTCGACGAACGGCATCATACGTCTTGAGAACTTGCTCGACTTCATCTGGTGATCTGATCTGCTCAAAGAGCGTACCGAGTATCACGGCATCTTCGAGAGCGGTAGCGGCTCCACTGCCTTGCCAGGGTGTCATGGCATGTGCTGCGTCACCGGCGATACACACACGTCCTCTCACGTATGTTGGTGCGTTGGTGTGCTCATACTGTGCGAACACCGCTGGGCTCTCTTGGTCAAGCAGGAGCTGCACATGAGTCGTCAGCAATCGTACGCAGGAGGCGAGAGAACAACAACTTACATCGATCATCCCCTTGGCCACAGGTCCGTCCAAACAGCTCGCGAACGCTTTTTCCATGTACTCGCGATCGATTGGTATCCGCCTGGCACCTGACGTATCTCGATTGACCGATGTGCCAATGCACTGTACCATCTTTCCGCCCATGATGGAATCATGAATAAAGATACCACCATCACTAACCCACCCGAACTGCCGATTCTCGTTCAATATCTCGGCGCCTAATTTGGCCTCAGCTTTTGGATACGGCACCATATTCATCGCTCCAGCCCAGCCCGCAGCGACGGGCTTGACAGCCTCATGGTTCGCACCAAGAACATGTGCACGAACCGATCCATAGATGCCATCCGCGCCAATAAGCGCATCAGCGTAAGCCTCAGACCCATCTTCAAACTTCAACAGTAAACCTTTCTCCTGCTTTTCGATCTCCGCAAGCTTCTTGCTCGCATGCAACCGGTCTTTCGGAATCGGCTCCAGCAACTCATGCAGCAGCGCTGCACGATGCAATATCTTACCCGGTTTCTCCTCTGCGACATCGATTACTTTCGTGCCTGCGTGAGGTCCAGCGGCCTATACATCCGTCAGCCTTCCTCCCTCTCTAATGTTCAACAAACAATAAAGGATTAACAAATAGCAACTCACGAGCATGATCCTCGACGAATTGATCGTCACAGCACCTGCCCGCTTGAACATCTCCTCCGCATCAGGCACCAGCTTACCCAGCGCCCGCTGCGCATTAATCGCCATGCCAATCGCCATTCCCATTCCCGAGAACCCAGGCGCAGATTCGTAGACAGTGACTTCGATATGGGCTTGCTGATGTAAGGCCCGTGCAATCGCTGCACCCGCGAGACCGCCGCCAGAAATGGCGATCTGGATCTTTCGTGTTTCCGCCATGGTATTTTATAGACAAGAAATTTGGAGTGGAGAGTGCGTGTAACAAGTGCTGAACCCACAGATTTATAACATGATTAGGCGAATTCGGGGCTAGGATTGACGTTGCGGCATTTAGCTTGTTTTGATGCGTGGGCGAGGTAGTGCTGGTGGGAAGGCGGGGGTGGGAAGAATGCTTGACTTCACCCGGACTGTGCCGCAAAACGGAGAGATTTTAGAGCGAGGAATTACCTACTAGGATTATCGGCAGATGGTGTCAACGAGTCATTCGTTTGTGACGTCTATTTGGATTATCCCTTTGCTAGCTGATGCTTGACTGGAGCAGCTAGCTTAATCATCTTTATCGCAAAACTTTAGAAAGACATGCTCTCAACAGACTATCTAAATACTATACAAGGTTACCAGGAATATTTTTCTCCTTCTCAATTTGCCCACATCTCAGTACACTTACAGCCGCCAGTCAATCACTTTCAAAACAAGCTGTCAGCATCCAAAAGCTGCTCTGTTTGTTATCCTTTTGCAGCCTCCCTTTACCTCTAGTCTGTGGCGACGGATGATCCAAATCAGCCATTCCATACCACTCATGTTTTTATTCTTTGCTCTTATCTCTTTCCTCCAAAATATTTGAGTGCACCATATTTAATTGGGAAGAAGTCGACACGTTTTCCTCGAGTACTCTTGCGCCGGAAGTATATCTCTCCGCATCACCGTGGTCCGAGCGGTTCGAATTGAAGGGGATTAGACTGCAAACGCTGCGGGGGATGAATAGGCCGTCCATCCTGCGGAAGAGTTAGTTGAGTGTTGGCAGGCACACGGCGATGATAGCGAGGCCGGCTTCGAACATGCTCCACAAGATGAATCTGATTACGAGGACTGGAAAAGGTCAGCTATGACATGTAGGAGAGAAGTTGTTGTGACTTATTAAGACCATCCGCGGTGAGATATTTGCCTGTTCAGTCGTGAGCATGTCGTATGAGTGATGGTGGCATGTCGGACAATATACTTTTGATGGCTTGTTGGACCCGGATGGAAACTATCATACGAATAATGGAACCAGGTAGAGCACTGGTTACTGTTAGCTCTAAGGACTGTTTCAGAAGCATCCGAATTTTACCTGAAAGGAAGGTATTCGTGACAGCCTGGTACAAAATGTGGCAAATGTCGCCTATCCAAATTGCTGTCACCGGTCATGCGCACCTAGACTGGCCAAGGAATGAAGGGTTTGCGTCATCATGCGAGTCGCTTCCTAGGACACCATACCGCTACCACATCAATACTCGATCATCCCATGTCTGCGAATCTGCGATCGTGATCTCTTTCTATTATCGAAGCACCAGACGCTTTTGAGCTGTGCTGTGCTCAGTAACTGGTGGTGCTAAAGCTCCAGCAACGCGAACAAACCGAGCTAGGCCGGGGCAAAGTGAATAGAAGGTACCTCCTATGCAGTTGCTTGCGCGCTGGAATCATTGCTTATGTAATCCGTAAGTCTTTATTTTGCGTTCTCGTACCATGGTTGGGTAGAGAAAGACCGTTAACAGTAATGCGGCGGGGCTGAGCTGCTGAGACCTTGTACAGATTATGTTGCTGGGATACCCGATCAAGAACTTCGAGAAATGGCAATTCGGACAGAAGAAGTAATTTTCAGTGTCCTATAGTCGTACATGGAAGAAAAGAGTTCGTTCTACAGTTATATCCTTGTTGCTTTTAAACCTTCATCAACCACAACAGTACAATTTCAAATATGAGCACGTGAGACATTCGGGATTACACCACATATATGGCAGTGCACCGTAGGTGACATATTCAAGCTCGTCTAGGGTAACATAGACAAGCTTTCTTCGGAGCGGGGCGGGGCTTCACCTGGAGAGAGTTGACGTACACGAACGGAGGGAGGTGTATGCGCACATGTTTTGCGTGAGGAATCACAAAATCAATTGATTTACAAATCCTTAGCAACGGCTTCCAACGACTCTTTGAAAATGCTACACGCTTGACTCAATTCTTCTTCGCTTATAGTCAGCGGCGGGATAAATCGCAGCACGTCGAACACTGAGGTGCTGAGGAGAAGCATGTTCCGCTTGACGCATTCTTGAACAATTTTGGGCGCTAGCTGCGGCTGACTTTGTGCGGATGAATCGCGTTCAAGTTCTGGGTTCGAGAGTTGCACACCAACCATCAGTCCTTTCCCGCGAATGTCTTCGATCAAGTTACCAGCTTTGGTATTTGACGACTTCAGGTCGTTTAGGAAGGAGAAGATCTGTTTGGAGCGCGCGGCAACATTATCGAGTATCTGTTCTTCACGGAACGCTTGGATCGTTGCTGTTGCGGCGGCGCATGCAACCGCGTTACCCGCATATGTGCCACCCATTGATCCAGGCTTTTGGCGATCCATGAGCTCCTTGCTGCTCGCAATACCTGACAACGGAAAGCCATTGGCAATGCCCTTGGCGAAGACAAGGATATCTGGCCGCACTCCAGACTCCTCCATAAACCACATGTGACCCGTACGACCCATGCCACACTGGACCTCGTCGGCAATAAGGAGGATATTGTTCTCGTCGCAGATCTTCCTCAGGTCGTGCAGGAACTCTGGAGGCGCAGGAACATAGCCTCCTTCACCCAGAACCGGCTCTAAGATGATGGCGGCAGTGTCTGAGGGGGATGTCTGCTGCTGCAGGGTGAGCTTCAATTGAAGCAGTGCCTGTTCTACAAGTTCGTCCGTGGGTGTGTCTGGAGAAGCACCGCCAAACTGGCTGTAGTATGGAAAAGCGGTCGCGAATACACCACTCATCAATGGGCCGTGACCCTCACCGTATATAGTCTTGGAGCGCGTCATAGAGGCTGTCGCATTGGTGCGGCCATGGTAGGAGCCCTGCATGACGATGATGTTGGGTTTCTTGGTCGCGGCACGGGCCAGCTTTACGGCTGCTTCAACTGCTTCGGCACCCGAGTTCCAGAAGAAAATGGTGTCGAGTGACGGATGCGGAAGGATGGGGATTAGCTCTTTGATGAGCGCGATCTGCGCAGAGCTGAAGCCAATGTTGACCTGGGCGTGGGTAATCTTGCTGCATTGTGCGGCCGCTGCAGCGCTGACTTTGGGATGGCAATGTCCGAGGTTCACGACGCCAATTCCAGCTGTGAGATCAAGCAGCTTGACGCCCTTGTCAGTAGTTATAAATGTGCCCTTGCCCTCGTCGAAGACATGCTTAGTGAGGCGGCCGATGCCCTTTGCAATGTGTTGCTCGCCAAAAGCCGCCGTGTCCAGGTCAGAAGACGCTGGTTGTGTGGTAGAAAATGACCGTAAGGGCACTCGAACAGGTCGCCCAAGGGTGGGCGCAATGTTGCGCAGAGCTGACGAGCAGCCTCTGGGTATCATGGCGGTGGTCTTTATCGTAGTGGTAATGGTGCTGTTCGAGGTAGAGGTGAATTAGGTGTTTGCGGGCGGCTTGACACGGACTGACGTAAGGCTTGTCAGCTCTTATCTCCGATACTAAACGCCTTACACGCGCTTGACTTATCTCGTGATTAGACTTCCACAAACTAAGAAATCCTTGCATCAGCAATAATTACGTAACTGATCATAACGCGTACGAATAACTACCGGCGCTTTTACTTCTTCTACAACATCAAGGCAAGGTTGGATTATTAATCCACAATATATCCGTCTACTACCCAGCTTGCGCCTCGGGATAAAGAGTCATATTCAGATAAAGCGAAGATATGTACTAGAAGCTACATTATGTTACCTAATAGGTTCATAATCATCAAATGATATTAAGATCTCTATCTTTGCTCTTGTACAATATCGATTTCATTATGGGTGAGGCCTTAGTGTGTAGAGACTTCAGAGACCTAGATGCATCACTATATAAACAAATGCACGTGCGGGCATGACCAACGGAACACTAACATGCATACCAAGCATAGAGGCTCATCATGTACTCTGCAATTCGAGCTCCAAATTTTCGTCAACTTAAGTCACCGAGAGCTCCGCGATCTCCGGCGGTTTGACATCGACCAACATACGATCCCGCTTTTCCCGTGCGATATCCATGTCCTTCTTCAGCATTCCCCGCCACTCAGCAATATCCCGTACCATATCATTCCACTCCGACGGCATACAAAAGCGCGTGCGTGGTACGATTTTGCCTGCAGACAACTCCCCTGTTTGGAAAAAGCTCTTTGGCGTTTCGGTTACTGTTGCGATGTCATCCAGGAGTGACTCGGGATAATCCGACTGCATGTCGACGTCGATGTAGTCACTTCGTGGGAAGGTTATGCCCACTGTGCTTGGACAGTGCTCTATTTTCCACTGAATGAGACCTTCTAGCCGTTTGTGAGGCTTTGCTGATGCGGCGCAAGCTAATGTCCAGTGCAAAACAGTAAGTATTGCTTTGGGTGGAGGAATGCTTTGTCTCGCCCGCTCTGCACCAAAAAGAGTAACAAGACATGGAAGGTGGATTTTCAGAAACGGGTCCAGTTCCTTCTCTTCCGTGATGGATATTAATGGTTTATGCTCTGATGTCGCGAAAGTCTTGATCTGGTTATATATGTCCCGCTGCACCGACAAGGTCATAGCCTTTGTGATGACAGAATTCGATTCATCTGTGGCCCAGAGCCAGTTCAATCTTGAGACTAACGGCAGCGCGGCAATGATACTGTACTTGAAGAAGGGACTAAGTTGATCGATAGTATTATTGGCATGGTTGGATACTCCGGTCGAGATGCTCATGTCTGTCGAAAGGATAGTGCGGTGATGGTCCACGCCGGTGAGAATGACCAAGTGGCCATCTTCGGGCGGCCCATTGGCCTTGGTGGGCTGCCCACGCAAATTCTCTTCGTCGGCGTCATGCTGGTGGAGTACGAAACTCACTAAGAATCGTTGTGCGGGTAGAATACCGCATAAATGGGCGGCCAATGATTTTGCTTGTTTCCTTGCGCTATCAAGTCCCATGCGATACCACTTAGATCGCTTCATGGAAATGGCTGAAATATGGACCTTGGCATTTCCAAATTGCGTCTCTTGTTTGATAAAATCGACAAACTCATGGCTTGAGGCAAAAGTCCTTGCTCTTGGTACTTCTTTGACTACATCGTCTAGTTCAACCGTAACTGGGAAGACGGAGGATCTGATAATTCTTCTCAAGGCGCCGTCGTCCTTAGAACCAATGAACAAGCTTGAATTACCGTTCGTTGCAACGTCAGAGAGCCATTGCGGGTCCCAAAGATGGCTCGTAGTCCTGATACCGGCATCGAAGTATGAAAATTCGTTGTCAAGAACGATGACTGTTTTGCCATGGTACGCAGTGGTGATGGGGCATAGTTCCTCAGAGTCATCTTTCGGTAGGCTGAGAAGGCCACCATTCTCATGCACGTTGCATATGTCAACCTCCATCATCAACTGACCTGTGACAAACAACTGAATTGCTCGTGACTGCTTTTTGGTAGTATTTGGGTTCATTATGAGAAGCATCTTCGCATTAGGCGTAGGATTATATGCGTTGGAAACCTGAATCTGAATTGTCTGGCTCTCAACAAGGACAGTTTCCAACATATCACTAGTCGGATCTTGAAGAGGGCTTTCAATGTAGATCTCGAAAGTTACCCAGAACTTTCGATGACACTGAGCAGTAGACAGGACGTAAAACTGCTGCTCCATAGAGACAGCGTCTCTTGGCCGAATGCTCGGCAGACGCCGAATGACTTCCTGGTGTTCACTATCGTGGATTAGTCGACCGAAACTTAATGGGATTGTTGTGCGGATCTCCACAACGCGTTGTTGACCTAGATGATCTAGCTCTCCCAGCGGACGATGACCAGAGTTTTGGATCTAGAATATGTTAGTTAGGAAAGGTCAAGATGGCCTGCGCTTCTCAGTTACCTCACAATGGACCACACTGACCGCACCTTGAGCAACAGTACGCAGATGCTGGAAATCTCCAAAGGCACATGGATAGCTTATGTCAATCTCCTTCGAGAATTCGAAACAAGGCATCTTTCGGTCCAACCATGGGATATCTGCTCTTATCCTCAATGTATCCTTGGCGGAGAACTTGCATCCGGGCGTTAGGGATCTGCCACCCTTGAGGGTTCGCTCTTTGATGCGCACTTTGATGGCCCCCGATGTTGAAGCGGTACCACCAACAGGAATACTTGTCGGAAGAAAGGCTACGCCTCCTTCCCCACTCGGTACCTTTTCGAACCAATCCGAATTACTTGCTAGGGTGACCGGGATCTGGCAGGTTGGTGATGGCATGCCTCCAGAATTCCGAACCCTAATTCTTCGGATAAATACGTGCTCGCCTGGTTCAAACACGCCATCACCGTTCTCGTCTTCCACCTCGAAATCCACGAGTTCCAGTGACCAGACGGAGTCATACTCTTGTATAGATCCACTATCACCATGAACTGCTATGTTTACAGTTCCTGACTCGCCGGGCTGGCCAGCAGACAATAGAGTGGTAATTTCTGTCCCATTTTTGCCGTCTTTTCCGTCGAGTCCTGGGTCGCGCGTGAATCTTTTGGTTATAGGTTTCACGTCACATCCTGCACAACGATCCGCGGAGCCCCCTCCACAATGGCAAGCTTCCCCTCCCTCTATTCTTTGACTTTGCCTCAGAGCATTGTGCCTGATAGCTACTTGTTGCATCATCTGTGGCAACGTATCTCCCCGAACTGTGAGTGCCCCTAGTTGTGCCCTAAAAGCGCTGCTACTCGCATTCGCTCGTGATCCAGCCCGGGTCAAGGCGGATGAGACGTGGCCTATGGTGGATTTTGGGACGTAGTCATCTCTCTTGATGCAACTGTCCGTGCAAAACGGCTTGTAGCCCACGATATCTTCCCATTGCCAACCTTGTCCTCCAATACCTCCTTTTCCGCCTACCCCAGCTTTCCCATGACATCCTGGTCCGCCGCCCTGGCCACCTTTTACATCACATGAAATGGCCATGAGAAGATGGAGGTTTGACTCACGGACGATAATATGAAGCGCACCACCAGGGCCACCATCAGCACCATTTGACCCTTGACCAGCATCCCCTCCCATCCCTCCATCTGTCCCATCTGTTGCGTCTGAAGCTTTAGAAGCTCCGACTCCGTCCGTGCCGTTATAGCCATTCTGGCCGTGGCCGCCATTACCGCCACATTCCCCATTACCACCGGTTGCAGTGAAAAGAATATTCCTTCCAACGGGAACTTCTGTGCTTTGGGGATGTTGATCTGCCGAGCTATAGTTGACGCGCTCTACTCGAATCGCACCTTGTGAGACGTTTGACTCGAAAAGTTGAACAGCTAAGGTGCCGCCGGGTCCACCTCTAATAGCCCTAGGTGTATCTTCTCCTGCTTGCCCGTTTCTTGTCCCTTGCCAACCTCCGCGTAGAACTAAAGCCAAAGATTCTTGCCCCGGTCGAATACCAGTCCTTTTTGCTAGCACCATTCCATCTTCGCCGTCGACGGATATCACGGTGTTCATCTTTTTGGGAGAAGAAAAAGTTATAAAGCTCAGAGAGAGAAGAATACGTTGTAAAGCTCGGAAGCTCTCTGTGAATCGTAAAAGCGGTGTTGCGATATAATAAACGATGCAGTACCGCGACGGTCGGCCGCAGAACCATGGAGGTGAGTCCAGTCACGTAATAGCGATGATCTTGTTGGGTTTCGAGCGAAGGTTTTTTCATGACCCATTACGCCTGCTCGATCGGGCTTTCAGACCGACAATGGCAACGCTGAAAATCAGGGATAGTCAGATTTGTTAGAAAAAGGAAATAAAAAAGTGGAAGGGTTAGCGAAGGCTGGGAAACACGCCCAATGGAGAAGGTTCCGGTGAGCAATAAGTACACTGATTTGTCCATTGCCCCGCGGAAGGTTGCGAAAGAATGGCAGTTAGTGCGGCTGGGTCAACACTCCGACCTCAGCCTTGGGGCGTGAAAGAATCCAGAACATGCCGCGGACAGCTGTAAGCTAATGAACTCCTGACAAGTGTCACTAATTCTTCGATGCTGCAGCAGTGTAACAAAAGAATTCTCTCGGGCATGTACTATCAAACGAGACAGATACGCACAGACAATGAAGTAAGAATTCAGCCAAGCATGGTTACCTCCAATCTGCATACGACACGACTCAATGACCCTGCACTCTCGTCCCCGGTTATGGGATTTAGAGATATTGGGTTACGGTGTACAATTCCTCAACTCTCGGCACTTCTTGGTATCGCCAGAAGAGGTCGTCTCGGCCTAGTGGATCTCGCCCCATGACTTACCAGGTCTGAACTGAGATAAAGATATCGAGAGCGACAGGACGGAAGCAGAATTCTGCGCAAGCTCCTAAAAATATGATCAGACCTCCACGTCGTTACATACCCCGAGCTCCGGACAGCCTCACCGACACGATAGCGCTTTCGCATACTTCCACAGTTTCCACAATAGAACAGAGTGTACACTTATCAGTGCCATATTTAGAAGCCCTTCAAGACAATGTGTACGGCGCCCACGAGTTACGGGAGCAATGGGTCGGCGAAGTGAGGCTCGAGGCAGATATTGCCCGAGCAGGGCGAAACGAGGCCCTTCGTGAAGCTCGGATTCAAGCATCCCGGGAGACTGAGAGTCTGCAGCAAGAACAACAGAACATTCGAGACAGAAAGCTCGCGGAACAACGACAGCGTGCTACTCAGTGGGAAGAACGCCAAAGGAAAGAGAAGGCAGAAGCACGTCGTAGGCAGGAAGAGATTCAGCGTAGGCAAAGACAGGAAGAAGCAGCCCAACGTGCGGCCGCTGAAGAGGCCGAAAGAAGAAGGAGAGAAAGACTGAGGCCTTGCACCGCGTGTATGGACGAACATGACCTTGCCCAAATGGTGAGGACGCATTGTAGCCACTGGTATTGTCGAGAATGTCTAAAAGGTGAGAGATCTCAACCGGCATGCTCGTTGCTCAACTAAGTGAACTTTAGCCGGTCTAGAAGCATCACTAGCTTCTCGGTCCATCTTTAAATGCTGCCTTGAGCAGATCGTTGACGTCAGGCTGTTCGCTGACCTCCTTACACCCGATTTTGTAAACCGTTACAACCTCTTAGTCCTGGAGCGCGCAACGCCAAATCCAACGTACTGCGCTCAGCCGAACTGTAGTGCCTTTATACCACCAGATAATTACCATGGTCCAGATAGTGCTCGCTGTTCCCAATGTCGCCAAGACACTTGTAGGCATTGTCGTGCAAGTGGCCACGCCCCTCTTGGATGCACATCGGATCCGAGTACTGAGCAAGTTCGTAAACTTGCCGGGGATAAGCATTGGATGACCTGCCCAGGCTGCCAAACTATGGTGGAGAAGACAGAAGGATGTTTACACATTGTATGTGAATGTAAAACCGAATTTTGTTATCGGTGTGGTGGGATCTGGACAAAGTGTAGAAGTGATTGCCGAGAGAGATGATCTTGATAGACATTTTCCTAGGTTAAAATCATTGACAATGATTGTGTAGCTTATGCAGCGTGATACTGCTTGAAGTTAATCACGATTAGCTTTTCCTCGAACGCAATTGTCATATACGTTCTTTCCATACCTCAATTGCTACTCATCGCATCACTCCCACTTTCAACGCTCCGAATAGCTATCGAGCCACAAGCTTTAATGTCTGGCTATTCATCTCTAGGCTCACACTTGTCGACTTTGCAATATCCTCCATAGAATGCCTCCCAACCGGTTTAGCTTCATCCATTTCCTGGTTTTCCACATCACAAAACAGCGTCGCAAGTATCGAACTCTTCCAAAGCCTCTCACTCTCAACTCCTCGGCTCTCGATCTGTACTAACACCAAAAAGATGGCTGACAATCCTATCATAATCGCAGGAAAGGCAATCCACGGCCATCTAATTTGCATGCACGTTGTCGTATACCACATAGTTCCATTGACATGCTCAGCGGACCCGTTCAAGCCGTACGCTCGAACTACGGCTGTCATCGCAGTGGTTAGGTTACCCATAAACTCATTCGTGGTATCCATCGTCATGTTGCTTTCTAGGAATAATTTGCGCAGATGAATTGATCCAGAATTGCCGGCTCCAGCTTGGTTCCAGTACAGTTGCTGCTTATTAAATATTCCTTTCAAATATTCTCCAGTTCCTGATGCGGCGGCAAGACCAAAGCTCCAAATACAGTCTTCAGGATAGTACCATAGTTTCTTTTCGACGTCTGCAAGGTCAGGACTCATCGGTGAATCGTCAACGTTTGCCGAAGCCACCTGACCGAGACTGGACCCAGGAGTATCTTGTCGATTGCACACTTCTCGAATGCCGTTCCTTAGCGTGTAGCTAGTGGCGCGTTTCCACGGGATGTCCCACTCGTTGTTTGCTTTGTCGGTAACCACCGGGACCAAGTTGTATCCTATTGGGATGCTTTCTAGTAACTTCTCTTCCATAACTGTGTTTTTAATGACGACTTCATATGTGTTTAAGCTGGGAAATATTGAGCAATTGATAGCCGTGTAGCTGAAGTCCTTAGCACTCCGCCTGAATATCATCTGCACTATGCTGAGCATACCAGAACCGTCATGACTTCCAGTCGCCAAAAGCCAAGGGCTGGCACCAATTAACAGTCCGATCTCACTAGAGTTATAACCTACAGGTGAAGTAAGGTTCGCCCAAAATGCTCGGCCTGAAGTGTTGGTAGATCTATCGCTCCAGGTTTCGTTCGTGGGTATCTCGCGTACCAGCGACGTAACGTCCTCACAGGCGTAACTTATTCCCACGGACGAGAAGCTTGCCCCGTTAGTTGATGGGAAAGTGCAGTTTCCTGTGGTGCAGCCATGAGAAAGCACACTTGTGCGATCTTCAACTGGTTGGATGATTCCGATCTCGATTCCAGCGGCCATGGGGGCAAACACGTCATTAGTAATCGGCCCTTTCCGACGTCCAGAGCGAAGATAAGAGTTTGTTTTCGCTACTCCTACTGCCGCAGCTCGGTCCGGTTGTAGACAGTCACTAAATTGGACCAGTTGCTGCGAGGAAAATCCAGTCAAGGAGGCCATTACGGTGACGAACGCGCCTAACGCCGCAATCCAACTTTCATACATAAGCTGGAATTCTAGAAGAATGTACAAGAACTTACTATGGTCGTCTTGGACTAAGGTTAATCAGCAACATGATAGAACCCCAAGCACCACGACTAGCGCTATCGAATCGCTCCATGTCATTGAGTCTCCGTGCTTTGCGAAACCACTGCCACTTCGACTGACTTATTCCTGTCTTCCATTAGTGGGCCTATCGAAGCGAAGCGAGTTTGTGCTACCCGACACACCTTCAGCAAGCGCCATACCAACGCCGGCTCGCATTAATAGCGAGAAAAGAGAGACTATTGAGTTGATGGAGACAAGCTGTGGCCACTTCGGTAGCGGCTTATCTTGATGTGCTAAGAGTGTAGCAATAAGACCCAGAAGAGACAGAAAAGCGAATATGCAGCTACAAGTTTCAGCAGTCCAGCTCTTTCTCCATAGTGGCACCCAAAGGTGGACGCATCGCGTGCCAATCCGACCGAAATAGCTTGGTATGTGGACCAGAAACTCGAATAGCGATGCCAGAAGTCTTTTCGGACGTGTAGGAGACTTCTTCGAGAGAGCAAAAGGCTTCTGGGGGCCGACGTATTCAGTCGTCGATATCGGGGTGGTCATCCTCGGAGACTTAGCGGAGGAGCTCTCCCGTGGAACACCATCTGGTGTGTTGGTGCGCTGCTCATAGCGTGGCTGGAGTAGCGGCCGCGATGTCATTTCGATCTGCTCCATGATTAGAAATTGCAAGTGTAATGCGAAGAATCGAGGTTGTATCCTGCGCCTTTGAGGATTTAAGTAGCAATGAGCAGGGCTTTCGATTGCTAGAGCTGAAACGTTAAGTAGTACGAAGCACCGCTGTAAAGGTGTTGTGTAGCACGAATTTCCTGTCCGCATAACCTGAATTCTTCCAATCATTAGACATTGTCTGTTGACGTCGAGGCTTGCTACTTTCATCTCAAGGCAAGGCGCTCCATCACGTCTCACGCTCATCTGATCCCACAACTCAGCTCGATCATGATGGGTAGGTACTCGTAGAAAGGGTTGTCATCTCAGCCTGAGCAGGGAAGCAACATGGGGGCGGCTAACGCGTGCAGTAGTGTGATTGGCTGATCTGTGGCACGGTGCTACGTACCGCTGGTAGAGATACAGTAAGCCTCAAGCAACAATGTCTTACCCGAACCCTACGCGCCCGCCTTCCTTCACCGGCTAGAACGGCGTCTACTGCTCTAAAGTCGATATGAAAGAAATCTTCTTGACGCAAGGTTGGTGTCCTCACCAAATTCGTCGACTACAACAGGTCTATACATTAGAAACTCTGACCTACCTCAGCAGCCTTGACCGTCGCGGCTTCCGTCCAAACAACCACGATGGATGCGCTACGGCAGCCCGATGCATCGCTAATAATGTGGATATGAAGAACTACAATACCGCGCACACGCCGTCGTGCTCGAAAGACTGTTCCACACTCGCTGTTGACTATGCAGCCGTCGTCGCTATTATTAGAGACGGCGGGGTACCCCTTGTCAGCATACACGTTGATCCAGCATCAGGCGTACTCGAGCCAGTCTTCCATCTACGTGTAAGACCTCGACTGCCTTCCACTCGCTACACCGTTTTGTCGCATGTTTGGTTCGATGGCCTCGGTAATCCCTCTGCGAATGCCCTCCCATCGTGCCAGGTACAGCGGCTTTACGCACAATTGAGCTCCCTGCCACGGGACCATGAGAGCGGTGTGGCCCACATAGGTCCACTGGAGATGGACTGGTCGCGCCAAAGCTTTGTTCTTCATCCTGAACGCCAGCCCCCAGCCCCCAGTATTCTGGATGGATACACTCTGCATCCCAGTCGGCGATTCGGAGAAGTCATTGCGAAAAACGGCCATTAATCAAATGGCGTCCATATATGCAGCTGCCGTTCAAGAGCTAGTGCTTGATTCGGAATTGCTGCAATGCAACGCCAGGGTGAGTACGGCAACCGAGTCACTCGCTCGCATGGCCTGCTCGGCGTGGATGACGCGCAGCTGGACGCTGCAAGAGGGCGTACTCGCCAGAGAATGCGTATTCCAATTCGAGAATCATGCCATCGATCCTGTACACGAATGGTGTCTTCATGGTCCAAGAGATCCCTATCGAGCCGTGACGCACAAAGCCGTTTTTCCAGATGTTGAAGATGTCGCTGGTTGGTCTATCTATAAAGAGCTGTACAACAACTTCTGGGATACACTTCATCAAGACTGGAAGAGTCGCTTTCGACGAGATCCGCCAACTCCTGCAGCCTACAAAGCCGACGGTGGGGCATTGGTGAGTATCGGCGGTTTCCGTGGGAGTCAAGCAGTCGGGAAGGTCCACACGCTTCCGGCTGCTGAAGGTCTACTGAAACGCGGAAAAAGTGGTCTCGACAAGAAAGACCATTTCACGATGGACCTCGGCGATGAACACCGCTTGAAGCAGCTGGTTGATACTTGGAACGAGCTAGCACATCGCTCAACCACAATGCCTGAGGATTTACACGTGATCATTGCTAACTTGCTCGACTTCAACGCTGACAGAGTCATGGAGATAGCGACACGTGCCGAGCGTATGAGAGCGATGATTCTTGGTTTCAAGCTACTTCCTGTATCGCTATTCTGGAATACCGGATCAAAGTGGAGAGATGAACCGCATTCGCTCGGTTCTTGCAATGGGTGGATACCAGTCGAGCCAAGCAAAAGCAAACTAACACTGCTTCCTGTGATGAGAGTCACCCCACAGTGGCTGCATCTGGATTTCGAAATAGGTCGAGATGACAACGCCACAATGCCACAAGTATTGTTGCTACAAACTAAGCCTGCCATCGACACAACCACTTTCATGTTTATGGACCCCAGAAGCCGAGTGCATTATGGTGTAACGCTATACGAAGATCAACATCGCGCGGAGCTCGAAGAACGCATTGCGATCGATACCTCCTTTTGTCTAATCATCGAGACGCCTCTGCAATTAGCAGTTGACTATGCGACTAGAGGTGCTATGTATAGTCGATTGTCTGGTCCGCTTGAAGATCAAATAAAGGAAGTGCAGCTCATCTACTGCTTCCCGATTGATATACGACGTATCAACACAGCGCTGGACATATCAAAACATGTGCCACAGGTCGAATACCTCCCCCCCAGTACGAAGGTATTGGTCAAGTACGGTAAGTCGCACCACACTTCACATTTTTGATAAGCTCTCGCCTTGGGTGAGCGTCTCCTTTATGTAATCCTGTTTCACAAATAGGAAATAAGATCGTGGAATGCTTCGGGCTCCTACTCACTGACTCTTACTAGATCCTATTGACAACTCCAAGCCCTTACCCCGACGTTTGAACAATGGACCATCCCTACAAGGAGCTGTTGCCGTGATTATACTTGCTCCTTTATCAGCAGTGGCGGCCGTTGGATGCTTGTTTGCCTTTGTTGCAATCATAGCTCAACCCCCGCATACCTTCTCGTCCTCCGCAAGAGGCCTTCTGATCGCATTCTTCGCACTGGGCCCTGGTGCTGGTATATTGGGCCTGGTTTGGTTACTATTCATGATGCCGTTTATTTATCGCAAGTGGCTTTTGTCTTTTAACAGCAATTGGGCGGACAGCGATAGGAAGGGCTGGTGGGGAAAGTATGTGCGCATGGAAAAGAAGTTAGGAAGAGTAGAACTGGGAGTTTTCGAGTGGGTAGAAAATATAGTCAAGAGATGGAAACTGACCGTGGCCCACAGGCGCCGCAACGAGACAATTATTCCCGCTTGAATGCCAGCCATTGCAAGAAATGTATATCCAAGACATGTAAGGCTCCTGTAGTATTCCCACCAAGCGACTACTGTGAATGCTGTACATAGTTTTGCACATGTATAAAATCCCACAGCCCGGACTATGTTCCTACCCTGAGTAGAGTGAAGACTTTTACGTTCGAGCAGTTGGTAGTGGAGTGTGTAGGGCCTCTAACTTGAACGAAAGGCGGGAAGTTTTAAGTGTGTGGATAAAGTCCTGCTGGTATATTTCTTGCCTTTTTAAGTTTTTAATCCGCAGAAATTATATACCTTCCAACAATATGCTGTCCCAAAGCCAGCCACGCCACTGCGATGCCTTTTCCACCTTGACGTCAATCCTATTATCACCCTGCTTGAGCCCCTCTTTCGTAACAGGGAACTCCAATAACCGCCACTCGCCCGCTCGCGTCGCTCCACGATACGTATCTTGGCTATTCACAAGACTAGCACTCGTGATATTGCCGACTTTTACATTGTTGAGCAAAACAGTCGCGCTGGTACCCTGCGAGAAGCCTGCAAGCGAAACAGTCAACTTAGCAGCAGAGGGAACGGCCTTGACAGGGAAGACGATACTCCACGTTCCGTTGAGAGCCTGGCCAAAACACCAATCCGCTGCCTTGCTCGTGCCAACGGTGTATGTGAGGTTCGCAGGGCACTTGGAGATGCGGCCGTGTTCGAAGGGGGTGGGGCCGCTGAGCTTGAAGCCATCGGTCTTACGGTCGAAGTCACCGATTTGGAAGATGCGGTCCTTCTTGTCGGTAACCTTCCATGTCAGATCCTTGAGGTTGGTGTTCTTTCCCTCCCGAATGACGACTTCGTTCTGCGTGAAATTCGTAGTCACGTCTGCGATCTTGCCGCCGTTTCCCCACGCATAGAGCGCATACGTGCCAGTGCGAATGTCATGGATGTCAAACTTGCCATCCGAGTCTGCATAGGTGGTGTAGTAGTAATCTTTGCCTTGATCAAGCGTAGAGAGGTTGGAGTTGTTGTCACCAAGGAAGACGGCTGCTCCCGCAGCAGGTCGTCCATCGCTAAGAATCAGCTTGCCCTGAATCTTGCCTCGGGACTGGTATGCCTTGTCTTCAAACCACTTGTACGGCCATGCGCCTTCCTCTTCCTCGGCGCGTTTTGCTGCATCGTCTTTTGACCCGTCGTTGAGATACCACAGCCAAGGCCCCCAGACTTTGCCGTCAGCGAAAACGTCGCGGGAAAGCGCTTGGTAGTGAGTTCCGTGGATCATGTTAAGCTGTACTGCGTCGCCGGTCTTGGATTCGCGATGAACCTAAAATGGTGAGTCCCTTATCTCCGTTCCAGAAGGCATGTCACATACCATAAGTTCCTGCTTCAATTGATCACCATTATAATAGTCCTTCCCAGGGTTGAAGTACCAACTTCCCACCTCGTCACCGTACACACCATAAAAGTCCATATCCCTAACGAATGCGCTCCAGTCGTACTTGGTGAGGAACGAGCCATCGGCTTTCTGCCATGTTTCATCCTGCACGTTGGTTGCGCCACGGTACTCATCGAGGGCGGGAAGCACACCATCCTTAATATTCGTACGGCCACGCGGGAAAGAAGCGTTATCTAGGCGCCAAAGCGTCCTAAATTCACCAAGCGTGGGAAGCGCGTGGTTGACAAAGTACTGGTATGCGCCTGGAAGGTCGTCGTAGATCACCCAGTGGAAGTCGCCCTCCTTGGCGGTGAACTTCACGTTGATCCAGTCGCTGCCCGAATCTGCAATGACGGCGGATGTCCAGTTGAGGTCGGAAGCAGCTCCATCTGTGATTTCCATTAGCCAATTGCTTGACGAACAATGTCCTAGTTCTGGAGCGATGCATGCTACTTACTGTAGCTCACATAATGGCCAACCGCCTTGCCAACCCTGTCGCTTCCCTTGTAGAAGAGTTTATTTGCATATTGTCGGTTCTGGGTAACATTCCAGATCTGATTCCCAAGGACCCAAGTCGAGTTTCCAACCTCTTTCAAAAAACTTTTAGGCTTCTTCGCGCGCTCCTCCACTGGGGCGGCTACAGCAACGGCAGCGAGAGCGAGAAACTTGAGGACACCCATTGCGACGTAGCAATGCAAGGCGATGTGCAAGTGTGCTTGGCGATGGAGACATAATGGCGAGTGTTCCTCGAAAATATATATGATGACGGACGTGCCCGTGTGCAATAAGGATCGTCCTGGCTGTTCGGCGATGGATACCCCGAGCCCATTAGCAGATTTGGGGTCAGCGGGGTATTCTGGGGTTAACCCCGGACTTTTCGATCGACAAGAACATTGTTCCTCAAATCAGCGAATTGGCATCGTGTAGCGAGCCAGTAGCTTCAGGCATGGCCCAGGAACGGGAAAGGTGTTTATAACGGTTTGGGGCTGTGCCTGGTCCGCGGGACAGATTCATGGAGGACAGCACGAGGTGTTCGTAATATAGATACAGAAGGGCCGAATTGAACGGTATTGAGCCAGGTAGGCAGTATAGCTCGGTGCTTCGTAGTGTCCGAAAAACTGGTCGATCATTGCGATGGGCTCGGAGTGTCGCATGGTCAGCGAAAGGATAAATACGATAAAGTCGGTGGAGTGGCCAGCGGCGCGACACGGCTTCAGTTGAAAACCACATGTGCATTGGAATCGTCGTTATGGACAGATTTTGAACATGGAACGCAACGATCTCATCTTAAGTACAACCTACTTCTCCTCCATAGCCTTAAAATCAGCCTCCTTAGGCGTGTGCGTGCCCGAGCCAGCACCTTTCTCTCCCTCGACCACTGTGATGGCCCCTGGACGTCGACGGCCCTTGCCAGTAATATCGCGCCACATACCACCAAAGTTCCTAGCCAAGCTTTCTCTGCCCTCCCACAGTGGATACACACCAACAGCCATAGTCGAACCCAGCAACCAAATTATACCAACAACAACCCAGCCGGAGAAGAACGACGCGCTGAAGATGTATCCAGTGCCATAGAGCGGCATTGGCCAGAGCACGAGCAGGACGAGAGTCATGGTAGCGGTGGTGATCTTGGCAATCTTGGAGGCACGGAGGAGCTTGGCTTGTTCGGCGGCCTCTGCTTCGGGCGAGAGGGCGGCGTGGCGACCGTGGACAGCTTCGATGTCCATATGCGCGGCTGCGGTGACATCGGAGTCGTCGACCAGGCGGATTTTCTTCATGGAGACCCAGTCATAATTGTCTGCGTATAATCAGCATACGTCAAGAGCAAGTGAGAACAAGGCTGACTTACCAACCCCAAAGATCAAGGTGAGGACAGGGATAAAAACGACAGGAGAAAGCAGAGCCACGACATTTCCAGCCAACATGGGGTTATTGGCGCCAGCGGTCGCAACGGTAATGACACCGTCGTTCAGCTTCGAAGTTGTGACCAACCACGCTGTGATACTGCAGCAAAGGCCTAGGACGGGGCTGAGAGTCGCAGCCCAGAAGTTCTGACCCTTCCACATTAGAGTGAGGGTGGCCGGAAGAACGGCAGACGAGATAATGACACCCATAAAAACGTATAGCCAACCCATGCTATAACACTGTTAGTAGGAGTTTCAAGGGCAGATTCATACAACTTACCTAATGCCTGCGTAGTGCAACCCGGTGGAGAAAGCCGCCATGACCAATCCAAAACCACACACGCATACGTGTGAGGTGTACACGAGACGCCTGCCGCTCGCCTGGGTGTTGATGTATGTTCCATAGATATCGTATGTAAGGATGGATGAAACGGCAATGAGTTGTGCTGAGAACGCACTGGTGACAGCCATGAACACGATTAAGAGGGTTGCGACAGCACCTCCTGATCCGAGGAGAGCAACAGCGGCATACGGAAGCGTGAGACCTGCGCTAACAGCCGCTTCGTCCATGACGTTGGGGTAAGTCGGGAAGTACTCGGTTCCCTGAAGGGCCAGGGCAGCGAGACCCATAGTAGTCGCGCAAAGCCACTATTTCTTTGTAAGTCAGGGTGCTTCATAAAAGGAATGAATAGAACATACGGGAATCGCGAACCAGCTGATACCTCCAATAATGTACCCGGGGAGCGCATGCACTGGGGAAGCAGCAATAGCCTTGTTGTAGTCTAGCGAACATTAGCAGCCGTCTCCAAACATCTTCTTCAGTTCAGGGACTTACATCCGTTATCCATAAAAACAGTGCCGAAGTTTCCCACAATGTTGATCACAAAGAAGATCGCACCGTCTTTGCTCCTCATGGTCAGATAGCTTCCACCAGCGTTACCCGGAACCGGAGAAATAGCCGCAAGATCATGCAGACGATCGTAGACAGCCTTTGGTGAGCCTAGCCTATCACCAGTGGCGTATGTAGTAAAAGCGAAGATCAAAATGATAACGAGTAGAATAACCGTGTGGACATAATCAGTCAGGAAGGTAGCCTTGATTCCACCAAACATGGTGTAGACAACGACACCCAATGGCAGCAAAAAGCACGCCGCTGCGGTGGGAATGCCAGTTAGGAAGTTTATGACTGCCGATCCGCCGGTCAGCAGCATTGCTGTGACTAAGATGTTGGTGAAGAGGCCGAAAGTGATGTAGACGAAGTGGGTGGCCTTTCCATAGCGAGCACGAACTGCTTCGAGGAATGTCTGGCATATAGTCAGATACGTGGACGTGGCATGGTAATGATGTTTCGCTTACATGGGCATTTGGCGCTCGTCTTTTCAGTTCAATCGCAACGGTTGCAAAGAGCAAAATCTGAACGGTGGCGCCAGCAGCGTACCAGAGGGGTCCAGATACACCTATGAAGTATTAGAAATCGCAAACTTGAATGTATAGTTGTGTATCATGTACCATAGCGGAAAGCGACAGAAGTACTCTGCAAAAGTGTAGCAGCCCAAGTCCAGGACGAAACGACAGCACTGGCTACGAGACCAGACTTGACCGTGCGACCAGCCGTTGAGAACATCTCCGAGGTTTGCAATTCATTGTTGTATCGCTTGAGCACCCATGTGGTGAAGACCTTGGGAGTTGAACATCAGCTTCTCATTCTGTACCTCTCATGTTAGAGACGGGAACATACCATGCCAAGAGCAAACAGGAATCCAAGACCAAGAACGACGCCATATCCCCAACCCGGCCCCAAGGGCGATGGTACTGAAGAGCTAATTGGTGCGCCGCCGCCTGCCATGTTGTTTGAAGTCGTGAGTTTCAATTCCAAGCTTCCGGCTTAAAACGTCAACCCAGTTTGACGGGACAGGCGAGGTATCTATACCCCAATTTTACGTCCCCACATCTTCGATCTCCAAGGTCAATGATCGCCTCAAAGACTTCTTGCTATCTCAGATCATGTTCGAATGTACACAACAGATATCTTCATCTCTTACGCGGCGTAATTCTTATTGGCCAAAGATAGGCCGGACGTTAAATGTAGGGACGCTTAGCAAATGCCGATGATGGGAGGAACCAGTCGCTCCAACAATTTTAAGCTTAAATTGGTAACCTAGCATCCTTCGTAGTGCTATTGCGGCTCTTGGCCCACTGGGCACGGGCGGGATATCCTTTGCTTGTGCTGATAAGAGATGGCAGCCCCGTGGTTGAGCGCACACAGGGTGGGGCGGGAACGTGTGATTGTGACATGGCCTATTTAGTCAACCGGTGATTTGCTCTCATCCCTTTCTTGAGACTTGCTCTAACTCTGGGCGTGGAGATCTGCATATAGTTGCTGGTGTTGGGGTTGGTTTCGGTGAGGTAACGTTAGATAATAGATAAGCGTCCCAGAGAAGACCAATGAGAACGCGCGGACGGCGGGCTCCGAAGTCGGCCAGGAGGATCGATATGCTTGTCGTGATGCTTTCCACGGCGGTTTCTTAACTTTGTACTTGATTGCTTCGACAAAGAGGCAAGATTGTGTATATAGCACAAGACAACACTGCATGCTTCGATACCGCGAGGATGAGCTGTATTCCCCCATCGTTCTAGAGAATTAAACAATTATGGAATAAGGCCATGTAGGTACTTTCAGCAGCTGAGCAAAAGACCTAGATCCGCCCTAGCAATAAACCTGGACGACATGTCTACAACCCTGACCCTTAAAGATTCGGCGCAATTCTTCCCTTGAAAATCTACACTCGTAGTACAACTCACCCCCCGATCAAGTTGATCCTTCAGCAGGAGTGCACAGGGAAACTCGCATCTCTCCACCCTGCCACCTTTATACTCATCGGCATACATTTGCTTAATGAGGTCCACCGAGAAGAGGTTTTGCAACCACGCATACTTGTCCTGGTAGCGAACCCAGAATCCGACGTTGCAATCGGACCCTTTATCGACGGATTATTAGGCGTAAACAATATTGCCGAGTGGTGCGCCGACGGTTGCGCCGAATTTCTCCAGACTTGGGATATTTGAGGTGAACTCTTGGATAGGTTGGTGCATGGTCCACATTTTCGTATCTATCGGCGGCGGTATATCAATTGCCTCGCCTGTCGCAAGATGACCTTGGTGCGCGATCGCCGACTGCGGGAGAAGTGTCACATAGTACTCGAAGATTTCCTTTGGAAATGCTTGTCGTAGGTCAAGATGTGGTGTGGCTCCAGGGCATGCACACACGATCGAGTCGATACACGGTCGGAAAAACTTCGCTGGTGCAAGGTTTTCTACTTTCCGTGCTTGAGCAATTGACGCGAGAGTCGACAGTTGCAGCGTTTTGATTCGTAGGGTTCTCTGCACACGATCCTATCGTTTGAAACGAAAGTTGTGTAAAGTTGTGTACATGCGGTGCCATTTGTGCGCGGATTTGTTGCTCGATCATACGTGCTTTGGCGGGGATGTCAAGACCCGTCAGGAACAAGTGCATTTCTGCTTGGTAGAGTGGTTTCGCTGTAATGCCGACTTTGGTTATTGGCGGTGGCAACGCGCCCTTGCCACCTCGTAGGGCTACGCGGTTTGTGGATAGCTGCTAGAATGAAGTTTGGTTCAAGATCGCGGCGACATCCGCGTTGAAGTACCATGGCTCTTGAATCTCTTAAAGGAACTGTGACGTGAGCGTGTTGACCAAGACCTCCCCAGAATGCGATATCTCCACGATAGGGTAGCCAATGTTCATCCAGTCCAAACATTACAAGTCCTTGAAGCCGGTATTGTTCCCACCTGTACTGTAATACGAGCACTCCGGTATATAGCCAACCACAAACGTGTTGTACAATTTATCTGAATCGGATCGCTGCCAGTTGTGCCACTAATATGCCACTCCAATAACAGGACTCGCGTCGCTCACTCGCCCACACACCACGATATCCGCACCCTTCTCGAACGCCTTCGCAATGCCCAGTCCCCCTAGTTATGCTTGCGCATAGATAGGCTCAAACTGCCAGTCATTTAGCTTCTCCCCCGTGCACATGTTCTCGGATGGTGACGCACCTCGCTTTTTGCGCGTCAAGCAACTGGGGCAGCACTTCATCACCAGATATCCACGCAACGCCAAGGTTGAGACCTTTCGATTGCCCCATCTTCGTAACCACCTGATGTAGCTTCTGTGTGTCGGATGCGCCTGCGTTGACGGCGACTTTGGTTGGTTGGTTGGTTGGTTGGTTGGTTGGTATTGTTTTTCGTCGGAAGGACAGTAGCTATCTACCATTCCGTGGCCTCCCTTGGGGCATTATGACGTGCGAAGAAGTGGGATTATTGACGGCGACTTTGATGCGGTATTTGGCAATGTGAGGCAGCGCAGGTTCGAGGGCTTCGGGGAAGGTGGGTTCGTATGCATCGAATTGGCCTGAAAACTATCAGTATAGTGCGTGAATGGTAAAGTCTTGGGAGTATCTACCGTTCAACTTGGCATTTGCGCGGCCGGTCATATTCCCTTCGCTCATCCAGTCTCCTGCCAACACATCGATGGGGTCGTTCTCATGGTTTCATGCCAACAGGGTCATCGCATTGCGACAGTGAGTCGTGGAGCCAGAGCATCCTGTCACATGTCAATATTAACTATAGACTTGGGAGATGGACCACGGAAAAGCATAATACACATACCAGCAATTCTAATAGCTCGGGTTGTCGCTAGGATCGTGGTTCAAGGCGGTTGGAGGGTGTCTAAAACAGCCACCTTGACTCATTCACTCTAGACTGGGAATTTGATTGAAACATCGCAGCTTCAGTAATACGACTTGAAGAGCGTGGAAATACCTCGGGAGGATCCGTCAAGTGTCAAGACTTGCGGAGTCGTGATGAGGCTGCCCGCGTGGAGACGGGGAACCTTGGAAACCGAGGGCGCGGGGAAAGCGCCATACCGCATCCTCTCTAGCGCCAGAACAGAATATGCCCAGGTGTTCACTTCCAAGGTTGCCCAGATGGAACATAGATATACAACAACCCCTCCTGTATACGTCATAAGGCCTTTATAGTGGTCATCCGTGATATGGTCTGGCATAGCTTAGATGGCAATGACATTATTCTTACTTTACAGGTCAGTATGGCGTGGGCATATATCCCTCCGGATAATTAAATAACTTCGCAGTTAGGAAACCTTCTAGTAACCTATGACCCCTATCAGCGGCTGTTTGGCGCGCTTGATGTACTGTTACACTGCCATAGCTCTCGCGACTAGTGGCATGGTTAACACAACTGCAAGATGTTGGCGGCACGCCTAAGTATCGCTGACATTCCCAAAATCCCAGGAGATCATCTGCATACGGACGACTTTCTCGTTTCACCCCTAGCATAGCCTGACTTAAAAATAGCATGGTCGGATACCATATCAGAGGAGTATCGGAGAGTATCACGGATGATCGACTCAAATACTGTACCCACTTCTGTGTGTTGCCGAGATTTTTGCAGAATGGTCCTTCGTGTATTTTTCTTACTTTTGCAAGCTGCTGTGGACCAGAAAATACGGTGAGCATCTCTAAGAAAACGGCTCCTAGGGAAAACACGTCTGATCTTCGGCCAGCCCGTCGCCCATCCTCCTCCTCGGAGGATCGGTACCTTGGAGTCCCGCGCTTTTCTGTGGTTTCCGAGATCGTCTGCTCCTGAAATTCTCTCGATAATCCAAAGTCTGTGAGGAGAATATTGCCTTGCACGGTGAGGATGTTTTGCGGCTTGATATCTCCGTGCACAATTCTTCTCGCATGCAGAAATGCTAGAGCGTTTATCAAACATCCGAACCATTGTGATACATGCGCCCGGCGTCCGTTATCCATGTGCTCATCGTCATCGTCCAGATCAGATAAGTAGCTCTCAAGATTCCCATCTGCGACCGGTTGCATGATCATAGCATATGTATGCTCAGCCTGGTACGTCTCGACAAGGCGTACAATGTGAATGTGTTGGAGGTTCCTGGCTATTTCGATCTCTTGAAGAATTCTGTTCAGCTCCCTCTGTTTAGGTTTCCTAGGGAAAATGAAAGTCTTTCGAGCGTATCTGTGTTCTCCGATGGCAAAGGTTCGTGTGACAGCATCCACCGTACCATAGCTGCCTCGACCGAGGTATTTTTGGTGCTGAAAGGGAATCGAGTGCGAACCGTCATAAATGTTGTGGATCTCCGTAGTCATTGCAAGCTATGGAGAGAGCTTGTGCTGAATTCCACAGCTGGTGTGTCGTCTGAAGGGTAAATCGGTTCAGTATAGTGCGAGCGTAGAAGCCCTTTGCTGTTTATTATACTGTTTAATATTATACACAAGTAGCATAACTAATATTCTAATTATTATTTTACCTATATTTATAAGAAGATATTATATAATGTATTACACAGGCGAGCTATGCGCCTAGGCAAGCTACGCACTTTGCTAAAACTTTACTAAAATTTAAATTATATTTGTAATACAACGCAATGCCTTAATACAACAATATACAATTTTTTTAAAAAAAAAATTAAATATAGCTTGCAATTTAAGCTTTAAAATAAAATATAAATTTTTTTTAATAAGCTGCTGCGCAAATATTTAGTATTTTTTTAAAAATACTTAGTAATTAATTTAAAAAAATGCTTTTACAATATAATACTAAGCCTAATAGTATAAAACTTTTTTTAATAAAAAAAAAAGTAATTGCCTAATATATATTTTACTTTAAAAATTAAAAATTTCTGTTTTAATTAACTACTATAAATAATATAGCTAATATTTTGCTAGCTAAATATAGGCAATTACTTATTAGTAAAAACTAGGCTAGTATATTTATTAAATAATATTTATAGCTTAGTACTAGAACTTTTTAAAAATATAATTACTAAAAAATTTTATATAAAAATCCTAAGCTTATACAAGGCTAATTCTAACTTATAAAAAATATAAAAGCTAAGTATAGTATTTAAAATAAAAATATATATAATTTTAATAAAATAAGCTTTATAATAAATTAAATATTATATAAAACTATTATTTTAAGTGCTAACTATTAAAGACAGCTAAAGATAGTATAGTAAAATAATTAAAAATAAGTAATAGTAATTTAAAGTATTAATATAATAAAGTAAATTATTTTACTTTTTATTATTTTTACAAGCAAAAACTACTTTTTAGCTTAATATAAAAAAAATAGCCTGCTTTATAATTAAGTTATTACAGTTTTTAAAAATAGCTAAATAATAAATAAGCTTACTTTTAAATAGTTAAAGCATTTTAATAAGTATATTAAAAAAAAAATTATTAGTACTTATTATTTACTTATTATTAACAGTTATAAAAGCTATATATTAGTTTAATTTTAGTAGTACTACAAAAAATAAAAAACTATTATTTTTTATATACTTTTGCATTTATTGCACTTACTATAGCTATTTAATATAAGTTATTTTATACTTTTAAAAAAAGTATATAAATACTAAGCTAAAAAGCTAATGCGCAATAGTATTAATTATATTATTAAAATTAAATTTTTACTGTGCTTTAAACCGGCTTTTAATACTGCTATTATAAAAAGCAATATTCTAAATAGCTTTAAAAGTACTAGTTTAGTTTTTTTTAATTTTAAAGCTATAATATTAAAATTTAATATTTAATTATATACTTTACTACTACTTACTATTAAAGACAGTCCTTAAAAATTAAAAATACTAAGTAATACTTTAAAATTTAAGTTTTAATTAATACTAGTTAAAATAAAAATTTAAAAGTATTTAAATAATTTTTTTATTTTAATAGTTAAAGCTTTTAAAAAAAATTTAAAAAGTGCAGCTATAGTTGCATATAAGCTTATATTAGTATAAAAAAAGATTACTAAGCTTTAAGCAGCTAATAAAGCTGCTATATAATAAAAATTATATAAAAAAAAGCAAGTATAAAAAAAAAAACTTTTATAATAAAAAATAATTTTTAATTAATAATTTTAAAAGAATTTAGGGCGCGTAGTAATAAAAAAAAATAAAAAAGTAAGTATATACTAAAGCAGGTAAGCCTTTTTAAAGGCGCTATAAATATTATAATAAAGCTAGGTATAATGCGCAAATATATAAGCAAAAAATAAAAATAGTTTTTAAATAAATTAGTTTATTATAATTTACTGCTATAATTTTTTATAGTACTATACTATTATATATAGTATTAATTTTAGTAAAATTTTAGTAAAGTGCGCAGCTCGCCTAGGCGTGCAGCTTACTTGTGTAATACATTATTATTTTAATTTTATATAAAGTTTTAAAGTATTTATAAAATTTTATAAAGTACTACTTAGTAGCTTTTATATATAAGAAAAAAAAGCTATTATACTAGACTTTATAAGTATAGTAAAAGACACGCTATACTTCTTTTTTAGCATAAAAGTAATTTATTAGTATTTATTAGTACTATTTTAAATTTTATTTTTTAGTATTTTACTTTGCTTGTTAAAGAAGATTTCTAAAAAATAAAAATAAATAATAGCTATAGCGCGCAGAGTATATAATTTTTAGTTATTTATAATTATAGTACTTAGCAGCTTTTTTAGCTTTTTAGCTATAGCTACTTTGCAGCGTAGGTAAAAAGTTTAAAATATAAGCAGAATACAGGCAGCGTATTATTATATACGCTTAGTCTATTAAGTAATATTATTAAATTATAAGTTTTAAAAAAGGCGCTTAAGCAGATTGCTAGTTTTTTATTCTACTATTACTATAAGTAGTAGTATTACTATTATATAGCTGTAAGGATCTATAGAACTAGAAGTAGCTAGTTCTAATAGAACGCAGAATTAGTTTTTAAAAATAAGTATTATATAAATATAAAAGGAATACTAGCTTATAAAAAGTAGTTTAGTTATAAGTATTAAAAAAATAAAATAAAAGTTACTTTTATAATATAAGTAAAATACTTTATTAAGTTAAATATAATGTGCTATAAAGGCCTATTACTTAAGTTTATATATTTAGTATTATTTTTAAATTCTATTATTAAAATTTATTTTAAGTATTTTAGCAATTTAAAAACGCACTATAACTACTAAAATTTACTAAAATATATATAATTTAGCTAAGTACTAAATTACCTAGTACTTTTATATTTAAGTAGATTGTAAAAAGTAAAATATTATTATAATTATAATACTATTTTCTTTTTTTTTACTTATATTTTTATAAATATTTTTTTATTTTTTTATATAGCTAAGTATTATTATTGCTTTGCAGATTGTATTAAGTATTTAAGCATTTTTATAATAATTGCTTATTTTTTTTATACTAAATAATAGTTACTTTATAAGCTATTATTACTATAAAAAAAATATATAAATTATATTTACTTAAATACTGCGTAGTGCAAGCTAAAGAGCCTACTTTTATTAAATTTTTTAAAAATTAATAAAAAAGTAAAAAAGTTAAAAAAGTTTAAAAAAGCTAAAAAGGCGCGTTTATATATTAAAAAAAACCTAGCTAAAGCAGTACTATTGTATACTTAGTAAGTACAAAATAAGCTATTTTATTTTTAAAATTAAAAAAAGTTACTTTATTAAAAAAAATAAAAAAAATTTAATAAAGAGTTATTTTTTATAAAAGCCTTTAAAAGGCTTAAAACTTAAAAAACTTTTAATTTTATAATTATTTTAGCTAATTTTAAAGTGCCTATTAAAGTAGCTACTATTAATTAGTTGCTTTTTTAGGATTTTAGTAATACTATGCTAGAAGCTAGTAGCAGTTAATAAAATTTATTTTTAGTTTTTATATATTTTTGCTATTAGGGTACTTTTTTTACTTAATTAAATACTTTATATTATTACTAACTTATTAGTGCTATAGGATTTTTTTAACTTTAAATTTATTTATTTTTTTTAATTTAAAGTAGAAAGTTATTTATAATAGCATTTTTAAATTTATAGGTTTTAGTATATTTATATAAAATCTAAAGTATATTTTAAAGTTAGCTAAAAAGTTTAAAAAATAGTTTATAAATTTATTTTTTACTTTAATTAAAAATAGTCTAACTTTAATATAGTTAAAATTTTTATTAAGTCTTTTTATTTCCTAATTTTTTATAAAAAAATATATTCTATCCCTTTTTTTAAGCTAAAGTGCTATTTTTTATTTTTTATTAATATATAAAATGCTTTTTTATTATGCGTGCTTAAAGTTCTATTTAAGCTTATTATAAAGTATTTTTAGTTTTTTTATAGTTATTATAGCAGCTTTTATTTTAAAACTAAGGTATATTCTAGTAAATAAATTAAAGTATTACTTATAATTAGTAAAAAAAAGCGTTATTCCTATTAACTTAAATAGTTTATTATTATAGGCAAGTTATATTTCTATAATTAAAAGTAAAGTCGACGCTAGAGCAGATTATACTACGCAGTAAAAGAAATTAGTATAAAAATTATAATTTAAGTGCTATACTTAGCACCTTAATACAGTATTAAGGCAGTAAAGTTTATATAATACTAAGTTAGCTAAATAGATTATTAAAAAACCCTTAATAATTGCTATTAGTAGCCTTAATATATTATTATTTAAAAATTATAGCAATAGAACTATAGATTCCTTAATAATAACTAAGTTGTTTAGGCATTACTAGGCAGCTTTAAATTTTAACTATAAACTATTATTAAAATATAAATAAATTTTTAGACTAAAATTTAAGCAAGCTTTAATTTAGTAGTAAGCTTATGCCTTAATAGCTAATATTTTCTTATAATTAGTAATAGGCGCAATAGATATAGTTTTTATAAAGTATATAAAGTAAAGCTTACAGTTAAAGCTTATAATTATATATTATTGCTTATTATATAGTTGTATTATTGCGCGTTTTATAATTGTATATAGGCAGGAAATTAAAAATTTAAATAGTAAGAATTTAAATACATAGGCAGCAAAGTATATATTTATATATTTATTTTATAAATTAAAATTTATTTTTATTCTAATTTTTAAGTTTCCTATTTTTTACTTCTATTTTTATATTAAATATAAATAATATAATGCTAATAAATAAACTTGTGCATATAGGCCTGCAAATTATTATTATAGCTAGCAATACTAGCTACAAGCTATTAATAGTTGCCTAGTATAAATTACTATTTTTTAACTATTTTAAGCTAGTAAATAGTAACTGCTAGTACTATAAAAAAGTATGCAAATACTTTAAAATTAACTTTTTTTTTTATAGTAAGTTCTTTTTACTTTGCCTAGTTAATTTTAACTTTCTAGCATTTTTTTATAATAAGCTAGTTATAACTAAGTAGTAGTAATATGTAATTCTTTTTGCAATTAGCTGCTATATAATAATACAAAATTTTAACTTTAGCCGCAACTAGGCTGCCTTTATTAAAAATTAAAAAAACAAGTTTCTGTAGCTTATAAAAAATATTAAAAGTAATATAAAGCTTATAGCGTATTAAAAAAAGTTCTTTAAAAACTATAGTTACTAGTAGTATAATAACTAGAAAATATAATTTTTTAAAATAGTTAACTTAGTACGTAGGTAAATATAAGTAGTAAAATAAGTAATAAAGCAAAAAAATAAGTAATAATAATTTAAATATACTACAAATAATAACTTGCGCAGGCAAAAAAAAAGAGCAAAAAAGCAGTTAAGCATTTAGGCTAATATTGCAGGAAAAGTTATTATTATTATTATTATTATTATTATTATTATTATTATTAGCGTTGCTATTATTGCCTAAAAGCCTAGTATTAGTTAGCTATTTAGCAGTTTAATATTATACTAAATATTTAAATATATGTTTAAAGGCTATTAAAAAAAACAGCGCCTTAGCAGTTAAAGTTACGTTATTAAAGGTTAAAAGTTTATTACTTAGCAATTCTAAAAATAAAAGTACGCAATATATAGTAAAAATACTAATAATATAAGCTATTAATAACATATTAGGTCCCGTCTTCGCAGGATAGGCAAGTTATATAATTAGTAATAGCAATACTTAGTTATTTTAGCTATAATTAATATATATTTATAAGTATGCTTTTATAGTTTAGTTTATTTTTTTAATTTATTTATTAGTTTATAAATAATAAGTAGTAAAAAGCTTTTTTTTTATTTTTATAAGTACTAATAAGCTTATCTAAAAATTAGATATAAATAGTAAGTTTTAATTTATAATAATTAATTTAAAATTTTTATATTATTTAATAATTCTATCGCATATAATATAAGCTATCTATATAGTAGTAAATTTTTTAATTTAGGGTATATATTTTATAGCTTTTATAAATTAGTATACCCGCGAAGACGGGACCTAATATGTTATTAATAGCTTATATTATTAATATTTTACTATGTATTGCGTACTTTTATTTGTAGAATTGCTAAGCAATAAACTTCTAACTTTTAATATAATTTTCTGCTAAGGCGCAGCTTTTTTAATAGTTTTTAAGTATATGTCTAAATATCCGGCGTAATATTAGACTGCTGCTAAGTAGCTAACTAATACTAGGCTTTTAAGCAACAATAATAGCAATGTAAATAATAATAATAACTTTTCCTGCAATACTAGCTCTAATGCTTAATTATTTTTTTACTTTTTACTTTTTGCTTTTTGCTCTTTTTCTTTTTTAGTACTATTTTTCCCTTTTATTAATAAGCGCATGCCTAGTTTAATTGCTTGCTTTTTTTAAAGTTTTTATTAAGCTATTTAAGTATTTATACAATTTTTATAGCTGCAAAAAGCTATTGCTTTTAATTATTAAATTATAAATAATTGTAGCAGCTTAAAAATAATTTTTAATATAGTTAGATAAGTTTTTTATTTTAAAAAGCTAAGTAGAAGGCTCTAAGCTTATTTTACTAATTAGTAATAAAAACTTTTTAGCCCGCAGTTAGGCCGCAGTAAAAAGTCTATATTTAGTAGCTAATAATAAATATAGCTAATATATTTAATTTTTTCTAGTAAAACTTTTTGCTAAAAAAGTCTAAGTTTTAAAAAAAAATTTAATTAAAAGTAAAGTACTTTAGCATACTAAAAAGCCTAGTATTTAAGCTTTTAAAAATTTATTTAAGCTTGCTAAAGTACTTAAATGCTTACTAATATTAGTTTAAAGTACTAGTTTTGTATAAAAAGCTATATTACTAAATATTTTTTATAAATATTAATAAAATAATAAAGCAAAAAGTAAAATTAAAGAAATTATTAATAAGTGTTATATAAACGGCATTAGTAGGCATTGCATAGTTATTAGTAGTTAATATAGCTTGCTGTAAAAGCACAGGCAGACAATTGTATAAAAAAAAAAATTTTTTTATATATATATTATATATTTAAAACTGCTATTTGCAGCTTTTTACTTTTAACTATTATAAGTTTTATTAATAACTATATAAAATACTACAGCCTACAATTTTTGCAAGCTAATTTGCTAAACTAAAACTTTAATTAATATTTTATATATTATTACTAATTAAGTTGCTTACTTTTATTTAAGAAAATATTAGATAAAATATAAGTTTATAACTAAACTAAGTTTTTAATATTAAGTTAAGTATTTTTTATAATTTAATAATAGTCTGTAAAGCTTAAGAATTTAACTAACTACTTTATTTTAGTTTAATTTAACCTGCCTAGCATTGCCTAAACAAGTTAGTTACTATTAAGAATTAATAGTTATATTACTATAATTTTTAAATAATAACGCATTAGGTCTGCTAATAGTAATTATTAATTTTAATAATTTATTTAGCTAGCTTAGTATTGTATAAACTTTACTGCTTTAATACTATATTAAAGTGCTAGGTATAGCACCTAAACTATAGTTTTATACTAATTTTTCTTACTGCATTGTATAATCTGCTTTTGCGTCGACTTTACTTTTATTTATAGAAATAAATTAGTATACTATAATAAGAATTGCATTATACCTAGTTTTTATAGTAAAATTTATAAAAAGTAGTAATTTTATAATAAAATTTATTAAAAAATATTTTTATAATTATTTTAGGATTTTTAGTGCTTGCATTTTTCTATAAAGTATATATATATTATATTTTCCCTTTTAGCATATTATATATTATTTAATAAATTATGCTACTTTATCTTTTATATTTAAAAAGTTATAGTATTATCTAATAAATTCTATTATTCTTTTTACTCTAAGATAGCTATAGATAAGGTTATTATAATATTTTTTAACCCGCAAAGACGGGACCTAATATGTTATTAATAGCTTATATTATTAGTATTTTTACTGTATATTGTATACTTTTATTTTTAAAATTGCTAAGTAACAAACTTTTAACTTTTTAATAATATAACTTTAACTGCTAAAGCGCAGTTTTTTTTAATAATTTTTAAGTATATATTTAAATATTTAGTGTAATATTAAACTGCTAAGTAGCTAACTAATACTAGGCCTTTAAATAATAATAATTATAAAATAGTAATAGTATTATAAATAATAGTAATGTAGATAATAGTAATGCAAACAACTTTTTTTATAATGCAATTTTTTTTGCTTTTTTTTGCTTATATTTTTTTTCTATTGCCTAAATTAATTGCTCGCTCTTTTAATTTTTTAAAGTATTTATTAAAGCTACTTAAATATTTATATAATTTCTATAGCTGCAAAAAGCTACTGCTTTTAATTGTTAAATTGCTAGTAACTATAACAACATAAGAATAATTTTTAATATAGTTAAATAGGCTTTTTATTTTAAAAAGCTATATAAATAGCTTTAAGTTTTTTTTACTAATTAGTAATAAAAGCCTTCTAGCCTACAATTAAACTATAGTAGAAAGTTTATATTTAATAGCTAATAATAAATATAGCTAATATATTTAATTTTTTCTAGTAAAACTTTTTTTAGTTAAGATAGTCTAGATTTTTAAAAAAAAAGTAATTAAGTATAAAGTGCTTTAGCATGCTAAAAAGCCTAGTATTTAAATTTTAAAAAATTTATTTAAATTTACTAAAGCACTTAAACGCCTATTTGTACTAGTTTAATATATTAATTTTATATAAAAAGCTATTTTAGTATAAAGCATTTTTTGCAATATTTAATAAAATAATAAAGC